AAATTAATTAATTTTTTATATTTATATAATAGTAGATTTTTTATTTATCTCTAATATTATTAAACGATTATAATATATATTTTAATAAAAAAATAAATATTATATGTATAAATATAGTTTTTTTTTAATTATTTTTAATTTTACTTTTTAATTTTAGACTTTAAAGGCGGTAAATACTAGTAAATAAAGTAATAATATAATAGTAAAAATTAGATTATATTTAATAAAGTAAGGTTTTAAAGCTTAAAAAGTAAAAATAATAAAAGTCTTATTAAGCTTTAGAATTATAAATACTAGTTAAAGTCTATTACGATATTAAAAATACTATCTTTAGATAGTATAATATAAAAATAATTTACTACTTTTTTTCTTTAATTTTCTTATTATTTATTTATTTTTTACTTTACGTTTTATCTACTTTAACGTATCTCTTCGTTCGGCGCGATTTACTATTATATCTACCGTTATATCTACCTATTATACTGATTAGGCTTAAGATTAGGGCTAGTATAGTATTATTCTTAAATATTAAGTTTTTTAGCTAATAGATAAGCGACGATAAAAATCCGGTTACGTATAGTAGACGTAGCGGTAGATATAGTAGTAAATCGCGCCGAACGAAGAGATAGTTACTACGACCGATTATTCTAGATATTTACCCGACGTTTTTCTCTTCGTTAATAAGTATTTTAAAAACTAATATAAAAAACTAGGTATCTCGATAATTTACCGATTAAGGTACCCTAGGTTATAAGATTCGTAATCTTCGCGCTAGCTGTCGGCTATCTCATCCGTACCATAGATTCGAGTTTTCCTCGAGCTCACCTCCTAAAAATCTTATCGAAGCTTACCTCTTAGCTAAGGAAATAAACGCCATGGTAGTATACGCTAAGAGAATGAATTCAGCAAGCGGTAAGTCGCCGGGGAGGTGGCTCCGGATCTGTGGTGTGGATGAAGATAAGAGAGGCTGCTGTAGAGCGCGCACAGACGGACGGGCCGTGTTTAGTGGAGCGAGCGTTAGGACTCGACACGCGGTCTGCATCAGCGGATGGAGGCAGGCGAGCACGGACAGCATGTTCACAAGTTTGAGCGGAGCAGGGGCCAGAAAGAGCGGTTGGGAGACAGGCGATGAAAGTGGGCGGCGCGTGTTTCGGAAAGGCTGGCTCGTGTGGCGCATGAGCGCAGCGAATGGCAGGGGCGGGGCGACAGGGGGCGGCGCCGGCGCGGCGACAGGCGACAGGCGACAGGCGACAAGCGACAAGCGACAAGCGACAAGCGACAGGTGACAGGCGACGGGCGACGGGCGACAGGCGACGGGCGACGCGCGACAGGTGGCGGGCGACGAGGCCGAGAGCGTGCATGAAGAAGTGACGGCACCCAGCTATATGAGGATGTACGGCGGCTTGGTGGGCGGTGGGGTGGCGGGCGGCGAGTCGCGGGCGCACAGATAGGCAGGCGCAGGCGGGAGCCGTTTGCAGGCTGGGGAGCGCTGCAGCTCGTGCAGTTCGGGCATGGCGCGTGTCATTCAGCCGCCTGGGCGATCAATTGCGGGCTAGCGCAGGGGCCTCGCACGCGTCCCTGGCAGCACGACGACGAGAGATTGCAAGGCAGCGGAATTTTGATCACCTCTCCAGCCGGCCCCTGGCCCGGCCGACTCGCTGCGCGCGGTCCTTGAAACCGCCCGCCGTCCTCCCCAAGCCCGGCCGCGACCTCGACTCGACCTCGACCCGACCTCGACCTGCCATCTCGCATCTAGCCCACCCGCCGCCGCGCTACCGCCTGCCACAACCACCGGCGCAGTCGAGACCCAAGCCGCAATTGCCCGCGCTGCGTTTTATCAACCCGCCCTTGCGCCTTCTGCCGCCGCGACTGTCCTCGTCCGTCACCTTCCAGCGCGCTGCACAGCCTCCTGTCGCAGAGTGGCAGCGTCCCCCGTCTGCCTCGTCTGCCCGTGGAACCGCTGTCCGCCAGCCCGCAATGTCGCCCCACGACGAGAAGACGACCTTTGGCGTCACCATCACCCGTCCGCTGACGCCCGAGTCGCTGCATCAGCCGCCTGCCGACGCCAACGTGCCCGCCGCCGCCGTGCCCGCCCTCAGGAGCCCGCCGTCGACCGACAGCCACCTCTCTGCCGGCGCCGCGCTGGCCTCGCCCACGTACCGCACCAATGATCCCTTCAGCCCCTTCTACCAGCACCCGGAGAGCCGCTCGCACCTCGAAGTCGACCGCAGCAAGAACGACCTCGAGTCCGGCCTGCTCAACGTCGGCGTCCCCAATGGCGTCCCGCTGTCGGCCGCGACGACGCAGACGCAGCCCAAGGTCAGCATGGACGGCCGCGTCAAGGAGTGCACCGTCTGGCCGACCAAGCAGACGCTGCAGCACAAGGCGCGGGCCGCCAAGGCACAGCGCCGGACCTGCCAGTGCTGGGGCCGCCTGACCAAGAAGCAGAAGATCATGGTCGAGGTGCTAATCGGCCTGACCGTCGTCGCGCTTGCCGTCGGCCTGAGCGTGGGCATCTCGCGAGCTGTTGGTGGCGGCGTCTGGGCCGGCACCGGGCAGAGCACCACCATTCCTAAGGACGGTTCCTGATGAAGCATCAAACGAGAACGACTGGTGGGCAGCCTGCCTGCCCGTGCCCACGTGCGTCGCTGACCGCCGCAGTGCTGCTCCTCTAGACTCGCGCTTCTGCCACTTCTCCAGCTTTGCACTCGATCTCCAACCCGCAGCCATCAGCACGCACCCCCCTCCCCCTCGGACACGGGCTCCCTCGCGCCTCCAGCTCTCGGCACCGACGCATTGGATGACCTCATGCCACGCACCGGCGTCGTCTCCGGCCGCCCAGCTTGTTTCCTGTTGCCATGGCTTGCGCTTCTTCCAAGTTTCTTTTGCTGTTATGTTAGTCTTGCTCACCGTCTCTACTTTTCATAGAAGACTCTGTTTGGCGTTGGCTGGCGTTTATTCTTCGGGTGCGCTCACGCAGCGAGGAAGTCTTACAGGCGTTAGTAATGGTTGGCGTGGAACTGTACTGAAAAACCCGAGCAAAAGACGCGGTACATATACCCATATGATCCTTGGGGCTCGACAAGGACTGTAAATTTCCGTCACACCCGGCTCTCCCTTTCTTCTTCTTCTTCTTCTTCTCCTTCTTCTTCTTCTTTGCCCTTCCCTCTACGTTGAGTTGGCCCCGGTGTCAGAGGCCATGCTGCTGCTGGACCGGCGGGCTTGCCTGGCCTGCGCCGTGACGGGCGAGAGCATGCGAGACGGACTAGCGGGCGACTTTTTCTCCATATATTTTCTGCCGCACTTGACTAGCCGGTGCGCAGGGGCGCAACGCGCTGGGCCATTTTCTTTGGCTGCACCGTAAATATTCCAATTGCTCACGATCCATTTGGCCACCGCTACCGCCCTGTCCGTGAGAGTGTCGACTTCTTCTGGCGACGGTGGCCGAGGCGCATGGCTGACAGGCGCGCGGCACCACAACCCGGCGACTGAGCGGTTGGAGCTCGCAGGCGGCAAGGCTGAAACGCAATGGAAGCCAAGAATACTCAAGCGCTACGTCACGGCTTAAGCGCTCGCGCGCAGGCCTTTCACCGGAGACGGACAACCACACATTCGGCGGCAACACAAACAACACCGGACAGCACCCACGTGGGGCTGCCGGCAGAGCCCGCTGTCAGCTCGGCGCGCGGCTGGCGGGTGTGGTGGATATCTAGACATGTACCTCCACGCGCCAACACCATCGCATCTCTACTCAACCTCCCTCGATTCCGCCCAGACTTCTCTCTCCGTCGCTGCTTCGTACAGCCAGCCGCATTGCTTGACCATGGCCCGGCTTCGCCTCAAGTTGCTGCTCCTCTCAGCGTTGCTCACACGGCCTACGCAATCAACAACAACAACAACTCTTCGGCACACGTCAACAATCACCATCGTGCAAACGATTCATGCCTCGGCCGCGACGGCGACGGCATCAGCCACGACCGACGAGCATTCCTACACGGATGACGGCGTTTTCAAGAGCACTGTGCTGAACATCTCCAACACCGTGCGCCAGAACTACAACGCCAGCGCGCTGTTGTGGAACAACACGCTCGCAGACTACGCGCAAGCCTGGTCCGAAGGCTGCCGGTTCGAACACTCGGTGTGCTGCTTCGCCTCCCTCACACCGTGCACACAGACTGACGCAGGCGAACCCAGAATGGGCCATACGGCGAGAACCTGGCGGCAACCTATCCCTCGGCTGCGGACGCCGTCACGGCTTGGGCCAACGAGTCGCAGCACTTCACCTTCGCGGACCCAGGCTTCAGCGAAGGCACGGGCCACTTCTCGCAGATGGTGTGGAAAGGCACGGCGGCAATGGGCTGCGGGAGGACCAACTGCGGCAGCGTGGACGAGGGAGGAGACGGCGACGACGCCGACGCCGACGGCTGGTATGTCGTGTGCAGCTACTGGCCCCGAGGAAATGTGCTCGGCCAGTTCGCTGCAAACGTCGACGCGGCGGTGGACGGGAGTGGGAGTTCTTGGGACGAAGAGGGCATGATAGCGAAGAGCAAGAGCGGCGTGGCAAGGGCCGACGTGCGGAGGGGGCTGCTGGGGGTGCAGCTGCTGGCGCTGGCAAGCTGGGCGGCGCTGGCATGAGGGGCGAGGCGACGGCGTTCAACTGAGTGGGATGCGAAGCACGCCGACCATGGCATTTGGATCAGCAGCGTGGATGGCCGACTCCGGAGGACGAGGCAGGAATCAGCCGAACGGTGGTGATGGTGTTGCCGCTTGGAGTTTCGGGACAGGCATCTACGCGACAGCGTAACCGGACCGGATCAGAGTGGGCCGCATGACGTGCCGCCGCAGTGGTCGAGGTCGTCGTTGCCAACGACTACGGCGGCGGGCCGATGGTGCAGGCTGCTGAGTAGCTGCGCGGGCCGGGCTGCGTGTCGTCGTCGACATGGACACTTCTTGGCCCGATGCCGCTCTCGAAGCCATCTATGCTCTTGGCCACGCTCCACTGCGCAGCTTACCTGAGCCCACCACTTCCGGCCGGTGGCCCTCGCACGTGGTCTTGGCCGCAAACCGGTCCGTTGCCGGTCCGGGAGATCGCCATCGTCGCCTGCGAGTCCTCCGTTGCCTGGCCGAGCCATGGGACCCTCTCCGGGACAAGAGACACCCTCTGGCCCCAGCCCCCAGCCCCCAGCCTTGAGTATCCGCTGCTCGGCCGCTTAGATAGAGAGAACACCATGCTGGCTGGTTTCCGCAGCGTCAGTCCGAGAAGAACCGTGATCATCGTTGCTCAGCGCTTTCCCCGTTGAACCCACCCTTCTAGGCTGGTGCAGTCTGCGAGCTGGACCCAGCCCTACCCAGAATGGTCCGCCGCCATCGAGAGCTCGCCGATGCCGCCCGTGGTGCTATCCACCCAACCTCAGCCAGCGGGTATAAAGGTCGCGTTGCTGGACAGGATGAACCCCTTCACCATCGTCTCTCCTCCAGCACTCCCTGGCAAGCTGCTCTCCGACAGTATGCGCTGCTTCTTCCTCACCTCTCCTCTTGTCTCCCTGGCAATGGCCAGTCCTCTGGCAGCGAGATCCTACGACTACATCGTTGTCGGAGGTGGTGCCGGAGGGCTCGTCGTGGCCAACCGTCTGTCAGAGACCGATGCTTCCGTGCTCGTCATCGAGGCTGGCGGTTCGGCCTTTGACAATCCCAATGTGACGGCACCGGATGGATATGGACTGGCGCTGAACACCGCGCTCGACTGGTCTTACCCATCCGTGGCCCAGAGAGGGGGCTCCGCCCACGCCATGCATGCCGGAAAGGTGCTCGGCGGGTCGACTGCAATCAACGGTACTTTCTCCGACGGCTCCGAAGCCTTCGCCTAGCTAATCCGGCACTCAGGCATGTCGTTCACGCGCGCTGCAGCCTCCCAGATCGATGCCTGGGAGCAGATTGGCAACAGCGGATGGAACTGGCAGAGCATGTGGCAGTATTACCTCAAAAGCGAGCAGTATCAGGCCCCTGGAGTTGATCAGCTTCGTGGAGGAGCCGCGTACGAGTCCTCTTTCCATAGCACCCGTGGCGACTTGAAGGTAGGCTATCCTAAGGAACAGGCTATCGATGATTTCCTCGCGCCCTTGAACGCATCCTACCAGGAGCTCGGCATTCCCTATTCGCCAGACGTTAGTGGAGGCGATATGCATGGGTTCAACGTTTTCCCCATGATGATTGATGTGGCTGAAAACGTCCGCTCTGACGCGGCTCGTTCCTACTATCTTCCTTTCCGATCGAGACCCAACTTGCACGTCTGGTACAACACCTCTGTCACTCGCCTCGTCTGGGGAGGTGATGACAGCGCCGGCAATGCTGTTGCGACTGGTGTCGAGGCCGCTAGTGTGGACGGCACAGCCTTGACTATCACCGCGAAGAAGGAGGTCGTGGTCGCCGCCGGAGCACTAAGGACCCCCGCCATTCTTGAGCTGTCGGGAGTCGGAAACCCTCAGTAAGCCGTCGACTGCATTTCCTCTCTTCTTGAACCGTGCTGTTTACCACCCCACAGTGTCCTCTCCCAAGCCAACGTTACGACCAAGATAGCCCTACCAGGCGTGGGCGAGAACCTCATCGACCAAGTCAACACCGGCATGTACTATGCGACTCCAAACAACAAGACCTACGCAGGCCTCGCCAATTACCTGTCCTACCCGAACGTCACGGACATCTATGGTGCCGAAGCCGCCTTGAGCCTTGCATCGTCGGTGCGCAGCGCTCTGCCGACCTGGGCAGCCCAGATCGCAGCGCAGAACAACAACGCTACCAATGCCTCGACTCTCCTCTCGCTGCTCGAGGTTCAGCATTCGCTTCTGTTCGATGCTCAGGTCCCCGTTGCCGAAATCCTCCATGTTCCGGCTGAGCACTTTGGCTCCGAGTTCTGGGGCACGCTTCCTTTCTCTCGAGGAAACATTCACATTGTCTCTCCCGACCCCAGCACATCCGCTGCCATCAATCCGAAATACATGATGTTCGACTTCGATCTCGATGTCCAGGTTGGCATCGCCAAATTCTTCCGCAAGCTGTTTGCCGCCGATAGCCTGTCCCGGCTCGCGGGCGAGGAGCTCCAGCCGGGCACCGCGACCGTTGCAGAAGGCGCCGCCGACGACGATTGGGCTGCTTGGATCCTGCAGAACTGGCGGCCCAATTTCCACGTCCTGAGCACCGCCATCATGATGCCGCGCGAGATGGGTGGAGTTGTCAGCGACCGGCTGAAGGTTTACGGCACAAAGAATGTGAGAGTCGTCGATGGCAGTGTTCTGCCCTTCCAAGTCTGTGGGCACATCACCAGTACCATCTACGCTATCGCAGAGCGCGCCAGCGACCTCATAAAGGAAGATGCTGGCTTTCAATGAGGTATTCCCGTGACTTTGATATCGAGCCGTGTTGAATCTCCTTTCGTCATAGATAGCCATAGGCTATGCAGAGTCTCGTATTGGATTTAGGCGCTGATTATAGACTGGTCTGGGCATGTATAGAAGGACTTGAAAAGTGTTTTGTAGACAACACCTGGCATTGGGTCAGCCGCAGAAAGCTTGTGAAAACAGTAGAATAAAGTCTCTTTCAATCATATACCTGCCAGCGTTCTCCAGCCATCTAAGGGTGGTATTAATGCTACAATAGGAGCGAGCCCTAGAGAGATACGTCATGTTTTTCAGACCATCCACCCTCGGAAAGAATCTTTGCTCCCTTCAAAAAGGGCCGGGGTGCAGCCTTGGGGTGGAGTACAAGCCAATTCGATATACTGCCGTAACTCCTGTTTTTGCCCGAGCCTCTCGAATTCCATCGACAAAATCGGGGAGCACTGTCTGAAATGAGTGCCGCAGGCAGGAAGTCTAGAACAAACTCGGCGAGAAGCAAAACACAAGACTAGCCTCGACTATTCGGAACCGAGAGCCGTCGACGAGTGGCCGCTTGATATTGAGATGGCATCAACTGGATCTTCGCCAACGCATGCCTCGTGACCCGTAGCTATAGAAGATTCTTTGCCGGCTGTAGTGAGGTCTGGTTCATGTACATGCCCACTCTCGTGGTATATGGTTCCGTTCGCATCTGCAGCGGCAGCGTCAATTGCCGACATTTTGATGACAAACTCACGCTGCAATTCCTTCAGCCAGTTTCCTAAGGTTTCTCTTTCCATGGCGCCGCTCTGCGCTTGCAAGAGATGTTCTTTGACAGTAAGTAGCAACCTCCGACGGCGTTCCCGGAGGACAGTTGCTGATGCCGTCTCTTGGCCTTGGAGCCGTTGCTCCAGCTTTGTGGCGACTACGCCCGCATGATCGAGAACTTTGGAGGGGAGAGGCACGACCCGCGCAAGGGCAAGCCCATAATGTTGTTCTCCAACGGGGCCTTCCGCGATCTTATAGAGCATGTTCATGACCCCCTCCTCGACGCTCGTATCTACGGCAAGATGCAGATTCACGACGCCATTTCTTTCGCCCATGATCTTGGCAAGTTCCCGGAAATGCGTGGCGAACCAGACGAAAGCGCGACTGTCGACGAGAGCTTCGGCAATTGCAAGGGCGATAGCAAGTCCATCGCGAGTGCTGGTTCCACGGCCCAGTTCGTCGATTATGGCTATACTGTCCCTACTGATGTTCCGCAGGATGAACGCCGCCTCCCTCATCTCAGCGGCAAAGGTGGAAACATTGGCTTCGATGTTGTCGTCAAGCGAGACTCTGGCGAAAAGCTGCCGTCGTATGGGCATCGATGCATACTGCGCGGGAACAAACATCCCAATCTGCGTCATGACAGCCATGAGAGCAACAGCCCGGATGTAGGTGCTCTTGCCGCTCATGTTGCAGCCCGTGATGACTTGGAATCGCTTTTGCTGTGTGGCATAAAAGTCATTTGGGACAAACTTCGACGGTTGCAGCCCCTCTCGAATTGGATGACGACCTGCCTTGACAGCAAGAGTGTCGGTTAAGGCTGGGCGAGTGTACTCTTGGCTCGTGACGAGTTGCGCGAATGCCGATAGCATATCAAGCATAGCGATGCTCTCGCCAACGCGGTAGAGGATTGCCACGGATCCCCGAATTTCGACGATCAAATCCTGAATGGATCTATTGCTCAAGCAAATCACCTCGTTGTGCGCGTCGACGATCTTCTGGTTCCGCTTCATGAGCTCGATAGTCTGACACTCGTTGATGCCTTTTCTCTTGTGCACGTTCGTGAACACAGGCGGTAAAGTGCGGCCCTCCAGATCTGCAGCGCTGAGCTGGATGTAGAACTGGCGCGCCGGATCAAATTTGATCGTAAGGCTAAGACCATGCGTTTCTCAAGCAGACGTTAGCGAGATATGGGTCGATTTGGGAAGCTCTTACCGCTGAGCTCGTTGACTAGTTGATATGCATCCTCGGTAGCTTCTCTGTATGCTTGGCGGGCCACATCGAGGAGGCCGCTGACCCCGGCCTGTTTAACGTTAGGTTCCCCCGTTGGGCCTTGGGGATTCGGCGTGTCCGACCTTTACCGCATAGATGTGCTGGTTCCTCAGGTCCAGCGGCCTCCTGGCGAACATTGTGTCTTCATTGATTACGGAATCGATCAGGACTTGGATGGGGTCGATGAGGTTGGGATGGCAGAACTTGAAGCGTCAGCTTGAAAAATCAAACTGGGACATGAACACTCACCGCCTGAATCTCGCAAAGGATCGCGCTTCTAGTTCCGGTCAATGCTTTGTAGATGGGCCGAATCGACACGACGAATTGCTTGAGCATGATGACATGGTTGATGGCTTGCTCCATGGTTTGCACCGAAGGCTTCGTAGGAAGCAGAATAAGCTGAGCGAACGAATGAGCACCCGCCACAGATACGAGGAGAAAGCACAAACCGCAGACAAGATCTTGTCGACATCCAGGAATCCTTTAAGTGCTGGTGGCTGTCAGCTGGTTTTGCTCCCCCCGAGGGTCCATGTAAACGCGCCTTGCCTCACGGCGAAGAAGAGGTCCTCCTTGCTAGACATCTCCTCCAACGCATCGTATCGATTGATTAGCGTCTCCTCGGTTGTGAGCGGCTGGAGGATGTTGCTGCGCAGTAGCCTCGCGCCCATCGGAGTCAACGTTTCGTTCAACAAGCCGAACAAGCAGTGTCGAGACTTTGGGTTCTCAAGGTTCTGAATGAGCTCCAGGGCACGGATCGTTGGGACGTCAATTATCATGGACCCCTCTGAGGGCTCGTATTTGATTTTCAGGGAATGGGGCGGGAAAGTCACGCCGTGGCCCAGCTCGACATACTTCATGACCTGGGTCCGTTAGCGCGAGATGACGGCCTCCAGCAGACGAAAGGTGTACGGCAGCAAAGCAGCAGACGCAGAAGTAGTTGCCATCGAGCGACAACTTGATAGCCTCGACGTCATCCGCGAAGGCTAGTTGCTGGATATACTCGGTTCCGGCCGTCTCGGCCCAGTACCTGCGGTCAAGCAGGGCGATCTGGCTGTCGATGCCTTGCAGGTTCTCCTCGATGATGGAGAAGAGCTTGGACTTGGGATCGGCAGCAGTGGAGACGATGAGGATCTCGCTGGGCGCGTAGACCTGCAGCTTGTGGACGGTGCGCACGTAGGTCTGGCTGTCGCAGATCTGACAGAGCACTGCTTGGACCGCGTCAAGGTTCACGATAGCGAGGCCAACGGTGGGAGAAATGCCGCGAGACTCGCTGACCGCACACACGACGTGCTGGACCCCGATTCCAGCACCGCTGGTTGTTGCTGTGGCCGGTCTGCGCTGAGCGCGCTGGCCGGTCCGCGGGCGCGAGGCTGTCGTGAAGGTTGTAGACGCGTGCGTCGCCATGGCCGGTTGGGTGTCTCACGTCACACATTGGTGGGTAAGTTCCGGGCGGGGGACGGAGAGTGGGACGGGTTCGCACGCAGAGCAGCAGCCGCCGCCGAAGACGTGGCCGCCCGCCTCGTCGACGGCTGGTCCGTGCGTGTAGGGCTGAGAATTGTCGCGGCCAGCGACCAAAAAAAGTTCACCGCAGCGCCCCACGTCCAACGATACTCCGCCCGCGCCTCTGCCTCCGGCCCCCCTCCGCCCAGCCACCGTTTTGCGTCGCAGTCGCCCGAGCCATACTCGAACATCATGGCGACCGTTCCTCCGCCGCCTAGCAAACGCCAGAAGACGGCAGCGGCAGCCCGCGCTCGCGAACAGGCAGAGGTTCCCTCAATTCCCTCAGGCAGCGTCCGCGTCAGATTCGTCGACCAGGCTACCGGACAATCTGGCGACCTCCCGGTTGTGTCCGTCCCTCTCGGACAGGCCCAGGTCAAAAATCTCGAAACCCTGCTCAACACGCTGCAGGGCAACGAGGACGCCAGGGACCGCCTTCCGTACCGCTTCTTTTACGCCGGCCAGGGTGGGCAGGACATAAAGGAGGGCGAACGAGGCGAGGCGTTGGGAGATGGCGCTGACTTATGGAACGCCCTGATCAAGGATGGCAAGGCCACCACTGAGGAGGAGATCGTTCTGGCCTATGCACCCCAGGCTGTCTTCAAGGTGCGAGCTGTCTCGCGGTGCGCGGCCGCGATAACTGGCCACGGTCAACCCATCCTGGCCACCCAATTCTCCCCGCAGAGTAGCTCGCGCATGGTCAGTGGTAGTGGAGACGGCACGGCGCGGATCTGGGACTGCGACACGAACACCCCCGCACACACTCTGAAGGGCCACACGAGCTGGGTGCTGGTCGTTACCTGGTCACCTGCTGGAGACCTCATTGCCACGGGCTCCATGGACAATACCGTGCGGCTGTGGAGTCCGAAGACCGGCGAGCCGCTGGGAGGTGCTATGAAGGGCCATACCAAATGGGTGACCAGTCTGGCGTGGGAGCCCTACCATCTGCAAGAACCGGGCCGCCCACGGATCGCCTCTTCCTCCAAGGATGCTACCGTGCGCATCTGGGATGTCGTGGCGAGAAAGTCAGACATCGTCCTCTCTGGACACAAGGGCACTGTTAGCTGTGTCAAATGGGGAGGTACAGGCCTGCTGTATACTGCGTCACACGACAAAACAATCAAGGTATGGAATGCCGCGGACGGCACTCTCAGGCACACCTTGAACGCCCATGCCCACTGGGTGAATCATCTGGCCCTGTCCACCGACTTCGTCCTTCGCACCGCATACCACGAGCATGGCCCGCACGACAAGCCTTCCTCCGAGGAGGAGCGATTGGCGTTTGCGAGGAGGCGCTTTGAGAAGGCTGCCACCCTCTCTGGCAGGGTTGTGGAACGCCTGGTCTCCGCTAGCGACGATTTCACCATGTACCTATGGGAACCTTCTTCGAGCACAAAGCCACTTGCAAGGCTACAAGGCCACCAAAAGCAGGTCAATCATGTCACTTTCTCGCCCGATGGACTGTACATTGCCTCTGCAGCATTTGACAATCATGTGAAGCTATGGAACGCAAATACCGGGGCGTTCATTACGACCCTGCGCGGACACGTCGCACCCGTCTACCAGTGTTGTTTTAGCCCAGACAGTCGATTGTTGGTTAGTGCTAGCAAAGACACTACTTTGAAGGCCTGGGATGTGAGGACCGGCAAAATTGCAAACGATTTGCCTGGCCACCAGGATGAGGTCTATGCGGTTGACTGGAGTCCGGACGGAAGGGGGGTGGGCAGTGGAGGAAAAGATAAGGCAGTGAGGATCTGGAGACATTAGTCCTCTATGAGTTCAATGAGCACAACATGTGAAGCATACTGATCTTCTGAAAGCATGACGACAGGAGCCCTGTTGACCAATCCCGTTGGAATTATAGACACTTCTGCTGCACCTCACTAAGACGAGAAACAATATTTCATTGACTTTTGTTTACATGTAAACCTAGTACGCTAGTAGACCAATTGTCTCTGAAACAGAGCCCTAAGTGTAGTCAATTTATAGTTACAACGAGACCACGTCTAGGGCGGCACAGGCCCTCTAAGGCGTAAGAGTGCACGGCACATGCGCTCATTTCTTCTCGTCGTGAAACTGATGGCGGATGGCTTGGGCAATCTTGCGGTCTTTCGCCTGCTCCCAGGCGCTCTCGTCGCTTTGGGTTCCTTGCCTAAGGACGTGCTCTTGGAATGCGTCGATGGCTGCAATAACAATAGTTAGTAAGAGATAAATGATGAGACGAACTAGTCGAAATCAACACGGGGCGGCGTGATTGATCAAAATATCAGCTTACACTTATCGAGAAAACCCTCCTGTTCCTCTGCTTTGCGGCCGCCACCCATCTTCTCATTGAGATGATCCTTCATCTTGTCGAAGGTGCCCTTCTCCTCCTCCTCTCTCCTGCGGCGCTCCTCCTCAGCAGCCTTGCCGGTGATCTTGTCGAGGAAGCTGGGCTTTTCCTCTTCGGACTTGCTATGACGACGGCTCCTAGAACCTCTCGACCGAGACCTGCTGTGGCCACGACTCGTTGGTTCCTTCTCGCCATCTTTACCGGTGAACTTGTCGAGGAAGCTGTGCTTATCCTCCTCTTCCGACTTGCTGGGGCGACGGCTCCTAGAGTTTCTCGATCCAGATCTGCTGTGGCCACGGCTCCTTGACCCCTTCTCCTCATCCTCCTTGCCGGTCAACTTGTCGAGGAAGCTACGCCTCTCCTCCGCAGGGGGATGGCTCGGGCGACGCTCCTTGGTCTCTTCGTCGTCATGATCCTTGTGCCTAAGCTTGTCGAAGAAGCTTTCGTTTTCGCGCTTTTCCCTCTCTACCCTCTCGCGTTCGAGGCGCTCCTCTTCCTCTCTGCGACGGCGTTCGGCCTCACGCTTCCTCTCCTCGTCTTTTCCGGTCAGCTTATCAAAGAAGCTGGCCTTCTCTTCCTTCTCCTCTTCCTTGTAGCGGCGGTTCTCGGCCTCGGGGGACTCATGCTTGTCGCCTTCGCCGTGGCCGGTGAGCTTGCTCAAGAAGCCGCCCTCCTTCTTCTCTTCACGTTCGGCGGCGGGGTGGTGTTTGGCAGCATCGTGGGAGTCGTGGCTGTCCCGGTCTTCGCGGCCATCGTCCTTGGCGGAGAACTTGTCGAAGAAACGCTTCTTCTCCTCCTTCTCCTGTTCAGTCTGGGTGGAGGTGCTCTCGTACTGAGGCTTGTCCTCATCGTCGTGCTTGAGCTTGTGAATGAAGTCCATTGCGAAGTAGACGTGTGCAAAAATGTAGGATGTGAGGAAGACGGGTTACTGGCAGTGGGCGCAGGTGTGGACGGTGGGAGGTGTCTGGGAAAGGATGGTGGTGAGGAGTGGGAGGAGCAGGTCAGGGAGCGAGCGAGGCGTTGAAAGTTAAGTAGACGGCGGCCTACCAAAGACCGTGACGTGGCGCCGCGAGTAATTCGGGGAGCGCTGGCGGCATCGTAGCTTCCCCATGTCTTGCACGGCGAGTGGACGCGAAGGCGGCTTGGCGGAAGCTCGGGGTGGCAGTGCAGAGCGGAGAGGGGCAGCTGAGCGGAGGTCTGGACGACGAAAGTGGAGCCACATTGAGCGGTGCGGACTGCGGACGCTGGTGGGCTGGCGGTGAGCAGCATGCAGGTGGCCGTCAGGGCCACGGCGGGGCGAGTGACAGTGCGCTAGCCCCGCATCGGCTAGAGCCAGACCCTGAGTGCCTGGGTGTCTGAGTCGCGAGATGCGCACGCAGTCCCGTGCGCCGCTCATCGCATGCGCCCCGAGCGGCGCCGTCATGATGTCGGACGACCGCCCAACAACTTTTCCGCCGCCTTCAAGTCGCCGCCCGCTCCCGCTGCTGCTGCCCGGCTGCGCCATGTCGCCCATCCCCGTCACCGTCATCACCGGCTTCCTCGGCTCCGGCAAGACCACGCTGATCCTCAACCTGCTCGCCCAGCTGCCGCCCGACTACAAGCTCGCCTTGCTGAAGAACGAGTTCGGCGATGTCGCTATCGACTCCCAGCTCGCCGCTTCCCAGGCCATCTCGGGCGTCCAGGAGCTCCTGAACGGCTGCATCTGCTGCAACCTGACCGGCCAGCTCGGCGATGCTCTCGAAACCCTCCGCACCACTGCCCGGCCCGACCGCATCGTCATCGAGACGAGCGGCAGCGCCTTCCCCGCAACCCTGGCCATGGAGGTAAACCGCATCTCTCGCGAAACCGGCGCCTTCGTGCTAGACGGCGTCATGAGCGTCGTCGACGTCGAGAACTGGCAGGGCTACGAAGACACCAGCTACAGCGCCAAGGTGCAGGCCCAGTACACCGATCTCATCGTGCTGAACAAGTGCGAGCTCGTCAGCGAGCGTCGCGTCGAAGACGTGGAAGATAAGATCCGGGACCTCGAACTCGACGTCCCCACTCCCATCGTCAAGAGCGCCAAGGGCCGCGTGGACAAAGACATTGTCTTCGGCTTGGACGCGAAGCTGGCCCACGCTGATGCTCATTCCTTGCACCATGAGCATGACCACAACCACTCGAATGAAGTAGAGGTACTCTCCGTCACCATGTCCGCCGCGAGCGGGCCTCACAGCGTTGATTTGGAGAAACTCGAAGCTTTGCTTAGGGACTCCTCTAAGGACGAGATCTATCGTATAAAAGCCGTTCTCCACACATCTTCAGCCCCCAAATCCTCGGATGGCCAGCCTGCCAGCCTCCCCAGCGCTTTGGACGGCAATGGTAGGTATATCCTAAACTGGGCATTCGGGCGGTGGACCTTCTCTGCTGTTTCCATCGCGTCCCCACAGGGGACTCCGGCTTCCTCAGGCAGTGCCACGCCTGCGCCAACAGACTCGGGCGTCTCTACGCCGCAGAAGAATTCTGCGGAGCCGACCCTGCGGATGACCATAATTACTGCGCGTTACGAGTCCAGCAAATGGAAAAAGCGTATCGAATCAGGAGAGTTCCTCGCCCTGGAGGGCGGCGAGCCTGCACAGCTTAAAGTGGAGAAGGTTGTGTAGGTCCGGTATGTGCATTTGAGCACGAGAAAGTTGCCCGCAGCGGGGAGGGCCAACCTGAGAAGCACGCCGAATTGTTCTGACAAGCAGTTTCTCGCATAGACCAATCTTGCTTAAAGGTAGCGAAGATCGCGTATGAAATGAAGACCATGTAGATACTTGTAGAATAGACATCAAGGGTATGGCAACGGAGTTTGGTAGGGGCGGCTCTTTTCTCAATCCTTATTATCTTGTTGTCTAGGTGCATTTACTCCGCCCGCGAATAGAATTTGTTCCTGAACTCCGTACCCGATATTGAGGGTGACATGCGGTTCAGACTGGCGCATCGCGCTTACCGGGTACGGTCCAGTTCGGCAGCTCTGCAATGGAGGCGATGCTGGGGTTCTACTACTCCATTCACAACATGAATAGCGGTTAGTGCGGTGTAGGCGTTTGATGCTGGTTTTGGCTCGCGCCTATTTGTACTAATCGTAGCTGTATCGCTGTCATTGAATCCCTATATATCAGCCGCACCTTCAGTGACTCCTCTTATCTACAGCAGTCGCAACAACGGCCCTCCTCTTCAGTGTACCGCGGTTTTGGCACGCGGGCCAACAAGCTTGCTGTGATTGGTGCCAGTTGGCTAAGTGCAGTCCGAATCACTCAGGTGCGAGACCTGCTCGGCTTTTGGGAGCCGCGTACCGGACCAGCATTGTTTACCACCTATAGATTCCAGCGCCTTTGCCGCGCACAATAGCCCCTGGAATGAGCCATATCCAGTGCCATGGCGGGAAGACTACTCAATAGGTGGATCACTGAACTTCCTCTAATCAAATGGCTCTCTCACATCGAGACACGGATTCACCGTAAGCGGCAAGTCGATTTGCTGTTAGTTTTCTATTACGGCCAATCCCTTTCAATTCGGCGTGTAGAAGCCTCTTCCGTTTGCATGGCCATCAAAGTCTGCAACAAACTATTCTTGAATGAAGCACTACCACCGCCGGCATAGCCGGGTGTAGTAACATCGGCTCCTGTCTGAGCTTACAAACCGACTGAATGCTAGACCTTGGTACTAGCACCCCCTAGCACAGCCCCGCCGCCATCCGAAAGAAGACGAATAGCCTTCCTGAAACATTCGGGTACTGGACGCAAACTGGCTGGTTCAACAGAGTGAATTAGACGTGGAGGTAAAATGAGCCTCGATCACGGCCAGTGATGCTAGTTATGGCCCGGCAACTCACTGTCGCTCGGGCATGCTTCACAACTGTTGTTATCGTGTTTCGTTCCGAAGGCTCAAATTACAGGATATATGCCCACCTGGTCTCTGTGCCTACACGTGGATAGGCGATTCGCGATTCGCGAAACCGAGCACGAGCTCTACACGGTCCCAATTTGCCAGCACTCTTTGAAGGGACCAAGGCCGATTTGGAAAGAGCTGTGATACCTGAAACGAATATCGGACATGTCTTTGCACCGACCCATCACCCATTCATACTTTTCTTCGATATCCGCTCCTTCTCGTCCACTCCTTCCTCCAAGATGGGATACAGAGTTTACAACTAGTCGTCGTCCTTTTCTTCTTCTTCTTTTTTTTTTTTTTGGCGCCAGTAGCTTGCTTCACCTGGCGCAGCCTTTCTGGAAGCGGACGTGGTATTTCATACCTGTGGCGGGTGAGGTGCTGGGCCAAGGCGCAAGATGACTGTGCCACGCGCGTGCTGCCCAAGCTCGAGGCTGACAGCCCGACGCGCATTTATATCGCCCACGAGCGCAGTTCGCCGCTGATCCCGCCGCCCCGCAATATGTGTCTGGTCAAGGTCCACGAGGAGCCGGATGGCGCGGTGCCGTACCGCGTCTCGACCCGGCGCCGCTCGCACTACTCGTCCTACTCGCCCCCGCGCTCCGCCAGGCTGTCACGCACCATCGTCGACGACCGCCGCCCGCCGTCGGCCGTGTCGCACCGTGTCGAGCGCACCAGCACCAGGCTGACGGCCGTCGACGCCGCCCCACCCAAGGCCATCCCGCCGCCCCAGCCCGTTCCCGTCTTCGTGAAGCCGCCGCCATCGCCGCCGCCGGCGCCGCCGGCGCCGCCCGCGCCCGCGAGCCCGTCGCCCGCCCACCACCTGGTCGAGGTCTCGCCGGCCTCCAGCCGCACCAGCCTCAGCGAGAGCGACTATATCGTCCGCGAGCACGAGGTCCACCGCCACCGCACCACCGAGTACTCGCCCGCGCGCTCGTCCGTGACGGACCACTCGCCCCGCTACGAGACGTGCGTGGTGCCCGCGCTCCCTGCATGGCCGAGACGTGCTGACATGGGCGCAGCTTCAGGTACATCGAGCCGCCCGACGAGCACCGGCATCGGCACCCGCGCCACGACAGCTGGTCGCGGTCGAGGGAGCGCAGCGCGAGCAGGGACCGGCGCAGCCATTACGACGACGACCCGCGCGAGAGCTACCGCTCGACGCGCATCGAGGTCAGCAGCTCGCGGCGGCCGCGCGAGTACTGGCGATAGTGTATCTAGACAGACGTGCGTGTTTATCAAAGTGCATCAGTGAGGCGTGCGTGTGCAGCCCGTGCAGCAGTGTCGGCGTGTCGGCGTGTCGGCGTGTCGGCGTGTCGGCATGCCGGGCCAGCCCGAGCAGTGACCACCGCGGCACGACCTACCTACCTATGACACCTGCCTCGAGGCCGGTGCGAGCAGCCAGCACAAGAGCCCAGAGCCCAGAGCCCAGAGCCCAGAACCCAGAACCCAGAACCCGCAGCCCGCAGCCCAAAGCCTCACCACTCCGACTCTCCTCCCACCACCACCCCGGGATGCGCCGTCGTCCGCAGCGCCGCCTCCGCCCACCTCCTCGTCGTCTCCCCCGCCGCCCCTCGCCCTAGTCCTGCCGCCCGACCATGTCCTCCCGCATCCGCGTGCTGATTCGAGACTACCCCCACCGCTCCATTGCCCTCGCGACCGACTCGCATGTGCTCGTCTTCCGCCACACACCCACCGCCGCCGACCGCGCTGCCAATGGCCTCTACCCCGGCTCCGGCAACGTCTCGCAGACGTCCGTTTCCAGCGGCGGCGCTGCCGGCCAGCCGCCGCGCTGCATGGTCGAGTTCTCCGACGTGCACTCGACCGACCTGAGTGACTACAGGAACTTCTCGGCCCAGCCCGTGCACGGCACCCTGGGCCTCATCACCGTCAACAACGACGTCTTCCTCTGCGTCGTCAGCGCCGCCTCGCGCGCCGCCACCGTGCGCCCGGGCGAAACGGTGCAGAAGATACTGGCCGTCGACTTCCGTACCCCTCTCCTCCCCCGCGCCTCCCGCCCCGGCCCCAGCTGATCGCGCTCCAGACTGCCTCAACCGCACCGACTACGACCATATCCTGTACGATGAGATCAACCCCTACTCGACCGACACGGTGGACGAGGAAGGCTTCGAGCAGGGCTATGGCCGGAGGGAACCCATGCTCGAGCATCCTTGCATGGCCCTGAAGAAGCTGCTGAGCAGCGGCACCTTCTACTACAGCTCCGACTTTGACCTTACCCGCCGCATGCAGGACCGCTCCTACGACGAGTCCACCGTGGTCCTCGACAGCCTGGATGCCGGCTTTCTGTGGAACTCGTATATGATCCAGCCGCTGGTGAACTTCCGCTCCCGTTTGTCGCACGCAGAGAAGGACGCGCTGGACGCCTCTGGCATCCTGACCTCTGCGATACGCGGCTTCGCCTCCACGTTCAACATACCGGCAGCCTCGTCGCCAGCACGAACCAGCCGCACCGGCTTGCCGTCCACCATGACGCTCATATCGAGGCTGTCGTGTAGAAGGGCCGGCACTCGTTTCAATGCCAGAGGTATGGACGATGATGGAAACGTCGCCAACTTCGTCGAGACCGAGACCGTATTTTGGACCCCGGATGGCGTGTGCTTCAGCTACGTTCAAGTCCGTGGCAGCGTTCCCATTTTCTGGGAACAGCAGCCGGGCCTGCTCCCGGGACAGCAGAAGGTTTCCATCACCCGTTCCCCAGAAGCCACCCAGCCGGCATTTGACAAGCACATGGAGAACCTGGAGCTTGCTTACGGTGCCGTCCATGTCGTGAACCTCCTGAGCGCCGAGAAGTCGAGTGAGGTTGAAATCAGTGACCGCTACCGCTACCACATTCGAAACTGCTCGTTAAATAACAACTCGGACAGCGGCGGCAACACCAGGGGCCATGAGCTGTTGAAGTTGACAGAGTATGACTTCCACGCCGAAACAAGAGGCCCAGCCGGCTACGAAGCGGCCAGCATGATCTCGCGCTACGTCCGTGATTCTACTGAGGGCTTTGCCTACTATTTGGGCGAGGAGATGGAAGAGCGTCCCAAGACGGCCGAAGGCGAAGATCAGATCTACCGGCAATCAACAACCGTACTCCAGCAGGAAGGCGTGTTTCGCACCAACTGTCTAGACTGTCTGGATCGCACAAATCTTGTGCAGACCATCATTAGCCGAATGGCTGTCGAGGTCTTCTTGGGCGGTCGTGGTGATCGCGCCACGGCTGATTTCTGGAACCGACATGGCACTTTGTGGGCCGATAACGGTGATGTACGTCTTGAACAGGGCCTCCAGCGTAGGATCCAGATTAATCGATTCATATCAGGCTCTCTCCAAAATTTACGCAGGCACGGGTGCTCTAAAATCGTCCTTCACAAGATCCGGGAAGATGTCCCTGGCTGGCGCCATTGCTGACGCCCGGAAAAGCGCACAACGCATGTACATCAATAACTTTGCAGACAAAGGCCGCCAAAACACGATAGATATGCTGCTGGTATGCGCTCGATGTCTCCTAGCGTGAGGAGGGCTCGCTTACAACTCGAACAGGGTCGGTTGATGGGGCAAGCTCCCGTCCACCTGTTTGATCCAATTAATGACTATGTGACGAGTGAGCTGAGCAGAAGGTACTGTTGTCTCTGCAATCTGCCTCGCCTGGTCGCTGACATTGAGCCAGAGCAAGTGAGTTCTCTTCGGAAAAGCCCATATACATATGGGCGGGCACATTCAACCTCAACGGTAAAACCGAAGGAATCAACTCGGACCTCTCTCCCTGGTTAACGCCTCCGGTCGAGCCATCACAGCGATTTCCCGAAATTGTTGCTGTTGGCTTTCAAGAGATCGTGGAGCTTAGCCCCCAACAAATCATGTCAACGGACCCGGCCCGCAGACAACAGTGGGAAGCTGCCGTGAAGAGGACTCTGAACGACCACGCTCAGACGCACGGTCAGGAAGAGTACGTGTCCCTTCGAGGAGGACAGCTTGTTGGGGCATCTCTGTCTGTCTTCGTCAGAGCTAGCATCCTGAAATACATCAAAAACGTCGAGGGAAGTTTAAAGAAGGTAGGATCCGCCCCTTCACGCCGTACCTGGTTATGATCGCTGATCACATCGACTTAAGACCGGTATGTCCGGGATAGCTGGGAACAAAGGAGCTGTGGCTATTCGTATGGAGTTCGCAAATACGTCCATATGTTTCGTGACCGCACACCTGGCAGCCGGTTTCGCCAACTACGACGAACGCAACCGCGACTACAGGACCATCAGTCACGGCCTTAGATTCCAGAGAAATCGGTCCATCGAGGACCATGACACTGTCATTTGGCTCGGCGATTTCAATTACCGCGTTGGACTTAACAATGAGAAAGTCAGGAAGCTCGTCGAGGTGGGCGACCTGGAGACGCTATACGAAAATGATCAGGTAAATTAGTGCATCGTGACGCAGAAGAATTTTTCTGCTGACAGCCGACGCAGCTCAACCTGCAGATGGTCGCAGGCTTGACATTCCCCTTCTACTCGGAAGCCAGGATCACCTTCCCGCCAACTTACAAGTATGATGTTGGGACAGATATCTACGACACATCGTAAGACCATAGACCTTTCTCCAACTGAGACCTAGGACTGATAGCGTGTAGGGAGAAGGCCCGCATCCCGGCGTGGTGTGACCGCGTCCTGCGCAAAGGTGATAACCTGAGACAAATTAACTACAATACCGCTCCTTTGAAGTTCTCGGATCACCGTCCTGTATACGCTACCTTCCTTTGCATCATCACCATGATCGATGAGAAGAGAAAAGAACAGCTGAGCAGAGACCTCTATCAGCAGCGTAAAGGTGTTGTCGGAGACTCAACTGCTGCCGGTCATGCAGATGATTCAGATGAAGAAGATCTGCTCGGCTACGACTCGATCGACCCTACGCTGCCACCGGCCAGTTCCGATCGCCGCAAATGGTGGCTTGACAATGGACAGCCTGCCCAATCCATGCTCCACTCTCCGGGCGAGGACTTTGTCGTCAACCCCAACCGCCCGTCAAACCCCTGGGTACCTTCGGAAGAACCAGACTGGGTCAAGGTCGCGCCGCAAAGCAACAACGTCCAACGTCACCCCAGCGATGCCCAGTCAACCACGAGTGTCCGCCGCAAGCTTCCGCCGCCGCTGGAACCTACCCGTGTGAGTAGCCCTGTGTCCTCGATCAAGAGCATGCCTGCAGGTCAGGTACCGGCATTGCCTCCCCGGCGTGCGGCAACAGGTGGCCTCGACAGCGGAGCTGATCGAGACCTGGTCGGCATCAACCGTTCACCCTCCAGCGCCTCTACAGGCTCTTCCAACTCAATCAAAAGGAAGCCTGCACCGCCCGTGCCGAAGAAGCCATCTGTTCTCGCGAGTGCCACTTCGCCGAAAGCGGAGAAGAAGCAACAGCCTCCGCTACTTCCTCCGCCGCGAAGAGTCACGACCACCACCCAGCCAGTCAGCGCGAGCGTGGCGAACCAAGCGCACGCACCACCCTCTTTGCCACCGAGACGAGGAACTGGCACATCGACAGGCAGCCAAGGCGGGCTGCTGGATGGGGGAGACGAGGAAATGCAGGGACTGAAGAGCTGGGAGGTGTTGCGACCAGGCTGAGAGTGCCGCATAAGCATGGAAAGCGAGAACTTGTGGCTCAGGACAACTGCACATAGTATAGTGATATAGATGAGTAGATGAGGACGGCTTGCTCGTGTGCCCTCTAATAGTCGGACCGGACCAAAGCCATTGCTGGCTTAGGGCGTACAACCCCAACTACCTAGCAGCAGTGCTATCAGTATGGCTTGCCGCCTCATGCGCTAACCGACCCAACATAACCACTCCGGCGCAATTTCTAGGGGACCAGTGTTTACGTAGTAGGAGGCTACTATTGTAGTGTCCCAAGCCGACACGGATGGGGGGCTTACTAGTCGTTTCCCACGTGCACAAGTGGGGGCGCAGTAGCTCAAACAGACTACCCGTTCGAAGGTGTCAGTCTACCACTCATTTGCCGCCATCCGCGCCATCAAATGCTAAGCGGCGCATCGCGCACATCGCAGTTCACTGGTTAATATCCCTATCTGCGGCCTTTTTTCTTCACGCATCACGCTAGTGTTTTGGGAGGTGGAGAGCGGTAAGTTGTGAGGCGGGGTGAAGGCCGATTTGGTGGGGCTTGGATGTTGTTCCCTGCAATGGCCGGCAGGGGAGCGGGGAGGAGGAGGTTCTCTACACGCCAGAGAGCCTGATCATCGGGTTCTCGATCTCCATTGACACGTTATTAGACGATGTCCATGCAGATCTTGTTACTAAGATGTACTGACGCCACTCGGCCCGTACGTAAGTCGTGCACCTAATCTGCCTTTTCCCCTCCTGCAAGAATGCTGCTCCCTTGCGCACGCCATTCCATGGCCCGCCCGCCCATGAGACACTCGATCTCGTGACAAAGCCGTGGGTGCTTTCCGGCCGCTAGCTAGCATCTCTTGAATCTAGACTTCTACAAGTATATCCCAGGCAAATATTGTCACCACAATGGATTACGAGAGATTTGAGCCAATAAGAGATCTTGCATCTTGTTTTGCTTCAATTGCCCTCATCGGAGGGCTTAGAAAACTCATATCTACGTTTCAACATTCGCTCCGACCACCCACGTAGGTGAACTCACATTTTCTGGAGCCCACTGCGTCACCGCCCTCCTCTTGGTCCAAGAGAAGCCGAAAAGGCCATCGCCGCATCCCATTTCATCCAGAGTACCGAAAAGTGTTGAGCGAAAGGGCCGTCACAATGGAGGACCATTGGGTTGCAAAGGATGATGAGCAGAAACGGCTAGAACCAGTACCATGGACATCCGTTGTGGAAGAAGCTCTGGCTGATGGAATCGAAGTGTCGTCTATATACCGGGTCCGTACATAAGAATATTTACATGACTATCAAGAATGCCGTCGCAGCAGGATTCTTCGTCCCCCGTATCCCAAATTAACGCCATGTGAAAGTAATCCGGGGGTAGTAGATCGGTCATCAACATCGAGCCGGCCGTGATCATAAGGTCGTGGATCTCGTGGTTGCAAAAGGCTTCTCATCGAGTCTTGCCATCGCTGCTGCAAATAGCAGACGAGCGTCGTCGAGAATTCTCCAAACCACGAGCAGCAGATCAAACATCTGCCCCAGAACGCTTGCCGGTTAAGTTCTGTAAAGAAATACAATGTCTGAAGAAAGACATGAGGCTGATACGAAGGAAATGATGGTAATGATTGACTTTAGCTCTGGTCATATAGCGCCGTAATGAAACGTCCGACCAGACGCGAAGTGAAGTTGCCCTGCGAATCCGAAGGTATTTGCTTTTGTTGGTGAAGGTAGACGTCTGTGTCGGATCGTATCAGCCATCAATCTCGGAACCATGTTCTGGCTGAACTTACAGTTGTTGCTCACAAGCTTCCTAACATTCTCGGCGAACATGGCGCAGTTGCGCTCCAGTTTGCCAGCCCAGTACGCTCCATCGCGATGCACAATTGGGTTTTCGCTCTTGCTGCTACGACGCATGAAGAGCGCCATGACAAACGAGAACTTGACATCAATAGCCTCACACGCTCGCCGAGCGCCTTCCCGAGCATGCCTTTCGTCCATACCCTCGGAGACCGTCTTGTGGTCCATGACGAGCTGGATGGTCTTCTGGGTATCCTCGTGCACCATTGCAAGGCCAAGCATGGCACAGAAGGCAGCAGTCCATTTTGCAGGCGGCCACTGCGTCGATTTCTTGAGCATTTGCTGTAGCCGTTTGTAAACCTCGTGCATGGTAGTCTTGTGCAGTCCGCAGAAGAGATATTTGAGCTGCCGGTTGACCACCCGGGGAGAACAGAACGACCCATAGTCGGACGCCGAGCGACGATCAAATCGAAGGCGGGGGAGAACTTGAGCGCGGTTTGCTTCCTCGAGGACAAGCGTGTGGCCCATTATGTAAGTGACAACGATGAGGCGACGGACCTCATGAAGGAGCAACTTCTGTGTGGCAGTCAGCGGTTGCCCAATGGAATCGTCACGGCCGACTGACCTCATCTTTGGACTCAGGCTTGAGATCGCGGATGAATTCCAGAAGTCGGAGCTGGAAGTCATACTCGTCATCCGAGCAATACATCTGGGCAAAGGCGCGGAAATGATGTTCGACAATTTCATCAAGATACTTCGAGTAACGCTTGATGTCTTCCTGCTCGATCTGCATCATCCCCAGCGGCGGTGAAGGCTTTTCGCGTCGTTGAGACAACCCGGTCTTGTGATCCTTGAAATATTGGAATTGCCGTGCTGACTCGTTGGTTTGAGGAATGAACTCGTAAGCTTCGCAAACCATGGCCGGAAGACCACGCCCGGGGATCAACTTGAGTTTGATGCGCATGTTAGTCCAACCCGTGGTGTGCTTCCCCACAAAGTCTTCAAGCGTCTTTGGCTTGTGTAGATCAGTCAATTGAGCTGCTTGATAATGTCAGTGTGATCCACGGAAGGAGAGCCCTTGGCATTCTTACAGGGAAGGAAAAACTCCAGCAGATCCCAGAGCGGAGTACGATCACATGCGAGTTGCGGATGAGGGCCATTGGCCTTGTGTTTACGCTTCTCGCACCGGTGGCAGGGGTCGCCCGGTCCACACTGTTTTGGTAGTGTCAGCACGTACGCCCAGGTGGAGGGCTACATAATCACGTGCTCACCTTGTCCCTCTGAAGCGCGCAGGACCAACACGCGCCGACTTCACGCATCGTATTCGCGTCTTTTCTCTTGTCGGGATCCAGGTGTGAACCGAGTTGCCGGCCGCCGGACCTCTGCGCCGCGCTCGATTGTAGAGACAAATCCACGGATCCAGTTGCGGTAGGACTCTCTGACGCCTGCGGAACATGCTGGGCGGATGAGATCATTGGCGGGCTCTCACCGCCGAATGGGTTGACAAAGCCTGAGCCTTGGTTCGCAGGCACGAGAGCTTCGGCCATGTGTTCCATAGACAGGTTCACAGAGCTGATCGAGGAGCGCGGGTGCGACTCCGCGGTCGGAGAAATGAGACTTGCATCAGCAACATAGTTGGGAAATGGGTATTGGTCGGCCGTTGAGAACGCTTGAAGAGGAGACGTATCGACGAAAAGGGGCTGTTGAGATATCATGTCGTTGCTGACGTAACCGTGGGCAGCGCTGCCTTGGATGGGGAAGGATACCTCCTGGCCGGTGGAAAATGCCACGGACATGTCTAGCGAAGTGGCCGGGAGGGCAGTAGGAGACGTCTCAGGAGAAAGAGAATGAGAGGTCGACGCAGAGAGGCTCCGTCGGAGCTGCTCCTCGGTGACAGGCTGCATCTGCGGAGGATGTCCGGCCAGGTAGTAGCCAGGCCCAAAGACAAGGGCATCGGGCGCCGCCTCCATGTTCATCATGTTCCGCAGAGATTCGCTGCTCCAGGGCTGCTGCTGTGGCTGCTGTGGCTGACGCTGCATGTGAGAAAAGGGCTTGGCCATGTCGAGGTCGAACTGGGAGGCTGGCGGGAACCTTGCGAGGTCGGCCGCAGGCTGGGCATTCGCCATGGTGTGCATGCCAGTTCGAGCGGTAGGAGAGGGCGAGAAATCCGGCGGGGCGGCTGCGCAATGGTCAACGCGGGGACATGGCGACATGGACAGGATGCTGCTACCGTGCTGGATGGGGTACTGGAAGGGCTGGGCAACGAAGGCGGCATCGTGCTGTTGCTGGACGGACATCTGGGGCTCGCCCGGCATCATGGGGAAAAGGTCGGTGACGCGATCATAGGAGCCGTGCGAAGGGGCGGTTGGACTGTCCAGCGAGGTGATGGAAGACTGCCTGGGCACCATCTCCCAGCTTTGGTCGATGCTCGGGCTGCTCTGGCTCCACAGGGCGGGGTTCATCTCCAACATCTGGTCGATGGACGCATTCATCTCGGGCGGGGTGTGGACCGGCACGGAGGCGGGCGAGTTGGAGGCGCTGTCGGGCACGTCCGGGGAGATGGGCTGGAAACTGGTCTGGAGATGGACATTGGAGACGATGCCGTAGGGCTGGGCCTGGACCAGCGGGGTGATGGGGAGGGGCAGGCCGGTAAGCTGCTGGGGCGGCGGGGAGTAGCCGGAGTTCAAGGAGCTGTTGGGCGACTTGGAGTAGGCACGGTCGCTGCCAGCGAGCGAGGAGAGGACGGTCTGGAAGTCGTTGTCGCCGTCGGGCCAGCTGTCGGGCGACATGGGGCCAAAGAAGCCGTCGCCGGCGTCATGCCATGGTCCAGAGGTGGCGGAGGTGGTGGTGGTGGTCATTGTCGGCCCTCGGGCTCAGGGAAACGGAGGACTGGTCGCGCACAACAGCCGGCATCCGCGTAGCTATTAGGCCATTCCCGGGCGGGGCGCGGGCGGAGGTGCTCTGGCTGGAGGCGGTTGCGACGGTGTCGGGATGAGGTCAGAAGGCGCTGGACTGGAAGATTAGGAGGGATGGACCTCAGGGCAACCCTGTGGAGGATCTTCGAGCGATGGGCGCGGGTGATAATTGAAACAGGTCAATGCGGGCGCGCGAAGAGGCTGCGGCTCTAGCAGCGAAGGAGCGCAGTCTCGAGGCCGCCAGGGTGGTGGTGGGGGGCGTCAGGCAGACCATGCCGCGCCGGGCTAGCGCTCGCTCACCGGTCCAGCTAACGGCGCAGAAACACCACGCCCGCCGCGCCCCCCAGCCTGGCGAGCCGCCGCGGCGCACTATTTATTGAAGCCGCCGTGCCCGCCGCCTGCGACTAGTCGCCCGCGCTGCCCTCCGCGCCCGAGATTCACCGCCGCGAGCAGCGCCCGGCCTGCCCGCTCGCATGCTCGCCTGCTCGCCTGCTCTCGTTCTCGCACGCCCGCACGCTCGCACGCCCGCACGCCCGCACGCCTGCCCGCGCCGCCGCAGAGGGACGGGCGGGCCCGGGCCAGCCTGGCGAATCGTAGTGTGACAGCGAATCCATCCGTAGCCCTGGCGAATTGGGGCCCCCGAAGCAACGGGCGTGCCTGCCTGCCCGACCCCGGCTGTCAGCGCCGCGCGTGCTGCGGGCGTCTGGGGAGGGCGAATGCCGCGCGCGCACGCGGCTGCCCGGCGTTGGCTGGCGGCGTGTCCAGCGGCAGTGGGGGAGCCTGCGACAGGGGCCGAGACTGACTGCCTGCTTCTGACCTGCTTGCACCTTGCTGGGCGCCTGAGCATCGCCGCCGAAACCTGCGCCTTGATTGCCGGGAGCCTTCCGGCGGACCGCTGGGCGATTGCGGGTGCGTTCCGCGGCCACAGCGCCGAGTCTGGCCCGCCGTCCAACGCTCATCCAGCCGTCGCCCTGCTGAAACCTGTTGCGGTGGAGCCTGCTGCCCTGACGGCGGCGGATCGCTGGCGCTGCAAGACGCAAGGCGCTTGCCGCTGCCGCTGCCGCCGCTGCCGCTGCCGCTGCTGCTGCTGCTGCTGCGCGCACGCTGGCGACCGTTGGCGGCGAGGCTCGCGACTGGAAGTGCCGCGGGCGTGATTGGCCGGCCGAGCAGCCAGCGCGTGGCACGCGTCGAGCGGATGGCGCAAGCGCGTCAGCCAAAATAGGCTGCTGAGCAGTGGCGTCGATCCAAGACCGACGGGCAACGGCGAGCCCAAGCTGCCTGTCTTGCGACTGCTGAGCAGCGCCGTCGGGTCGTACTTGCCGGGCAGGGCTGAAACTGGCCGGCCTACGTCATTGTCTACTCGCCGTCCGCATCATAGCACGACGACCTCAATGCCGTCGCAACCGTCGCCTGTTGAGAGTCCCGCCCATACTGCACGTCTTCTTCTTATAGCCAATGCCGACCTTCTGTTGTTCCCGCCTCTGCCCCCTGCTCTCAGTGCGCGACCGTGCCGTCAACCCGCACCCATCAAGCCACGCTGCACGATCCCCGCGCCGGAATGGACGCTCGCGACGACACCGAGCCGTCTAGACGCGACTACAAGGCCCCGTACACCACCCACCATCCCGTTCCGACCATCGGCCGCTACCGCGAGGAGAAGGCGCAGCGCGAGACCCAATACGCCACTCCCACCTCCAGCCAGGACGACCCAGGATGGACCGAGCGAGCTGCAGGTACCGCAAAGGCATACTGGAAGGGCGAGAGGCCTCAGGCTGAGCCCGCTGGCTCCAGTACCTCTGCCCAGCCGTACCCAAGCCAGAACAAGAACTTGATCGAACGGGACGATGATCAGGCTCTGCCACAGCATCAGGGCCGTGATGAGGAGCCAATGGACCCCGCACACGACTCTGCTGTTCAGAAAGACGGTGAAGGCGGTGGAGACGTTGCCGAGGACACGTCCGAGGATATCATGGCCACGAAAGATGCCAGAGAGCGCCGGAAGCTGATGAAAAAGAAGAGCGACGACCCGACCAAGCGGACTGTGACTGACCCGGTCACCCACCTGCCCATCACCATCCACGATTTCACCAAGAATGACCTCAAGACTGCCCCTCAAAACGAACCAGCCGCAGGCACCCACCGACGCACCGCTACTGGCACCAGCGCCAAGGACAAGGACGACGACGATCTCCACGAAGAAGTCACTGAGAGCCAGGCCTGCCACTCGGGAATGGAAATGCTCTTCCCGCCGCCGGCGTTCGACAACATACGCGTAGAGCTGACGGAAATCTACAAAACCGCTGCCACGGCTGGCTTGTCTCTGGTCGTGGGCCTGACCTCCTTGTTGCTAGCTCTGGCGAAGCTCTTCATCCGTTCAGATTTCGGCCTCCAAGTGGCCGTTCCCGTCATTCTGCTCGCAACAGCAGGCACAGGAGCCGCGATCATATGGGCGATGCGCGACTGGGTCGACAAAAAGGTTTCAGATCTGTGGGATGACGAGATGTGGGAGGCCGAAAGGCAGAGGGGGAAAGAGCTCGCCAAAGCTGAAATGCCCGAGTCAACTCAGTGGCTCAACTCCCTTCTTGCGTCCATTTGGCCCCTTGTAAATCCGGACCTTTTCACTAGCTTGGTCGACACTCTCGAGGTGAGATAAACCTCTCGCCCTTTCCATTTATTTCTTTTTGACGAGTGATGTACTGCAGGATGTCATGCAAGCAAGTTTGCCTAAGGTCGTAAGAATGGTCAGCGTGGATGACCTCGGCCAAGGGAGCGAGTCTGTCCGCATCCTAGGCGTTCGATGGCTACCAACTGGTGCTGCTGGGATGTCCGTGTCGCAAAATGGGAAGCTGAAGGGCAACGGAGACTCGAAGAACAGCGACCGCACTGTTCCTGGCGAGGGAGAAGAACAGGGTGTCCAACGTGACAAGGGCAACCAAGAGAAGAGCCCGGAGAAGTTGCAGGACGATGAAAACATCGGCGAAGGTATGGAGGCCGAGGAAGGTGATTTCGTAAACGTGGAGATCGCGTTCTCATACCGCGCGCGAACTGTTCACCGTGGAATCCGGGACCGGGCCAAAAACATGCATCTTTACTTAGCTTTCTATCTCCCAGGCAATCTTCGACTGCGTAAGTTATCTGGGCAGAGACGTCCAGACTCATGCTAATCCTGCCAAAACAGCTGTCTGGGTCGAGTTGCACGGGATCGTCGGAACTATGCGCTTGAGACTTCAGCTTTGCCCGGACCCACCCTTCTTCAGTCTCTGCACCCTGACGTTTCTGGGACAGCCGAAGGTTTCCGTCTCTTGTATACCGCTCACCCAACGCGGGCTCAACATCATGGATCTACCTCTGATATCCAACTTCGTTCAAAGTTCCATAGACGCTGCCATGGCCGAATATGTCGCGCCGAAGTCCCTCACGCTTGACTTGAAGGATATGCTCATGGGCGACGACTTCAAGAAAGACACGGCTGCTCGTGGAGTCATTATGGTCCGGATCATCCGCGCTTTTGATTTCAAGGAAGGCGATGCTGGGTTCTTATGGAAGAAGGGCTCGACGGACGGTTACGTATCGGTGGGTTGGGCCAAGTTCAGTAAGCCTTTGTGGTCAACACGGATTATTCAGTCGGAGATGGAGCCAGTTTGGGATGAGACAGCGTTTGTGCTGGTGACCGCAGACGAGTTGAACGTTGACGAACGTCTACGTATCCAGCTGTGGGACTCTGACCGCACTACCGCCGACGATGATCTGGGAAGGATCGAAGTGGACATTAAGCAGTTGATGCGGTCGCCTGAAAGCCGTGGCAAGATGATGGATAGAGTAGATGGCTTCAAAGCTCTCACTGCTGGTGAATCCATGCCAGGGAGGTTAGAGTGGAGCGTCGGATATTTCCCGAAAGTTCGCGTGCTCGACTCTCAATTGGCCCAGCAGCAAGCGGACCCCGAGATTAACTCTGTGGATCAACTGAAACAGATTGCTGATGAAGAAAGCGAGCGAAAGCTTCGCGAATCCAAGAAGGACGAATCTGCTGAACTCGAGCAACAGAAAGCCCAAGACTTTAAGGTACGTCGCCGCCAGTGGTCCTTGGTAATCTGCATGCTAATAGTAGCTTCAGGAGAGGCAAGACCAGCTGCTCATATCGTCCCCTCCACCCCAGGAATATCCGAGTGGCATCCTCTCGATCACCATCCATCAGATCACAGGACTTGAGCTCGAGCCTATCAACAAGAACAAAGCTAGCAAACATGAGGCAGAGAGTGACGAAGAGCAAGAGGGGGATGATTTGCCAAGCTCGTACTGTACCATCATCATCAACCATGGGAAGGTTTTCCGGACGAGGACGAAGCCTAAAAACTCACAGCCTTTTTTCAACGCTGGCTGCGAGCGCTTTCTCCGCGACTGGAGAAATACCGACGTCCACATTTCAGTGCGAGATTCTAGAGTCCACGAAGATGACGCACTTCTGGGGATTGTGTATCTACCTCTGGGCAGGGTCCTCGCGAAACGGTCTCAAGTCAACGCTTTCTTCCCGTTATCCGGCGGCGTTGGGTATGGCCGTGCTCGTGTCTCCATGGTTTTCCGCTCAGTCCATCTACAAGCGCCACGAAACATCCTTGGCTGGGACTACGGCACCCTGGAAGTTGCCCCGGAGACAGAATCGACAGATCTTCCTCCAGACTTCAAGAACCTACGCTTGAAAGTCCGGACGAATCTTGGGCGTGGCAAAATGTACAACTCTGGCCTAGGTACCGGCGAAAACCAACAGCTACACTCCAACGACACGTGGAGGAGCAGGCGGTCCAGACCACTCAAGCTCGCGGTTCGCAGGCGCTATGCCAGCCCTGTCATCGTGGAATTCAAGAAGCCGAAATCTGTGCTGGATGGATTGCAGGCTTACGGCGTCTTTTGGCTCAAGGACATACCGGACAACGAGGAGCAAACCATCACCGTCTCCATGTGGAAGAATGGCGACATGAAGCATGCGTTGACGTGTTCCGCTGACGAAGTGCGGGGAGCGACAAAGGTTGGGACAGTGACCCTCCGTGTTACATTCTGGAACGGCTTGTCCGGCTATCATATCCCGTTGGCTTCCAAGGATCCGAACATCGCGCAGGTCATGGAAGTATTAGACACGGCCCATGACAATGACGAGATGGATTTCGACGTCGGCGACGGTGGCAGCTCGAGCAGTAGTAGTTCTTCGAGCAGTGACGACAGCGAGGACGAAAGCGACTACAATAAGAACAAGGATGGCGACGTAACACCCACAACGTCTGCCAGCCGAGGAAGTGGCGACAGCGTCCGCAGCGGCAGATCGGACCGCCTCAGCAAGAATGGCAAGAGAGGCCTGGCGGCGTCGGTGAAGGAGTACAAGAAGCACAGGAAGCAGTTGCACCGAAGTAATCGCGGCATGATGCAGTGGAAGGGACCAAGGACATTGCAGTGGATGAAACACAAGGTTGAGCATGGAGAGCAGAGAGTTGAAAGTCTGTTCAAGCATCGAGAGCGTGAGCCTGGCATCGAAACTGAGGTCTAATCGACCGGGTTTCAAGTGTCAGAAAACGTTTACCTGGGTAGCATTACTTGGAGTTGGTACTGTGGCTTTCTGACATGAGGTCGACAAGTGAACCGGATACCTTTGCTGTAATCAACTTATTGTATGTACCTCTAAACTATCCACACATTGGCCGGCTCTCCCGGTCTGCAATCAATTACCCAGGGCTGTCCATTGCTTTCGAAGCGTACGCGTATATCTGCAACAGCACCATCGATCATCATTGTTTACAATCCGACTTGGACCGTCAAAGATACACGGTCCAATAGGCACATCGATCAATGATACAGTTATATTTGTGTACGAATGGTAGTAGTAAACATAGCTTTTGTGCCTTGAATGCGCCTTCAATGCGACCTCCGTGCGAATCATTGGACATACCCCGTCTGACACCGTCGAGTCCTATGCTCGTGATGACAAGTGCGTGCCGTAAATGCTTCATTTGGCTCTGCGGACTTTCCTCTTCCTGCTCTCGGCATTGGCGTTGATCGCCGTGGCACTCTTCAGAGTGTTGTTGATCTCCTTTGCATCTGCGTCGCCATTCAATGCACTCTTCTCGTCTCCGTCGACGTCGATCTCCACTTCGTCGGCAGCTGCTTCCAAAGCAACATCCGAAGAAGACTTTCCAAAGAGACGACCGACAGATTTTTTGTAGAACCACACGGGCAGGCGCACAACGGCGGTATCGAAGAAAGTCGGCTTTGGAATCTCCTCGACCTAGTAAGGGGTGGTCAGCCTGAGTCACCGTGGAAAGGCAGTTCGGCGGACTTACATCGAGCAGAAATTCGTGGACGTCGCCGTCCTCAGTTTCCTCCTCTAGGAAAACATTGCCGGCACTGTCCACGATAAGAACCTTGCCGTTTTCGGCCTGGACGCGTTTCTTTGGACCCCGCGGACCGCCACTGGTAAGCTCGGCCTCGACCGGGGTGCTGACGCCAGAGTTGCGGGCCTTCTTGGCGGCTTTTGCGCTCTTGGGGCCTTTCCCTTCCTTGCGAGCTTCCTTTTCCTGCATGCGCTTCTGGCGACGGTTCAGGGAGACGGGCTGGCCATTCTCATCGACGTATTGCTGTTCCTGCTGGGCAGGCTGCTCGACGGGCGTGGCAGTGCCGCTGTCTCCATCGAGGCCGCCGGGGATGCCCTGGATGCCCAGCTCGTCGCCCCAGGCGGCGCGCCTCGCATGCCTGATGTAGCGGTCGACGAAGTCGCGCTGACGCTTCCAGCCAAGGTACAAGGCGCCGTAGTGAGCGGCGCCTCCCATCATAGCGAAGAGACCGAAGAGCACGGAGCCGAGGCCCGGGCGGTAGCGCGAGTAGTAGTAACCGGTGCCGCGCCAGGCAGGGAAGCCATTCTTGAGGAAGTGGTCGTAACGCTCGCGCTCGGGACCGCGCAGGATGTTGGCGACGACACCGAGGCGGGCGAAGCGGGCGGAGGCGTCCTTGTCAAACTGGCGCAGCTCCTTTGCGGAGGGCTGCCGGGCCGACTTGCTCTTGCCAGCGGACCTGTCCTTCTTCGCATAGGCCGAGAGGTAGGCCTGGCGGGCCTTGTCGGGATGGATCTGGCGGGACTTCTTGCGGTACGCCTTGTTGATCTCGTCCTGCGACGCCGAGGGGCCGACGCCGACGAACGAGTAGAAGGAGGCGTCGGGGCCCTCGCTGGCGGCGACCTCGTCGCGGAGGCGGAAGATCTCGTGGTCTGCAGCGGGCGGGAGTCAATTGCTGCAGCTGAGGGGCGGGCGGGGTGGTGCACAATGCACGCTGGGGGGGGGGGGGGGGGGGGGGGGGAGCACGCACCTTCCTTGGACCAGGCGGCGGCAAGCGAGGCAAAAGCACACAGCAGCAGTGCTGCCAGCGCGACAGGCCTCATGGCGGGCGGACGGAGCGGACGGAGCGGATGGGGCGGACGGGGCGGGCTGGAGGGGTGCGGAGACGGCTTCAGCAACGCTGAGGCGATGCAGGTGCTGGTGCTGGTGCTGGTGCTGGTGCTGGTGCTGGTGCGGTCGAGGCTGGCGGTTGCGAGACGTGTACCAATCAGCGGCGCACAGGTGCTCGGGGCGGCAGAGGGAAGGCGAGGATAAAAGCCGCAGAGTCTGGCGCCGCGCTCGCGGCAGAGAGTCTGCTCTTCCTACGTGTTAACTTTCCTGGAGCGCGCTGCTGGCGGCGTCCGTGCTGCCGCAGCCTTCGTCGCTTGATCTTCAGGGGGCTCGCCGTGTGGCCGCCGCCGCCGCCGGGGCGTGTGGCTGAGCGTGGCGCCAGCCAAGCACACACGTCTCCCTTCGCCAGAGACAGAGCCACGCTGCCTCGACCACAACTCCTCCTCACCACCGCTCCGAGGCTACCGCCGTCCCGCCCACCCCAGGTACGTTGCTGTCGCCGGCGCCAATCGCCCGTCCGCAGGGAAAAGAAAAAGAAAAAAAGAAAGACGTCGAGCTGAGCCAGGCCCTCTGCAGCAACCCAGCGCCGCCCGCCTCGCCCACGCCCGCCTGCCACAATGGCCCGCATCAACATCCCCATCGACGCCCTCACGTCGCGCCTGCAGCTCGGCTCGCGCTTCGAGGGCATGCGCAACACGTCGCTGTCCTCGCGCTTCGCCAACCTGCGCCCCGTCGGCGAGTTCTTCGACGTCAAGCGCCTGAGCAAGCCCCAGAACTTCGGCGAGGTCCAGTCGCGCATGAACTACAACCTGGCCTACTTCAGCTCCAACTACCTCGTGCTGTTTGTCATGCTCGCCTTCTACTCGCTTCTCACCAACCTGACGCTGCTGTTCGTCATCCTGCTCGTTGCCGGCGGCATGTACGGCATCGGCAAGCTGCAGGGCGCCGATCTGGACGTCGGCTTCGCCCGCGCCACCTCCAGCCAGCTGTACACGGCGCTTTTCTGCGTCGCCGTCCCGCTCGGCCTGTGGGCCTCGCCCATCTACACGGCCCTGTGGCTCGTCGGCGCCTCGGCCGTCACCATTCTCGGCCACGCGTCCTTCATGGACAAGCCCATTGAGTCAGCTTTTTCCGAGGAGGCGGTCTAGGTGGTCGGCCGCGAACTCCATACGCTAGTGTGCCCCCTTGGGGAAGACCACCAGGGGCAGGGGGACCCCGCATGGGGAGGAATGGGATACCGTATGGAGCCAGGTTGCAGGAGCTGGGTGACGGTGATGAAGACGGCTTTCCGGCCGGCCGTGTGCGCGGCCAAGGGGGTGTGTTTCTCGATCCGATCGTGCAGAAGGGGGCGGCAGCAGCAAGAGCTATTTCCAATGATGCTTTGTATTACGACGGCATTGATACAAGATGGAATGCAAGGGGGGGAATTGATTACGATAATCCAGCTTACAGGCCGGCCTATGAAGACGACTACTATGGTGCCCGCCTTAATCCAGACGAGGAAGAGCTCCTCGTCCAACGCGCTCTCGATCGCATACGCATTGCCCGCTCGCGCGGCCACCCCAACGTCAACCTCTCGCACGAGGAGCTCGAGGCGCTTGCGCGTCCGCACCTCCAGCAATCTCCCAAACCGTCGGGTCTCGCTGCCGCACGGCCCTCCTCCAAGGGCCGTTCAAGCAGCAGCAGCAACAACAACAACAACAACAACAACAGCTTCCGCTCGAAGAAATCCGGTTCAAGATCTTCGCTCTTCTCCTCGTCGCCACGCTCGTCGCGCGCTCGCTCGGGAAAGTCGGACAGCAAGCGTCGCGACAGCTCCGCCCATGAGTCTGAAGGCCCGTCTGCTGCACCGCCACCAGGCTTGCGCATTCCCGGTGCAGGCGCCGCTCCACTAGGCTTCGCATCCCGCCCTTCTTCTCGTCCCGACTCCCGTGGTGCTAGCGGAGCTTACCATGCTGCTATCGGGCGGGAATGGGCAGACCCTTTCTACGATACTGCCGCTCGCGACTACGTGAGGCCCAGCAGCCAGGATTCGGCCGGCTTCACTCCCGCTGAGGAGGCAGACTATCTTGCCCGCCGTGCTAACCGCTCGCGCTCCGGTTCGACCGTGCCAGGCTATCTGCCGCCGCCGTACCCAACGTATGCCTTTGAGCGCGAGCGCGGCAGGCCGTTTGACGCTGATCCCTTCGCCTACCAAACCGGCGGTCCTCCGCCTGGACTGTACGCACGCAGTAGTGCGTCGTCGAGTCCAAGTAGCCAGCGCCACGCTATGTTCGGCTCTTCCGCTGCTGGGACTCACGGCGGAGAAGGTGTCACATACACCGCAGTTCCACGGCGCGTGCCTGTCCCGCCGGGAGCCGTTTCTGCAGCAGGAAGTTCCCGTTCAAATGATCTCGCGGGACTGGGCCGTGGGAGTGTCTCCGATCCTGCTCTGGGTTACAGAGTTTCGGGCGGTCAGCGGGGCAGGGACCTCGAGGTCGAAGTCGAGTATGACCTACCCAGTACGAGTGGAAGCAGCGGAGAGAGCGACGGTGCCCAGAAAGGTGTCAAGGTCAATGACGCGAGTTTTGAGGCTCGAGCGGGATTGGGCGGTCGAGCCAAGGAGCTTGAGCGTGAAGCAAATGCAAGTGGTCGAAGCGGGAGCGGCAGCGGAAGCGGCAGTGGGAGTGGAAGAAGGAGAAAGGGAAAGAGGCGGTAGTTTTCCTCTAGACCCTTTCACAAGGCATCTACGTGCTCAGTTCCCCACTACTCACAGTGTCCTTCTGCTGTAGGTCGTTCTGGAAATAGGTGGGAGGTCAAAAGTTCATTACGTGTACGATCGGATGGGTTGCATTGCTTACTTGGATTCGAGCATTTCCCTTCATCTTTGATGTTTCCATGACCTTTATAGACTGATTTTATGGTTAATGCTATTAGTCGATATTTACATACCTGGCGACCAGCCATACGTTAGCTTCGCATCTGTGCCACGTTCCAGCTCTTGATTTGGTATATCGGCCGAGGGCCGGGCATGTTTGCGACCATCTCTTGTTAACCACCCCCCCAAAGAAAAAAAGTTACTCTCTAAGTGAACCCACCATATACCCTGCAAAGAGCTCCCCACTCTCCCCTGTACTGGAGAACACGCATACCTGATGTTCCGCCAAATCCATTGCTCAGACAAGTTCATTCCGACTCGGTTGGAACGTGCGTCTTTCTCTACTCCTATGGAATGCTTGGGCAGTGACAGGAGATTTACTTCATTCTCTAAATCCAACGTCATCAAAGCGAAGCTCGCCTGCTGCAGCCACTTCGTTCCTCACATGGGCCGTGCATTCAAGAATGGCCGTGGCTTGACGAAGGCTGCACGACCTAATTCCTGGGATGCACCGGATAAAGCTCAAGGGCTTTGAATGTCGGGCTTGGCATAAGGTGCTGTGGCGGGCGGCAGCACTGAAGTATAAGGATGTCATCACTGCGGAACTGTAACTCCTGGCTGACCATGAACTTTTAACATGACCTGGGACGACTTGTAGACGTTGGAAATAAGAGCACCACATGTAGCCTCCATCTTCGTGCAATCCAGCTCAGGCAGTCCTAAAACTCTGGGGTTGCTTGGCATCGATTACCAATGGCTCTTTCTCGCAACATATGAAGAGCAGAACACTTCTGCAATGAGTGTCTACCCGTTAGAATCGGGTATCTATTTCTAAGTTATAAGACACTATTATCTCTTCCCTTCGACATAAGATTAAAGCAAAGAACAGAAAAGAAAAGAGAAAAAAAAAACCCTCGCCCATGCATCAAACAATGGCCGAAAATTGGCCATTATTTTCACTTCCACAATCGCAGCCTTCTTCATTGCGCGTCTGCGCCTCTCTCCAATCACAAGTCCAAATCCCCGAAGCAAAACTCAACGCTCACTGGCCCCGGCCGTCGAAACGGGCGGGACTGGCGCAACTCCAGGCGTCAGGGTGGTCCCACCACGCTGGTGATGGCTTTTACTCACGGCCCCCATCTCCTCGTCGTCCAGCGGATACGGTGGCCGGCCGGTTACTCTGTTGTTGTCACCACCGCTCGCCCCTGGATCCGGGATGATCGGGTTCGCGTGCCTCTGCGGTGGCCGGCCGGGTGAGATAGTGGCGAAAGCGTTACCAGCGGCTGGTAAATGGGGATTCGTGGCGGCTGTGGGCGTGGCGGCTGTGTGGGTGATGGACGGCACGTTACCGTTGTGGTTGATGTCGCCGCCATCGCCGTCATTCGCGTGGTTGCTGGTCGAGGGGACCGGGGCCGTGGGTTGGAGCGGGGAGACGGGTGGTGAGATGGTGTTAGCTAGTGAGTTGTGATGGTGTTGTTGCTGTTGCTGTTGCGGATGGGTTGCTGCCGGGGCCGGTTGGTATTGGTTGAGTCCTCCCGCACCCGTGACATTGTCGGAGGTGCTCTCAAGAGGGACGGCATCCGATCTGGGCATGCGAGATGTGGAATGTAGGAGTCCTTTGTGGGGTTGCGTGCCAGCTCGGTGATGGTGATAGAAGTAGCCGAAGAGCTTGAAGGTTGCGAGGAACAGCAGACTACGCACCGTTGGGGGACGACGACCCAAGTGTCAGCTTTTGAGCAGGCTCGAGAAGGACAGGCTGGGTGCACTCACAGCTCGATGGCGGCAAATACACAGGCTGCAACGCCACATCTCCATGCTGCGGCAATATGTGGTGCCCCTGGGGCCCACGGGATTCTCTCGACTTTCCGATAGTAACTGAAAATGCGGAGATAGCTTGCAAGAGCCACTAGTGAAGCCAACCAGAGCAAGATCCCGATGAAATTGGCAATCAGTGTTCCCAGCGGGTGAATTGCCATTGCCGGGATCGGGATCGTGACAGGGAATATCAGCAGGATAGTGAGCACCGCAGTGGTGATTGTGAGGACCAACGAGGGGCGGATCTATGCCGGGTAAGTGAGACGTTGAAGCGAATCAGGAGGGAGTTGGTTCATACTTGGCTCTCGCTATGGGCACTCAACGCGTACGCCGTGAGTCCCAAGACCAATACGGCGAAGACCAGTTGCGCGGCAGGCAGCGCGGAGAACCATGGCGGTACGGCCATGGCGCTCTGCCTTGTACCGAGGAGGCGCGGCATCGTTGGTGCTTGTTGCTGATCGAATGGTGACGGTCGAGGGAGAGCGGCACACGGTGTGAGCTCTGGACGGTGAAGAGGTCCGAGACACAAGGCAAGACACGTCAGGCATAAAGAAGCCGGCGCACGAACGCGTCGTTTCAGCAACACTGTATCTCTAGGAACGGAGGTGGAACAAAGGATTGTCTGTCGCACCGCTTGGCATCTACTGCCTGCCAAACCTGGACTTTGCGCAACAGGCGCGATGTGCGCCCTCTACTTCCCCTGACGGCTGAGTTCGTTGATTCAATTTCACAAGTAATCCGTTAATCTCGCCCCAAGACTAATATAGGTATCGAACAAGATGGATAGCCAGGCAGGGAAGAGAAATAGGAAATGCAACAATCGCAGCTGGAACAAAACAAGCAAGGGAATCGAGTAAAATCAACAGGGAAAAGGACCATGATATCCGACCGTGCAATATCCATCTTCTCAGGAACCCTCCTGGCTCTTTCGGCGGCTTCGGGCAGCACGATTCTGTTGTACATCTGTCATATGATGCGGAAAATGAAGTCTGGCAGCGAGGAAGCCGCACTGAGGCAAAGACCTCGAAAGCCGTGCCCAAAGGGCGTGCAAACCCAACTTTTTCGTTTTGCGTCGGAGTAAAAATTAGATGGAAAAGTGTGGACGGCAGCCGCTTTGGTAAAGTCCACAGTTAACGCTCGCAGAAACGGAACAAACGCCCCACCCCACCCCACCCCCCCATTCCATTCGTCGCATTCCCAACACCACGCCATGTAGTCCGCCCCTATGTTTCGAAGTCGCTAGCGTGTACGGGACCTCTTTCGACAGCAGTCTTGTGACGCCAAGTGCCCATCCCTGTCGGACAGATGGAAAAACTCCTCCCGGCGCCAAATCGATAGTACAACAGTTGATGGAAGTTCGTGATTAACATGAAGAGAGGTTCCCTCGGCCGCTCCTACGAGCGGCTCGGCTGTTGTTGCTGTAGTTGAGCGCGCAGCTGCGCGACTTCTTCCTGCAAGGCGGCTATGCGCGCATTCGCTTCCTCGTGGCCGCGCATCATGCGTGTTTCGACATCCCGTATGTATGCGAAAAGATCGGATTCCCGACCGCCAAAGTACTCGCGCATGCTGCCACCGCTGCTGGGCCCGTGGCTCGATAGACTCCCCGGATTGGACGCCGGGCCAGGTGCCGACACTTGCTGATGCAGCATACTGGCCCCAGGGCCCGTCTGCGCGCTTTGCTTTTGAGCCTGTCCAGGCGGCATCTTGTTCATCGACATTCGCATATCGGCATTCAATCCCGGCAACGAAGGAAGATGGGGTGCGTGCGAGTTGCCAACGGGCGGCGGTAAGCTCATCGGTGAGGAGCCGCGACCGGCGCCTCTTTGATACTGTTGATGTGCTTGTTGCGACATGCTGGGCGAACGGGCACCCGGCACACTCGTTCCCTCCAGGATACCCTGATGACGTTGCACCTCAATTTGGCCCGGGGATATAGGCTTCGGCGATTCTGTCATGCTGCCCTGTGCAAAAACCGACGGTGGAGGCTGCTGGCCCGGGTAGTGCATCGATGATAGGCTGGACCCTCCCGTCTTTGGACTCGGGTGGCCAGATTGATCCCTAGACGTTGTAGAAGCGCCAGATCCCGGGGGATACATTGAATGAACGCTGTTGCCCATAGCACGGCCGGCAATCGGGGGGTACGTGCTTGAATGTTGATGATAAGACGCCTGTGAGCCTTGACGACCCTTGCCACTTGGCTCACTGACTCGACGGCCTTGAGGGCCGTCTTCATCCATCTTATCCTCCGAGCCATCTCCATGGTAGAGCACGCCGTCCATGCTGTCATCGCCTCTGTGCTCGTTTCCATCTTCGTCAATGCCAAAGCTGGAACGCCTGCCTGCACAGCCACCTTGGCCCTTGTTGTGCCGTGCCAAGGCGTCACCGCGCGCAAACTTCCGGCCACACTTGGGGCAGGTGTGCGGTCTCTCACCGGTGTGGAGCTTGGTGTGGCGCTTCAGATCGTGCAACCGGCGGAAACGCGCCTGGCATGTTGGGCATTCATAGGGTTTCTCCTGGCTGTGGGTGAGAAGATGGCTTTTAAGGTTGTGGTGACGGGTAAAGTCCGTGGCGCAGTAGGGGCACTTGTGGCGTTTCGCGCTCGGCGACCTCGGACTGTTGTTCTGGCTGTATCCAGCCATGGGCATGCTGAGCACTCTGGTCGGTTGTCGAAGATCGTGTTCAGCGGGCGCGGGGATTGGGAAGGTCTGAGATCGGTTGTTGGCAAATCCACCGTCGCCAGGCTGAGGTCCCACGTTCGCGGGGGCGACCGAGCTTGCCGGGCCGTCGGCGGCCGACATAGCTCCAGGACCAACATGTCCCGCCGGTGCCGTGTCGGTGGCACTGGCCGTGGCGGTTGGTGCGGTTGTGCTGTCCACAGACCCAAAGCTAGATACACTTACTGGACTTGTTTGCATGTTTTCTCCCGTCACCGACTCGGGGATTTGAATGTTTTTCGCGGCCTTCGCAATGGGTTCGGCAAGCGTGGTGGCAGCGGCGGGCGCATCGCGCATTTTGCTCAGCTGGTTCGCGCCGAGAAGGCTGTTCAACGCGTTCACCGCGGGGTTGGGCGAGACCTGGCGGGACATTTCCCGGGCCCGCTGCTCGTCCTGGTGCCGACGCGCATCCGCCATGGCAGCCGCGCCGGTGAGCGGCTGGGGAGAGTAGGCGGGAGTGAGCTTGAGGGCAGGCGACCGGGGGGTGTGGGCGGTGGTGGACGGAGGCAGGCTCGGGTCGAGCGTGATTTGCGGCGTCGGCGCGTGATGGCCCTTGAGGGCGCCAATCGGCTGCTGGACGGGAGATACGGAGGTTGGCGTATCTGGAGCTTGCGGCGCAGGAGGAAAGGGTCCTGTGTGCGTCGACGAGGGCGTGAAGGCTCCTGTAGAGGCCATAGGACAGGCGTGACGGGGCGGCGCGGGAGGGTGCTACAGAGCGCGGGGGCGCTCAGCGAAGGGTTGTGCTGGAGCTGGCATGGCGATTAGCAGGGCTGGAGGCTCGGGCAGGCGATGGGGCGCGGGCCGGTGTGGCGGAGGAGGTGTTGAGGGCGGTGCGGTGCGCGGGAGAGACAGCGTTACGTTACGTACCGAAACTCGCAGCGCGCAAGGGTCCAAGCGGAGCGATGACGATGCTGCGCAGAATCAATTGTGGTCCGAAAACTGCTCCCCAGAAAGCCGTCAAGCGGTGCGCATGTCGACGCCTGCATCCATCCACGGAGTCGCAAGATCGGGAGCGCACGGCGATGCGGGCTGGGGACGGGCGCGGTGCTGGCAACGCTGGGCGGCTCAGTCGACTCGGCAGCGGCGCTGATCGCAGGGGAGCAATTGAACGCCTGGTGGCTCGCGCACAAGCGAGGTCGCGCGCCGTAGGAGGCAGCAACGGACGGCGGGAGGGCTGCGCTACGAGGAGAGGAGAGTGTGAGGTGCCGGGCAGCGGTACAGAGGCATGCGCTGCAACAAGGATTTCGGGGCGGGCAGGCAGGTGGGTCGGACGGGGCTTCAGCTGCGCGGGTGAAGCGCAGTGGCAGTGGCAGGGCGAGGCTTCGGGGAGGCGGCGGTGTTTGGTAGAGAGTGGCTGAAGGGCCGGGGACGCGGGCGCCTTCTCGTGAGGCGCCGGCAGCCCTCTGACGCGAGGCAACGCTGAGTAAGAGGACCAGAATCGCGATCGAGGCGGAGGCAGGCCATCATGTTGTGGCGGAGCTGCGTGGGAACAATCCTCGATCGCGGCGCCTACCCGCAACCGGCACGGCCTCGCTCAGCGGATCGTCAGGCACGGCCAGCTCTCCTCGAGCATGCTGGCGGGCTCACGGCTCGAATTGAAGCGTTTCGGCAGTCGGCCACAGGCCTTGCTGCCACCAGCCTCGCACACGGCCATCCCAGCTTGGCGTCGTTCCGGGCGACCAGCTGGCGCCGTTGATCACCTTACACCGCCACAACGCAAGCTGGCCATCAGCCCACTTGTTGATTGGCCTGGCCGCCGCTGGAGACGCGACGCGTCTCCTGCCGCCCTGCAAGCACCGCAAGCGAGCTTCCGCCGGCCTCCAGCTCTCGGCCGCAACCCGTCAACCCGTCAACCCGTGGGCCGTGAGAGCTGGCGCGCGCGCTGGCGTCATACGGGGACGGTGAGACGTCCATGCAGGAACCACGGCTTCACGCCACGCATTCTTTTATTGACTTCTGGAAGGCGCGACGCCACCCTCCGCCCCCGCGCTGGCCGAGCTCGCGGAATCAGCCCAGCCATGCGCCTGGTGGCCGTCGCGCCGTTTGCTGCTCCCGTGGCCTTGCAGCCCGCCACACGCACGGAAAATACGAATGCTGGTGCAGCCACCTGCCACGCAGCGAAAACAAGGCAACAGGCGCGGTTCCGGACTCGACCTCCGCCGCCGGGCGGGCCAATTGCTGGTCCGCCGCGGCCAGTGTGCCACTGTGCCAGTCACATCCCCCTGCCCGTCCATGTTCCCCGGCTTCTCGCCCCCAAAATCCGATCCAGCCCAATCGCAATCTGAGCCCGCCCGTCACCCGACCACAGCCGCTCGAACAGGAGCCAACAGGGCAGCTCTAGCCGCCACCAGTGGCTGCCTGCCTGGCACTTTCCTGCCATGGCGGCAAAGCCAGCCTGTATTATTGTACGGACCGGGCACCTGTAGATCTGGAAGTGCGCGCCAGCACAAGTCGAGCGCGACATGCGTCGCGGATCACGCCTGCGAAGGGTGGAATTGCACACTGGCCGTGGCTGCCGTGGCTCGACTCAGGCCAGCCCCGTTCGTCGAGTTCCATCGCATGCGGTGAGGAAGTCCCCTCCAGCCCTCACGACGATGACATCAACTGGCATACCAAGCCACACCATGCGCCCCCTCGCCGGCGCCCTCTTAGCCGACGCCCTGACGCAAGGCTGCTCCAAGTGCGGTCCGGAACTTCTTCCAGACGGGCGCCGCTCCGCACTCTTAATCAATCGCCCCGATCCATCACGATCAAAAACTTCCTCTGGCCGGCCCTTGTGGACTAGTAGCAAGGAGCATTGCGTGCACGTCCCGTACCTTTTCACCAGCCACGCCTTCCACGTGGCCGAGGAGAGCGCCGGCTTAGTTGGGTCGATATCGACATCCACTTCGATCGCCGTACCCAACCATGCGAGTGCATGCAAACCAGGAGCACTACCACTGGAGCTGTCACGATGAGCAAAGTGGAGGCGGCTTCGAGCCAATGGAAAATGTTTCGATAGTCTCTACAAGCGTAGCGCTACGGCAAGGGACAACGCCAAGAGATAGCTGGAGGCTAACCGTATGCATGCGTCGAAACGACAAGACAAGAAAATATCTGGAGACGCCCGAGTCATCGTCTTCGAAAGTTGGAAACCTTGGACCGCCCAGAAGTCGAAGTTCAAGCCAAAGGTTCCTTTGGCTCATCAGTCCGTGATGCGCCGATTCGAAGCCTCCCATTGCAGACCCACCCAACAAGTCCCATCCCATAAAGGAAAAAGAAGACCGACCCTCAGAGATCCACTCCTCTGGAAACAATACAACCAGCCCCCATAACGTGTCCAAGGTCAAGCGCTCCTCGCACCTTTGACTTCATCGTCATTCGTCTTCCGCCTCAACTCTCACCAGGATCTCCTCCAAGAATCCCTCCAGGAACCCCTGCACGTCCTCTCCCATGCCCACCGGTGACTGGCTGTCCCATTGGTCAATCTCCGCAAAGACTCGCGCCGCTTTTCCTACCAGGCGCCGCACATTCTCATGTACTTCGCGCCGTTTCTGAGTGTCTTCTGCCGAAGAGCCGCTGGGCGCCTCAGCGCCCGAGCTGGCAGCTCGAAGATTTGTGTACGACGATTGTTTCTGTAGAGCATTGTAGTTGTAGGTCCGCCGGTGCAATGCCGCTTCCAACGCCGGCAACACGACGCCTGTCAAAGCCGTGATATCCGGGGGGTTGGCGCTGTTTCCGTTGCTGCCTGCCGTAGCGTGCGAGCTCCCGATATTCTTGAAGCTGCGGCCAAGTGATCGACTGCCATCGGAGACCTTGCGCGTTGCTGGAGCTGGCGGGACAGAGCCTCCAGGTGTTGGGAGAGGAGGTGTTGGCTTCTGTACGGCCGGCGCTGGCTTACGCTCCAGAGGGGAAGGTGAAGGCGCAATTGGTAGGAAGGTGGGGAGCGGTTGCTGCGATAGAGACGGAACCTGGCTCTGTTGCGGCCGTGGGCGCTGAGGACTACTCGAAGGAGTTGTTACACTTTGTTGCGAGGATTGGCGTGATCGGTTGGGATTGAACGGCGGGATGGGCGGGAGATTGAAAGGTGATTGCGGCAATCCAGGTGGGGGATTTGTTAGAGTCGCGTGTCGTGACGGCGTCGGAGGAAGGGAATGGTTTTCTGAGATGCTAAGAGATGGCAGATCTGACTCTACAATCGCTTGTCCAAGGTAGTCGTCAATATCCAGATCGCTTAGCCGCGACGATGGCGAGGGCAGGAGCTTTGAAAGAGACGGCTTCTCACGAGAGGGTGAGCGGGGTCCTTGTGGGCCTTGTGGCTTGACCGGAGATGGGGGTAACGGAACCTTGGCCGGCGAGAGGGGGACAAAGGATGACTGTGAAATCCGCTTCTGTGGAGAGAGGTCTCTCTGCGGTTGCGGGGCCGGCCGCACCGGACTAGTGCTCCTGACTGTTCCACTAATGGATACAGGCGCATTCTCCTCACCCGTGCTCGCGAATGCGTTCTTGCGGGGTGACGGTGGCCCTGTCTGAAGATCAGCGGCTCTGTCTGTCCGGCTTCTTGCATTCGCTGCAGCATCGTTCATTGCCTTTAAGGCGTGATTTTTGCCAGCAGGCCTGATGGTGCCAAAGTCCCACAGATCTTCGTTCACAGGTTGCCGTGGTTCGGTCTCGTTGTCCGACTCATCCGATTCACTCTCGTTTCCTTTGCCGTGCCTAGCTACCCATCGCTCATGCCGCTCAATCAATTCCGTAAGGTAGGTGGTCTTCTTGGCTTTCCGCACGAAAGGATGCTTCAGTAGGTCCTTAGCCGACGGTCTTTCCCTTGGCTCTTTTCTGAGACACAGCTCCACAAAATCCTTGAACGATCTGCTGAAACTGCCCTCGAGTTGGGGCGGCGGGTTCTTCGGGATTAGAAATAGAACCTTCATCGGATGGATGTCGGCATAGGGGGGTTCTCCATGGGCCAATTCCAAGGCAGTGATGCCCAGGGACCAGATATCAGCCTTGTGGTCATAGCCGGATTGCTTGATGACTTCTGGAGCCATCCAAAAGGGGGTTCCGACGAATGTGTTCTTCTTGGTCATGGTCGCCGAGAGCTGGCCGGACACACCAAAATCGGCCAATTTCACTTGGCCGTTCGCGCTGAGAAGAATGTTCGCAGCTGGTCATGGCGAAGTTAGACTTGCACAAAAAGGGGCGCCCATGCGACACTCACCCTTGATGTCTCTGTGCAGCTTGTTGTCGCCGTGCAGGTATTCCAGCCCCATGAGCAGCTCTCGTATGATGATGGTGATATACTCTTCCGGTATGAGGCCCGGCTTCATCAGATCTCCGCAGCTGCCACCCGAGCAGAACTCCATTATGATCCATAGGTCCGAGCCCTTCAGGTAGCTCCCGTAGTATTTGGTAACGTAGGGGCTGTGCAGCTCCGACAGGATGGAGATTTCCTGGATGATGTCGTCGACCTCGTCTTCGGCGTTCTCGACGTCTATGACCTTGATGGCTACGCTTTGTCCGGTGCGCTTGTCGACCCTACGCTGAGGTTAGAGATGAGGCGCCCGCAAAGCCGAGGGACGGGGTGGGGGCTACCCTTTGTACACCTTGCCGAAGCTGCCTCCGCCGATGCAGTTCTGCTTGGTGTACAGTGTCTCGGGGTCGACGCTCCCGCTAGTGCTGTACATGGCGGCCATGCTGGCGCGGCGCGGACGGTGGGGAGGCGGAGTCGCAACGTTCGGGAGTGGACAGCAGAGCAGGCGCGGAGGGCATTCGACACGCGAGCGGAGGCGGTCGGGTTCCACACACGGAGCGCGTTGTCTTGGGCGCACTGGCGGTCGGGCAGCCGGGCGGGCGAGGGTAGACGATAGCGGGCGGGCAGCGGTTCGGGATGTTGATATACTTGCTCGAGAGGGTTAGCCAGCCGGTGGAGCAGGCAGCGGTCGTCGAATTGAGCCCTTGCACGCAGCAACAGGCGCGCGATTGGTCGAGTGAGCGGGCAGCTCCCGTGGTGGCGCGGGGACTGAGAGTGGGTGACCGGGGAGCCAAGCGGCGGATGTAAACAAAGGATGCACCAGCTCGACGCGACCGCGGCTGGCGCTATAACTGGGACGCGGCAGCCCGGCTGTCGCAGGCTCGCAGGCTCGCAGGCTCGCACGTTCGCACCCGCGCGCGCGTGAAGACGACAGTGCGGAGGCCGCTGACGTCGATGCGGTCTGGACGGCCATGGCTGGCGGGCCACAGAGTGCGCCGCGCCCCGTCGTGTTGCGCTGGCGAGCAGCCGGCAGCAGATGCTGGACTGGCCGAGCTTGGCGGGCAGCATTCTTCCGCGCGAGCCCACGCCGTACCTAGTACTGACAGGAACAAGCCAGTTGCAGACAGCCATAGCTGCGGATCCGCCGCGCGATCCAATTAGGCCGTGGGATATATAGCTAAGACTACGCTCCACCCCGTCCCGCCTTGCAGTCTATAAACCTAAACCCGCCCCGATTGCTACATGCTTCGCTTGCAAATGCAGAATAATAATAGAACGATCAATAGATAGCAAATGCGCCAGCCCGTCCTTCATCGTCTGCGCGGCGCCTCCTCCGTCAACTCGCTTTCGTCCTCTTCTTCCACCGGCGCCGGCGTGTTCCTCTGCTTCCTCCTCTCAGGCCGCCGGCGCCTGTTGTAGCTAATGTTGCTTGCCGAATCGTCAGGAGCCAGCTCCGATCTCTCGTCAAGGCCGTCGTCCGTCTCCGTGTCCCACCCGCCACCTCCCCAGCCTCCGATGCCCGAAGCTGGAGTTCCAAGTCGGACCTCGACACCGCCATCCATGGATCCGCGCCGCGCTTGCGCCGCCATTGCAAGGCCAGCGCTACGTTCGCGGAGGGCTCTGCGAACCCCCTCAGCCTTGCAGTGAAGTGCCTCAAAAGCATCCTCGAGCGCTTCCATCCCCAAGAAAATCTCACGCTCCACCTCAGCAAGCGTAGCAATTTCCACTTCTTCATCCATCTGAACCGGCGCGCCAAAGGAACCTGGTGCCGTTGATGCTGATCTCGCAATTCCGGGGTTGCTATTCTGGAAAGGCGTGGGTCCACGAGACGGCCCGCCACCCATACTGAAGGGGGTCGTGGTTCGCGACAACGGCGTGGCTGTTGGTCCACGAGAGATGGTTGACCCCGCAGAAGCACCAGGTGGAATGGGTCCTTCCGCACCGCTCCACAAAAACCCGTCGAACCTACCTGAGATAAGGATTTCCCACTCCCCGCTGCTTACTGCAGCTAGTGTAGCTAGGACTGAGTGGAGCATCGGGTATTTGAGCAGGAAGATTGCACATTCGGGGTCGCGTGGGGGCTTGCTTAGGCGATAGAGCCTTTGCAGAGCAACGGCAGTCTTGGCCAGGAGGTCAGGTCTCGGCACGTTGAGCGGGGTCGGCGTCCGGGAGGCTGGAATCGTGCTCATTCCCCTGAGTAGAGCTGTGAAAACGGGGCGCTTCTCTGCTTCCAAATGCGTGAGCATGGCAAAAGTGAGTGTCTCATCATCAACTTCTTGCGGGGGGCTGGTCGGGAATTCTGGCTGCGTAGCCAGCCAGTTTTGGACGGCTTGCTTTGTCTTCTTGCTCTGCTTGATGTAGTGGTCACGGTATTCCTCAGGAACATCGATGTCGAGCTTTTGCATTGGCGCTGCCTGGTTGAAACCAGCAATTCCAAGACCACCGGCATCTGTGTCAATTGAGAACGGGGGCCAAGGAGGCAGTTCTCGTCGGCCTGAGACAAATTCCAGGATCTCTCCCCAGCTAACGCCAGTTTCTTCGTCAGTTGGCTCCACCTCATCTGATTTCAGCCGGCATATCACGCAACGACAGACCTCCGAAGAAATGTCGCGAGAGAAGACTGCTTCGAGTCTGTCTAGCAATCGCCGTGCCACAGAGCGATATCCTGTAGCAACGGCCACGGAGCCGTTCTTCGACATGACGAGATTGTAGTCTTCCAGAATTCTCTGGAACGGTGCAAAAATATGTTGCACTGATTCGGCTGGCCGAGGCCGGCTTCCCGGTGAGCCGTAGTGGGGCTGAAAGGATCCTAGCGGGGGCTCTATAGCTGCTACAAGTGTTTTGGGGATTGTGTGGGAGAGACCTCCGTTTTGTAACAGATAGTCTACACGTGGAACATCGGCAGGCATAACCATAGGAGGCGGCGGCGGCGGCGGCGGCGGCGGCGGCGGTGGAGGAGCGTTCATGCCTCCGCCCCAGAGATCTGCGGACGGAGCGCGAGAGTCCGGTCCCGAGAAAACTTGTACCATCGGCGTGCCCTTTTGGCCGGCTGGAACATTTGCAAAAGCGGGGTGGATGGCAGTTGGTGTGCGAGGGGATGAGTCAATGACTGACGGGGAGGAGTTCGGGATTGGGTCTCGTCGTACTCTGGTTTGATCCGGGGCGATTGAGGTAGCATCGGAGTCCGTAGTCGAGTGAGTTCCACTGACGGTTCTCTGCGATCTCGCCGTCGAGGTGTCAGAGGGCGGTTTCCGCGGATGCGCTGGATGGCGAGCGGTGCGTGGCTTTGAGCCTGAGCCGTCAGAGTCCTGAGAGTCTTCATCTAGCGGGATGGCCTGGCGCAAACTCGATTTTGACGTCGCCATCTTTGGACCGGCGCCACGGCGCGAATCTCCACCTGCACTGCGCCTTCCGCTCGAACTCCGCCGCCCGCTCTCGCTTCTCTTCCTGCTCTCCTTGTCTGACCGCTGGCTGCCCCCGGATTTCCTTATGCTATTACCGCTGCCCCTCCTCCTCAGGTCAGGTTCGTCGGCAGTCAAAGGCGGGCTCGGGGGAGCAGCAGTAGCACGAGCAGCAGCTGTCGGCCTCGGAGACCGGCGGCCGTCTTTGGACGAGCCACCCAAGTCGGTAGGGTCTGGGGTATAGAGCGGCTTCCCCGCCTTCGGGTCGTCGGTGCGTGGCTCTAGCGACTCACGGCTGTGGGCCTTTGAGAAGGAGGGATAAGTGCTGCTGGAGGCAGGCGAGGCGGAGGGCCGACGGTCCAGCTCAGGGACCAGCGACATCTTCTTGGGGTGGGTGTGTGAACGGGTGGGGTGAGAGCGGTCTCGGTCTCGGTCTGCGGCGTCGCGCAGGCGGTCCTTGGAGCGCGACTTTTTCCTGTGCGAGGGCTTCCGCACGGCGTGGCGGTCCTTGTCCCTGGAGCGCGAGGAGTCGAGGTCGGAATCGCGGTCCTTCCGGCGGCGACGGGCGTCGGGATCCTTGGAGCTCATGGTCGCGGTGCGGCGAGGTTGCACTTGGCGGGCCGTGAGGGCAGAAGTCTCGCGCGGCTAGACACAGGGCGGGAGGGCGGTGATTGGCGGTGAGGGCAGCAGGGAGCGGGATCAGCGCATTGCTGCGGTGTTCCTGGGCAGGCCCGTCGACGTGGGCAGCGCTTCGCGGGCTGTTGGGGGCGGAGCCAGCCCGAAGTCGACGTGAATTGGGCGCGGGCGAGGGTCGCTGCGCAGCGCTGGCGGCCGCTCCACACGTCACAGCCCAGGGTCACGGGCCCGCATCGCGACGAGCACCTCGCACCCACACACCCGTGTGCCCGCTCTCCGCCTGCCCTACCCGCAGGCCCCATCCCACGCCCACGCTGGATCAGCACCGCGCGTCATCCTCCCGCCCCAGCCTGCCACGCCTGCGTCTGCACTCCCAACCCGGCCCGCCCGCCCTGGTCGATCTCGGCGCCCCGGCTAGCTCCCTCGTCCTCCGGCCATCCTCCGTCCTCCAGCCAGCGTCCCCAAGCACTTCGTACTGCTGCACATGCAACGTCCCACGGCAGCTGCACAAGATACATATGTACGCCAAGCCTACTCGGCCCAAAGGGGCTGCCGATGCTGGATTTGCGCGCCTTCCGACGGAATCTACCGCCGACGTTGACCTGTCGACGGCTCCCGGGGTCTTCACATGCCAAAGCCTAGTCTGACGGCTGGACTGGATGTGCGCATTACCTCTTTGGGCCAATGTGAACGTAGTAACCGCGTTCAGCATGGCAGTCCTCGGTTGCGTTTCCTTTCCTTTCGATTGGCAGCTGCCTCCCGGAAGACTCTGGAGCGTTGCTCTTGCATCGCTGCTCCTGTTCCGCTGTCGGTCGTTACCTCTATCCATGTAGCCTGCTACCACACGCCCCCAACCCCGGCATCAATACTCGTGGGATCAACCCTCCACTCTTCCTAGGTTTACCCGCTCTCTCCCCACTCTTCTTCGCAGACCTCTGCCAGAGGCTCGTACGCCGACAACGTCTTCGTCAATATTCCTTTCTCGAGGGGTCGCTGGTTCGGCCTCTGCGTCCGCTCCTGCAGCGCTCAAGCAACCCAGGGCTCACATTCTTCACGGGTCAAACACTTCTACCAGCTCTGACCCAGCCATACCCGCTTCAGTCGCTGCAACGTGCCGATCGAGGCTGCCCTCGCGTTACTCTTCAATGAACAAGCTTCCTTGCGAGATCGTGCTGCAGGTCTTTGAATACCTCTCGCCTATCGACTTCAATGCCGCCCGCCACACGTGTCGAAGCTGGATGGAAGCAAGTCTGGATCAACGTCTGCTCTCGTGCATGCTTCGACGAGGGGGCTGGTGGTCTGGCGTCTACACCGCTCTCTGGGCGCAAACCAGCACTGTATCTGACGCATGGACACTCAGTCGACATCTTGCTCGGCAGTGCGCCCTCACACCTGGCTGGACGGGAAATGGCTTGGAGGACTTGTCTTTTCCCACGACTGCTCCCCGCGCCGGCGACCGTTCCAGCTTTGTGGAACGGTGCCAGGCTGATTTTACTGAACTCGCCAGTGGCTATGGCGAATCAGCAAAGCAAGATGATCCACAGCTCCTCTTTGCCACCAGTGTCTGCGGCAAATTCATCCTAGTGGCTGAGGCGGCCGTGGTATACATATATTCTCCTGAGGAGGCTGACCTTCGCCCAATCACCAGCGTAACGTGCCCTCGCAAAGTTCTTGCCATGAGCATGGATGCTTCCGCAGGTCGACTTGCGATCGCTACGCTTTTAGACGGGCGTATGGGTCTCGTCTGCGACTTGAATCTGGAAAATGAATCCATCAAGGTAGCCAAGCCACTCGAGCCTGGGGCCTTTGCGAACGGCTCCTCTGGACACCGCACCACTGTAAAGTCGTCAATATCCACAAGCAGATTGTATCCGCGAGATGACCAAGCCGCGGCCATCGAGCAGGACACTGAGCACCACAAGCCGGCTTTCGACACTGTCAATGTCCGCAGTGGCGGTATGGATGCTACGCTCCATGGGATCGGCGATCCTGTCAGGTACACGCAGAACCTCGTGAACCAGACCTGGAACGATCATATCACTGCCTCGTCCCCGACTTCGTTAGATTCAACATCCCTCAGCAAGCACGATTACATGCCAATGTGCAATGGACCACGTATCGTTTACCGCCAGTTGTGCTCGCAGGAAGACCCACCCCGAAGTGTTGCTCTATGTCCACAACGGCGCAGTGTAGCTTTTGGGTGTGCTGGCGGCATTGAGCTTCATTGGGTTGACAAACAGACTGGGCAGGATCTGCATCGTTGGTTTCCTATTTCTTCCCCTAGCGATTACCTATTCTTTCTTAATCCGAGGCCAGGTACGTCTGATACTGGCGCTGACATAACGAACAGTGCAACGGGAACAGCTGATGCGAGATCACAGGCATCGATTTCACACATAAGCTTCGTATTATTTCTAGCATTGCTCACCCTGAAGATCGTCCGGCCATCCACAAGCACTTCTCTCAGTACGCACATCCTACGCCATTCTCCTGGGCTTATCGTACTCCCGGGTCTGGGTCATGGCGACGATTAACGCCGGGCGCTCATGACCACTACCGCGCCCTCCCGTTATCGGACGGATACCATCATCTTTTCATAGATCCAGAAACATCACTTCTACACCTTGGCAGCGATGCACCGCTTGGTGGTCTCACCAAGCTGATTCGAAAAGTTTTTTTGCTGCCACCAAATCCCGGGATGGTCCCAAGGTGCTACGCAGTAGGCGCGAACTTGCAGGAGGGTGCTCGAATAGTCGCCTGCTTCCATCGTCCGCAATCTGAAGGAGTAGATGAGTTGTCTGCAACCTCTTCGGATATCAATTGTCCTCACAGAACCCCCAATGGAGATGTGGTGATGTTTTATTCGGTTCCTCCAGATTTCCTTCTGTCCTCTCAGCTAGAGCTTGGAATGGATTGCTGGACACAGCATGGATGTAATTGCATAACAGCCTCTTCGTCATCTTCTCAGCCGAAAAACCGTTGCGACAGCAGTTCTTGGCTCGACTGGTGGCCGGATAAGGATGAAGACGCCCTTGGCCCCATGCTTCCGCAGCAGCGTGGCGCTCCCTGGCCGCTGCGACTGAAGGGAGTGTCTCTCGGGAAGTCAGACGCGGACTGCGTGGCACTCGCCGTAAACGAGACACCGGAGCTGACCGTGTGGGTGATTGCAAGCAATGGGAAGGCAAGAGCTTGGGTCATGGGTCATGGGAGGCCCCGAGTGATAAAGAAGAGTTACATTGCAAACGATGGCCGGGTTATGAACAGGGGCTCTGAAACAGACTCGCAAGAGGGAAGTGGAGATGATGAAGACTCTGCCGGACTGTTTGGCATGTTCGATGACTTTGATGGAGAACACAGCGTAGCTGGGGAACCGGACGAGGAGTACGATGACAAGGCGTCTTCTGTCAGCTCAATTGGATAGGGCACTGTCACATGCCCGTCGGGCTTAAGTGTCGAACGACAGTAATTAGAAGGATTCCTGCAGTAGAATACGCTATCAGAACCTTGTTGGTTGTCAAAGGAATGTTAGAACAAACCTACGATTGGTATCTTCGGTTCATACATACAGGCTCAAAGCAACCTGGGATCAGAACTCAATCAGCCCGCGAAGCGAGGCTTCGAGATGCGAGTCGACAGCCTTACCGCATAGACTGTTTGGCTCCTTACAGTGATTATTCGGAAGTGGAAAGGCCCCGAAAAAGCAGTCTGCCTTCCCTCTGCCCTTTCCTTGACTTCGATGTTACAAGCAGGTTTTCTCTTGTCCTTGCTCACGTTGCCTAGGTAAGCGCAAACACGGCTGCCAGCCTGAAATGGGCGAAGATATAGTTCCCCGAATGCCAAGCATTGGGGGACAGGAATGGATGGCCGGTGTGGGGCTGTCGGCACACACGAGGTTTTGAGTGACGGTCGGTGGGTCACGTCCCCCATGTTCCCTCTATTTCCGTGCGCCTAGCGCCTTTTCTTCGGATGCTTGCTATACTGCAAAGCTATAAGCGTTATGCAGGGGAGCAGCACGCTAGGTACGGGCTACTAAACGCTCAGGCCCCGTATATAGGTAGCACCCTTCCGCACGTGTGATGGCGGGATTCTCCGGGTAAAGCGTCTAGGCATGCGCATTGCGGGCCAGCTCCAACTGCTCACAAGCTAATGAGGTAGGATCACCTGCCTATGAGAAGAATGATGGGATGACGAGGTACGGTCAGTTCAGGCCCGTCTCCCATGGGCCGATAATAACGCGTTCATTTTAGGTATTGTCCCAGTAGGAGGCACTTGCGCCCGCCTACGAGAGGCGACTTGTATGGTGGCATAAGTGAGCCAATTGGACGGGAAGGAGGATGGGGTCTTGGAATCAAAGCGAGTCTCAGGCAATATAGGTGCACTTGAAAAGACAATTGAGATGTGCTCCTAACATCAACGACGGTCACACTTGAGAAGGAATGGCTCCTTTTTTATTTTATTTTTTTTGGGAGAGGTGGCAGATACTTGCATCTCGGCAGTTATTTTAGGCCTGCGTAGAATGAAGGCTTATTGCATACTTGGCGGCATCAGTCATCCATGTGTCACACTATGGGATGTTCCAAGTTTTGCGGCAGATTCGGAGCGCGGCGAAGGGCCTCAGTCTAGTTGCATCCAGACCTGGAAGGAAATTGATCTATCCCACCAATCACGATCCAAAACATGTGTACTTTGGCATGGCTTGACGTAAACGCGACGAAGAAGGTTGTGTAGTGGCTTGCTAGCTTTTTTTTGTTTTATTTTTCTGCGCGGGGGCGTGGAGGGCTCCGCCTACAGCCTGCGCCATACAAGCGCACTCGTAAATATGGCGCAAGGCATCCTGACATTATTTCGGTTCCAGCTGAAAGATCACCAGATCCGCCCGAAAGGCTCCCAGGAAATTTCTGGTCGACCCCGACGTCCGAGGCCAACACCAGATGGCTGCGCCACCAGCTACTCAAGCCGACGGAGAGATATGAGCCGAGCCGAGCGCGCACCGGCCCTTTCGAGATGAGAAGCACCATGCGGCACGGGCGTTGTTGAAGCTTTGAGGCCCGGAACAGGGCCCGCGTCTGTCTGCCTCAAGCGACGGTATCCATGATAAGCTGTCGACGCCACTTTCGAGGAGCGGACCGATTGAGCGGCATCAGAAAATTGATGCGCGATATCCGAGGGCTGCGGCGGTGGCGAAGGCGGCGATCTTCGCTGTTTGGCCCGAGTCTTGCGCCGACATCATGACAGCACCCAGATTCCAGGCTCGTCGCGACAGTGGAAGTGAGCCAAGGGATGCATCGTGTCCAGGCCGGCCGCGCAGCTCGTAACGCAGTGGGTCCATACCGCATCGTGAGCCAGCATCCGGATCTATTATTATTATTGGTGTCTGACGGGACATGTCGAAGCCCGCCCTGAGACGGGCGCTACTGCGCGCGGGGAGGGCGAGGGGCCGACGCCAGGGCCTCGTGGTGCTGGCGCTGATGCTGATGGACGCGGTGGAAATTGGTCGTCGGCTGCTGCTAAGTGCGATTGAAATTGCAGCCTCGACCCAACACGGCGCTAGGCACCCGCTCCGGGGCGCGGTGGCCCGCAGAGCAAACAGATGCGTTGCAGGACGACGACGAGGCACCGCGATGCCGCGATGCCGCGATGCACATGTTGCCCGAAGCGGCGCACCTGAGCAGGCCGGGCTGCACGGCCGCCACCACTGCTTCCACATGCCTGCGCCGCGCCACAACGGCAATCATCGGCTCCGCCCCGTCGCGTCGAGGACCGCATTGGTGGTGCATGGGCGGAGCGGCGCGGGCCAGCAGGCGTTGCGAAATAGGGCCGGCCAGGGCGCGCGCACGAGCTCGCAGGCCCATGATCACAGCAGGCTCACATGGAAGTTGCCCGGTGGTCGGCCGGCCGGCGCGCTGCTCCTCCCTCCTCCCTAGGTAGGCCCCTAGGTAGGTGCCTGGGTAGGTGCCTGGGTAGGTCCGTAGGTCCCTAGTAGGTCCTCGCAGGCTGGCCGTTCTCGTCGACGTGCATCCGGCTTGTGCCGGGCGCGTTCTGGACCGTGCCGCCGGGCAGCTCGAATTCTGCGCGGCGGCGAGCGATCGCAATGAGCAGCAGCACCCCTTGACGTGGTGTGGGCGGCGCGGAGCTGCAGGCGCGGGCAGCCCACGGCGGTCACACTCGCGGTGGGACGGGCAGCCAATGGCCGGGCAGGCGTGGGCAGGCGTGGAGATCACAGCCGCGCCGGGAGGGTCAGATGGTTGGAGGTTGGACTTGCGACGCGACGCCCCGGGGCGGGCGCGGCCAATCAGGCGGGCGCAGGCGGTGGGCTCGTGTGATGAGCAGGGGAGCGGCCTGAAGAGGCAGCATTATGAGCTGGGCGGCGTGGTGTTTCAGGATCGCCTGTGATGCGCCCTTGACGAACCGCCCGCAACTCGCCTTGGCCTGGTTCCTGCAGCGCGCCCATTCGCCGCGGCGCAGCGCACAGGCGCGTCAGAGGTTGTGCTGATCTGAGGCCAGCCGAGCGCCTAACTCGAGACCATCTGCAGCGCCCCAGCACCCCACAGCGAGACAGCTGGCTGTCGCAAAGCCCGTCCGCCGCACGATATGCCGCTTCGGGCCTGCACCGTGCCCGCCTAGCCTGGTTTGAGCCGCCGGTGGAGTCGCGCGCGCGCGCAGCAGCGGTGCAGCGGTGCATGCTCGGCCTGGGCGCCATCCCGGCCCATATGCCTCTGGATATGGAGCTGCCATGCTCTTCACCATCTCCCCCGTCCTCCAGCCAAGTCCGCCCGACACGCCGTCGTCGTCCGCTGCCTGCGCCAGTCGCAGCCGCCGCCAGCGAACCCTCCGCCGCCGAGCCTCCACCAACCCAGCGCCCGCGGCCTCTCTCGGCGCATGCACCTCGACCCAATTCTGCACTCTCTCCCAACCCTCGGCCAACACCAACGCCTGACGCACCGCGTGCCCAACCCGCCCTGCGTCGACGCCTCCTCCCCGCCGCGCTCGCCGCGCGCTGCTGCTGCTGCTGCCGCCGCCGCCGCCGCCGCCGCCGCCGCCGCTGCCCACCACGCTCTGCCCGCCAATCCAGCGCCTCCACGACCACCCGCTCGCCAAGTGCTGGACGCCCTATTGGCCACCGCGTGTCTTGCTCGAGCCGCCGCGCCAAAGAGCGACAGACACGAGCCGCGCTCCACCTCCCGTCTGCGCGACGCCCAGCACCACCGTCAGCAGTACCGCGCCGGAACCGTCTTCATATGCGCAGCCGCGATCCGTTCCCGTCACGCTGCTCGCATCCGCCGGCCTCTCCCCTCCGTTTCCCCCTACCTCCGTAATGCCCGCGTCCAAGCCCGTTAATATCGCCGACTCCCGGCACAACGCCGTGCGCAACACTTCCATAGACTCTGCCGTCTCCTCCATATCCTCCAATGCCTCTGCCGCCAACCTCAAGTCGTCCCAGTCCATGGCGAATGCACAAGCGCCCGACTTTGCCGCCCTGATACAGGCTGCAGGCTCTCCGGAGACGGCGTTATATAATCTGTGGCGCGAGAAGCAGAGCCTGGAGAACCACAACCAGCAGCTATGGCGGATCGTCACCAAGCAAAAGGACATGGTGGTGGGCCTGAACAAAGACTTGGAGCGTGCTCTAAAGGACCGAGAGCGCTATCGCAAGAAGCTGAAGGAACATCTTGCCCAAGTGCCGCCTTTGCCACATGCGGCGCAAAGAATCGACGTTCCAGATCGGGAGCACAGCGCTTCGCCGGCCTTGAGCGAAGCGCAAGAAGCCGTCTTGAACGGCAGGAACATCAGCACGCCGGATGTGATTCCTGACAGCGTGCGCGCTTTAAATCCCAAGCTTTCAGTCGAGCAGAACGCGCTGGCTGGCCAAAACTCTTCCGACGGCGGTTCGCTCCCGCTGTCTGCAGAGTCGCCTCCGATCCAATCTGCTGATTCCGCATCCGCTGAGGCTTCCGTGAAGGATCCAGCCAGCAGTGAGCCCTCGCCATTTGATGGCTCTGCCTCAACCGGCGAGTCGCGAGGTGGTGCAAACGAGCCTCCTGCAAGTGATCCGGCACGGCCGAGCGACCTTCGTCTCAGAACGCTGCGCGAGGAGGCCGTCGGTAGTGGTTCGCATGCTTCTTATGACGATGCTGTATCACCCAAGACGACCGTCGCTCACTCGTCGTTTCATACCAAGACTCCTTCACTTTCGCTGACCGCCCCCACTCCTGTTCTAGGTTCCAGTGGCCTCCCCAGCCCTGAGGAACGCTCCCAACGAAAAGCGCCGCCTGCACCTCTCATACTCTCGCAGCCCCAGCGCCAGAGCGAAAACGTACAGCAGCCACCTCCCGAAAACCCCCATTCTGACTCCGAATATGGCGAAATCTCAGAGGTAGATGAAATGCCCGTATTTCAGCGTGGGCGAAAAAAGACTCGGGAGGAGGACGACAAACAGCGCGAACTGCTCGTGCAAAAGGAGCTCGAGGAGCGAAGTAGCTCGAAGAAAAGCAAGAGCAAAAGCAAGAGTAAGAGCAAGAGCAAGAGCAAGAGCAAGCCAAGCCAGGACCAGTCGCCCCCGGAAGACACGGCTAAGCTTGTTGCTTCGGTATCCCGATCGCCAGTCGGACTTGGGCTGCCGAGTTCTCCCCGTCTCGCTCAGGCTCCCGGTTCTATCAACGCGCTGCTCAGCCCTGTCAGCTCCGACGGCTCCATGATTGCTCAGCGTAGCATCAGCACTCCTCTCATGAGCCCCGGTCTACCTATAAGCCCGCGTCCGGGCGACCGACCCCCAGGTGCACCAACCCCTCGTCTCCCCAAACAGGAGATCGTGTCCCCTCCCATGTCCCCTCGTGGCGCCAATGGCTTGCCACTTTCTCCACGCGCTCCGAGAGGCCCAATTCCCTTGCCCCCGCAAACACCGCTTGCTGTTGCCTCGCCCCATCTCGCACGTGCCGAGCAGTACCAGCCGCAGCCGCAGAACGAATCCGAGAGACTTGCAGTGCCCATGACCGGTTATTCGAGCTCTGAATCGAACAAGGGTAGTTCCAATGGATCGGAACCAGCATCTCCGGACGGCATCAGTCGGGAGCTGGTATCGGAACAGTACCCGCATCTTCTTCTGCCGCCAAATGCTCTGCCGGGCATTCAGGCCAAGGTCTTCTCTTCTCGCTTACGTCCATCCCGCCACAGTTTCATGGCTCCCAGCCCGTCCGAGGAAGATCCGGTTTTCATTCTTGCCATTCATTCTCGCTCGGATGGGAAGCAGCTATGGCGTCTCGAGAAAACAATAAACGCTCTACCGGCGCTGGACCAACATCTGAAGAAGCTTTGCGAATTCACCGGCCAGCTTCCGGACCGAAGCTTGTTTACCGGCCACGCCCCCTCGAAGATAGACGCGCGGAGGGCGGCTCTGAATGCTTATTTTGACAAGATACTTGATACGCCTATGGGCGAGAGGGCTGCCTTGGTTCTCTGCGAATTCTTTTCGACGGACGCTTTCGGTGCTGAGCTGGAGCCTCCACGGTCTTCAACCCTTTCTGTTCCTGAAAATCCAACTGCGCCACCGACGAAGAACACCAAGGAGGGCTATTTGACCAAGCGTGGCAAGAACTTTGGCGGCTGGAAGGCTAGATACTTTGTGCTCGAGGGCACCGAGTTCCGGTATTTTGAGTCGCCTGGAGGGCCTCTGCTCGGCTCCATCAAACTCCAAAATGCCCAGATCGGACGACAAAACCCGAGGAACAAAGCGAATCAGCAAGACGACGAGATGAGGCATGCTTTCCTGGTGCTGGAACCCAAACGCAAAGATCCAACCACCAAGGTTTCGCATATCCTGTGCGCCGAAAGCGATGATGAAAGAGATGCTTGGATCGACGCCCTCCTTCAGCACGTGGAATCGACCGAGGACAAGAGCCAGCAAGCTTCAGGCGAGATCATGGGCGAGCCTGGTTCTGCTCGCAGCAACGAGTCTGGCCAGGAGTCTCAACACAGCGGCTCACAACGGGAGAAGAAGCGAGAAAGAAGCCTGGAGAGAATGAGACAGCTCGAATCAGTCCAAGGAACAAGCTACGAGAGCACTGTGGCGGCTGACGCGCCAATCATGGTCGGCAGAGAAGGTGTACCTTCCCCTCCGTTGGGGGGGTCTTTCCCTCCAGCAGACCGTGTTATTTCGGGTCCCACGAATGGTGCTGTAATCCAGAACGCCGAGCTTTGGGGCAACAGATCTTTGGTCACGCAAACTCCGCTCAAAGACAAAAAGCGAAGCATTTTCGGGTTCGGTGGTGGACGGGGGCGGTCGTCCACGGACCTCGCACCTGGACAGGGCCAGGGAGGCTTCGGACAGGGCATGCCCCCGCGTCAACCGACGCCTCAGCAAGGCAGGCCAGTTTGGGGCATCCCTCTCGCCGAGGCGGTTGAGGCCACTCAGCCAGAAGGAGTCGACGTCCTTCTTCCCGCCGTCGTTTACCGTTGTCTTGAGTACTTGAAGGCAAAGAATGCCCATCGTGAAGAGGGTATTTTCAGGTTGAGCGGTTCGAACATCGTCATCAAGGCGCTTCGGGAACGGTTCAACACGGAACGTGACATTAGACTCTTGGAAGGCGAGTACTACGATGTTCACGCCGTGGCCTCGTTGCTGAAGTCGTACCTGCGCGACCTGCCCGTCTCAATACTGACGAGGGAGCTTCACCTGGACTTCCTCAAAGTACTTGGTATGTCCCCGAAATGTTTTTTGTGACAGCCATGCAGCTAACGATGGACACAGAGATGGATCAAAGGTCCGAGAAGATCGATACGTTCAATATGCTGGTTCACAAGCTGCCGCCTGTCAATCTGGATTTGCTGCGCGCTCTTTCATCGTTCTTGATCGACATCACAAACAACTACGACATCAACAAGATGACGATCCGAAATGGTGAGCTGCACAGGCCGTCTCGTTGGTTGACCGTTACTGACTCTGGGCAGTCGGGATTGTCTTCTCTCCCACGCTCAACATCCCGGGACCGCTCATCTCGTTCTTCATCACCGATTACCACGACATTTTCGGCAGCGCCAAGGACGAAGCGACGTCCCCTATCCGAGAGATCACTGTGTCGGCGCCGCTCACTCCTGAATCGGTGCGGTCTCCGCGGCATCAGATGTTCTCGGATCTCCCGACGCCGGCGTATCAAGGCACGTTCCAGGAGCAACACAAGCAGCAGCAGCAGCAGCAGCAGCAGCAGCAGAGCGTGGGATCTTCCAACTACGACACGGGTTTCATTCCGATGCAGCCCAGCTACGACAGTGCAGGGTATGGGTACGGAGAGGGGTACGGAAGCCTGAACAGCGCGGCGCTCGCGCCGTCGACGTCGCGGGAGGCTCGAGCTCGCAAGAGGGAAAGCGGAATGCTCCTGATGAACATGGGGCTTGGCGGGCAGCGGAAGAGCTCGCTGCAGAGACTGAGAGAAGAGCCGGGCATGGTGCAAGAAGAGAGCGCATTCGAATGAAGACGGCAAACGGCACTTCAACGCTGAAACGACACTAAGAAGGCATTTTCCAGGCACCACCGCTTCAACCACCCCTTGCGGCCCCGGGCGGCTCCGGGGACCATGTACATGAGGATTCGTCGGGGGGCACTTATTTTTCTTTTCGTTTCGCCAGGCTGTGCTGGGGGAGGCATCTACGAGAACATGGACATAGCTCTTCTCTTTTCCTGTTCGCTTCTGTTGTTTTGTCTTTTTCGACTGGGATTGCTTGGGCTTGCTACTTATACCCTTCTGTCTTCTCCAAGCAAGCGGTGTTTTGCTTATATACACGTAATTCTCATGGAGCACCGGTGACAGGTGACAGGTGACAGATGACAGTGCCGGCGTGGTGACGAGGCCCGTGCGCGTGCAAACCCCGGGACCCCGGGACCCCGGGACCCGCTGATGGGCGCGATCCCTGCCCGCATCGCAAGAGGCCCAAGCGGGCTGCCGCGGACAGGACGGGCCGGCCGTGCTTTGGGTGCTTTGGGTGCTTTGGGTGCTTGGGCCGCGGACGGGGCGTGGACGGGGCGGCGCATCAGGCGCATCAGCAGGCGCGCGCACGCACGCACGCACGCACGCACGCACGCACGCACGCATGCGTCGGCGGCGGGCGGGCTTTGGAATGACGTGAAAGACGCTGACGACACAAGCGTGCAAGGCTGACAAGCTTGGGCTCCCGCCCGCGTCTCCACCCCCGGCCGCGCTAGCGTGCTTAGCAAGGGCCAGGGTCAAAGGCTTGTGGGCTTGTCGAGCATCGAGAGGTCCACCAGCCGCCAACCCCGCCGTGGCCCATGGGAGGTACTGCTTACTCCGCACCCCGCGTCCCTGCCATCTCTCTTCTCTCCTCTTCTCCGCCGCCTCTCGCCTGCTGTGTCTCTCGTCGCCGCTCCAACAACGGTGCGTCCATCTTCCCCGCTTGCCATTGGCCTCAAGCTGCCCACCTGCGACCGTCTGCTTCTCCTCAAGCCCCCGCCGACTGACCCACTGACCTTTTCCCCCCAGCTCCGCACCAAAAAACCCTCTGCCAAGCCCTTGTCAGACATCTCCCGTTCAACAGGTACGTCCAGCATGCGTCTTTCCCCGACACCATCTGTCCAGTCTTCCAGCCAAGCATGAATGCAGTCCGCCCGCTGCTTTTGCTAATGCAGCCCATGTTCGAAATCAGAAGCAAGAAAAAAAAAAAAGGCTCATCAGATTTTCTCTTCCATTTTGGCCTTTTCACTTTAGTGGATTGCCACGGACAGACGACGCACTGCCAGAGAAAGCTTCTGGCGTGCTCGCTCCTATTGTTCTTCTTCTTCTCTCTCCGCGGTCACCAAACCATCCAGCAAAAAGTTCCAAAGTTGCCAAAAAAAAAACAAAAAAAAACCCCACATCAGCACCATCATGCCCGCCCTCGACTTTGCAATCCTGAACCCAACGGCGGCGGCGGCACAGCAGCAGCAGCAGCAGCAGCGAGGCGCGGCGACGCTGGTCCTCCACCGGCTGGTCAAGCGCAAGAACTGGGCTGCGCGCGAGCCCGGCGTCATCCTCGTCTTCTGCATCGTCGGCGCCATCGTCATCTTGCTGCTTTCGCTGTTCACGTGGAAAAAGCTGCAGCAGAGGAGGGTGGCCAAGGCTGGCTAGGTGGATGGGGTGGGGGCGTGGCTGTTGGCGCGATGGCGACGATAAGCGGGGTGGCGGGTCGGTCGTTGGATGGGATGGGTATACACGTGTGGGTCGGGAAGTGGGGCCTGGAGTTGGCCTTGATTGTTTGTCTTGGCTTTTATTGGATTCGATACTCCTTTTCTTGGTTTGTTTTTTTTTGGTCACTCATACCCTGGATTACACTAATGTCTGACTTCAACTTCTTGCGCCCCTTTTCCGGCGTGCATCATACGTACGCTCTTTTACTTCTTCCTCCCATCGGCTCAAGGTCGGGCTCTCCTGTACCGTCACATTCCTCACTCTCTTATTTGGACTGCTCTATGGCCTCTTTTTCTTTTCTTTTGTTCTTTTTTCCTTTTCCCCGCGCTTGCACAGCATGTTCAGCACACGGCTTGACTGACGGGGACGTATGGCTATTGTAGGTATGTATAGCGATGGCCGAAGCTTGGACATTTCCGGTCATTGATCATCAATGCCTTCATCTGCTCGAGTTTCGTTCTCTCGGCAACTTGACCCAACGCCCGCCGAAAGAGACAAGGTCACTTAGCACCGGCTAATCGGGTGATGGATGATGCATCGGGTTCAAAGGAACAAGGTCATTGTCGCATCTTCACCTGATTGACGTCCCAGAAGGGCTATCTATATCTTCCATGTTCAAGTGAGACTTTCTCTTGGGTAAATATGCTCCCGCATCATTACTAGTTGTAAGCGTGTTCCGGGTGGAGCCTGGGAATTGCGGCGGAAAAACAAGGAGCTTAAGTGATCTCCAGATTGTATTGTGCTATCAACCTGCCTCGAGTCCAAATTGCTGGGCTGCCCATTTGTTCTGTAAAGCATCAGCATTGGTGAGGGTCAGCATGACTTCCAAGTCTGGTTCCGTAATAGCCTTTGGCTATTGGAAGTTGCTGATATCAAATGCAAGCGGGCGCCGGCCTTTTCTCAGGGATGAGCTTGGTCAGTGTGTGTTGTTTGACCTTCATATCAGAACTAAGCGGGGAACAATGGAAGGACGTATCACTGTGGAGAGGGCCTAAAAGACCCTGTAGGAAGGGCGTCAGTTTTGGTCTCATCTACGACATACTCTAGAGAGGACGATGAAGACTGCCCACCACCTCCAGCGCTTGGCCTCTACCAGGAATCCACCACCAACAGGACCAACTACAGGACCGAGCAAGGGGCCCATGGCGAAGATAGCTAACATCTAGTCAGAGTAAGTGAGGAAAGAGGGAAGAGAAAACGCTGACGACGAATGTTGCTACGAGGCTTTTCGTTGTGTGGAAGGCTTTCAGAACCTACGGCACACCGGGAGCAAACATCGAGGAGGTAAGAGGGCTGGAGCCGACGTCTGTTGTGCTCCCTCTTTTGAACTGAATCCAGAGGCAAGGAGAAACTAACGTGATGAAAGTGACGAAAGACACGAGGCCCAAGTTGGCCCAATTATTTTTTTTCCGACTAATTCATGGGGTTTTCTGGACCTGTGTCACCGTCCCACCACACCAGGTTGAGGTCATGATCCTGTGGTCCGCCTTGCTCGTGTTATTTGTGCTCACTATCGGCAGCATTGCTGGCGGATGTGCTCAGTTGTCTGCTGGTGCCTTCGCTGCCAGTGCCCTTAGTGACCCCTTTTTCTTGATCTGTGTACTCGATCGTTGCAGCGGAACCCGGCTTGACCACCTGCTTTTCGGTCTCCATTGACTGCACTGGTAGATGTAGTTGTCGAAGAGTGTTGTGGGAGCACTGCCAAACGACCCTCGGTTTGGTACGGCAATCACTACGGACTAAATGCCCGAGCAGCGAGTAAGTATCAGGGCCGAATGCTTGGTAGAGCGTAGAATGGGAGAAGGGACGGGGGAAGGTGTTCTTGGCTGCCCACTTGGTCATCTGCTGTATCACTTAGCATTTCGCACCACATGAAAGCTTTTGAAAGAATCAACATTCAGGGATATAATCCAAAGATGCCTTACTCCCGTTCTTCAACAACCAATCCTCTGACCCTAATTTTATTCAGCCCATCTCCTTCCTGCAAGCAAATCTAAATCTTTTCCTGGACCGGCTCGTGAGACACGCTGATGCTGCCTTCCACGTCCTCGGCGTCGCTCTTCCTGCCCATGTGCCCGGTGGGAAGCATGTTGAGCTGGTCTTCCTGGGCGTCGAGTTCGCGGTAGCAGAACCAAAAGAGGGCCCCGCCCACGAACGAGATGACGGCCATGGACCCGTAGTTCCACACCAGCAGCGGGTCCGTCGACAGCGGGTTGAACGCCTCGCCGATGGCGGCCGAGATGGCCGACATGAAAAGCGCGAACGCCGCAACCAGCGACCGCATGTTCTTGGGCGCCTTGGAGAAGCCGTACTCCAGCGACGTGATGGACGCAAAGATCTCCGACAGCGCAATCAACACATAGGCCCCCGTCTGCGCCCAAACGTTGATGCTGACGTTGGCGCAGCCATCGTTCGACGGGTACGGGCCGCACTCGCTGTCCTTGTAGATATAGTACTGGAGGACGCAAGCCCAGACCATGGCCATGCTACCGGTGAAAAACCCCGCCGCAATCTTCTTGATTGGGGTGAATCTGATGCCCGCCTTGCGAAGAGCCGGGTAGATGAACAAATCGGCGATGGGAATCAAAATAATCAGCGCCAGTGGATCCAAGTTTGAAGATATCGGTTTGGTAGTTAGTAATGAAACAGAAAAGGCTGGGGATACTTACATCGTTGGGGATGCCGTGGAGCGCCATGGTCGATGCCTGAGACGTCAGGTTGTTGTTGAGCTGGTTGTAAGTGATCCAGTACAGTGGATACCACAGGAACACACTGCACGATTTCCAGCCGCGGCCAACCTCGTCGACCCAGGCGTCATCAAACGTCATCCAAGCCGGCTTGGCCGCGCCCAGCCTGGATGGCTTGAGCTCCTCCCAGAAGGTTCCGTCATGACAGTTCTTGTAGAAGGTGACAGGGTTCAACGAGAACCGCTTCTTTGACCCCAGCAGCAGAAGCTTGACAGCAGGGCCCAGCACACTGCCCTCGGGCTTGGTGTGGGCATACCACTTGCGGCAGAAGAAGAGGACCGGCAGGGCAACGCAGAACAGCACGGTCGGCAGCATGAAGGAGAGGTAGAAGCCGACATAACGCTCGGCGTAGGCCATGGTCAGTTGGCCGATAAGAGCGCCGATGTTGATGAACAAGTAAAACCAATTGTAGACCCTGGCCGTGGTGACAGCCGGATCGACAATGACGCGCTCGCCCTTCTTGGTGGTGTGCACGTACATCCTGCGGGGGATCTGTTCGGCAATCAGCGGAGAGATGTTGGGTTTGAAGCCACCTGTGCCAATCCCCATGATGATCAGACCAATGATGAAGGCGGCCAAAGAATGACTGGGAACGGCCATGACGGTTGGTGCGGCCGAGGCGGTCAGGATCACGTGGCCCACGATCGCGATGATGACAGAGATCCAGATGGTCTTGAAACGGCCAAGATAACTGTCGGCAACATATGCGCCGAACAGCGGGATGAGGTAGACCCAGAACTGGTTGAAGGTAGTCAGACCTGTGGAGGCCTGCTGACCCATGCCGAGGGCACCGGGCTGGGCATCGTCGGCACTGGGGTCAAGAGCCTTGCCGGTGGCGGTGCCGGGGTTGTCTTGCTGGATGAAGTTGACAAAGACCTGGCTGTGTTAGGAACTTGTGGGGTGTTGGCGGTGAAGTGAGGCGTACCTGGGTGGTCGCGTAGTACGAAAGACGCTCGACCAGCTCCACGAATGCGATGGTGTAGGCCTTGAGAGGGATCTTCTCGCTCACACGGTGGAGGGTGCGAAGCTCCTCGTCGGTGGGAATGGGAAGGTCGTGGTCAAGGTATTCGCTTTGGTGCGTGGCCTCGCCGTTGTAGACGGGCGGGAGCTCAACATCGTGAGCGCGGACAGAGAGCGAGCGCTGGGGATCACCGCTGCCGTCGACCAGGGTGACCTTGTCAATGACATGGTTGTCGGTGATATCGCCAGGCATGGTGAGTGCTGCAGGCTAGACGTCGACGGGGTTGGATATTGAAGGTCGAGGGGGACGGCCGCCGGCCTGAGCTGAGGTTAAATAAGACATGGCCCCGGGCGTGGGTATGCGGTCTCAGCGAGGAGCGGCGTCGGCGAAAGCTGGAGCTGGAGCTGGAGCTGGAGCCGGAGCTGGCTCTCGAACTGGGCCATTGCGACGTCGTTATCAATGTAACGCCGATTAGGCAGGTCGGCGCGCAGGGCATGGGCCATTCGAGAGCCGAGAAGGTCCGTTCAGGCGCCAGCCCCACGACAAGCAACGCCAACCAAAGCCACCGAAAGCTTTGCCGTCTCCAAGCATTAATATTGCCTTGGCCTCTGTCTGTCTCTGGTGGATGCTCGATGGACAGGCCCAGCCCTTCTGCCGGCTTTCTAGAAGCACGCGACCCTGCAGAACGCGCCATCTGCTGGGTTATCATTATCATCCAACGGGGAACGAATAGTAACGACGTCTTCTGGTGGCGGATAGCGAACAAGCGAGCCCCGGCACTTGTCGAAACGCGTCCGTTACGCGTGCTCTGCCGTTGTCGGCGCCATCCGAGGCGGGGGCACGACCACCAGACCAGATTTTCGCCTCTCGCACCGCCGTTCTGGATCGCTGCTGAGCCCGTGCCGCAGCCCACCGATTCAGCTCGCTCCACTGTGGAGCATCTCACAAGATACTTTAGCCAGCCCGGTAGCGAGATTGACGTGTTGTCCTCTCCAGACACCCGTCGAGCGAGCGCCCGAGTTTTCCGCTCGACGGTTGCGACCTCGATTTGTCGTACCAATTGCCGTCCCGGCTTCTGCGAGCGGACATGGACCTACATTTGCCTTTCAATACGGACGTAGATGGATGGTGCACTGGCGATATTAGCCGGCAAGCCACAGCCCGCACCGACCGGGCCCGCCCTGGTCTCGCAACCGCCTTTCCAACCACCTGGTCCGTGGATTATGAGACGCTGGCGGGCGAGGGCCCAATCAAGTCCTTCGTCGGTGGCTGCCCCCTGCATACCCGTGCCGCTCGGAGCATCGCTTGTTCAAGTGGCTTGTATGATTGCTGCTCATTTATCTTCGTCCTTCTCTTCTGAGGTAGGTCCGCACGTAGCCATGGAACCGAGTCCTTGAGCAACCACGCCACGCCGCACAATCTTTCGTCTCTAGCCCGTCGCAACCGCCGGGAAACCGTCAGCCAGGGAGCTGCAGATGCCGGGAGCATTGATATACCCGCATACCTTCGCTGAGGCTGCGGTTGAACGATAGCTGGGCCCACGTTAACGTCGTCTGGACAAGAGCGCATGCTTTGGCTGCTTCAGGGCCATCGCTCGATCACCACCGGTCAGCGAGCGATGAGGTGCAGGTCTGTCCTGCCCCTCTCCAATCAGTCGAGTCACGTCCGCCGCTGGTCGTACAGATGGGCTGGAGGCCAGAAGCAGCTGCAAGCAGAGCATGTGCAGTCCTCTTCTCGCTCAGTCCCCAGTCTCTTTTCTGCACACGGGGTTCCGGTTCCAGGCCACGCTGACTGTTGTTGCTGCTAGCATCGTCCTGGGCGTTTCTGCCCTCTCGTGTCTCTGCGAGCTGGTGAGGCTGGTCGGGGTGTGGCTCGGGAGGGTGGCATGCCGTGGCACGCTGCACGGCCTCGACGCTGCCCGACGGCAGCGGTGGCAAGCCGACAAGGAGCGCACTGGCCGAGAAATGCGTCGCCCGGGGAACGGCGAGCATGGCAACACAACGCAGCGGCCATGGCCACGCGCGAGCGAAACGGTTTGAGCGACGGATCTGCGAGGATGCCTTGGCCGGGGAAGGCACGACTACGTCACAGATGCTCCTGCCAGCAAAGCGGCCCCCCACGTGACCCCAGGCTCTGTCGTCGCTGCTGCCGTCGACGAGCTCGCCGTGTTTGCTAAGCTCGTCGCTGCCTAACCTGCGCCAACGCCCCAGCGCCGCCGGTGAGTCGAGTTGACGCAGCTTCTGCGCCCCGGGCCCTGCCGCCGCCCGCCCAGTCCACTCGCCAGACGCCCAGCTCCACCTACAACTAACCGTTGCCTGCTCTCCCCCCCCCGCTGGACATGTCGCCTGCCCCTCGCGACTGAGAACCCTGCCCTCCGCCATGGCCGAATTCGCCCCCATCATCCAGGTCGTTGCCTGGGGCACAAAGCTGTCGCTCAGCCTGTACGACTTCGCCATCCAAAACCACTCAGCTACCCGAGACGCCAACCGCATCGCAAAGAGTGTCAGCCTCTTCTCGCTCATGCTGAAGCAGGTTGGCACTTTGCTCCGGGAAGACGTCGCCTCGCCCTCGCCCGAGTCCTACGAGACCGTCCAGGACATCACCCTGCTCGCTCAACATGCTTTTGCCGCCATCGACGAAGTCCTTGCAAGCAGGCCGCAGCCGAATGATCCCGATGGCTCTGCCTCTTCGCCGCCGCGAAAACTGGACCTTGTCTCCAAGAGCAAGCTGCACTATCTCCTTGCCTATGTCGACGCTCTGAACTCGACCCTGTCTGTCATGCTCCAGGCTTTTTACACGGTGCGCGTCATTGCATGGTCGAGGTCAGCCGACTCCCCGATGCTTTCCCGCTACCCTATCTGAGACTGACCTACTGCACTACAGATCTCGCCAAGATCGAGCCCCGGCCTCTGCCGCTGATGCAGTTGCTAACGAACGCTCTCAACTGGAAGTCTTGGTCATCGAGCAACAGCTCCTCCTCCTTGATGTCTCCGAGGCCCATGATGAATACCGCCGCAGCCGCGACTTCGCTGCCTCTCCGAGCAACTCTGTGCACTCTGATCACAGGGATCTCGCTACAGACCAGGACAGGACTCCGTCTCCGAGCACTCTTGAAAAATACAAGGACCAATCGATCAAGACCGCGGACTTTCCGGTCAATGTCACTGAAAGCTCCGCCTTGGTCCGCAGCATCTCGTCTAGATTTAGCAACGATATTTTGCATAGATGGACAAGGCTGAGCCATATCGAACGCCGGCTGTCCGCGGCTGAAGAATATCCTGGCACCCTTCCGAAGATCCAGCAAGGGCTCCAACGCCGAGATAGCTATCAGCCCCGTGTAGAGTCCGAAAGCGAGGACGAAGCAAGCCCCCACCTGACGCAGAGAGATTCCGAAGTAACGTCTCCGCGACCGCAAGGAACACCAAGTTTCCACCAGGCTGGAGCCATGGAACGAAACGCCCTGCCGATCCCGGCAGCAGGCATCCAAAATCTTCGATCAAGCGCCCCTTTCTCACCAGGGGGCACTTATGCTTGCCTTTCTCCTTCCACTGCGTACCTGCCAGCCGGGGCATCGCCAGCCCGATCACTAAATTCGGGATACTTTCCTTCATCTCCGCGCGCTAGTCTTAATGCCATCGGACCAAATCAGGGCCCGGCGCCTGAGGTTAGAGAAAGGGCCACCAGTAATGGACTCGGTATTCCATGGAGGCTCTGGCAGGGGAGCAATAGGTGGGATTTCGTCGACGATCAGGTCATGAACAGCAATACGCAAATGCCGGTGGAGAAGGCTTACGCCGAGCGTAATAGCTGGACGGAGATAATGCAAACTTGGGTACGGAGAGAGGCGATTGAGGAAGCTCGATATAGCTTCAACCAGGTGCAGAAGGAAATACCGGACGGAAAACGCACAAGGTTTGAGACGTGCTTTTGTATCGGAAAGGCCCTTACTTACGTGAGTCTTTGTTGACCGAGGCTCCGTTCGTGATACTAATAAGAACAGACGGAGATTCGAGGTCTCGTCGATCGATCCGTCGAGCTCTTTCGACAGGCGCAATATGACCCACGGCTTAATGCGGAGCTGAGTGACTCCAAAAGCAGTGCCCGAAGCATCAACAGTGCAGAGTCTTCCCGACGCGACCGAACCCGGAAGAGTCACAGCGACCGGCCGCGGGGTGATTTCGACTCTTCGACCAACGACTCTGACTCTGACGCCCGCCCTCGTGCGCGGCGCACGACTTCCTCGTCGAACTTCAACAACCGCAGAAGTGGTAGCAGGCGTAAGAAAGAACGCGAGAAGAGAACCAGCGGTAGCCATGCATTCGGTACCTTGGCCAAGTATGGCGGCGTTGCAGCTCTTCTCGAAGGGTTACCGGATATCCTCCGCGGCATCTGAGGCGGTGCCGCATGGCCGTTTTTCTGGTCGAATCCATTCCATTGGTCTCTTTTTGGTGTGGCGTAGCGGTGATCGAAGCGGATACCCCAAAGCAGCCCTTGAGCGCAAGGATCGCTGACTTTATCGGAGTCTTTTTCTCTTTATTGATGATACCTTGGTAGCTTATGAATTTGGTCCATTCATACACCTTTATGCCTGTTGTGGTACACCTCACAATGTTGACTCCAACCGTCCAGTTTTTCGTGGCAGATGGAATCTGTGAGTAGCCTCCCAAAAGTAATAAGTGTCTCCAGAGGTTGAGGGAGGCGGGAGTGTTTTGACGCCGAGAAAAGGGACCTTGGCCCTCGCGTTGCAGAGAAATAGCGGAGAAGCTCCGATTGCAGGAAGGATAGACCCAAGGTCCGACAATGAGGGAACTTTGACCTTCAATAACATGAGGCCCGTGCTTGCCATTGATCAGACTTCCGACTAACAACCACAGCCAGAGATCACTTGAGCAAGAGTGTCTTTTCTCGCATCATTCCAGTTTCCTGGGAGATCAGACGGGCAGTGTTACCCTCTAGGACATCCTATCGAATCTCCGAGACAAGCGCCAAGACTCGACAAGTTTCTACTAACCGCAATACCGTTCTAACTGACACTTTTATTTGAAATAGAAAACTTGCTCATGACCCCAAAGTTGTCGATGAAAAGAAGGGTGGCCGCTTTCCATGGGGGCCCAAAGAGGCCCTCAAATGGGATGCGTGGAGTGGCTGTTGATGGGAGCGAACTCGACCTCCTTTTCTCACTTGTCTCGCCGCGGGTGACTATTTTGGCCATGATGACTTTTTTTTTTTTAAAAAAAAAAAACCAGGAACCTTCGACCAGTCCGTAACAAGTTAAATACAAACCGTGCAACCAGTCCGGGCAAAAATTGCTGGTGAGCTTGGGCAAACTGCGAGCCGTATCGCATCGAAATTTCCTAGCCTCGACTTCTTCAGTGGAGCATCGCGCCTACTTACCGGGCCGGGGCAGAGCCAGCTTGGGGAACGCGAAAGGATTGTATTCGCTTCTCTTTCTTGTACTATATCGACTCGCTCATGGGGGCTCTGCCGGCTTGAAGGCGGGGTAAAATGGTATCGAGCATGCTAGCTTCCTGCTACTCGCTGCGAAAGCTATGAGTTAGCATGGGGTCGTTGAGAAACGTACTGATACGTTGTCATGGCCCCTCATGCGTACATTTCTGGGAGCTCGCTACTTGGACAAACACGAGATGTTTTCAAACCGATGAAAAGCTTTGAAGGGCTTTCAGAACAGAGTGCACCGATAAGGAGTCGAAAATGAATTGGAGGCCGTGTTGTGGATTGGAGAAGAAGATGAGAGCGCCAAGCACGGTATTTATCTGCATCTCGGAGCATTATGGACTACGTCTTATCACCAGAGTAACCAGGAGCGGCCGTAGAACTTTGGGACCGAACTGGTTGCCCGGAGAATCCAAAAAGCTTGGACGCGCTGGCGTATGAATCGAGAGCTGGTTGTTGGGGGGACTGATACTGGTGTCTACACCGAACCATGGGCGAGGCCCAAAGACTACGACAGGGCTGTCTCGGCACCACTGCTGCCTTGTTTCTTCGGCGTGTCGCTCCGGTTCAGGACGATCGGGGTGGCCGCCACTTCGTTGCTGCACCGTAGTCTCGCCATCGCAACGGCGTGATTCCGAGCCGACCCGATGCGACATTCGCTCACTGTTCTTTTAGCAGTGGAACAGTGACAGCATCGGTTGCTGGGGAGTTTTGCGGGTAGCGTACCAGATGCCTCACCAGGCCTTTTTGCCCCGAAACGGTCTAGGACGGGGTTGCGTAGGAGCGTCGCCATCCCTTGGGTAGCCAGACCGGGCTGCGCTCCATACCTTTCTCTTTCATCACTCTTGCTTTTGTTTGGTGAACAACCATTAGTATTGGCGGAGAATCTGGGGGCTTGCGCGGGGTCAGCGTTGGGTGCGCTGATTTTTCCCCCCACTGGTTGTGCAGCGCTCATCAGCATGGCTTGCTGTCCATCTCACTGTCAATCTGGGCATTTTCTTAGCCTTCAGCTGGGCTGATGAGGGGGGTGCCCGAGAAATTTGCATTTTGGACTTCTTGGCTCAGATACGGGTGCCTGGTGAGCAAGAGAGCTAAAAACGGACGATTCCAAGTCTTGGCCGGCGGGGGATTGTTGGTGGTTCGGAAGGATGACACGATGGGAAGAGAAGGATGTAGAGGGATTCTGCGAGCCAAGCGAGCATCGCCATGGCTTCGAGGATGGTGGTCACTGATCAAGCGACAGCAGCTTACTCGATCAGCGTTGATGTTGTCGGGGCACGTGGTGGACCTTTCGGTGGCACAGCATTTGCCAGAACCGACCCGGTCAACAAAAAAGCAGGCGAAGCGGGTGTCAGCTGAAGTAAGGTTAAATATTAGCGGTCGCTCGACCGGGCTCCACGGCTCGTGTCACCGGTGTCGCACGGGCGGTGTCAAATGAGAATGATGGCAAGGGATAGCGTATCGGCGATGGCGAGGGTGAAGAAGTCGTGGTTCGGGAGAGCCGCATTATCGCTGGTGGACCCAAGATACTGCACGGCGAAGGGTCTCCTGATACGCGCCACAGCATGTGCGGGCGAGGCGCGGGTCTGCAGTAGTGAGACGCCGTGTCGGTGCGGTGCTGCGGGCGGGATTCTGCGAGACAGAGGGCTGTACTCTTGGCCGGGCTATCGACGAGGCAGCGGCGGATGGTTCTCTGCTCACGGCTCACGGCTCACGGCCAAGAGCAGGAGAAATAGCAGACGATGTGCCGTGCGGGTTCCGGGAGCCAAGGAGCCGAGCGCGACGGTGGAGGGCGTGGTCAAAGCACAGGGCTGAGGCAACGCCACCAGGCTGTGGAGGGGGTATTTTTGCGGCGTCAGCGCTACCCCGGCGGGCAGTGAGTAAGCGTTGAGCGCAAGCCCCTGGGTGGCTGCGTTTCGCAGCATGCGCCGAACGGGGCAGAGGCGCGTGCGGGGACAGCGAGCAGCGAGCAGCCAGCTGGGTCTGGGCGCGTTGGAGTTGAGCGTGCAGCAGGCGCGTGGTGCTGGCGAGGGCAAGGGCGACGGGGCTCCAAGGCTCGCTCCAAGGCTCCAAGGCTCCACCTCGTGCCTGCAAGTTCGGCTCTCCAGCCGGCCCGCCGCCGCCTGCTCGACCACCTCGACCACCTCGACTGCCATCTCGCCAACCACCGACCTCGACGCTCTGCTGCCCGCTCGCCAACTGCTGCACGATGGCGGGACGACCCGGCCTGTGGCCATGCCTGCCACCGTCGACCCGGCTGCAACCCGCTCTCCAGCTGGCGCGACCTGCACGATACATGCCGGCGTCAGATCCGTCAGATCCTTAATCGCGTGGTTATCGACGCCCATGGCAACCGCAGCGGGCTGCAGTCGCTCTCCCCTACTGGCTCTGCTGGCCATGCTCTGACCCGCCCAAAATAGCGGCCCACGCGGAGTGGCGCGCCCACGCTTATCCTCCACGCCTGCTCTCACGTCAAAGTACCGTCTCCGGCTAGCCGTGACTGGCCCACGATCAGCACCCATCCTCAACATTCCCCTTGGCCGCCTGCTTTTTCTCTGTGCGAGCCTGGTCGGCCCAATCGCTGCCTGCATTGCCCCGGCTCTCCGCTGACGGCCTGCATGCGCGAACATCCTTCCTCCCTGCACCGCGCCGCCGCCCTGCTGACTCTGAGCAAGAGGCGGCTCAACCTCAGGTCACTTCCATGGTTCTCCTGATTGGCCCAGTAACCAACCCTCGGCACTGCGCCTGCAACGACGCCGACACGCTGCCTTTATCCCCATGTGCCTTGCCTCTTTGGGGTCAACTCGGCCAAGATGTGGATGCAGAGATCGTGGCATCGCCTGCTCACCAAAGCCTGCGCTGGGCAGCCCCACCGCCCGCCACCGAGGTGTTGCCCCCGGCTACCTGCTGCGACTCGTCCTTTATAACCCATCGTGGCCCCGTCCCAATCATGCTCCTCTCCAGCTCACCATCATTACTCTCATCAACATACAAGGGCTTTGCTCAGCTCGAAGAACCTACACCCGTCCTTCTCCCGGCCCATATTTCTTTGCCTTTCATTTGCCAACGCCTTCCACTCTCTAGCTATCACAATGTCTTTCGTTGCCAGGTCTGTAGTCAGGGGTCTCGCCGCCCGGTCCGCCTTCACAAATGGCTCGTGGACCGGTGCCTGGGAGGCTCAAGGCAACACCAGAGGCAGCATCTCTTCCCAGGCCAGGAACGGTACGTGTTCTCTTCCCGACCCTCACTTCTGCTTATTGGCTGACATTGAGTCTGCAGGTGCTGGTCTCCTGGGTACCTTGGATGCACCACAATTGCCTCACTGCTTAGGCCAGCCGCCGTGGAACGATCAGGATCCCAGCATGCCCGATACTGGCGTTACACGAGAATACGACTTCACCATCACCTTCCAGGATATTGCTCCCGATGGCGTGACAAAAAGGGGTGTGCTTGTCAATGGCCAGTTCCCTGGTCCTTTGATCGAGGCCAACTGGTATGTCCCATTTCCGTCTCGGCCTTGTCGATGATGACTGACTTCCTCCTCAGGGGTGACTGGATCCAGGTCACAGTCCACAACGCTCTCGGTAGGGACGAGGGCGAGGGCACTTCTATGCACTGGCACGGCTTCCTGCAAAAGGAGAGCCAGTGGATGGATGGTGTTCCCGGGGTGCAACAGTGCCCCATCACCCCCGACGACAGCTTTACCTACCGCTTCCGTGCCGAGCAGTATGGCACTTCATGGTACCACAGCCACTACAGCGCGCAGTATGCGGGTGGAGCCGCGGGTCCTCTTGTCGTCTACGGCCCGGACAGTGACGGTTACGATATCGATCTCGGTCCTGTCATGCTTTCCGACTGGTATCACGCCCAGTACTACGATATCGTGAAGGAGACGATGAAAGCCGATCCGACCGGAAAGAACCCTTCGGCCCCGCCGCCATCCGACAACAACCTGATCAACGGCTACGGTGAGTTTGACTGTTCCACCACCAACCTGTCCTGCGTTCCCGACGCTGGTGTGGCCAAGTTCAAGTTCACGGCAGGAAAGAAGCATCGCCTTCGGTTGGTCAATACTGGGGCCGAGGCTATGCAGAGGTTCAGCATCGATGGGCACACAATGACTGTCATTGCGCACGACTTTGTTCCCGTCCAGCCTTTTCAAGTGACTGCTTTGACCCTCGGCGTCGGACAGCGAGCAGATGTCATCGTCGAAGCTACCGGAAAACCGTCAGAGGGCTACTGGATGCGTTCAGACATTGGGCTCGACCGCTGCAATGCCTTCAACCCCGCGGCGTCGGAAGCGCTTGCTGTCGTCCTCTACGACGATGCTGATCCCGACATGGTGCCCGCTTCGACGGCCCAGCCTGATGCGAAGCTGGAGATTTGCAAGAACGACGATATTTCGCTTGGCCTCCCGCTGCACCCCGTGATGCCCGATCTCAACCCGTCGGTGACTACGGAGCTCCGCATCACCAACGAATGGAACGGGACGCACTGGCTGTGGCACTTTGGCGGCCCGTCGTACCGCGCCGACTTCAACGACGCTCTTCTCTACCAGATCCAGCAGGGCAACGCCGAGTTTGGACCTCAGAGCAACGTGCACGACTTTGGAACCAACAAGTCGGTCCGGTTCGTCATTTACAACGACTCGCCCGCGCAGCATCCCATGCACATGCACGGCCACAACTTCTGGGTTCTCGCCGACGGAGTGGGCACGTGGGACGGTACCATATCCAACCCGAGCAGCCCTCAGTTCCGCGACGTGCACATACTGCAGCCGGGGTCGACGGACAGCCCATCGTACATGGTGATCCAGATAGAGCTCGACAACCCCGGGCTGTGGCCATTCCACTGCCACATCGCCTGGCACGTCTCGGCCGGGCTCTACCTCAACATCCTTGAGCAACCTGATGACATCAAGAAGCTTGCGATTCCATCCTCATTTGGCGATCAGTGTAAGGTCTGGGGAGACTACACTGCCACCAACCTGGTTGACCAGATCGACTCGGGGCTGAAGAAGAAGGCCACGAAGTCGGGTCTGCAGAGGAAGGCCATGTATTTCTGAGCGGAGCCACCCTTTTTCCAATTTTCTTCTGTCTTTGGCGCATGAATCAACTGAGGCGTAGATCGAGCGAGTCCCATGAGCATTTACACGGCGTGGCTTGTTTTTGGTGGGTAATTTCTTCTGTTAGTGCTTAATTGTTAATCACAGCGAGTTGAGTCGGCGGTTGTGCCCCGACTGTAAGTAGTAGTATTAGTAGTAGTAGTAGTAGCAGCAGCAGTAGCAGCAGATGTAGCAGTATATAGGACAGTATACAGGATCCTCTCAAGGGGAACGTTGGAATGCAGAATGATATAGATTGTCCCTCTGTTCACCATATATGTACATACATGCGATGCTGCTGGGGGGATTGATAGGTACCGTCTGCTTGGGTCGTAGCGCACGCGCTTCAGAACCAGCAGGGCGGGTATGCGCCATTGCTCACAACTTCGAACGTCGCAACCCGAAGGTGCGGTTTTAGCAACGAAGGAGAGTCGGCCCGTCGAGAGAGGGCCCCGGCTCGCGGTTGAAGTTGTCGTCTGTTGCCCGCCCGGTTTCCTCCTCCCCCCTCGCCGACGCTTTTTCCATCGTGGCATCGTGACAACCTTTATCTAAAGTATGCATCTACATCTCCTTTTTGCATTGGTGTCTTCACTACGGCCGCCATGTGCGTGCCTGCCATGATGGCCCATCCACCCCGCCCAGACCACCACCAACCCCCGGCCATCATCCCGACACACCCGAGTCGGTGAAGAACGAGCGCTGGCGCCAACACCAACGGAAACCAGGAAAGAGAAAATGCACTGACCGCTTTTCCTTCCCAAGCCCACGGCTCTGGATGTATTTTTCTGTTGTTGGCCCCGGCCCGCTGACCGGTCGGACCGGATGGGTCATATGGCGCAACTCGCCTACCCAGCGCCTCGGGTCCTTGGCCTGTGCATGGGTATTTAGAGTTTCGCGGAACCACGGGAAGATGGCTGCGTTTTTTCGTTCTTTTGGGGGCGCTGATGGCTTGGAGGGTTGGGTTGGAGGCTAAGGTTATTGTTATTGTTGCAATTAGATGCTTGGTGCGGTGGTGTACGTGTGGGGTGCCTAATTACCATCCAACGCACAATTAAAAAAGAAAGACCCTAAGGTTTTCTTCAGTTCGCGACCGTTCGTAGCTTTGCAGAGGCTCGCAGCTTTCCCAGCGCCAGGATGCCTGTTGTCAATTACATCGCCGAAACGCTTTACCCTGCTAAGGATGATGAAGAAGGTTAAAAGAAGGTAAGTTGATTGATTAACTAACTAACGTAGCACATAGCTTAATATAGGCGGTAGGAAGCTTGCAATGACGTCATACTTCGACATACCTACCCACCCACCTTCGACGGCTCTTTCAGCGATATAGCGATCGTAGATTCGGAGCTTATAGTTGCTTAAAGACCTATCTCGCTCACAGCTGTTTCGCCAAACGCGCCGAAATTCAGATAGTCTACGGCTTAATAGCATAGAATTTTCTTTGCTGCATAGATAATGTCCGCTTTTCAAATAAGATCCCAAGGACCTCGGAGATTCCCAAAACATAAACTTGACCATCTGAGGGCCTGCACGTCTCACTTCACCATTGAAGCGCTGTTCCCAGGAAACTCTGCGTAGGAAATGTTACTTCGAGCTCTACTTCTTCGTCATTGATTCCCGTGTCTCATTCATTGCAGCTGTAAGGACGAGTTGAATCTGCTATCCGACAGACCTGTAATTCATCAATCACGTGACGGACCCAAGCTTGTAACGTCTGACGCGACCGCGTTTAGGCTGCCCACTACTTTCATCCTCCCGATCCAACTGATCATCGCCCTTTCAACACAGACTCAGGTCCAACAACTTCGCAATGGAGCCGGCAAGAGCACCGCACTCACGGAGCCCCCCTACCCTTGACTGCCGATGAGTGTAGTGCATCAACGCAGCTCGCATGACGGGCGCGGCTTCCAGAAGGACCTTGAAAAGCCCACACAGGCCATCGTCGACAAAAGTCCCCTCAGTAATCCTTGACCACCATCGCGTCCACATGGAACGGCAACGCGCACTCCTTCATACTGACCGATCGACTCAAGTCGCAGGGCCGAACCAACCGCAGTCTGCATGGATTTAATGGTTCGAGAGACTCGACCTGGGAGGCCTGCATTGATAATGGCCATGTGATTGTTTTACGTCGGGTTGGTTGCTGGCGGTGCTGACGTGGTCAGCTGGCTGAACGCCACGTCCGCATTACTTGCATGTCTGCGTCAGCGACGGGGTGAAATGAACGAGAAATGCTTCGACTGTTCATCCATGAGCCGTTCAAATCGAAAAAGAAGCTGGAGCTGGAGACATGGATCAGTGTTGAAGCATTGACTTTGCCCGGGGAACACGACGAAACTAGAAACAGTCATGATGCAGAATACGAGTTGCCGTTACCCTCTGCCGCCAAAATGCGGGTCATGAGCGGATATTCGACTGCAAGTCAGCTGCAATGCCCATACCTTCCGAGCACGTTCCGTGCCTCGAGGTAGAAAGCAAGGCAGTGGTGCTGCGCGTGTGCAAAAGTAGCTGTCAAGACGCAAGGGCCGCGCCCTACTCCACGTTTGCTTATTCTGTCGATCCCCTTTCTTCGGCTCGGCCCGATGCACATGCTTTAGGTACACGGGCCGAAGATCGGCCAATAGATCAAGCATGGCACCACAGCATGCTCAGCAGAATCAGCGGTCGAGACAATGATTTAGACGGCTAAGTGCAAACGAAGCCTTTACAGACACGTACTGTAGACATTGAGCTGCGCCTTCCTGCAACAGTAGTAGCATAGAAAGCAACGGGAAATGCAACCTTGGGCCTCGGAAGCTTATTACCCTAATCGTATCCAAGCAGGCTGTAGGCTTTGGACTGGCAGCAACGGATTTGAGAATGGAGGGGGATGCGCTGCGTGAGGGTTGCAAAGCTAATTGATCATATGTCAGCAGACAGGGCGTTTGACGCCCCAGGGGCGCAGGGCCAATGTTCGTCGAATGGTGCCGCTACTCCCTAATTGCTCGGTCCGGAAGCATGGTGCTCCGTTCGATGCGCCGCACCAGCCTTCTGAAGGTCACCCCCAGTCGCATTCCCGACCTGATGAGCGTTTGAGCCCAACGACGGGCTGCAGCTCAATCAACTTTCCCGTCCCGTGGTTCGGGGAAAGGGAAGTAAAACCCGACACAAAGGAAATAAGGCGGAGATAGGTGAAGTAATTGCAACAACAGCACTTTTTTTTTCGTCCGCTTACGAACCGCTATCACCGTCCGAGCGTCGAAACGAGGGATCAAAGCCGGATGTGGCTGCGACTTTGGTTTGCCCCGGAGCCGGAGCGGCGTTTGCTCAGGGTTTCCGCAGAAGCGAGCCAGCAAAGCGGTTATTATTCCCTGCAGTGGGGCCAGAAGCTGGCATCAGCACATGGACACGAAGCTTTGTTAGTGGTGGACGGGATACCGTGTGGGTGGGATGAACAAAGAGTCGTCGGGTGCCGGTTGCGGAAAAAGGAAAATCAGCGAGGAGGCGCTAATGGGAGGAACAGAGGGTGGGAGGGTCTAGGCCACCTGCAAAGGATTCGGGAAAGCAGAGCACGGCTCGGCCTTTCGGGAAGGCCGATCCCCCATCCTGGGTGCGCAGGCGGGCCCGTGGTTGGAGCTGTCGTCCCGTCGCGGAAAGGCTCGCGAGGTCAAGTTCGAGGGCGTTGGACAAGTCAACCGAGAACGGAAACGCTTGCGAGGCTCTGCGTCGGGAAGGAAACGTGGACAGCCTGACGCCTGATGAGCGATTATGATCCTACCTAGGCAGTTCCGAGGAGTTTTCGCGAAGGAGCGGGTAGGCCACAGGGCTGAGGGCGGGCGCCACAGGAGGTGAGTCACGGCGTACGGCGTACGGCGTACGGCGCGCGGCTGGCTGCAGCGAGAGGGCGATGGGCAGAGGGCGGTGGAGGAGGTTGATGGAATGAACGGGCGTCTGGCGGAGCAGAGGTTTGGGAGGCCAGGCGTTCGGGGACCTACTCATGGTCAGTCGGGCGCGGGACGGCCGAAAGCGAGCGCGAGCCAGACCGACGAGGCAACCTACCGGTAGGCAGCCGCAGCGGGCGTGGGCGTGGGCCCTTCAATTCCCGCGCGGCCAGAGTAGAGTCTTGGCTGCCTGCCGGCGGGACGACTGCGGATGACAGTTGGCCCGGCGGCGTCCCAGCTTTTCCTCCGCGCTGTTCGCGCCGCCTCGCTCTGCCCGCCCGCTGATTGGCGCGTCCTTTTGGCGGCACGCCGCCGCCGCATGGCGCAAGAAGCCATGCGTGCTTGACAGCATCGTTGCATCTGCACCGCCTGTCCGGCAGGTCACGCCCGCGCCCGTGCCCACCATGGCTTTTATACATGACTGCCGCCTGGCCGCTTCCTCGCTCTCCTCAGGCACCCGCCCTTCGACACTCCCGGCCCAGACAAAGACGCCCCTGCTCAGGCCCTTTCACCATGCCCGGCTCCCACTCCGAAGCCGCAACAATGGACGCCTCGTCTCTCAACTCCAGTCCCTCGCCGTCCGTCAGCGAAAAGGACCCCGTTGACTCCGCCGCCATGCCCGTCGAAGAGGCCCAAGAGCCGCGCGAGAAGGCCGCCTCCGCTGGCGGCCCCGTCGAGCTCGCCACGCTTGAGAAAGCTGCCGACGACGCCACGCCCACCCAGGAAAACGAGGACGAGTATCCCAAGTCGTTCAAGCTGGCCTTCATCACCATCGCCCTGTGTCTCTCTGTCCTGTGCATGGCCCTGGTGAGCCCTGTCCTCCCTGCAAGCCTCCAGCATCTCGGCCGCTAATCTGCCCAACTGCAGGACAACACCATCATCTCCACCGCCATCCCACGCATCACTGACCAGTTCAAAGCCCTTGACGATGTCGGCTGGTATGCCTCTAGCTATCTGCTCACCACTTGCGCTTTCCAGCTCATCTTCGGCAAACTGTACACCTTCTTCTCCATCAAATGGATATACCTGACCGCCCTGTTCATCTTCGAGCTCGGTTCTTTCATCTGCGGCATTGCCCCGTCCTCGGAGGCCCTGATCGTCGGCCGAGCCATCGCAGGCGTCGGCTCCGCTGGTATCTTCTCGGGTGCCATCCTCATCGTCAGCAAGACTGTCCCTCTGCGCCAGCGGCCCACCTACACCGGCCTCATTGGTGCCATGTATGGAATCTCCAGTATTGCCGGCCCGCTGTTGGGAGGCGTTTTCACTGACAAAGTGACTTGGCGTTGGTGGTGAGTCTGATTCAATGCTCGATTGTGAGCCAGCTCTAACAGCACACCCAAGCTTCTACATCAACCTCCCCTTCGGTCTCATCACTGCAATCTTCATCTTCTTTTTCTTCAAGTCGCCCAAGATTGTCAAGAACACCGCCTCCGGCTGGAAGGCCAAGCTCAACGAGTTCGACATCTACGGAACCTTCGTTTTCATTCCCGCCGTCGTGTCCCTGCTTCTCGCTCTCCAATGGGGCGGTTCTCAGTACGCTTGGGGCAATGCCCGGATCATTGCCCTTTTCGTGGTCTTCGGCATCCTCATCAGCATCTTCATCGGCATCCAGTTCTGGAAGCAAGAGAGCGCCACGGTCCCGCCCCGCATCTTCAAAGACCGAACCGTCTGGTCTGCCGCCGTTTTTAGCGCATTCCTTGGCGCCGCCTTCTTCATTATGATCTACTACATCCCCATTTGGTTCCAGGTCATCAAAGGCGCCTCGGCTGTCAAGTCGGGCATCATGAATCTTCCCATGGTTCTCGGTCTTGTCATCGTTAGCCTGATCGCCGGCATCCTCGTCTCGGTACTCGGTCACTACGTTCCCTTCATGATCCTGTCCTCCATTTTCATGTCCATCGGCGCCGGTCTCCTGACCACCTTCGAGGTCGACACTGGGCACTCTAAGTGGATCGGCTACCAGTTCATCTTCGGCGCCGGTGTCGGCTTCGGAATGCAGCAGACGCTCATTGCCGTGCAAGCCGCCCTCCCCGCCGCCGACATCCCTATCGGCACCGCCATCATCATGTTCTCGCAGACGCTGGGCGGTGCCCTGTTCGTCTCCGTCGGCCAGAACATCTTTACGAACCAGCTGATCAAGAACATCTCGGCCGCCGTTCCCGAAGGCGGCGCTCAGCTGCAGGGCTTTGTCCTCTCCACCGGCGCCACGGAGCTGCGCAAAGCCATCACGCGCGTCTTTCCGCAGTATCTGGATGGCTTGCTTAGTGCGTACAACGACGCGCTGACCGAGACCTTCTACGTCAGCGTCGCCATGTCTGCGCTCAGCTTTGCGTTCGCCTTGTGCGTCAAGTGGGTCAGTGTGAAGGGGAAGAAGATTGAAATGGGCGCCGCTTGAACGTGCTCGTTTAGTTCTTCAGCCCGCGTCCGCCAATCTCTCGGTTTCTGCGCAATAATCTGTTCACGCCATGTTTCACCATTTAGTTATACCCCAAGAGCCTTTCCACTTACACAAAATCCTTTAATGCAACCCCGCCGGGCAACGTCGGGTTCCAAAAAACATTTACCATGTACGATATCGGAGTCACGACTGTGCATAGCATCGGCGCTTGTTTCTCTTGGGAGGAGGGGGAACCCATTTATTTTAGGGAACCAATGTTGTTCTTATTCGAAATCTCGACTCTGGTTAAATTCAAAGTTCAGCCGCTCCACCCATGGATGAAGACTGGATCAGGCGGTACTCCTAAAGAAGCTTGTTAGACGCTAACAGCATGTACCTAATGGATACGAATCGATTCGTCGTTCGCTTGTTACCTTTGGCTGACGTTCGTGTCAACGATGTGAGGTACACTAACGTCAGGTACACTAGTGAGGGATGTACTAACGTGGGGTACACTAAAGCGAGACAGACTAATAAAGCAAAGGCCTGCAGAAGCGAGGTACACCAGAGCGAGGTGCACTATTATAAAGTACTGACGCGAGGTACACTACACAAGTATGGGAGTCAGCTTGACCATGTTATTCCTGCAATCATCGCTCAACAGCATATTCCTTCGTCGATACCGGGTCGCCAGCATTATCGCAGAAGCCGACGATGGGGGAGAGCCGAAGCCGCGGTGCGGAGCCGATGGTTCCTCGTTGACGCGGGAATAACGGATTGCCTAGCAGCGTCTCCTTCGAACCACCTAGCTACCTACCTACCTACACCATCGCAACCCCAAACACCAAACCCGCCATCGCAGCGACGACAACGCGTACGTACGCATGTCGTCCCGTTAACCTTAAACGCTCGTTTCCCCATAGCCCCACATTTCGCCTACCCACCCGCTGCTTTCCGTCGCTTCCGAGTCGTGTCGTGGCTCCACCGGGGGAGGGGGCGGGCGGGTGGCACCACATGCTGGAGCGGGCCTACCTATGCGTACGACGTTTTTTCCCCCTCCCTCTCACGTCCCTCGGTCTCACCGAGTTGCCCCGGTGTTCGATTCTTCCCCCCTCGATGGTGATGGCCGGATGCGCTCGGAAACGCCGTGTGCGGGATTCCGGGAATGCCGGATAGAGAGAAGAAGCTCGCCGGCGATTCCGAGAGGGTTCCTCGTGCTCCGTGTGTATGATGGATCGAGGGGAACATGGGAGCTTATCCTTCTCAGATTCTTGGAGTCGATGGAAGGTCATGTTGTGGGGTGGGCCAATGGCATGCCGGACGACGCGTAGCCACACCCGAAAGCGGGACCCAAATGGCGTCATCGTTATCAGCACTCGGTGCTGTTCCCTTTTTATCCGGCCAATAATTGCTTGACTCGTCCGAGTCCTCTGGGCCGCGCTCACTTTTTGATCGATGATGCTGTTGCGGTGGCGATAGGGTGGGGAGATCCAGGAAGCCTAACTAGGCTTTTTTGTGACCTCGTGCAATATGAGACTTGGCTTGGAGCATGGCAGTTGAGACACCGTGTATTCGTGGTCGCTGATTCCAAGTGTAATTGTCATTGTTGTTTAGGTCACTGTCTTCTTGAACCAGCGTGCTGATAACTACATACAGTGTAGAAGGGAAGCAAGGGTTTTACTTGTAGTAATACAACTCTCATAGAAGCGGCCACCGGCCCTTTAAAGAGAACGCAGAGGTCTACTCGATGCTCCCCGAAACGTGAAAAAAAAAAGTATGCCTAATCGTACAGTGTGGGACCTGTTGCTCTAAACTATTCAGCAATTCCATTCCGGTTCTCGGCTCTTTTTCGTTCCCTTCAATAACGCGCACATGTCGTGAAAACGTCAGGATATCAAACGGCAAAAAATTTCAAACATCAAAGGGATCGTGCGGATCAAGCCTTCCACTTGACTTCTTCCCAGTTCTCGTACTCGAACTTCAGACTCTTCTGAACCCAGATCAGGGTGATACCAGCCCAAATACCAGCCCAGAGGAAAGGAACAACCCAGCCGATCTGAGAACGTTATTATAGGAACCATGAGCGAGGAACGGTAGGAGGACTTACCACATAGGCTGCATCCCTCTGCATGGTGAAGATGAGAGCAGTCGTGAGGGCTGCGACCGCGCAAGCGCCAAAGGCCCAGAAAAGGGTGAGCCTGTGTAGCATCAGGCGGAAGTGATGGCTGGCCATGTAGCGCAGGTTCAGACGCTGTCTGAACTCTGTCCCACCGCTGCCGTCAACAGCGCAGATGTCCTCGATGATCGAGTAGATACCCGGTCGCAAGGGCGAGCCCTTGGGCAGTGAGGAGATACGCATCGGCGCCCTGTAACCGGCGATGCGGGCAATGTCCATGACAAGCATCTCGACACCAAAGGCGAACACCATGCTGGGCACAGGCATGGCAAGCAGGCGGATCGGCGGTTCTTCCGGGACGGTGCCAACGATCAGCTCAATCATCACGGCAATCCATGCGGTGGAAAGGTTCCAGTGGAACCAATCAAGCTGTCACAAGTCAGCCACCGCTCCCCAATATCAGCGACAATATAACGTACATAGAAGCGCTTGGCGCCAATGACTCGGCAAGTCGAGCCCTTCTTCCACAGCCTGTGGAAGCGGATAAAGTATTCCACAATCGAGACGGTTCCGAGGAGGCCAGTGCTGATACTGAAGACGGCATTGTGTGATAGGCTGGTGCCATACCAGAGACCGAAGTAAAGGGCGATTGGCATGCACACGCAGTCCAGAATAATCAACGACCAGAACCAGAAGATGCTCTTCTTCCGCGAGCGCAGCGTGTAGTTCAGCGTGGGAGGATGCGCGAAGTCCGGGTCATCGTAGCGGACTTGGGTGGCAGCATTCGCGGCGTTGATGGACGATGCGCGGGTGGATCCGGGCCTGCTTGGCGACGGTGTTCCGGACGAGCCTGGCGTGGGCTCCTTGTTGTTGCCGGCGGGATTGGCGTTGTTGGCACCCGGGACCTGTAGCAAGCCTGCTATGCTGCCAGTAGGGTCGTAGGGCGGCTGGCTTGGTCTCCGGGCTTCCTGGGGTGGTGCGAAGTCGACGTGCGTAACAGGCAACTCGCTACCGTTGCTCATGATGTCAGGCTAACTTTGGGCCGTGCAATTCTGCACAGGAGGAGAGGGCAATTCGCGGTGCAGTCGGGAAGCAAGGGAATCACGGCGGCATAAGAAGGGCGGCGGCGGGATTTGGCGGGACGGGCGGAGGGGAGTGCAGGTGAAGGTGGGTGGGATTTGAGGAGAAGAAAGGGCTCGCTGCGCCCGGCCGGCTCCTAACCAGGTGATGATGGCGACACAGGGAACCGCTGCATGACGTCGACGCCAAGCCTCCGCCTGCCCCGGCCCAATCACGCGCGCCCCCAAGCCGGCCAAGCTTCATCTCGCCCGGTCTTCTTATGCTCTCGCTACCCAGTCCTCTCCCTCCGACCCCAACATTACGTGTGCTGCCCTTCGCATTCGTACGAGACGCGAGCATGCCTTGATGCTCCGCCCCCCGATCGCGATGCGCTTCGCTCCGGGACTTCTCGCCCTGCCGTGCCTCGCGACTGCCGCCGCCGTCTCGACCCTTCAAGAGCCTCTGCAGACGCCGGCACTCGCTCCCAACATCTCCGCAACCCTGTTCGCCGAGCTCGAGGAGCTTGCCCGCATCGTTGATATCTCCTATTGCGTCGGCCTCACCGGCTTGGGCATCGCGAAGCCTTTCACCTGCGCCAGCCGCTGCAATGAGTTTCCCGACTTCGAGTTGGTGAAAGTACGGCTCTTACGAGCTCCAGCAGCCTGCGTTCATGACTGACAGCCATAGGCTTGGAACACCGGCCCTCTCCTGTCCGACTCCTGTGGCTATGTCGCCTTGTCACGCCCGCCTTCTGCACCGCGCATCATCCTGGCGTTTCGCGGAACCTATTCCCTCACCAACACCATTGTGGACCTGTCGACCGTCCCTCAGGAGTACATACCGTATCCTGGAAGTGATGACGGAGACGACGATGACGACGCGCCGGACGCGAAGCCTATCAAGTGCACCAACTGCACTGTCCATAGTGGATTCTACCAGTCCTGGATCAACACGCGACAAGTGATCCTGCCACATGTCGCCGAAGCGATGGAAAAGCACCCAGACTACAAGTTGACCTTGGTCGGGCACTCGCTGGGTGGCGCGGTTGCAGCGTTGGCAGCGCTGGATTTCAAGGCCCGTGGCTGGGACCCCCATGTGACCACCTTTGGAGAACCACGGCTTGGCAACGAAGGCCTGGTCCAGTACATCGATGAGCGGTTCAACCTAGGGGAGAACGCCACCGTCGGAAACGAGGCGGATATCAGATTCAAGCGAATCACACATCTGGCAGACCCCGTGCCGCTGCTGCCCCTGGAAGAATGGGGTTACCACATGCACGGTGGGGAGATCTACATCGATAAGGCTGACCTGCCGCCGAGCGTTGCCGATATCCGCATCTGCTCAGCTGATGAAGATCCAGATTGCATCGCTGGCGGCGATCCTGCAGGGTGGATCCCTGCCCGATTCAAGCTCTGGCAGCTCTTCTGGGCCCATCGTGACTACTTTTGGAGACTCGGGCTTTGTATCCCCGGAGGCGATCCCTGGGATTGGAAGGGCAGGTACCCACCACCCAGTGGAGACTTGCCGGGCGATGACGAGCTGTAATCAATGAGGCGGTCCGTTGGTGGGTAAGACGATCGGGTTTGTTCGCGATGACTGGAGTTCGCTCTCGCTCAGTTTGGGTAAAACCATCCGGTGTGGGTTGATATGGTGTTGAGTTGATGTCGCCGAGGAGTACGGGATTGTTATTGCACCATTCTTTTTCCAGCATTGTTGAGTGTGGCTGGACAGAATATCGTTCGATTCCTGATACGTGATCTTACCACCTTACAGTGAACCTGACACCCGAACTCTCCATGGCTAGCACCTGCGCAACACCTTCCACCGAGCATCCAGCCAGTTGCGCGCTTTGATGCACCAGCCAATAATTCTAGAGAGGCGGTTTGGGGTTCCCAGACACATTACTGTCTAGAGATCACGACGGGAGGGGACATGGCTTTCAGTCTTTCATTCATGGTGGACGGACGTCAAGCAGGACGGGGTTGGAGTTGAAGCCAAAAGACAGATTGTTGTTTGGAACATACGAATGAGAGGATTGCGGCTGCTCGTCGTTCATGAAGGCTTTCTGCTCACCAAAGTAATTCCAATTCATTTTTCTTGCGTAACTTCTTTCGCGTGGAGAGGAGACTGCGTTTGGCTGCTGGGATCTTCATCTCTACCCAGCCGAGCAAAGTCCGCTACTCATGTACATCTGTGCATGCGCTCAGGTTCGCTCATGCTACTCCATGTACTACGCGATGCCTCAGGCGCTTGCTGCATGCATCACCCAGCCAACCTATGCCGCCGGATCTTGAAGAGGCCGCCGAAGAGCGGTCTGGTCGCATAGCCCGTCATCACCAGAGCACAGGTGATGAGACTTCCAAGCTTCTTTACACCGCTCTGCAGCTTCACTTTTGCTGTTAGCTCACCCCAAGCCAGCGACATCCACATCATTCGATAGTGCATCGCGCGGGTCCTCTCACCTGACCCAGCCGGGCTCGCCAACACACCCTCATCTTCATCTTTCAAGTTCATCTGAGAGTGCTACATTCTTGGTGAGACAGCCTCGGGGCGGCTAAGCCCTTTGCGACAAGCTGTGCTGTGCGCCAGTAGCCTGATATTCCAGTAGTTCCGACCATCTCAACGGCCTCTGGCCATCTAATCGCTCAACACCTCGCCTCACGCTCTGTTCCGGCATGAGCAAATCACGCGAGTTTCTCATTCTCATGGGTGTACTACCTGCATGGTCGCTTGTAAAGACCAACGGAGTTTGCGCGTCTGCCTGTGCCAACCCACGTTGGTGTTGTAAGGCACGCGTTGTTGTCTATGCTACCTAGGTACCGCGCAGGGTTGCAAGATTTGGAATCGGTCTTTTTAGTGTGGCTAATTATGGCAGTGGTGCTGTGTATGGGCAGCGGAAGCGGATCGCGGGGCGTGGATGTGTGTGGATTTGAAAACCGCACAACCATGTCCACATGTCGTCTCCAATCACGCCGAGGGTGCACCATGACTTATGGAACATGGGTGCGAAGGAGGAGATTTGCTGCAGCCTAAAGTCCATGGGCTGCGGCCAACCCACGCGGCTTCCACGTCATGCGCAGGAACGACTCGTGTTCGTGGTGAGCAAGCAGGCATCTGCGAGGTTTTCTCTTTTGGCGGCGGCGGCAGTTGGACGGTGGGCCAAGGGTGGGGTGTGGTTGCTGCGTAGTCTCCGTAGAGAGATGGCGGTTCCTGAAAAGCACGCGGCTGGCACGATCGCTGCAGCCGCGGGCTGCTCAGGCCTCGGTGCGGTGCTCGCGATGGGGTGGCGGGTAGTATGTTTGCCTGGCGGTTCCTTGCCAGCAGCGGATCTCAAACATTTTCGCCGTGACCCCCCGCTGCATGACTCGGCGGGTGCCGTTCCTGGACACAGCACCGGGCGCGCGTCCACCGGAGCCGTCGCCCTCGGGTTGGGTGATGTATGCCAAGGCCGGGGAGATTAGGTGCGGCGTGGCTTCGCAAAGGCCATTAAGGTGAGACGGCGAGCAGCGGGCGGCGTTGGGCGACAACGCCGTGACTCTGGTTCACGTGTGCATGGAGCCAGTCATGCCGTCGACGCACGAGATGCCTGCGCGCGCCAGGTCCGCCAGGTCCGCCAAGTCCCTGCGGCGTCATTGCGCGATTTGAAGCGGAGCAAGCGCAGCGGCAGCTCTATTTTCGTTGGTCAAGCTTCGTCGCGCCGCCCAAAGCGTGCACTGGAGCCATTTGGTCGTATCGCGCCGGCCACCACCTGCGAGTCTCCGCTCGCGCGCCCGCCGTCACCCCTACAACCGCACCAGGCCCCAGCACCAAAGCTGCGAGTCCCGCCGCCCGCGAGCCCATTCCACAGCACAGCCTACCCCAGCATCCGCTACCACGCCGCGCGCGCGCGCCCTGAGCCTGTCCAGCGCCGCCTCAATTCGCCCGCCGCAAGCGACCGCCCGCCCGCAGACCACCCCGAGCCCGGCCGTATATTCAGCGTCCACCAAGCTGTCCGCCCCAGCTTGCTCTCCTGCTCAGGAGCCCGCGAGCCGCAAGCCCGCGAGTCCTCAGGAGCGCAAGTCGACCCTCGAGCGCCGTAGCCTGACCGACCCCGAGCTGCTTCTCCGCCGCTGGCGCCCCGCCAGCCGCCGCCTCGCCGCAGATGGGCAACGTCAGTAGTCGCCAGGGCGAGGGCGACCCCATGTTCCTGCGCGACCAGAATCGCTGTACGTCGGGCCGCCGCGCGACCCTCTCCTGAAGCCGCTCTGACTTCTTTGTGCAGTCTCCATCGCCGCGCTCAATGTCACCAACTCGCGCAACCGCGTCCTCTTGAACGTCACCCCCAACGCCTTCCCCGCCAGCAGATACAACGCGAGGAAAGACTTCGGGGACGACAGCGTCGTGGAATACGTCCAGGTATGGCGCCGCACCTGGGGCGTGGGAAAAGCGGGGTTCATACTGACTTCCGGCTGATAGGATCCCGAAACCTCTCCCGCTGCGCCGCCAAACTTCCTGATCCGCCTGTCCAACGATGACGAGCTCACCTTCAACTTCGTCTTTGTCGTCAGGCAATCCCAGGCCTTTCAGGCAGCCAACAACCCCGCCATCCCAGTCAGCACGCTTGCGCCGGTGGACACCGTCATCAATGGCCTCACCTTCCTCTTCGCCGGCAGCAGCAGGGAGTTGGAAAACCTGGTGACCCGCGAATTCCACGCGGACCCGAATCTTCACAAGAACCCAAATGTCGAATTGGTGGGCGACTATTCGACAATGGGCAGCCAGTCCGTCCAATTTCAGTGGTCGTGGAAATGGAGGCCCCCGCGCATCTTGGAAGACAGAGGAGGTGGCTGGAGGAACAGCTGCAGCGTGAGTTTGCGCTTTTTGTCTCATGAAAAATCACTAATGATCTGCTAGTTTGTGGAGTATGATCCGCGCGCGCATCGCTTGGATACACTGGCAACATTTTCCTTCTGGGTCTCGAGTAAGCATCGATTTTCCGAAGCTTGAAACACATGCTAAATCATCCAAGACTCGCAGAGGCCAGCTCCTCTCAGTCCTAAAACACCGTCGCCGCTTCTTGAATTGAGCGTACCGCCCAGGCTCCGCGTTCCTTCTTCACAGTCAATCGAGTCCCGTGTCAGCGACTCGGACGGTGCGGATTTCAGGGATTTCCGCGAGCCCGTTTCGCCTGCGATTGAGGCGATTGCGGAGAACACATTGGGCTTGGTCCCGACGCACAATACTTTCTCAAGCAATTTGCTCACCCAGACCAACACTAATAACACCAGCCCCGTCAGAGTCGACCTGTCCTGTCAAAGGCCGGCTGAGGACATCAGTGCTTTGGACGATGGTCCTGTATTCCGCGCGAACCTCAAGAATTTCGAGAAGAACACGTCGGACATGCGCTTAAAATGGAAGCGGGTGTTGAAGAAGGCGGAAGCTACGATGGAAGCCCAAGTCATCAGTAACAATGCGGTTGCGGAACTTATCGAAGCCCTCAAGGATACAGCGACGCCGAACTCGAACTCGGTGCAGCCGGCAATCGACCATTATTTTGACAGAATAGCACGCGAAATCCTGGCCTACGAGAAACTCAACACGGTCAACGTTCAAAAACTCATCATCGAACCTATTTCTAAGCTTTACAACGTCGATATCAAGCAGGCCGAGTCCAAGAAGAAGGATTTCGAGGAAGAGAGCAAAGAATACTATTCATACGTCAGCCGCTATCTCGGACAGAGGCAGGATTCGATGAAGGAAAAGAGGCGGACGGAAACCGATACGAAATACCAAACGAAGCGCCGGAATTTCGAGCTGAAGCGATTTGACTACTCTTCCTACATCCAGGACCTGAACGGTGGAAGGAAGAATCAGGATGTTCTCTCCTATCTCACAAAGTACGCCGATGCACAGGCCAAGGGATTCATGACAACAGCCGAAAAGATCAAGACGATGCTACCACAGCTCGAGGCGCTCAGCCAGGAGGTCAAGGAGGCTGACAAGGAGTTTCAACTGCAACGCGCCGAGCGTGAGGAAAAGCGAAGGGCTCTTGAGAAGAGTGGAACTGCCTACAAGGAACCCGAGCCTTCTGCCATGTCGACTATTGCACAAGCGAACGGAAGGCCCCCTCCCCTGGAGGAATCACGCTCTGACAGTACAACACCCATGTTCAAGAGCACCGTCTCTCCTCCTCCGGCCTTAGGATCTCCGCCCTCAAGCGCAGCTATGCCGGTTACCCCAGGATTAAGTGGCGGACCGTCTCTCGGATCGCTTCCCGCCACGAGCCCTGGTCAGAACAGCAAATTCAAAGGCATTCGCGACCTGGAAGACAAGGGAGGTGGAGACGGCCAAGACGCGCATCCTCCTCACAAGGAAGGCCTACTTTGGGCTCTCAGCAGACCCGGAAGCCACATCGATCCCAAGGGCTTGAACAAGCAAGCTTGGCACAAGTAAATAAATTCTTTGCTCTAACTTCTTTTCATGCTAACCTGTATACAGATTTTGGATCACGGTTGGCGAGGGCAAACTTTCCGAGTACTCTGACTGGAAGAACAAGATGAATCTGCATATGACCCCGATTGATCTTCGCGTCGCCTCGGTTCGAGAGGCTCGCAACTCTGAACGGCGCTTTTGCTTCGAGGTCATAACGCCCCAGTTCACGCGCGTCTACCAAACAACAGGGGAAGATGAACTCAGAACCTGGATCAATGCAATCAACAACGCGTTGCAAACTGCTGTCGAGAACAAGGGCATCTCCGACCCTGTGCCCACGGAATCCCTGGACAAGTCAACACGCAGGGACATCGCTTCAGTGCTCACTGGCAAGAGCACATCGCTCTCGGGGCATAGGAATTCTGGGAACACGAGCAAGGACAAGCCCGTCTCACGCCATGCGACGGTTGGAGACAGGCCATCCTACCGTAGCCCCGAAGCCGCCGGAGAAGCTAACAAACTTCTCGAGCAGATCCGCGAAGCTGACGCCGGAAACAAGTATTGCGCAGACTGCGGATCAGAGAGCAAAGTCGACTGGGTGTCCATCAATCTCGGAATTGTGGTTTGCATAGAGTGTAGCGGGATCCACCGTTCTTTGGGAACCCATATCTCCAAAGTCCGCTCACTCACGCTGGATGTTCATTCATTTACGTCGGATATCATCGAGTTGCTCTTCAAGATTGGCAACCGCGTCAGCAATATGATATGGGAGGCCAAGCTCGACCGAGCTATGAAGCCCGCTCCTACGTCTACTCGGGAACAGCGCCTGAAGTTCATCAATCAGAAGTACGCGGAGCGCGCGTTTGTCCAGGAGATCTCTTCTACACTGTCGCATTATGCAACGCCGGAGGAAACGCTCCTTGCGTCAGTCAAGAAGAACGACATCCAGAACGTGCTCTATGCGCTTGCGCTCAAGGCGACACCCAACGCGACAGACAAGTCCCGCAACACTCCAGCTGTTTACCTCGCTCTCTCCGCGGCGGATCCTGCATCTCCTGCAGACACGGCGTCCCCTGCCAGCTCGCCTGGCCATCCTCCTCAAGGTGCGCCTGCAGGGGGTCGGAAGTCTTTCCCGGTTGCCGAGCTGTTGATCCAGAACGGAGCCGACCTACCGAACACGCCTTCGCCCTTCCCGTTGAGCATATCGGCACGGCTGTACCTGGAGCAGAAGCTAGAACAGCGTGACGGAAGACGGCCTGCAGTGAGCAGCACTCAGAATGGTAACAATGCTTCCAATAGCAGCGGTGGCGACGTGATCACCGCTCTTCCCACCATCCTGGCGGGAAATGGAGGCTCACCAGGTGAGCGTATCAAAGAAAGAGATGCCAAGTTGCAGAAGCGTGTGTCAGCAGGCGGAAGACTGATGAAGTCCGATGAATCATATAGTTCGCGGCGGATGTTCTGAAGTTTAAGAGAGGCGTCGGGAGTTACGAGACGGCAAGTCAGAGTGAGGAAGATTCCCATGTGGTCACGCTTTGCCGCGAGAGTCATGTCTCTGGAACGAAAACGGTTGGTGGATTCTTAAAGGCATCATGCTCGTATTGTGTTTTGTGTGGCGGCGGCCTGTCTGGACTTTTTTTTCTTATATTTCTCTTTTTCCATTAGCTTCGCGGGATTCCCCCCTCTCCGACCTTTTTTCCCCGGTAGGCGAAGCAGTATCTTTTCTTTTTCTTTTCCTATGCAAACGGCGTTTGTCGGTATGATGGATTTTGAGGTGTGGCAAATGTTTGCAAAGAAAAGGCAGGCTGGCAAAGCAAGGCAGGAACACGGACAGACCATTCAGGTCTCCTGCTACGGATTTTTATTTCCCCCCCATTTCTGCTCGTGGGGCCAGAGGCGTTTGGATGATTCATCGAGGCAGATTGAGGCGGGCAGCAGCCAGCGGGTCTGTCCGTTGGATAAAGGATCACTTCCGGGTACGGGTTTTGCTCGTAACCAAGCGAGTACTTCCTTTGGATTCGTTGCACGCAGGACAGGTGATGGGAAGCATGATTGGAGGGGGGCCGTTTCTTTTCTAATTCTCCTTCATCTCTCCCTTTTACACCTGGACTACCCTTCACACCCTCGTCTGGCTCCTACCAGCATCGAGGTGAACTGTGCTAGTAGCTGCTTTTGTTGTCCTATTTTCCTTTTATTCTTCTGTTCCCTAACCGTATTCGTTCGCCGGGCGGCTACTCTCTGGGATTTTTGTTTGTGATTGGTTGGCTCTCAGTTTTTCTCTGTTCCTTCTTTCTCCCGCGAAAGCTCCTACATCATCATACTCCGTCTCGCATTTGATTTGGCTCCTGCTCTTCGAGCGATTGCTGGTGGTGGAACTCTGTGTTGTGATTATATATAGGGCGGGGAAAGGGGAGGAAGAAAGTGACGAGAGAGCACGGATGAAGGCGGAGGGAATCATAATCTGTAATGAGTATCAGGGACGCGGTGTCGTCATTTTTTGTCCTCTTGGTTCTCTTGGGTATGGCTGTGTTGTGGGTGAGCGGACAGAGCCGGTGCAGTGCAGCTTTGGGCTACGGCAACAGATCAGCAGAAAGTAGACGAGCGAACAAAACAAGTTCCTTTTTATTCTTGCTTCATTCGGTGGATCCCATCTACGGAGGCTCAACGCTTGGAAAGCAAGAGGGACTCCGAAGTGGTTGTCTTTCTAAAGTCATTGTCAAGTTTCTCATGTGTTGAGCCTCATCGCGTGTCGTGCCAGAAAAATTGATCAGCGCTCCGCTCCGTTTGGCTATAGACTAAGGGTGAGATGCACACTGGCGGCGGACCGGGAACAGTGGTTCGGCAGTTGGACGTAACTGCCGAAGCCCACTGGCCGGGCCGAATAGGTACCTAGGTAGGATGGCCGTCTTTCGGATCATCATCACCTAAAGTAACTAAGCAAAACCCAAGCCTTGACAACCTTCTCGGCGTCAACATCCTTTCTTTTCAGAGGTGTCGGTCTACCAGCTTTAAAGGATTTCGGATTACTCTTCAGCCGCGCGACTTCAGCCATCTCCTCTCATATCAGCACTGCGCGAGCCAAAAGCGAGCGCAAACCCCAACAGGAGGGCGCGAGATAAAAAAAAAAAGGGAGAGATAACAAGAACAAACAAAAACGAGCGAAAGAGAAAGGAAAAAGAAAAAAAAAACCATGCCGACCCCACCACCACCACCACCGAGTCAGCCATCCTCCGACCAGGCCGACCTCTCCCTCGACGCCCACAAAGCCGCCATCCGCGCACGCATCTGGGCCCGGCTCTCGTCCGTGGCGCTGCCCGACTCGCGCTTCGACTGCGACCACTCGTCCTTCATCGCCGACTTCGCCGGCTCCCCTGCCGCGACGGACCGGCTGGTGTCGGCCGTGGCCGAGTGGCGCGGCGCGCGCACCGTCTTCATCGCGCCCGACAACTGCCTCGAGGAGCTGCGGGCGCGGGCGCTCGAGCAGCGCAAGACGGTGCTCGTGACGTCGTACGGCATCCGGAGGGGCTTCTGGGTCGTGCGGCCCGAGGACGTCGAGGCCGACGGCAGGGGCGTCTGGTACGCGGCGACGCTGGACGGCATGGAGAAGGTGGGCAGGCGGGTCGGGCTGGGCGAGCTGAGGGCCGGCGGGTGGAGGGTGGATGTCATGGTGACGGGGACGGGGGCGGTCATGGAGGGGACGGGCGTGCGGTTCGGCAAGGGGCATGGGTTTTTCGATCTCGAGTGGGGGATGCTGTTTTCGGTGGGCGCGGTGGGGGAGGGCACGGTGGCGGTGGGGGTGGTGCATGATTGTCAGGTTGTGGGGAGGGGGGAGGTGGAGTTGCGGCCGGATGCGTTTGATACGGTTTGCGATGTGGTCGTCACGCCGACGAGGGTGTTGAGGGTGGAGGGGGCGGTAAAGCCAAAGGTGGGGATCCTGTGGGAGCGGTTGGCGGAGGGGATGGAGGGGAGTATACCGCCGTTGAGGGAGCTGAGGGAGATGCAGAGGAGGGAGGGACTGGAGAGTACGGTAGGGTTGAGGGGCGATTAGTGCACGAAGGTTGTCAGTAGTGGGGATGGTAAGCTTGTACGGTTGTGCAACGGATGTTCTGCTGGCTGTGCTCTCATGGATGGGTATACAAGTCGAGGTGTTGTGGTGCGGCTGGGCGAGGCTGCCAAGACAGTCAGCAGAGTCGCGTCCGGACGTCGCGCCTTCCCCCCGAATGCCATTGCAGCTGACATGCCATCGACGTCTCTTGCTCGACTTCTCTTGACTGTCTGCTGCCGCTCACACACCCCCAAGTTCCCGCCGGCCTCAAGCCCAAGTCCAGGTCGTCCAACACTTCTCACTGAGCAGCCGGCGAAGCATCGTCAATTCATCTCAGCTCCCACGGCTCCGAGCACTCTTGGGAAGACATGCGCCTTTGTCGCCACGAGACTGGATCCCAGCACTGTCCTCTACTCGAGCCGACCACGAGCACAAAACGAGGGCACTTCGCACGAGGTGACGAGACAGCGTGAGACGTGCAGCGATGACGTAACGGGCTGAGGATTTGTTCGACCTGCGGAACACGCGGCACGGAATGGACGACGTTTCGCGCAGCCACCGTGGCCTGCTGCGTGGCTCACAGCCGCCGCGCCCCGGAATGGCAGGTGTGGAATGGTGGGATGGGTGGAATGAGAATCAGCACGAGGAATGCTGCGTGTCGCCGGGTACCACACCAGCGGCGTCCCGCTTCGCTCGGGAGAGGCGCAGCTGCCGAGGCGCACAAGCATCGTCGCCAGCCCTGCGAAAAGCTTGAATCGGCCCTTTCGCAGTCCAATCCACATCAGCTCACAAATGGTCCATCTGCGTGAAACGGCGGGCCGCAAGCACACTCCAAAGTCACGCTGGACTTGCGCTTCTTCCGCCTGCCCTCTTGTGCCTGCGTGCCGTGCCAGCGTGCCAGCTCAATTGCAGACGAGTGGCAAAAAGAAACGCCATGGCATGGGGTGACGACGGCAGACCCTGGCCGAGCCACATTCGGACAGTGACACAAAGGGAAAGATGTGAGCAGTGTGGCTTATCGTCACCACTACTGTTGCCCGCTAGCCAATCCCCACTATTTATCTCGGACCAGCTCGGCCGCGGTGGGACGCAACGGCAACGAGCCCCGGCGTCTTTTCAACTAGAGTCGCGCGGCCTCCGCCCTCTGCTGAAATCCGCCTCTCGCCCTCCTTTCAATTTCTTCTCCATACTCTCCCATCGGCCAGCTCCGATCTCCGCCCCTGCCCGGTCCCTGACCCGCAACCATGGCGACGACGCCTCCCAAGACTGCCGAAGAGAAGGACCTCAGCGCAGGGGACATGGAGGGCCACGCACGGCACGCTTCCGCCGCTCTCCAAGCCCTCGATCTCGTCAAGCAGCACGACCAACACCACCCCGTGCACTGGCCGGCCACCAAGAAGTGGGCCATTACCGCCGTCTACTGCCTGCTCCAGATCTTTGTCACCCTCACCTCGACCACTTATGTCAGCGCCGAAACCGCAATCCAAGAGAAGTTTGGGGGCAGCACTCAGGTCGTCACCCTTGGCCAGTCCATGTTCATTGTCGGCAATGCTGTTGGTCCCGCCTTCTTGGGGCCTTTGTCGTAAGCAGCGAGACTCCCGCGCGCACAGCATGGTAGAGGCTTGCGTGTGCTGAGCTTATGTAGTGACATCGGCGGCCGCAAATGGGTCTACGTCATCTCCATCCTGGTCTACGCCATCTTGAACATTGTAAGTCTCGGAGCTCGCCTCAAAGAGTGATTCTTTTGGGTTGCTAATGCAAACTGTTCTTGCTCGCCCAGGGCACCGCTTTAGCAAGGAATCTCCCCATGCTCATCATCTTCCAATTCTTGTGCGGTGCCGCCGGGAGCACGGCGCTCTCCAACGTCGCCGGCACCATTGCTGATCTGTTCGCCGATGCGGACAATGCCGCACAGCCGATGGGCCTCTTCGTGGCTTCGGCCAACATTGGCCCCAGTCTAGGGTCTCCAGTCGGCGAGTGGATCGCTTTCATGAACCCCAACATGGGCTGGAGGTGGATCTTCTGGATCAAGTAAGTACTGTTTGGACGACATTCACTTTCAAGAAGATTTGCGACTTTGAATGCTGACATAGTGCAGCGTCATCATTGGAGGAGCTTTCTCCGCCATCATGTGCTTCGTTCCAGAAACGCTCCCCCGCGTGGTGATTGCCAATGCGGTGAAAAGGGCCGAGAGCGCCGACCCAGATGAAATTGCTGTTGCCCAGACGAAAGTCAACGTCTTCCAGGAGATTCGATTTGTTTTTACCATGGCGATCAGAATCATGGTTTTGGAGCCGATTGTCACGTTTTTGGCCGTCTACAACGGTTTCGCCTATGGTCTCCTTTTCCTCTACTTGGACGGTGTTTTTGACGTTTTCGTCATCAACAATAACCTCAGCTACATCGGGGCGGACCTGACTTATCTCAACTTTGTCGTTGGTGTCACGCTTATGTTCATGTTCCTACCAGTTCAAACTTGGCTCTACAAGCGCGACAGGGAAAAGCGTGGTGGCGGCCGCCCCGAGGCTCGCTTTTTGGTTTCCTTGGTCACGGTCTGGGGTTTCCCCATCTCCCTGTTCTGGTTTGCTTTCACCAGCGATGGAAACACGAGCTTTTGGTCCCCCGTTATTGCTGGTGCAGTCTTGGGCTTCGCTGACCCCCTCCTTTATTTGGGCATGTTGAACTACATCACTGGTAAGATTACCGAGACTTCCCAAGTCTTGCTCAAGAAGATATGGCTCACAACAGTGCAGACTCGTATCCGAACGTGGCCGCGTCGGCCATTGCCGCGTTTTTGATTCCCTCCTTCACCCTCGCCGCCGCTTTTGCTCACATCGGACTTATCATGTTCGAGAACCTCGGCACCACCTGGGCTATGGCATGTCTGGCTTTCATTAGCTTAGGCATTGTAGCCCTCGTCTATCTGTTGTACTTCTTCGGCCCATGGTTGAGACGGAAATCAAAGTTGGCCAAGTCGTTTTAAAGGCTTGCACTTTTTTTTTTCTTTTTGGTTCGGTTCATCTTCTTAGAGGGGAGTGAAATATTTAGTGTGGTTATAGTTTTGTTTGGTCTCAAAGAGGAGGAGGGATATCCAGGATGTGCTTCATCGACAAACATTCGCAGAAAAAAAACTGTCCCAAATATCCTTCCAGCTGGGCCTCCAGTGATGGTATGGATTTAACCGTTTGGATGCCCTCTTTTCCAGCAGCTCCTGGCTTTCATATCACACGACCCCCGACGAGTAACGTTTGCTCCCATTTACGCATCCGTCCAACCCGAGTGCCCACCTACCATCACACTCGGCATAGCTCCTTGCCCAAAACGGTCTTGCTCAAACCCCTGAGTAGAGTGCCTTTGTCTCAACGATCCTCTCCAAAAGCACGGCGTACACACATATAACTTGATGGCTCCGGATGTGGCCATGACATGGTGCTACGGCTTCCACCATGGGGTCTGGTATGAGATCCATTTGGAACGAATACTCTGGTAGGTGGGGCCATGGGCTTACGTACCAGAGAGACGAAGGCCGAGCCTTCGTGAAGATGGACCTTGGGAGGCGCCCGGAAAGACACCTGAAGATCAAAATGGGAGGCGGGAAACAAACGACCAAAGTGATGATGGCGACGATGGCGTCGATAGAAAGCGTCATTTGAGGGAAATGACAGCAGCAAGAGTGGTGAGGTGGAGGTTGGAAATGAGGCTTGTGTGAACTCTCCGACCACTGCCGGTCCTTGGCCGACTTATGTGAGGGATTGTAAGCTTCTTGCGCTCCCGCGGGGTCTGCAGCGAGTTCGGACCCTTCAAGACCAACTCGCCCCACCATTTTGTCCAAAGTCGATGCGAATGCTTCCCCCAAGCGGCCTTTTGCAAAGAAGCGTAATAGACGTATCTTCTACCATAGATCAAATGCCCAATTTCTTCACATTACTCAGCAACACAAGCACCTATTTTGATTTCAGGGGAATGCAGTAGTTTCATTCGCTCAGTCTACACAAATGGTTGACCCGCCTCTGCCTACGCCCCGTCTTCCTCTTAAAGAGGTCGTCGTTTCTCATCTCAACCCGCCGCCTTTGCCTTCATCCAACGCCTTGCCGCCGCCGCCACCCCTCTGCCTCTTCTGCTGCGCCGCCTCGTGCTTCCTGAGCTCCTCGGGCACGCGCGAGATGCTCGACTTGCTGAGCATCTGTTTGAGATCGTACCTGCAAAAATAACATTAGCAACATGATACCAATCGTAGGGGAGGAGGAGGAGGGGAAGAAAGGGAGAGAGAAGGGGAGAAACATACATAACGTCCGTATCCTCGTTCCCAAGGAACGTGATGGATACACCGCTCTTGCCCGCACGACCAGTACGACCGATTCTGTGCGTATAACTCTCAATGTTCGTCGCCATGTTGAAGTTGACCACAAGCGACACATCCGGCACGTCGATACCGCGACCAGCCAGATCGGTCGCGACCAGGACGTCGACCTGGCCGTTGCGCAGCGACGCGAGGGCGGCCTCGCGCTGGTCCTGCGTCTTGGAGCCGTGCAGGGTGACGCTGCTGAAGCCCATGTGCTTGATGTCGCGCGCGACGGCGTCGCAGTTGCGCTTGATGTTGACGAAGACGATGATGGGCGGCGTGAACTCGCCCGAGTTGAGGATCTCCTGCAGCCGCTTCTTGCGTTTGTCCTCGCCCGCGACGAACTCGACGCGCTGCTCGACCGTCTCGACGGCCTCGCCGACGTTGCCGATGGTGACGATGGCGGGGCGACGTAGGTACTTGCGCGCGATGCGCTCGACCGCCGACGGCATCGTGGCCGTGTACATCATCGTCTGCCGGTAGCGGTCCTTGCCGCCGAGGTGCTGGCTCATGGCCACCGCGTTCTCGGCCGTCTCGTCGTCGGGCTTCTCGTTGTTGACCGGGAGGGCGTCGAGGATCTTGTTGACCGGCTCTTCGAACCCGAGATCGATCATGCGGTCGGCTTCATCCATGATGATGTAGCAGCACTGACCGAGCACCAGCACGCGGCGCTCGATACAGTCGACGAGACGACCGGGGGTGGCGATGATGATTTCGGCGCCGTCGCGCATGTTGTAGGCCTGCTCCTCGATCGAGTGACCACCAACGATACTGACGCAAGTAAAGCCAAGCGGAGTAGCAAACTTCTTTGCCTCAATCTCAATCTGCTGGGCCAATTCACGGGTGGGCGCAAGAATGATGGCGTAAGGGCCGTCGTTCTTTGTGAACTCGTTGAGAGGAGGCAGCTCGGAGATGTAGACAAGCAAAGGAAGCAGGAAGGCAGCCGTCTTACCGGAACCGGTGACGGCAACACCGATGAGGTCGCGAGAGCCGAGGGCGATGGGGATGGCGGCGCGCTGAATGGGTGAAGGTTCGAGGTAGCCGACGTTGTTGATGACATCCATCAACCGCTTGGGCAGCCCGGACTCGTCCCATGACCGCATGGGGTTCGGGATAGAGCCGCCCTTGGTGCTGATGTTGAAATCTTCCTTGAAGATACGCCAGTCTCTTTCCCGCATTTGATCCAGCTTCTTCTCGCTCCAGTGCTTTTCCAATGCCGCCCGGCCTCCCTCCTCCCTCCTTCTCCTCTCCATTTCGGCAATTTGGGCTGCGCGGACAGCGCCTGCCTCCTTGTCCCGCTCGATGAGAGCCTGTGCGTATTTCTTGGTGGCACTATCCACCACATCGTCGGAGAAGCCACCCAAACGGCCTCTACCAAAGAAACCAGCTTCGGCGCGGGTCTGGTAGAGCGGGTTGTAGTCCGTGCTCGTGTCCTCCTCAGCGTTCCATTCGAAGTTGAACTTCTTCTCCGTCGTTCTCTTGCGCTTCTTCTTCGCCGAAAAGGTCGACATGTTTTGCTCTGCGCCCATGTACCGCTGGCGAATAAGGTCCTTCTCCGTCTCCTCTGGATTATGCCTTTTTTCCCCTGCCTTTTCACCCGCAGACTTGCCGCCATGGGTTATGGCCATGGGCTTTGGCGGCGGTGGAGGAGCCATGTCGTAACCCTTGTTCGGCTGGGAGTTGCGCATGGCGCGCGGGCCGGTAGGGATGGCAGCGGGGCCGTTGGCGCCTTTTGCCGCGCTGCCATTTTCCTGCACGCCGTTGTTGCCCCTCCTCTCGGCTTCAGACCGGCGCTTCTGCTCCTCGACTTCCTTCTGGCGCTTCTCGAGGGCGAGCTTCTCGCGCTGGGCCTTGGACAGGAATTTTGGCTGGTACAGGAGATATCAGTCAGCTGGGTGAAAATATGGAAGCGCATGCACTAAAGAGACGCTTTGTAAACAAGACAGCTCGTTGGGCGTGCTACAAGCGCCATGGGGTATCGCAGGGCTCGACTTACTTTCGCAGCGGCGGCGTCGGCCTCCTTCTTCTTCTTGAGGATCTCCTCGATACTAAGAGGGTCCTTCTTTGGTTTCGAGGCAACCGGTCCCTTCTTCTTTGCGAGCGTAGGCCCAAGCTCCGGCTCCAGAGGTGTCGGGGGCGGCGGAGGTGGTGCGGAAAGATCACTCGGAGGCGGCGGCGGAATAGGGTCGGACGGGGGAGGAGGAGGGATGCCGTCGTCGGGAGGCGGAGGAGGCGGCGGGACTGCACCGTTGGAATCGAACGCCATTGTGGAGGATTTGGCGCAACTGCCTGGGGTCGCGGTATTGCGGAGGTTTGGCGGAGGTCCAGACGACGATGGAGCTTGGGTCGTCGGTCTTGGCGTCCACATGCGCCGATATTTGTCTCTTGGTCCACCGCCACCGCCCTCAGCCCTCAGTCAGTCTAATAAGAGAAGTAAGCCGGAATGTCTCCGGCGGCTTACTACGCAGTACTCTCATGCCTGGCTGTTGCTTAGCGTGACCGTGCTGCAGCAAATAATAATTTATGGCTTTCCGGAGAAATTCTCGATTCATTCCATGAAGAGAGCAAAAGATGTCTCTTCTGCATGATATCTTACAATTGAGCACGGCCTTTCACGGACTGCAGCCGTCCGTGTTGACCGTATGAGGACTCAGCCAAACGCCGTATCTATACACCCATTTTTCCCATGCTGCTCTTGCAGTCCCTTCCCCCTCGTCCACCATCGCATCCAGTCACTTAACCGCCTGGGTTTGGAGAAAATTGTCTCCAGCAAAGACATGGTTCCACCACGAAACCCCCACATCAATAACCACCAATAGTCCTTTATTTCGGCCACTTCTTCCAGCCACGACCATGGCCACGCTGCAAAAGACCGAACGGTTAGCCCCAGTCCCCCAAGAAAGAAGGACCGCCCCATGTGCGTTCACATACCTGCTTCCACGTCTGGATCATCTCGGGCATCTGGAGCATGGCCTGCCTCCTCTCCTCCAGCTTGCCCTTGAGCCCGCGCTCCCACAGCTTACCCTTGACCTTCTGGCCGACGCCGGTGCCCTTGACGCGCAGGCCGCCCTGCTCCTCGCGCCGGCGCGCCCGCTCGCCGCTCTTCTTCTTCGAGTACGGCAGCAGCTCCTCGACGCCGTGCTTTGCCGCCAACTTGCACAGGTCCGCCTGGCGCCGCAGCGAGAAGGCCGGGCCCTGCCACCGGCCCGTGATGGTGTTGAAGCGCGGCTGGAACGGATTGTGGTATGCGGGCTGCTGCTGCTCGGCGGCGGCGGTGGATTCGGTTGGCGCAGCGGCGGTTGGGGTTGATGATGCGGCGGCGGTGCCCTGGAGGAGTGACGGCGGCGGGAATTTTTGGAAGAAGCGCATGAGGCGCGGATGCAGGCTCTTGGCGAGGTTGATGTGCTGTTTCGTGGAAGCCATGGCGGGCTCAATTGGTCGGCGGGGACGACGTGAGGTGGGTTGTGCTGGACGGCGGCGCGAATTGGCGTGAAGACGCGCTCTTCGCCGGAGAATCTCCGGGTAGGACTCGCTTTGGCTGTGCGTGTACTCGTACCTGTACCTTTTGGGGCCTGCTGTAATTATGGAATCACACATTCAGAAAGCTCACGAGTCCGAGGCCCTCGAGAAGAGATACTCGAACTCTCAATCATTCTGTGCGGGCTCTGAAGCGTGGGCGATGCATTGCAGTTCACGTGGCGGGTGGTCCGAGAGCGGTGGGCTGCTTCGGCCGGGCGAGCTCACTCACCTCCAGCGGCGGCGAGCCGCGTTACCTGCGAGCTGCCTAGCAACACTACCCACCATCACCCTCCGACACCACCGCCGCATCCCCCCTCTGCCGCCTCCAACGCTGCTCGCCCGCCATCTCTCCAGCTCGCCCAACGCCGTCCACAGTCCCAGATCCCCGAATCGCCCGGCGGCAGATAGCACCCAGAGCTAGCTAGCCATGGTGAGCTTCCCCGTCGTCACACACCAGCCAAGCTCTCCAGCTAACCTCAGCCCAACAGTCGTCTCCCTTCAGCATAAGTACAACCTCCCAGCTGCCACCCAGCCCCCTCCAACCGCACCTCCAATCAATCTAACCCACCACCACCGCAGACGGCGGCGCCTGCGTCGCCATGGTCGGCAAGGACTGCGTGGCCATCGCGTGCGACCTGCGACTGGGCATGCAAGCCCTGACCGTGTCCAACAACTTCCCCAAGATCTTCTCGTACGGCGACGTGCACCTCGGCCTCACGGGCCTCGCCACGGACGTGTCGACGGTGGCCGATCTGTTCCGCTACAAGGTCAACATGTACCGCCTGCGCGAGGAGCGCAACATCAGCCCGCAAACCATGGCCAACCTGGTCTCGTCGTCGCTGTACGAGCGCCGCTTCGGCCCCTACTTCGTCAGCCCCGTCATCGCCGGCATCAACCAGACCACGGGCAAGCCCTTCATCTGCGGCTTCGACAGCATCGGCTGCATCGACTTCGCAAAGGACTTCATCGTCGCCGGCACCGCCAGCGACCAGCTCTTCGGCACCTGCGAGGGCCTGTGGGAGCCCGATCTGGTATCTTGTTCTCCCTTATCCTCCCCCCAATTGTTGCAGTACCTGACATTCTACAAATCAGGGTCCCGAGGACCTCTTCGAGACCATCTCGCAAGCGCTGCTCAACGCCGTCGACAGAGACGCGTTATCCGGCTGGGGCGCCCACGTCTACATCATCGAGAAGGACAAGGTGACCAAGAGGCTGCTGAAGGGCAGACAAGACTGAGCGGTGGGCCTGTGGCTGCTGTTATCCGTCCTGCGTGGTCGGAGAGAGGGAAGAACAGAACAGAGAGAGAGGGAAAGTATAGTGAGAGAGAGAGTGTGTGTGTGTGTGGAGAAAGGGCACATCATCGTCAACGTATAACCCAGGTTTTAATGAGAAAATATCCTGGAGGAGAAGTTCTTTATACAGCGCGAGGCGCGCCCATGTGAAAGAAACAACATACTGAAACGAAAGCGAAGTTGACGATGATCATGCTTTTTTTCTCCTTTCATTTTGAGGTAGACTAGGGTGGGGCGGAAGAAGTGGAGGAGGGTAGACGACAAGCTCTGGTTGGTGCATCACAGTTCGTAGAAAAGGCATGCCACGCACAACTCAAGAAACTTCACGATATCGAAGACCAGACCCCCATCTTCGACATTTAATTACGGATCCGAATCTGAGTATATTTCGTCCATTGGAGAATGCTCCAACCGGCCCCCCACCATTCCCATATATGAATTGAGAGGGGATGTGATGTGCTGCCAAGAAGAAGTGCGCAACCAACATATGTTAATCCCCAGCAAACCGCAAACCCAAAACTCCTACCATGTATTATGTCCAGTCCCTTTGCCATCATACCCGAAACGAGCCCAAAAAAAGCATATCAACCCCAATACCCTGTCAGCCAATCAACAAAGAAAGAAAACGCAGAAATGCAAGAAGCCTATCTATGGATGTTGCCAGCGAACGTGGGGTATAACCACTCACTCTCAGCCCGCCCGCCCGCCATGTAACAAAACGAAACAAAAAAAAAACCAAGGAAGAATACCTCAAGGGCCTCCATCAAAGTCGGCACACACAAGACGGAGGCCCGAGGGGGGAGGCGAAAATAACAACAAACGCTGCACACGAACCGCTCTACATGACCATCTCGTCATCTCCATACCAACCACCAGCGCCTCCCGTCCCACCATTACCGGCACTCTCATACCCATACTCCCTCATCGCCTGGAACGCACCGTACTGGTTCTCGACCGCAGCCTTGTACACCGGGTCCGTCGCGCCGCTGTAGCCGTACACCATACCCTGCCTGCGCGGGCCGCCCTGCCCTTGCATCTGCTGCTGCATCTGCTGCTGCTGTTGCTGTTGCTGCTGCTGTTGCTGCTGCTGAGCGGCCTCATAGTCGCGCTTAGCCAACTGCTCATACCCAGACAGCATATACGGCTCGGCGCCGGCCAGCTGGTGGCCGATGCCCGTCATGCGCGGGCTAGCCAGGGTGCTGGTCGGGCTGGTGGCCGTGCTGCCTTCGTCATCCGTCATCATCTCCATCTCCATGGCCCCCGTGTCCAGCCGGATCGGGCGCTGGACGGATGACGAAGACGGAGAAGAAGAAGGAGAAGAAGACGAGGGCTGGTGCTGCAGCCTCTCCCACCGCTCCCGCGCCAGCCGTTCCTCCATCTCCAGGCTCGTGGCCGACGTCCACACGCCGTCCTCGACGGCGCAGCGCAGCGTGATGCGCCAGAGCTCGAGGAGGCGCAGCTGCTGGTCGGGGTCGGCGCCGGTGAAGAGCTCGAGCTGGCCCGGGGAGAGGTCGGAGATGGCGATGTCGTTGCGGGCGAAGACGGCGATGAGCTGGGGGTTCGTGCGGGACGAAGGGAGGGGCACGAGCACCGAGGGGGAGGTGGGCGAGGTGGTGGAGCTGGAATTGAGGTTCGGTGCCGAGGCCGGGCGCGAGATGAGGAGGTTGTTGGGCGTGTAGTGCGTGCTGGCGTAGACGATTGGAGCGGGGCGGTGTTCCTGTTGTTGCTGTTGCTGGGGGGTTTCTATTTCTATGTCCTGTGCCTGCTCGTGCTGCTGCTCGGGCTGCCGCTCAGGAGCTGGGTCCTGTGCGGCGGCAGGCGTCTGGAAGTTGAGGCTCTGCTGGAAGAGCGCGGCGAGTTCGTCTTGCTGCATCTCGGCGTCTCTGGCTGACGGGCTTTTGGGTTGGGCGCCGAGGCCGATGGACACTATTCCGCACTGTCTCCCCGTCGCGAGCGCTCGCAGTTAGTAAGCGTAGACTGGCCAGCTGCATCAGGCTTACGTGGTTGCAGGTGTGGTTCTGCGAGAAGACGGAGGCGGAGTAGAGAACGGGGGTGTTGTAGCAACAAGCACGGCAGTAGTGGGTGATGACGGCGGCCATGGAGAGAGAAGGGAGAAAGGCGAAACACACGTCTATGCTGTTTTCTCGAGGTTGTGCTGGACAAGTCTGTGGCACAGCTCTACACTTTTCGGGCAAGCACAGTCAGTGGCAAAGCAACAAAAGCAGGAAACAAGGCGCCAGCGGAACGGGTCGAATGCTAGGAAGCGTCGGACCGGGTCTTTGTGTGCAATTTCTTGAAAGTCTCGTCGGCACGTGTACTGCTCTGGGCCGTCGAACGTCCTTGATTCTTGGCGGGCGAGCAGCGGCGCGGCCGGGATGGTGGATGAGGCGGATACGTAGTAGCAAGGAGCGCGCGCTGGAGGACAGGAGAGAGAGAGGAGCCTCGGGCGCGTTCCTGGGGAAATTGGGCGCTTATAAAAGGCTGGTGGGCATCAAGCGTGATGGTATGCGTCATGCGCCGCGAGGGAATGGGCGGCGGAGCGGGATGGAGGGGCGCCGCCCGTGTATCAGGCCGGGCGCCGTCGGCCAATAGTTGGGCGCCCAAACACGTGTGCTGATGCCGTTCGAGTCTGGGGCCTGTACGCATCTGTACGCACCAGGCCGCACCTGTCGCCCTGGCTCTGCGCGCCCTGCTTGCCGCTCTCTGCGCCGCGGCCACGCCCAGAGACAGCAGTCGCAATTCGCGGTGGCGGGGAACCGCGTTGGGCCTGAGGTCGACGATGTGCGTGACCGAAAAGGTCGGCCGGCAGCGCCACGTTGTCGGCGCGACGCCCCAATCCCTGCCCACCCCCCCTTGACCGGCACTCCACACCCCAAATTCTGCCTCGTTTTGCTGTCTATCGAAAGCATTCCCCGTCTGCACCCAATCGCCGCCCTTGCTGCTACTCAACCGCACCTTCGACGGCGCCGCCAGGGTGGGTCCCGCCGACACCGCCATTCAAAATCGATACCATCTCTAGCCGTCGTCTACCATGCCACTACGGTCCCAATTCGGAAGCATTCTAGATGAGCACAAAATCAACCTCACCCCCGAACACCAGCTCCCCTGTTTGCCGGATCACGCTGCCTGTTCCCAGCCGACGAGACTCTGCTGCACTCCTGCCCTTAGTGCCTTTCTCTTTCTCTTTTTCTTTTTTTCTTCCAACGCCCGCACACTTGGGCTGTCGGCCGAATCGCCCACGCATCCCAAGCGCTGCATATTTGAGCAAGCCCGTGCGCCCCGACACTTCACCCAAGACGAGTCAAAGTCGATCAGCCGCCGCGCTATGTCATGGGCTGCGTAAATTGCTGATTCTTCCACTCGTCGGTTTCGAAAACATGATTGCTGCCTCATGAATACCCACCGTGCTTTGTTGCAAGCCCAACAACACCGTGAATGGGTGGTTTTGTAACCCAGGCGTTCCAGTACTCAGGGCTGTGCCAAATGTGCTCATGATCCGTACCGTCATCGACGACGTTCTTGCATTGAAAGGAAACCATGCCTCTGGGGCGCAGTGAGGTTGGTGAATCGACAGACGTAGATGCGATGGGCGCCACAATAGCTTGACCCTGCCTGCTGCGCACCAATCATATCAGCCTCAACGCTCGACGACTGCACCTTCCCTTCGCCTCTCCCGTCCAGAGTGCCTGCCGCTCTGATTCTTCATGTCTACCCCTCCTCGTCCGCATACCCTTCGTACCACATACAAGTGGAAATGGGAGTAGAGAAAAACAACCGGGCCTCAGAGCATACACAAACACCAAGTAGAAAACCTAGAGCAAGTCCAAACGTCATAGCAATTCATTCCACTCTACCAGAGCATCGGGGAGAGGGGAGAGAGAGGGGCCAAGCCGAGTGACACGAAAAAGAGCAGCCGCCGTAGCAGCCCAACACAGCCCGTCTTGCCTTTCCCCCATCTCTCTCTCTAGCAATCCATCCGCCCATCTCTATATCGAGCCAGCCAGCCACCACAAGAGAAAGAAACTTTTTGTGTGTGCGGGGTTTCCCAAGAAATGCTCACCACCACCACTTGACCATCTTTTTTCACCCCCTTCCCATCATCATCATCATCGCCACAAGCGAAAGAACGCTTCATCTTCCCAATCACATCACCGTTCCTGGGAAAGAAAGGAAGAAGAACAAGAACCAAAAGAAAAGAAAAAAAGAAAGTCAAGAGGAGGGGAATCAGGCGGTGATCATGTAACCTCTTGCTTCTTCGTTTCTTTTTCTCTCCTCATGAAGGGCAGGGCCGGGGAATCTCCCAAACGACGAAAACTAAAAACATGCCTTTGTTGTCCCGCCCATACATGCATATGCTCTCCCTCTCCCTCTCTACTCCTCGGGCTCGGCCGTAGTGGCGGCAGCCTCGGGCTTCCTGCCACCACCGCCTCTCCTGCCACCCTGCTGGCCACCCTGGGTCGCCTTGTTCTCCGCGTCCCGCATCTCCTGCTCCTTCTGCACGATGAAGTTCTCCTTCTCCTGGCGGATCACGCCCAGCACGCCCGTCAGGCTGTTGCGCCACATGTCCAGGCGCGACGCCACCTCGCGCCACTGGTTGTCGCCAAAGACGCGGTACGTGGCCCGGTGGATGAGGAACGTCTGGTTGAGCTGCGACAGCTTGCCCTCGACGAGCCCCGCGCGGATCACGTCAATCACCCACAGCTCCACCTCCTCCGACGGGATCTGCAGCGCCTTGGTGATCTGCGCGTACGGCAGCGCGCGCGTCTGGCCCGTGGCCTGCGCTGCCAACGACGCCAGCGTGAGCAGCCGCATCTTGCGCGTCAGCTGCGCCCCCTCCAGGCCCTCCTCCTTCTCGATGAACTCGTCATGCTCCTCCTGGAAGTCGTTGAACTCCTCGAGCAGCTCCGACGTGAAAATCTCCAGCAGCTCGAAGTGGACCGGGTCCGACTTGCGCAGGGCTTGGATGCTGTCGAGCGCGGTGAGGTCCTGGAAGTCGAAGTGGGCCGGGTGCATCAGCGCCGTCTTGAGGGCGCGCACGCTCAGGTCGCGTGCCTCCTGGTTGGCCGCCTCCTCGGCGGGGATGGTGCGGAGGGCCTTGATGAGGTACTGGTACGCAGTCTCGTCCTCGCCGCTTTCTTCCGCAACATCGGCAATGGCCAGGTACAGCTTGCGCTGCTCCTCCTCATCCGACTGCCACTGCGCCAACCACGAGTCGATGTTCTTGAGCTGCGGCTTCAGGTTCTCGAAAGTAGACGACGTCTTCACGACACGCAGGATGGCCAGGAACACATGGTAGCGGCTGTCGTTGTCGGGCTGCAAGACGTTGAAGATGGTCGTGAGGACCGACAGGGACAGGCCAGCGCTGTTTGCGGGCGAGGAAGTGATGGGGTTCGACACGTTCTTGCACAGCGGCGGCAGGTAAACGTTGACGCTGGGTGATTGCCGCACGAGGTGGATCAGCAGGTTGTATGCCGCGAGGAACTCTGTGAATCCGCGCCAATGGTGTCAGCTCTCACGCTCCCTTGAAGACGGTCATGTTGGCCATGCGTACCCTTCTCTGGCGCCGAGTTCAGGACAGCGCTCGCGGTAACGAGCTTCTTGAGCACATCATCCTTCTTGTTTTCCTCCAGCAGCTGGCCGACCTCGGACTGCAGATCCGAAGCCTCGTCGCCCTGGTTCTTCTTCAGGGCATTCTACAGAAACGCAAATCCAGTGTCAGGAACGGCCGTCTTCACCGCAGGGGCCCGCGACTCGATTTCGAAGGCTTACAAGGTACTGTGCGAGCTCGTCGGCGAGCTCCTCGAAGGAACCCTCGATGAGCAGAGTGTTGGTCGGCGCCGGCATAGTGAGGGTAGTATTTGCGCGACGGTGTCCGGCGTCGAGGAAGTCGGGTCTTGTCGGGGCGCGGGTGGGTGGTGTGGGATGGGGCAGTGGGCGGCGCGTCTGAGTGTCGTCGTTAGGCACGGTGGGCTTTTCGGAAAATCGCTTATCGATAGCGCTTTGGCCTGAGGCATCCGGCGCCGGCCTGCACTATGTAAGAGCACGAAATGGATGCTTCAAGAGATTTTAGCTAGCTCATCTGGCTGCTCTCGAGTCGTATTGCTCCGTCTCCCAACAAAGTGTCTCCTTTTGTACAGATCGACAACATCAGAATCAAAACACGTGCCCGCAACTGCGGCCGCCGCCCGCGTGCAAATCTCGCAACCCACGGCTGGAGGAACTCGATCCCACCCATCCTTCCCTCTCCTCCACAACTTGGTCATGCTGGAGAAAGGAAAGTAAAAAAAATGAAAAAATGACCAACGATGGGGAACAAGAGGGTTCTCATCGAGGTGAATAGCCGCTACAAGCCAAGTCTCCGCATTGTCCGTGACCAGATCTCCCTTCGGTCCAATTATGCGCCCACCCAATGCAATGTCCACCCAATTTTCGGAATTTTGACGAACACAAAAGACTATAGACTGCGCCAGAATGCGACTAGAAAGAAAGCGAAATGCAAAGCCGGTTGAGCAGGCCCAAACGCCCGTTGTCCAGGTTACCACGCCGTCAGACTCAGGGCCGTTGAGATGTCCCCGAGCCGGCCAAGGTTGCCAACCGAGTCACGTTGAAGCCATAGATGACGGAGCTACGCAGTGGGTATCGTGCTAGGAACATTGATCTTGCGTACTACTAGTTGAGGAAGCCCTTGCAGTTCACCGATCCGCAGAGACACGGGATACGGTCATCGCTGCCGAGCTCGCGCTCGAACTTGTAGTCGTACGTAAGTTCCTCGTCTGTCGTCTTCGGTTAGTTAACTGCGTTCCAACCATGCTTGAGGCCGAACTGTACTTACTTGTCTTGATGTCCCTGAGCGCGTAGATGACAATGCGCTTTGTGCCGTCGACCCTGATGATCTTCGCTGTGCAGTTTGGCGTGCAGCTGTGGTTGATGAAACGTGCAATGCCACCCTTCTTCGTGGCATCCACAACGCTGTCTTCGTCGATACGGAAAAGGTAACTGCTTCCCACTCCCTGTTTGTCGTACTTGATTTCACGGATGTCTGCCACCTTCTGGCGGACCTTCTCGCCAACGTATTCAATAATCATGTCGTTGGCAGAAATGTCCTCTTGGGCATAGAGACCCCAGTTGTGGATCGCCGAGCGGTCGAACTTGACGAGCTTCTTGCGCTTCTTCAGTTGGTTGAAACGGATCGCAATATTGTCGCCGCCGTCAGCAGCAAGAGCCTGCTTCTGGGTACTTATCTCATTGACAAGACGGCGGTTGTTGGCACGGTTCGAGCGCGACGTCGTTGTGGAAGTCTTCGGCGCCGTAACAGCCGGCTTGGCTGCTTGCGCCGCCAGGGCGTTCGGGTTGAGCTTGGCCAAAGCCTCACGTTCCTCACGAGCCTTCTGGACTCTGATACGGTGTGGTAGGTACTTGGACTTCTCCTTCTCCAAGATCTTTTTGACGCCTTCCGTTCTGGCACAGCCTGTCGGGTTGGGTTTGTAGTAGTCCTCGATCTTGACTTCCTTGTATGCAACGCCCTCGAGGCCGGTGTTGAGCTTCTTGACGTGCTTCTCTTTGTATGCGAAGAGGTTGGGGTCGCCCAAGTTCGTCGGCCGCACGTTCTCAAGCGCTGCACAAAGATAACGAAGGTCTTCAGCGTCTTTGACGGTGAACTGCCAGCCATCGATGTCCATGACATAATCCAGCTTCTCCTCAATCGTCGAACGGGGTTCGTCGACGGAGAATCCCCAGATGGGATCTTCAGTGATGAGGTTTTCTGGGAGAATATCCGCGACCTTGGGAACTTCCTCCACTGGCACAGGTTCGATAGGCGGGGTCTCTTCAACCTCAGATTTGAGGGGCGATGGCTCCAGCTTTTCATCCAAAAGGGCTTGCTTCTTTGAAGCAGACTTTTTCTTGGCCTTAGTCGGCTTCTTCTTTTCTGTCTTGATCGGGACTTCCGGCTCCGGTGTCTCAACTTGCATCTCTTCCACGGTCTCGATAGGTGTAGCCGCCTCCGTGGGCGGTTGGACGCTGCCAGCTCTTGAATCTTCATCTTCGTCTTCTCCACCAAATACTATTGCTGCATCTCTTTGGATCTTGCGGAACTTCAACTCGCTCCTGGCCCTCTTGTAAAGGTCTGAAGTATGCGGGAAGGCATGAACCACTTGATCGAGCTCACCGTCTGCCATGTCCGTGGGGTCCTTGTTGATAAGATGAGGGAATAGGCGGCGCGCCTGGGCATCCTGAGTATCGGCATCACCCCAACCCGGCTCGAGTTTCCTGCGTTTGGACGGCCGGATCTGTATGATCTCGTCCTCTTCCTCGGGCGCTGCTGAGGACATGCGACTGATGGACCTGCTCTCCTGCTCTTCAGTATCCCTTGTCAAGGTGCTCTGTTCATCATCCGAATCCTCGTCGTCGAAGCTCTGCATCTGCCGATGAAGGTTTCTGAATGCATTGAGCTTCTTCGGCGGTGGCTTCCTGCGTCTCTCGTCCGCAAATGCATTAACTTCTTGATGGTGACCGCCCTTGCCTCTCCTCTGGTTATGAGAGAGGCTCGCAGCCAGAGATTTCCTAAGATTTTTGTTTCCCTTGCCAAACTTTGACTTGTAAAGGGGCACGGGCTCTGCTGAGCTGAAGAGAACAGTCGGGGTCTTTGCTTCTACGAGAGTCGGGTCCCGCACGCCCAACTCTTTTCTCCTTGCCACATGCCGGGCCGGGTCCAAATAATCGTAGATTGCCGGGGCGGCGACTCGGGTCTTGATGTCGCTCATTATTTGCTCCAACAGCTCCGTGTATAGTCTTTCCTTAGCAGCCGTGACCGGATCCAGGTTCTCTGCGCGTTCCTTCTTCTCTTCCTCAAGATCCTGCTCCTCTTCTCTTTGAATCTCTTCTTCGATTTCCTTTTTCTTTTTTTCCGCAAGCACCCGCTCCGGACTAGGGCTCCTGACATAATTGGGGTTTCCATACTTCTCGCATTCCATGTTCATGACGTAGGTGAAGAGCGCCTGCATGTTGCACTCCTGGAAGCAGCGCTCACACTCATCCTCGCCACGTTTTGAATCCTCGAATATGATGTAATAACCCGTGCGGTCCAACCGCACTTCTTGCCATTGGTATAGTTTCAGGCGCTTCTTCAAATGCGGGATTGTTGTGCCGAGTACGGGAACGTAGCAATGTGCGATGAAAATATACGGCTTGCGCTTGATCTTGTCGATGATCGGTTCGTTTTCGACAAGCGCGTGCTCGGGGCGAATCGGTCGAGCGGCGACGTGCGGTCTGAGACCCATTGCACCTTTACCCGAGGGTCCTTTTGGCGCGTCGGGCGGCGGTTCCGAGAGAGGTATCACAGGCGTGGAATCCGCAGTCTTTCTGATTGACGCAGCTTCCTCTTTCTGCTGCCGCACCCTGTTCTTCTTCACAGCCTCATCGACACAGCGCGCTGCTCTGCGGCCTTCCCGGTCAAGCTCCACTTTAACTTGGCGAAGCTGGATTCGGTTGCCATTACCCTCCTTCTCTGCCAACTTAGCAGCTGCAGCGGCCGTCATTGGATATTTGTCCTGCCGCGTAGGCTTGCTATCACCATACCGGATGGAGCAGATTCCAAGGAAACTTCCCGTTGCCGGATCGATTTTGTTGTCGAACTCCGTGATGCTTCCGAAACTGGAGAAGAAAGTCTTGATCTGCATTTCTGGGGTAAAAGGATCCAATCCAGTCACGAGGATTCTTGTCGCTGGCTGTGGGCCAATGGTGTTCTTGTCGGGAGCATACGGCTTGACGGTGTACGGCGCAGGCCGTAGCCTGGCTTTGTTCAACCCTCTTGCCGCATTGTGGGCTCCGGTCGTGTACCCGGCTATTGCCAGACGAGGATCTGGTGGCGCCGCGATATCCTACTCAACTGCATTAGCCAGGTACACGACCAGAGAACACTCCAACATTATGGTATAATAGTGTGCGGGAAAGAGGCACCAAACGTACATCACGGGGTATGCTTCTGGGTGTCGGCTTGCGCTTGTGTCTCTCGTTGGACGGGACCTTGGGATCTAGCGCGGGGTCGTAGACAAGGGTGAAGCCTTTTTCTTCGCCGGGGCCTGGGCGGGCTTGTCTGCGAGTCTGGGGCGGCGTCGTAGCAGGTGTGATCGCTTCGGCGGGCGCAACATTCTGCGAGGCACCAGGCGGCGGCGCGACGTAAATGGCGGTGTTTGTCAGAGACATGTGGTCGCTCTTCGACGGTCTGGGACTGGTCGCCTTGTCTGGTGGCGACGACTCGGTGTTTGTGAGAGGGGTAAGGGCGTGGATGGCGGTGTTGGGCCCAGGATAGGACATGGTTTGGCGGCTGCTGTTGGAGCTGCTGAAGACTGAGGAAGCTGTGCTGGAAAGTGAACTCGCCGAGCCAACGCCAGTCAAAAGGTCGCCAGAGTCAGCTCGGTGCGCACCGTCATCCTCTTCCGGCTGGTGTTGCTGCTCGAGCGCTTCGGCACTCGCGTCGTTGTTCCTGCGCGGGCCGGCAGTTGCGGCGTTTTCAACGCCTTTGCCCGAGCGCGAAGGCGACTCCGTGCGCAACGGTGCACGCGTGAGGTGGTGGTCGGAGGAGGGTTCCTTGCGTTTTGACTTCAGGACCGAAGGCGCATTGGGGAAGAAGTCGGCAAAGCCCGCTGACGCGCGCGACATTCTATCTCTGACCCGCCCGCTGTGCGATCATCGCGGAACTTGTCAGGCGGGAATTAGTGCGTGCGCGGGTGGGAGGAGACGGCTGCCCTCGTGCAGCTTGGTACGGGCCGGGCGCGAAGTCTTTGAGACGCGGCAGGTGCGCGCGAAATGTACACGAGCGGCTGGCCGAGGCCTGCAGGCGCAGCGGGCACAAACGAGGGGACGGGAAGTGGACGAGGAGGATCGCGCGTTGCCAAACCTCGGGCGAATGCAGCGGCGGGAGGGGTGGCAGTGAAGGAGAGAGGTCGAGGTGGCAGGTCGTTCAAGTCGGTTGGCATTCCAAGGGTGATGAGGTTCTGCCTGCCTGCCCCAGGCCGCTAAAACTAGAACCAGCCCTCCATCTACCGATCGCTCTGAGAGCCACAAGCACCTCGCCCAAAGCACTCCCGCAGCCTCGCCCACGCCTCGCCCAGCTCCGGAAATGCCTGCAGCCTCTTGCGGGCTCGGTGCGCGCATGCCGGTCTCCTCGCCGCGAGCTTTTCCTTCGGCCGTGGCGCTGGACGACGCCCCTGCCCGCTTGATGGCATCATAGCGCCGCCGCCAGCGCTTTTTGCCTGCGCACCTACCCCGACCGCACAACTCCACACAACGCGCGTGTCGCGATGCCACCTCTCGCCCTGCTGCTCGGCTGGACGCTCCGAGGCGCCTGAGGATATCTGAGAGTAAAAGACGCGTCGAGGGGGACGTCGCTGCTCACGTGAGCCGACCCTGAGCCAGCCGATACGGGCCCTAGCTACAAGCCTTCCGTCGAGAGCAGGCAGTACCGCTGACGCCAGGCCAACGCCGATCGACCGAGCAACCGTTACAATTCCGGCATAATGTATCCGTTTTCAATTCGAGCAAAGCATGCTGCCGACGGGTCACAAGACGCTTGGAAACGATAGTCGGGCTCGGCAGGGAGGACAAGAATCCCGAACAATGCAGAGCAAGACACCGTTGCCCTGAGCCTCTCCAGGCCATGCTGGCAGACATGTCATGGGACGGCGCTACAATGGCTTATATATTTGCTCGAGGAGGCTCTGATACCGCGCTGGTGTACACAATGCACGGCAGCAGGGAGGTCGAGACTACGGCCATGACTGTACGAACCCATTCGTGCCTTTACATGCGCGCGCTGGTGCTCCAGCTGCCCGAACTTGTTTGCTTGCTCGTTGTATGGACCACCGCCCGCTGGCCGTTTGCCGTCAATGCCCGTGGCGTAATCTAATCATCAAACTTTCCCTCGGCCCATCCTCTCCTCTTAACACCCAGCTCCACAGCCGCACTACCCCAGTCCAAACCGTGGTTGTGTCCCTGGTCGCCCTTTTCGCCCGCGATGCCCGCGCGATGCAGCCCCTGCTCCTCGGTCAAGACGGTCAGCAAGCCGAACACGACGGGCACGTTGGCATCCAGCTGCGTGCGCATCAAGCCGTGGCTCACGGCGTCCGCAATGTACTCAAAGTGCATCGTCTCGCCCTTGATGAGCACGCCGATGGCGATTATCGCGTCGAACGGCGCCGTGGACGCGCCGCTGGGCTTGCTGCCGGCCACGGCCGTGCCCAGGCTCGTCAGGTCGGTTGCCGACGACGACGAGAGCAGGTCCGTGGCGGATTGGACGAGGCCGCCGGCGCCGCCGGAGGAGGAGGACTGGATCTGCGAGGAAGCGTACATCCTATATGTGATCACCGCCCGATCGTCAGCCCTCATCACCACCACAAAGCCATGGCGTACGCCACGGCGAGACTTGCACGTATATAGGGTGAAGCAGGACGGGGTCGGAGCCTTACCGCTGCACGGCAAAGGGCAGTTCGTAGCTGCCTGGCACGGTCTGGATGACGATGTTCTCGTCCTTGACGCCACCGGCGGCGAGCGATTTCTTCACGCCGTCCAGCAGCGAGCCGATGATCTTGCTGTTCCAGCGAGCGTGGACGATGCCAACACGGAGGCCCGAGCCTGACAATCGAAGTGCCCGTCAGTACTCCTGCGATGCGTCGTAAAACCCCCCCTTGATGACAGCGCTGGCGCCTTACCGTCGTACTTGCGGGCCTCACCCGGTCCCTTGAGCGGTGCCATGATGACGATTATTGGGGTGTGGAGATGATGTCTGAGACGTCAATTCGGATGAAGTCGTCGTGAAGGAGAGTCGGGGTGGTTGCCACGTTGCGTGCTTGTTGGAGCTTGTTGCGATGTCAATGAGGGGAAAGGGTCCACGCCCACGGTGCCTTGCAGCTGGAGAGTCTCGCTGCCAGCCCCACCAAAGCTCCGCTGAGGGCAGATCGTCACACCCAGGCCCGCACGAGCCACCAGACATGACGCGGATTCGTATCTCAGAAACGACACCTGGTGCTACGTAGACTGCTGGAATCCCAGCCAACCGTGTAATAAAACTTGAAACACCAAGTGACGTTTACGGAGCGAGCTGCTCCATCATCACAGTGGGCGACGAAAGAAATCGACCTGCAGCGATTCTTTGTGTGGGTGTTTGAAGCCAGTACCTATGCCGACGCAGATGTAGGTTCGAACGACCTTTCTCCATCATTAACTGGAGTATATATCCGAATCAGATGCGACTATCGGAACTTCACAAATGCATCCGGATCTAGGATTCCACTACCCATGAGATCTATGTAGGTGGGCCAATTTCTTTCGTCCCCCACCGTGTCATCGCGTTGTTTATGCAACATGCCATCAAGGGGCTATCGAGTCAGGGATGGGCATCTTTCCCACGCGTGTTCACAAACGCGCCGCACATGACACGAACACCAAAAGAAAGCAGTACATAGTCGCAAACAAAATTCATTGATCGTAGTACTACAGCAAGTTGCTTTCGCGAGGCATAACTACCGAGCGGGCATTTGATATTTTTTTGCATTCATTTTTCTTCGCAGAACTGCCTCGCTCGGCATGCCTCGCATAGAAAACCGTGTAAATCAGGCCGTTCAATCAGCATCCAGCATTCCATGATATCCATCCGCCCATATCCAGCTGAGCTCGCCATACACTACAAACCTTTCTACCGTACGCCTTTGCCCTCTACCGGGCTTTTACATGATCACCGCTTACTCGACGGTAACAGACTTCGCCAGGTTCCTGGGGAAGTCAACGTTGAGACCCTCACCGACGGCCAGCCAGTAGGCCATCAGCTGCAGAGGGATGACGTTCAGCAGACCCTGGAGGACGTCGACGGTCCGGGGAACCTCGATCTTCTCGGTCTTGTCCGCAGGGAACTCCTCATCGTCCTTGTTGCAGATGATGATGGGACGACCGCTACGGGCAATGACCTGCTGGTACGCGTTAAGCGACTTGGGGAAGATGTCATCGCGGGTAAGGATCATGACGATTGGGAGGTTCTCATCGACAAGAGCAAGCACACCGTGCTTCAGCTCACCGGACATGACAGCCTCGCAGTGGAGGTACGAAATCTCCTTGATCTTGAGGGCGCCCTCCAGAGCGGTGGCGTGCTGGGCGCCACGGCCAAGAAGAAGCAAGCTCTTTTGGTTCTTGAACTTCTGGCAAAGCTCCTTGATGTTCTGGTCGAGCTTGAGAATCTCCTTGAACTGCTCCGAGACCTTGCCCAGAGCCTCCATAATCTCGTGCCTCCTCTGCTGCTTGGAGTAACGGTCCTCGCTGAGAGAAAGGGCAAACATGACCATGCAGACGAACTGGGAAGTGTAGGCCTTCGTGGACGCAACACCAATTTCGGGGCCTGCGTTGATGTGGACACCACAGTGGGTGAGGAGAGAGATGGACGAACCGACAACGTTGACGATACCAACGGTCAGGGCACCGCGCTCCAGGCAGTAGCGGAGAGCCATGAGAGAGTCGGCAGTCTCACCAGACTGCGAAACGAAGATGCAGGTATCGTCGCGGAAGACAGGGGCTTGACGGTCCAGGAAGTCGGACGCCAGTTCGACGGAGATGGGGATCTCGGTCAGCTCCTCGAAAATACCACGAACAGCCATGCAAGAGTGGTATGAAGTACCGCAGGCGATGAAGATGATCCTCCTGCAGCGCCTGATGGTGGTGATGTACTGGCGCAGACCACCAAGAGTGACCTTTTTGTTGTCGATGTCGAGACGACCACGCATGGCGTTGACAACCGACTCAGGCTGCTCGAAAATCTCCTTCTGCATGAAGTGGTCAAACTGACCCTTCATGATCTCCTGGAGCTCAATCTCCAAAGTCTGAATAGCACGGACATTGGAGGCGCCATCCTCCTTGTTGACACGGTGAATGTTGAGAGAGCCCTCGTGAATGTGCGCGATATCGTCGTCCTCGAGGTACAGGACCTTCTTGGTGTGCTCGACGATGGCAGACGGGTCGGACGAGAGGAAAAACTCGGTGGGGATCGGGACGCCGTCGTCCGAGAGGAAAGCACGCGACTGCGAGCGGTGGAGGAGGGACTTGTCAGGAGGAGCGAGGAGGCCGCCGGTGTTGGCCTTCTTGAGCGCGACGTTCTGCGAAGCAAGCTCGGCCGGCAGGGCATCGGCGTCAGAGAACTCGACATCGACGAAGTCGACCTTCATCTTCTTCTGCGTCTTGACACCAATGACAAGGGGCGAACCCTTGCGGGCCGCGATGACCTCATGAGGGTAGTGCACCGACTTCAGCAGCAGACCGAAGGCACCCTGCAGCTCCTTGATGATGGCCTTGGCCAGGACGGGGAAGTCAATGTCCGGGTGGCTGTCGTAGATGTACTTGGCCAGCTTGGCGATGGCCTCGGTGTCCGTCTCCGTCTCAAACTTGAAGCCCTTGGTCTCCAGCAGGGCCTTCAGCTCCTTGTAGTTGGTGATGATACCGTTGTGGACAACGGAGAACTCCCAGGTGGGGTCAGACCTGGCGGGAGGCGTACTTGTCATTATCTAACAGTTCATCACCGGCGGCCGTTCTGCGGAGCTACTTACCTGTGGGGGTGGCAGTTGACGCGCGAGGGAATACCGTGGGTGGCCCATCTGGTGTGTGCAATGCCGGCGTGCGAGTCGAAGACCTTGGTCAGGTCGGGCTTCTGCTCGTCGATGAGCTCCTTCAGCTTGGCGACCTTGCCAACCTCCTTGAAGGCGAAGACCTCGTCCCTCTTGTCGCCATCGACGGCGAGACCTGCCGAGTCGTAGCCGCGGTACTCGAGGCGCGAAAGGCCTGCAGGCGGTTAGAAGTGCGGGCGGGCGGGCGGGCGGGCGGGCGGGCGAATTGCGGGGGAACTTGCCATTGACGAGGGTGTTGAGGATGAACTTGCGGTCCTTCTCGACCAAGTAGTTCACGTAGCCGAAAATGCCACTGTCGGTGCGTGTCAGCGTGTGCCAGGCGCGGGCGGGCGGGCGGGCGGGGCTGGGCATACCACATGGTGCTGAGTTGAACGGAAGAGGACTAGAAACGAGAGCGGAGGCAGTCAATGGCGGGTAATGATCGTGAGGCCGGGGTGCAGTCGTGGCGAGGAGCTGCGGGTATGGAGGAGGGAGACGGAGAATGTGGGCGGAGAGGGGAGGGGTCGATATGGCGGGTGGATGCGGTGAGCTGTGGATTAAGTACAGCTCGGGGACGCCAAGCTGACGCAGCAACAAACCCGCGCCCGCCCCCTAACGCCAGGCGGGCTGTTTCAGGGATTGCTCGAAAGCTGGCAAGCTGGCGACAGCGGGCACGCCCGTCTGTGCATCTTGCTGGGCGCGCCAGTCGCGCTCCTTTTCCCTCCCATTTCGTCACCCGTCACCACCTGCCCAGCGACCGCCCCTGGCGAGCGCGCACACGCCGCCGAGCGCGCGATCTTTGCAGGGATTGTGTGGAGCGTCGCCGCGCTGCGCCTCCAAGCCGGCCTACAAAAATAGAGCATCGCGCCTAGTCGCCCTCGCAGCCTCATCGCTGCATCCTGCAGGGTCGCCGCCCTCGTATCCGCGCCGTTGCCGTCGTGACAGATGCGCCCGCTGACTTTTCGTCCCGCTGCAGCGCGTCGTCGATAGCACGGATCTCCCGAGACGCGGAGCAAGCAGCGCAGCCCGCGCGCCGCGCGCCGTCTCCTCCGGCGATCATCTCAACGGGACTTTTTCAATAGATTCCCAATATAGCAGCCCTCTGTCGGCGCCAGTGCGCTGCTCCAGGGCGCAACGGCGGCCTCTGCGCGATGCCGCATCCGGCCCTCCACCGCCAGCAGCAGCAGCAGCAACAGCAACAGCAGCAGCAGCGTCAGCAGCAGCGCCAGCAGCGGGTAGCAGCAGGCCGGCTCCAGAAAGCGGAAAGCTTGGAGAGGCGCCACAGCAACCACCCGGCCAGCTGCACACAAACATCGCTAAGCCCTATCGCTGAGCCGCCATGTGTGGACCTGCTCTCCACCGATGGGAGCCCCCAATCAGCTTCCCTGTCGGCAGGCTTCCGAGATCTGTGGGCAGCCCATCCCAGCGCCGGCCCAACGGTGAGCGTTCAGGGCTCATCATCAGTCTTGTTTTGATCCACGCACAGCTCGAGCTGGTTTCCTGCCGCGGCATGGTGTTCCGGCTCCTGTCGCACCGCCCTGCCCAGGTTTGCTCCGATGAGCTGATGCTCTCCATCGCATGCCGACACGCGCTCTACGGGCAGCACTAAGCACTCCATGGCAAGCAGACGTCATTGGGGGAAACCCATGTCAATCCATGCCAACTTCTGCCGAATGTCTGGCGGGGCCGCAAGCGACATGTGAACTCGGCGCGCCAGCTCCTGGCCACCACCAGTGTGCCAGCCTTTGTGCTTACATGGTCGCTGCTCGGGACCATTGCCCGCTCGTGGTCACCTCCGCCAGCCACAAAACAAACAGTGGTCTGCTTATGCCCACAACAAACAACAGCCGGCCATGTCCGAGCATCCCCAGCCACGGGACGCCCCACCACTCAATCGCACGCCCTATCTGCTTGGCAGTCGAGTGACATGTTCCGTATCTTTTGACATCGCCCTCTATATTTCTTTGAGCTTAGATCTATACGCACAGCCCTGCCGGCCACGGCGCGAATACGAGCAGACCAGCAAACAACCGAGACGGCACGGGCGACGCGCGAGCGTGGATGCTCCCCATCCCGCGCTCGCGGGGATTTTCCTCTAGGCGAACCATGGCTCCTCCTCAATTGGGCACTTCGGTGGTGGCCTCTCCCAGCCGTTCGTCCCTGGGAAAGTCCCACTCCGTGATCCCCGCCGCCCCCCTCTCGCTCTTGCCCCTCCCTCCGCTCTCCATGCCCTCCCACTCCCTCAGCCCGTAATCGCCCCCCGAGCTCTTTTCCTCGTCAAAGTCAAAGACCCTGTAGTCGGCGTTGGCGTACCGCCGCTGGCTGATGGCGCAGCGCAGGAAGCCCGAGTGCGTGACAACAACAATGACCTTCTCCGGGCGGTCGTGCAGCCACGCGAGACAGCGCTGGCCGCGGGCGACGACGGCGCGGCGGCTGAAGGCGTAAGGGTTCGTAGCAACAGGCTCGACCTTCTCCGGGTAGGTGGGATCGACGTCGCGGAAGTCGAGCGAGGGGAATTCTGTCGCCAGGATGGAGACGGGGGTGCCCGTGTCGCAGGGTTTGTCCGAGTTCTCTATAGCATGGGGGCGTGAGCATACACATGCAGCTTTGATCAAATCGCATCACCTAAGTAGCAAGAAAGCAATAGCGTGAAAGGGCAAGGACGGGAAAGGCCCAACGGGCGAACAAGTGCAGCAATAGGGAGACTCCAAACGCGAGAAACTTCTCCAACAACGGGCTACTGCCTGAGTCTCCTCCCACATTAGAAAGCAGGAAAGAAAAACGTGACACGCACTACAACAGAAGCATTCTGGAGAAGTGCCGAGACCTGAAGATGCCGAAAGCCCAGGCACAGGTCTCCAGCACGAACCAGCGGTAGGTAGTAGCACAAGGTCGGCGGGCGGTCCGAGGGCCAGCAACAAGGCCGCCCGCACCGCATGGAGGATCAAACAGTTGAGAGAAGGGCCCACGCAGCTCGCGGGCGTGCGCAGGCCGCCGATGCCGTCCGTTCTAGAGCCTCAGCACGGCCCAACGAGGAGAGAAAGGATGGAGAAAGGAAAAGAGGCAGAGATGCCGGTCGTCCACATACTGGACCGGGATGGAAGCCTCAATCTAGCCAACTTCATATGATCCCCGCTCGAGATGCAAGCTAGGGACACACCTGCCTGTGTAGGCAAGCATGAGGGAGATGGTAGGGAAGGCTGACGTGCATATCGACCCTCGTAACACAACATCGCATGAAACCCCAAAACGCATGACAGTAAAAACAAAGAAGGGGAGAACAGAGAAAAAAACGAAAAGCAGCCGCACGCGCTCAACAGCGAATGAGAGGGAAAAAGGGAAAGAAAAAAAAGACATACCTTGCCACCCCGCGTCCAGCCTCAACGGCACGCCCTTCTCGACCAACCAGTCCAGTCCCAGCAGCGCAGTCTGCAGCGTCCGGCGCATCGGGCTGACGACAATCAGCTCCGCGCGCTCAGCCAGCTCCGAGACCTGCGGGCGTTCTCTGCCCTGTCGCAGGTGGTCGCGCAGCTCCGTGCATTGCTGCAAGCCCAGCTGCGAGAGGACGGGATCGGGGATCGAGTAGTCTAATGTTATGTGATTCAGCCAAGGAAGAGTCAGTCAGCGCGGGGGCGAGGTTTTGCTTTTCTCTTTTTTTTTTCCTTTGACTTGACTTTCCTCCTTCCCCTCCTTCTCGGCCCCTTCGTTTGCTTGTTCTTGAGTAGAATGCAATCAATGCGGGCGGGAGAGGTTTCGGATAATTGCTTGCGGGCGGGGCTTTGTTGAGGTAGGATAGGGTGGCGACAGGGGGCAGGCTGATGGAGGAGGGGCAAATACGTACCTTTGTCGACGTTGTGAAGTGCTTCCGCGTGGCGGATGAGGATAAGAGTCGGAGGCATGACGGTTCAGCGGTATTGTTACTTTGCTAGGTTGGGAGCAAGAGTTTCTCACGAAGAGAGTGAGTAAATGTAGCACGCTGAGAAGACGCTAGGTGTCCGTTCTTCAGACAAAAGTCGAACAGCTGGTTCGTCGGATCTCAACTACCCGAGACCCATGACCTGAAATTCGCTAACGCCAGCCTCACCGGTCATTGACAACACCTTCGCTCAGCAAAGGAAGCGCACTCTTGAGGGAGTCGTCGACGACGTGGGTAATAAGAGGGACTCCGAGGAATCGGGGAGAGCCCGAAAGTCTATGCATGCCATTTCATAATTCAAGCTCGCTAGCCCCTCATGATCCGCATCTCGTGTCTGCCATGTGATACTGTACACACATTACTCCTCCATCCTCTCACCCTCGGGCCTCGTCTCCTCCTCGTCGTCATCATCGCCCTCCAACGCCTTCTTAGCCAGCCTCTCGGCCTCTTCCCGCAGCGCCTTGGGGACCTCCTCGTGCCTGCCCTTGGTGGGGCCGCTAGCGGAGCTGATCCAAGTCATCTCCAGCTCGAATTCCTTGTCCTTGCTGTCCTCATGTGCGAAGTAGATGATGCGCGCAGCCTCCTTGACACCCTGCTCCAGGGTGAGGGTGCCATCCTGGAGGTTGAGCTTCTCGAGCTCTGCCTTGGCAGATTGCCTGCCCTTGCCCGTCGCGGCACCGTAGTAGCCCTATTACTGTTAGCCACGAAGCGCTCTGCAGGCCCTCGCCTCGGATGTGACACATACCCAGAACAGGCCACTGGGCTCAACCATGTAGAGGAACGGGCCGCCGTGAGTGGCGTCCGCCTTCTTGCCGCCAGGACCAACCGAAGGACCGCTGCCAACCTGGCCGTCAACCTCCGCGGGCTCCTCGCTATCCCAGCCGCCAATGATGGACGTCACGCCGAACGGGCGAACGCTGGAGTAGAGAGTGTATGCCTGAACGTAGCTGCCCATGCGGCTGGCAAGCGCGGCCGTCTTGATGGGGCCCTTGTACAGCTTCCTCCACTGAGAAGCCTCATCGCGAGCTCGGGAAACGAAGTGGCGTCCGTCAGGAACGAGGCCGGAGGAGACCTGTGAGCGGAGTGTCAGCTTGCGCACCCCACACAGACACAGCAGCCGGAATGAGGCGACGCACGATGCCCACGTTGCGGTCGACGGATGCTATGCGTTTGTTGGCGCCCTTCTTGAGAAGCTTGCTGCTAATGATCTTCTCGAGGGCGAGGATGACGCCGTCCTTGCACCGAATGCCGATTGCCGTGCCGCCGTTCTCTACCGCCTTCTGGGCATATTCGACCTTTGGGATTATGAGCTAGGCGCCGCACGGGGAGCGAGATGTCAGGGTGGAGGTACCTGGAAATTGCGGCCGTCGGGCGAGAAGACGGAGTTGGAGAGATCGTAGCCGGTACCTATTGACGTCTGTTGCCGCGTTGTGCGTTAGCGCGGGCGGCGGAACGCAGGAAGGCGGGCGGCGTACCATGGCGAAGCTGCAGAAAGACGCGGGTCTGCGGGTATTGGAGCTGGGCTACGGGAGAAATGGGCGGGGGAGGATGAGGCGGGTGAGGAGGTGGGCGTGATGTTGATGTAGTTGCCAAACGAAGCTCCAAGCCAGGCTTCCTCGAGCTGCGCGTAGCTCACCCCCCGGAGATTACCCGGCAATCTTATCACCCGCTCCCGACCGTGTTGTTGAAGCCAGCAGAGCAACACTTGGATCGAAATCTTGGGCGCTTTCTTCAGTTGCAGGGCTGGTTCTGCAGGCATTTGTCAAGTCATCACCGCAAGGCATCTGCGCATCGCAAACACCAGCAACCGACGTGGAGTGTCCCCCGCTGAATCATCGTATCTTCATCTAATGTGGTCTAGTAACTAAGGTAAATCATGTCCTGCTATGCTAGCCCATTTGCTCCAAAATGCAAGCAGAACTGTTCTCGGCGCCTGACAGCGTGCGGCTTACGAACCAAGGGCGATGCCTCTGGCGGTAAGCCTCTCCTTCACAACCTCGTAAACCTGCTCGGGAGTCTGGGTGGCATCGACCTTGACAACGCGGCCCTGGCTCTCGAACTCGTCGACGACAGGCATGGAAGTCTCGACGAAGGTCTTGAAGCGTTTGCGGATGCTCTCGATGTTGTCGTCTGAGCGGCCAGACGTCTTGCCGCGGTTGATCAGGCGCTCCTCCATGGTGCTCTCGGGGCAATCGAAGAAAAGGGTGAACTTGGCAGGGCACACGCTCTTCTCAAAGGCATGGGCCTGGTCGAGCTTGCGGGGGAAACCTTGAGGGGATTGTCAGCCAATGTCTAGTCTGAATGCCGCGGGAAAGAGCGTACCGTCGATCAGGAACTTCTTCTTGTTCTCCGCCTTCATCGCGGCCTTCATGCCGTTCTCGAGGAGCTGGATGGTGACCTCCATGGGCACGATCTTGCCCTCGCGGATGTACTCCTTGATCATCTCGCCGAACTCGCTGCCAGGCCTCTCCTGCTCCTCGCGAAGCAGATCGCCGGCCGACAGATGCTTGAATGTGTAGTCGCGCACCAGGTTCGAGCACTGGGTGCCCTTGCCCGCGCCGGGGCCGCCGAGGACGAAGAGCACGGTGACCTCGGCAGGGTCGAACTCGGACTTCTCGCGCTGGAGGAGGGTGGGGACGGCAGGCATGCTGGCGGCGGGGATGGTTTACTGGAGCGGGCGGCTGGTGGTGTTGGTCGGCCGGGCAGTGCCTTGACGCTGGTTGACGATCTGGACGAACAGGAAGGTGCCACCGGCGAAGATCAGGGCAAATGGCCAGATGCGGATGGGAGAATACTGCGGGCTGCGCGGGCGAGGGGTGTGCTTGTCGAAAAGAAAGCGAGACGCAGAGGAGAATTGGCGGGAGCGGGAGCGCGACAAGGGGGTGGAGGAGCTAGGCGCAAGGAGGTGGGAGAAGCCGGAGGAGATCATGGTGGCAGCGGATTGGGGGGGTGTCAATGGCGGGGAGCGAGATTGTCCCGCCATGAAACGTTCCGTTTGGCTCCTTCTGTCCTAGTGCTCGGCGCCGAAAAGGACCGCCCAGGACCTCATCTCTCACGACACGTTGCCAGCCCCGGTCCCAGAAGCGCAGCCAACATGGCCGACCCGTGTCGGCAGAAGAGCGTGGCGCTGTTGGGCGGGCTCTTGGGTCTGCCGTGACGTCCGATGGACCAAGGCCCTTTTGGCGTGTCTGATCCTCCTGTGAAAGGCGCAGTACACCTACCCTTCGACAAGTCGACAAGAATGGGCAAGAAGTGCGATTGACAGCAGCCCGTGGTTAATTGGCATTGTGTGCCAACGTGGGTGGGGAGAGCTCACTTGGTCCCGCAGCGTTATGAGATGGTTTCCTCGCTCGAGTTTCATCTATATGCTTGTAGGACGGCGGCGCAAGAGAAGGCACGAACCCGATGTGTGCGCGGCTCCTCCCACTTGACAGTGTCTCAAACCGTTCTTCAAAGCCTTGCGATTGCATTCCTCGGCTCAGCGTTGGTTTCCCGCTGTGCAGTGTGCTAGTGAGCTTGATCGCATGGCACAAGATGGGTTCGTCGCTGCTGGAACGTTTTCCTGTGAATGTTTCTAGTTCCAGGCTCCTGCCATAGGTTAGCTGTCTTGAAGCAGCTGCTCGGAATTGCCTGCCCTGCGCATAAAATTTCGCCGTCCGCCGCCAACTTTGTCTCTCTCCACCCCACTCCACTGCACCGCGAAGATCTTGTCGCCAGAACGCCAGCATTTCCGTCGCCTTGTCTCCCTAACCCTCGCACCTGAGCCATCACCGCCGTCATGCCCACTATGTATGACGCTTCGAAGGTCGAGAATCTGTCCGAGGCCGACAAGATGCGCCTCATCGTTGCGTACTTGAACCACAGTGAACCGAACAACGTGAGATAACGAGCTTGCCGTCACTCCAAGCCCCTTTGAGCACGCTAACTTGCACAGGTCAACTGGGATCTTGCTGCCACCGAGGCTGGCTCCAAGTCCAAGGGAAGCTACAAAAAATTGGTGGCGAACGCTCTCAAGAAGCTGACCCCCGACACTGTTGTCGAGGGAGACGATGGCCTCTCTGCTACGCTGCCTCTCAGCATCACGAAGTCCGTCTCGGCTCCTGCCGCGAAGCAAGGCCGCAAGCGCGCCGCGTCAGTCGACGACGGCGAAGACGACGATGTCAAGGCTGAGAAGGAGGGAACGAAGCGCCGCAAGGCCCCCACCAAGAGTGAGTGATTCCTACAAGCGTACCAGAAGCCCACTTGAATTGCTAACATGGCGTTAGAAGCCGTGAAGAAGGAGGACGGCGAGGAGGCCATGTAGGCGGGCACAGCCGTCGCGCCGACAAGCTCTATGACAATGCTTTCGAGAAACCAAGACATAGAATGCAAGTGTTGGTTTGACTTGGGCCCACCAAACTATCTGAAGCGGCTGTAGATAATCTAATGAACTCTGGTTTGATGCTGGAAATATCTTGACCGTCTTGTTCTCTGACGTGACCGTGGCTGACGAGACTTTCGTACCTACCCAAAGCATTCCCACATGCTCCGAGCGCCTGTGTCAAACCTTGCACGTGCAAGGGCCGAGCGGAAGAGTCGCAACGAGGCATACTTAAAGCCACCCTTCGAGCTCGAACCTTTCACTCTCCCTCCAACTTTTGAGCTCCACAACACGAACTCACCACGCGAAACCACTTTTCAAGATCGCTCACTGTAAGCGCAAAGCAGAGCGTTCCTTCGTGCTCTCTTGTTGCTGACTTCCGGCCCGACAGTATTCGTTCGCAGCTCACCATGGCTTCGAAGTACAGCGCCGCGGCCATCAACGGCCTCTCCGACGCTGAAAAGTTGCGCTTCGCGTTGGCTTACTTGCACCACCACGACCCCAAGAACGTAAGATCTTTAGCGACAGCCCCAACTTCATGGAAAACATCCTCTTGCTAAAAGATCTAGGTGGACTGGGCCGGTGCGGCTGCTCACTCCGGATCCAAATCGAAGGAAAGCTTCAAAGTCATGTTCAACCAGACACTGAAGAAGCTTGACAAGCAATCCGAGGGAGCTGCGGATGCCGACGTGGCCTCACCTGCGGCCAAGTCTACCAAGGCCGTAAAGCGCAAGAAGGCCGACCTCGAGGATGACGACGAGGAGGCTCCCACCCCGAAGAAGCGCGGACGCAAGAAGGCAGTCCCGAGTAAGTCATAACTGCGCTTTTGCAACCCAAGTCGATCTCTAAAGTAGCCATTAGAGAACATCACTCCCGAGAAGGAGCTCCAGGCCGAAGAGGGGCTCACGCTCAAAGAAGAAGAGGCCCTGGATGATGCCATCAAGGGTGTCTTCGACTACGACGCCTAGAAGGGCAACGCCAAAGGCTACACCGCCGACCCTACTGGCAAATACAAAGGGTCGTACTATGCGGGACGCGATTCCAGTGATGTCCAAGCCTCAATTGAGAACATGGACGAATGTCTTCTTCTTCTTCTTCTAGCGCGGGTAGGATAACGATCGGGTGAGACTGCCCATCACAAGATTTCAATAGAAGACATGCCATCGTGGTCATCTATGGCCATTCTCTACCTTTCCATTGTTCTTTTCCACGTGAAGAAAAACAAGGCAAGCACCACTTCGTGTCAATCTTGCGATGCTACGAACCTCGATTGTAAAGTGCTGCCGAAAGGAACTGCGAGGCTGAATGGGTTCAATTCGGATCGTCCATTCGGATGTTTCGACATCTCACGCAATGGTGAATCTCGCAGAATATTCATTCAACTTTGTATCTTTATCCATGTATCTGCCCCAAGCCCCGTGGATGTGTTAGGAGCAGCGGAGTAGCTATGAGAAACTTCACAAAGTCAAGTTCAGGACGGCTTTCAATGCCTGTGAGCCCCCCCGCTCGCATGTCCGCCTTCCGCCTCTAGATCTCCTCAGTGGCGAAGAAGGATCCGGGGTCAAGCTCCGGTTCCTCTTCAGGAGCAGCATCCTCAGCTTTGACGACCGGTCCAAGCCGCGGCTCAGGCTCTTCCGCCTCGGCTACACGACCGTCAGTCATGGACCCACACAAGCGGCACGAACCTCACTTACTCTTGATAGCCTTGCTGGCCCTTCCACTCCTCTTCGGAGTCGGCTTATCCTCAGCGTCAGCAGTACGCTTGCGCTTCGGCGTGGTGGTCTCGCTGGTGCTGCCGCCACCATCGGCAGCGCCGTTAGCCAGTTTCTTCATCGCAGCGTAATACGTGACTTTGAAGGAGTGCTTAGTCTTGGCGCCAACGAGAGCTGTCGCAGCATCCCAGTCGACCTGTTTTTGTCAAGATCAGCGAGTTGTCTATTCTGACGATTGTCTGCATCTCACGTTGTTGCGATCTTTGTGGCAGAGAAGGGCGGCAATCAGGCGCTTCTTGTCGCTGTCGGTGAGAGCGGAAATGCTAGACAGGCTGTAGCTGGTGTTGGCCGCCATGATGGCAAAGTTGGGTCGTAGCGATGGAGTTGGGTTGATGGGTTGGATATCTTAGCAGAAGGACAAGTCTTTTCAGAAGTGAATGTGAGAAGAGAATTGCTCCCTTGGGCTGAGAGTGAGAGGCTGCTCTGACGCGACAATCGTCCATCTGAAAATTGCTGGTGACGCGAGTGCAAGTGAGGCAGGTCCGCCAATGGATAGTAAGTTGTCGGCATCGCCTGCCGTTCCGCTCTTCCGGTCACCGGACGCACCGAGTCGGGCTTTTGTCCCGCTTGTAGAAGGTTCCAAATTCCGCAGCACGCACTTGCTTCGTCCATCCTCCGCTCTGCCCCATCCAGCCCTCCCGACCCCTTCGCTGCTTCCACGCCCGAACAAACCTCAGTCATACCTCTCACTGAGGAGACACCAGCCTACCCGCCATGGCAAGCCGCAACCGCAACCGCATCCGCATCCGCATCCGTTCCAAGCCAGTCCAGAGCTCGGCCGCTCTGGCGGAAAAGAAGGGGCTTGCCACCAACAACGAGAACAAAAAGCTCACCGTCAGCAACGAGAATCAGCAGCTTCTTGCTGGAAAGCAAAGCAAGAAGCCTGTTGTCGGAACTGAGGCCAAGAATTCGGCTGTTGGCAAGACGAAGATGAAGAAGCAGCGCCTCGGCTTCCTCGATCTACCTGGCGAAATCCGTAACATGATTTACGCCCACTGCTTCGAAGACGAAATCTGGATCGACATGACGCCGACCGCGGACCACATCCTGAAGCAGAACAAGGTCCAGCTGGGCACCTGGGCATCCGCGGCCCACGCGGCCCCCAAGCCCACCACCACCACCACCAGCGAGTCGAACAACGAGGACACCAGCAACGCCAACCCCACTGCCACCGGAGAAGACACCCTCGCCCTCCCTCATCTCACCATAACCGGCCGCCGCACCGCCCGCTTCTCCGCCACCACCTTCGCCACCCCAACCCCGCGCCTCAAACCCCAAAAAATCGCCTACAAACCCCACTCCCGCCGCGGCCACACCACCACCACCTCCCCGACCAAATGGACCACCTCCCCCGGCGCCCTCGTCCTCACCTGCCGCCAGATCCACCACGAGGCCCTCCCCTTCTTCTACGCCGCCCCCTTCTTCATCTTCAGCGCCCCGCGCCCCCTGCTGCGCTTCCTCGCCCTCGTGCCGCCGCCCAAGCTCGCCCTCGTGCGCAAGCTGCACGTCGCGCACGCCACGTACGGCGACCCGACGCGGCCCCGCGACGAGGCGTGGCGGACGCGCCACCAGGCCGCGTGGAAGCGCGCCATGGACGAGGCCGCGCGCCTGCTCGTCGGCCTCGCCGTGCTGCGCTGCCGCGTCGTGGCCAACGAGCGCCCCTTGGTGTTTGCGCTTGCGTCGGCCGCCTGGGCGCGGACGCTGGTCGAGGCGTGGGGGCCGGCGTGTCAGCGCCAGCGCCAGCAGCCGGGGGAGGGGAAGGAGCGGGAGAAGGAGAAGGAGATGGTCGTGGCGACGGTGGGAGGGGCGCCGCAGGGCCCGCTGCGGGTGGAGATTGCGGTGCAGAGCGCGTGGGTCGTCAAGGGCGCGTACATGCCGAATGAGGCGCTGAGGACGGCGCTGGTCGAGCTGCACAGGCTGTTTGCTGAGGGGGTGAGGAGGAGGATGTGTGGATGGAGCGAGGAGGATGCGATGCTTGATTTTAACTTGGCCAAGTTCGAGAAGTACAAGAGGCTGAGTGAGGTGTTTCCGATGCCGTGAGGGAGAAACAGAGGTCATATGGGTGGATAGGGGCCCCGGACGCCCGTCTCTAGGTGGTCTAAATGACCGAGAATTGGGTTGAAACACAGTAGGTTTAGGTTGCGGTGTAAAGGGAATGGTTTGAGGTTTAGAAATTGCGATTGGGATTAAGATCATAGGCAGAAGTGTGCAGAGCTTTCTGACGGGACTACTCTCTTTATTTTACCTTTCTTCCTTTCTCTTTCTTTGCTCTGCTCGGGGTTCGAGTTTGAGTGCGAGACACTGCCAACCAGTGTAGCAAGTGAATCTTCGTACTCGTTCCATGTTCATAATCCATGGTCTAGTCGGACGGATACCTGCATATACATAGCGAGCGCATCCTCCACAGGGTGGTTGCCGTCAAGCACCGATGGCCCTTTCGACCGGTAAGCTTGTATGCACTTCCAGACTGCCCGCTCACTCACCACACTGGAGACGTCGCAAGCGCATCACGCGGACCATACCAATCGTGTGTGGCGCCTCGAAAGAATGCGATCTGTCGGAGGCAGCAGCAGTAGGCCTAAGAGAGCCAAACAGAGTGAAAGAGAGACGGGTGGCGCCGCCGTCTGAGCCACCACCACCACCACCACCACCAGCCAGGCGAAGCGTGTGACGTCAATATTTCGTATTGCCCACTATGCGATTGGTGCCCTCGGACAGAGACGACAAGCCCGCGCGGGATGGTACCTGTGTCACCAGGAAGACAAAAGACACAGTGGGTAACGAAAGAAATCGACCCGCCTGCATGCGTAGTGGAGTCCTATAGGTATCTGGATGCGTTTGTACAATTTTATGCTTCGCACCTACATCGAGATATCTGCTCCAGTTCCTTATGAAGAAAGGTCGCCTGCACCTACACCTACATCGGGCTACTCGCTTCAGCTTCCCCCACGCAGGATCGCCGTACATAGGTCAGATTGCTTCGTCATCCACTACGGCGTCATCTTTCTCCCGGATACATCGGCGGAGATAACGAATTGGTCGATTGGTCCATATCAATAATGCCGAGCCCGCATATAATAAATGATGATACTCAGTACCCGCGGCGGATGCGGATTTGTGCATCGGAAAACGGAACGTCGGCTGTAGATTGCTGCGGTTGGGAAGTGGAGCCGGGAGGGAGGGGTGAGAAGGCCCACGGGAACCAGATACGAGAGTGCATACGAGTTGGGCGGCTCTGTTGGACGTCATGGCGGGAAAGAAGGGACGTTTCAATTGGCCAAACGGAAATTGAGAGACTGTCTGCGTCTCCTGTGTTGTCTTGAGTGTGTTGCCCTTCATGTTCTCGAGCAATATTGCGCGTTACGACTGTTTGCTGCTGCTTGTCGCGAGCGTGTGCTGCCGCGTGTCAGCCCCCACAATCATCCTCGTCGTTTCGTCTGTCGTGCTTTGTTAATCCCAGGTTGCTTTTGCTTTCTTTACATGCAATCGATCGCCTGCGGTCTTTTATTGTGTGTGTGGCCTGGGTGTGGCCGAGAGGGCTCTGGGAGCTGGGATTGTTCAGCCGCGCCAGGGGGGGTCTGTGGGCGGGGCATGGGTGATGCCTTGAGGCTTGTCGGCCCGTAACGCCTCATTCCTTGGATTCTTGCTGGGGTTTCGGCGGTTGACGTGAATCTGGCAATGATCGACTTTCGTGATGACTCGAGCTGAGGAAGTGGTGAGCTGAGCTGGTGAGTAAGAAGGGTACGAAGAGTGGAGGTGATCGGTTATATGGAATGAATGGTGCAGGCTACAAAAAGGGCCGGTGGGCGCGAGAGGAATGTCAGGGGATGTTTGCTATTTCAGGACATGATATATGGGTATATGCTCTCCGGCTCCCCGTTTTTGCTACGCCGTACTGTGTAAGGTTTGGAGGCCTCGTGCCGTTGACTGTTCTGGTGCCAAACCGTCCGGTGCTGACTTGTGATTCAATGCTCTTGGCCTGCGTAATTGTCCCACTTGCACACCCTGTGGGCAGAGACGCGAATAATGCTAGCGTACAATCGCAGAGCAGGCCAGCCCTCAACCTGGGGTCCGCTTACGCCCGCGTTTGCTGCTCCCTCGGACCATCCGCCGGAGCGATTGGCAGCGAGAAATCCGACGGTCGATCAGAGACTGGCGAGTCTCGAAAATGGAACTTGCATATGCAGGGGATTTCGAAAAGGGAAAGGAGGCAGCCAGGCGGCCGCATCATCGTGATCTTGCTGAGGCCTGTGCGTCACAACCCTACCAAAAGTCCGCTGAAGTTGTGGCCGTGATCCTACTTCCGGTTGCAATGGCAGACATGAGAATGATATGTCGACAAGCAGGATTGATTGTGCATGGGTCTGCAAAACGATGCCCGGAAACAGCGATCCGGGCTGGCCTAGCGTCAGGTGGCCACTACAAATGGCGCAAGAGCGATCCGTTGGTTTAGACTTCTTTCGACCTCGTCCGGCGAAGCCGACGTATGTACATACAACAAACCGTGGGCTTTGCCTGGGCTGGTTCCGCGCGACATGCCGGGCCAACAGAGGGAAGGCATTGTATAAAGGGCTGCCGGGCCCGCACAGAGCGCGCGCAGACGGCAACAATGTCGCTTGTCTTGGCTCGGATGCAATTGAATGCGCCATGCCGTTTCCCTGCACCAATCGGCAGTGCTTCTGACCAATGGTCTCATCCGTGACTCATGGCGGCGCGCGCATGATAGGCGATGCTGCAGGGCGGGGCGGCTTGGACAATGTGCGTCAGGTGCCTGGGTGGGTGAGATCTCTCTGGCGATCTTGTCTGACGTGAAGGCGCGTCGGCCATCAGTCAGGCAGTCCCGACGGCTGCGCGTGGCGCTAGCAGCTGGGCGGAAGCGGCGAGCTCTCACCTGCTCGCGAGGACGACGACGGCGGGGAGTGGGCGGGCGCGGGCCAGGAATGCAGGCGGGCGCCTGATGCGGCGAGATGGGGGTTTCTGGACGCAGGTGGTTAGCGGAGCAGTCTAGATTGCAACGGAGGTGAAGACGCGGTGGAGCCGGCAAGTGCAGCAGCGGCCGATTGGCGGTGGTGTTGGGCGGGCGGAGAACGTGGCTTGGCTGCACGCGCACGCGGGCGCGCGGGCGCGCGGAAGAGGCTGGGCTGGTCGAGGGCTGGTCGAGGGCTGGTCGAGGGCGGCGCGGACGGGGTCGGGCGCAGGCCGAGACATCGATAAATAGAGGGGGCAGCGGTTTGCGTGCGATGAGATCATGGGCTTTTGGGAGGCATCCCAACGGCCTGGGAGCGGGATGCGCATCCGCGGCGGCGGATAGAGGTTGTGCTGCCAATGCGGGCCAGACCGCGGCCGGCGCGTCTGCTGGATGCGGCGTACGGCGTGCGGCGGGCTGCCAGAGCGGTGCTGGCGCCGTTGCAGCGCGTTGTTTGTCGCGGCCATGACATCAGGTCTCAGCGCACCCCCCGCCCGCAGGCTGCCACCCAGGCTGCGAGAGCCTCGTGCGACCCGCGCCCGGCCGGCGACGCGTCCACCCGCGTCCAAGATAGAGTTCGCGAGCTTGCGGGCGACGGGCGACGGGCGACACACTTGTCGATCTTGGGGCGCGCCACGGGAGCGCTGCCGGTCTCCTTAGTGGATCGAACGCCCCGCGATCTTGCCGGCAGACCCTGCTCCAGGGTTGCATGGCGCAGAGACACGCAGCGCGCGCGCGGGAATAATAAGCTGAGGGCGCAGCGCACGCCCGAGGCTAGCAGGCAGCTGTGCGGAAGCCCCTGCTGCGCTGGCGATCGTTGCCAGGGCCGCCAGCCGCCAGCCGCCAGCCGCCAGCCGCGAGCCCTCCGTGCCTCTGCGCCGAAAGTCCCGCCCACGCAACGGGCATCCCGCCTGCCCCAGGGACCCAGGGACCCAGGGACCGAGGGACCGCTCCCCCTTGCAGCGCCGCCGCCAGTGCCTAGATGCCGTGGATGCCGCGCATGCCCAGACGCGCCGCGGCCAGGCGCGTGGCTGCGACGCTTTGATGCAGCCCTTCGCCAGCAGCGCGCGCAGGCGATCCTCAGCCGAGCTTGCTGCCCGCAGTGCCGCACTGCTGCACCCGCCCACGGCACCTGACGTCGCCTCTTTGTAGGCCGTAGCAGCCTCGACGTCTCCACAAATGCGCGAGTGCTCCGTAGATCCCCGTGGTCTAGACGCCCGCAGCCAAGCCAACATCTCTCCTCGTCCGTTTGCTCACCATCCCGCCCGCCGCTGCACCCCCCGACTCCCTCTCCGTCTCTCTCCTCTCCCCGCCACCCTTGCCACCGCGCAATCCCTTCCCCCCGGCTCCGATCCGCCGTCATCAGCGCCCATCTCCCGCCGCGCGCCGCGCCCACTCGCCCATTCCCTCGAGCGAGCTCAGAGCCAAGCCTATCTCGGTCCGCCGCCGCGCTCCAAAGCTCCACTCGCTCACTCGCTCGCCATTCCCCCCACCGGGCCGCATGCCCTCCTCGCCCGTCCCTTGCCAGCACCCGTTGCGCATCTTCCACTTGGCCTTTTCCACTGACCACTGCCGCCGACCGCATTGCCTTTTGCCGCCTGACTTCCTGGTCTAGTTCCACTGCAACCATTCTGGAGCCGTCCGAGGATGAGGAATGGTGTCCCGGCGACGCCTGAGGAGCCGCACAACACCATCGACCGGGACTCGCTATGCTTTGCCTGTCCCGAGCCCGATGTGGTCCTCCACGCCGGCCAGCCTGGCTTCCACGACGGCCTGCTGCACCTCTACGAGCCTGCAGAAAGCAAGGCCGCTGAGCAACTTGTGCAGCTGAAGGACCGTCTCCGCCGCACCAAGACGGAGGATTTTTTCGAGGTCGTCACCGAGGGCCTGGCCCAGATCTTTGGCGCCCAGTATGCCTTTGTTTCCAAGCGCATCGTCGTCGACGACGATAACGTCGCCGTCGAGATGCCGCCCATCGGAGAGCCCGGATCGTGTTTGATGGGAGCAGCTTTCTACGTGAGCGACGGGCACGGCATACACCACAAATTCAAGAACTTCAAATATCACGCCTACTCGTGTCCATGCGCTTACATGAAGCACGACAAGATTTTCATCGTCCCGGAAAGGCTGAACGAGTTTGTTCCCGACAATCCCAATGACCTCGCCATCCCTGGAGAGGCTTACTTGGGCGTCCCTCTTTGCGCCGAAGGGAAGTGCTTCGCTCATTTTGGTGTCATGTGGTCCCCGGAAGGCGCGGCGAACAAGCAACTTCGCTGGTCTTATATGGAGATGATCTGCCATGCTCTGGAAGACATGATCCTGGACAGATTATTAGAAGGAAAAAGGTTCGCCACTGTGCCAGCGCCGGATCTGAGGCCATCCAAGGTTATCCCTCACGAGGCAGTCACCGTTGCCCAATCACTAAAGCCATACGCACGGAGCCTTTCCCATGAGCTGAGGACACCAATGCAAGGAGTAGTCGGCATGCTAGATGTCATGTATGCCACAGTCCAAGAAGCGGTCGAGGGCCATGGCGACAGTGCTCTTAGGAAGGTTTTTGAAAGCTTGAAAGGAAACATAGAGGTGGTGCAGGGTAAGTCCACTCCCTTTCCAGAATGAAGCGTCATCCGCATACCAACACGCCACAGACAGCTCGAGACGGGCGGTGGAGGCAGCAGACAATGTCGTTCATGCCTACGACATGAACATGGGCGTCCCCGAATCGCCGGAATCCGTCATGGATGAAGATAAAATGGACATGTGTCCGGAGACACAGCCGGATATTGTGGTATCGGGGAACCACATGACACTGGGACTTCACGGGCATGGAAGCAAGAGAAGGAGAGACAGTAACCCTTGGGATTCCAAGAAGAATTCGAAGATCCACGCAACAGAGGCACAGTGGGCCACGCGATCGAAGGTCGATATCCCTCCGGCACCGGACAGACGCCACTCGAACCCTAGCGACCACGCATCCACAGCCAGTTCAGACAGCTTTTCGTCGATAGCCGTGGGGAACGTGGCCCGGAGAACGCCACCAGCAACTCCAAACTTTGCCTCGGAAAGCACCGTCGTGCCGGGTCTTCGGCATGCAAGCATACGAGATGTGATCCAGTATGTCATCAATGACTCGCTCAAGCTGGGAGGAAGACCTGAGTCAGCTATTGCGCATGAGACGGACGGCGGAGAGACGATTGAAGTGTCGATAAAGGACTTTAGTGGTGCACAGAGAGTTAAGATGATCGAGTGGTCCGTGGACAGCGCCATCCCGGACACCATACTCAGTAAGTACCTCTTCTCGCGTGTAGGTGAAAACTCTGACGCGAAATAGTCGACGAGAGAGATCTCGCCAAAATGATCTCATGCGTCTTCTTAAATGCAGTCAAATTCACTGAAGAGGGTAGGATAAGCCTGACGGCTCGACTGAACACGACGCTCAAACATCGATACATTGTCATCAAAATCGAAGACTCCGGCACCGGGATTCCTGAGGCCTTCATTCCCAACCTGTTCAAAGCATTCTCGCGAGAAGACGACTCGTTGACTCGCCAGAGCGAAGGCCTCGGCTTAGGGCTCCTTGTGGCCAAAGGTCTGGCCCGAAAGCTGGGAGGCGACCTCTTCTGCACTCGCTCAGAGACGTCAGGGCCCAATCGGGGGTCGGAATTTGAGATCAGAGTGCCTCTCCACCCCGGTGAAGTAGTCAGCCGGCCAAGTACACCTATGGGGTCGAGATCGCCCTCGGCCAAACCAAGAACGCGTTTGCAGAGTCCGCACACCTTGAACGACGTGCTAGGGACACCAAGCACCGAGACGCCTTCTCTCGGCTCTCATTCGCCACTACCGCGAAACCCGTCGGCGCGGCCGTCTGAAGGCTCACCAGTGGAGCCCCGGGGACGTCCCGGCATCCACAGGCGGCGCACGTCGATTAAGAAGAATAATTCATTCGACCGCGGGCTTGCACAGCGGCACCCACTCAGTTTCTTGGTTGTTGAGGACAACAAGATCAATCGAAAGCTGCTTGTCAGCATGTTGGGGAAGCTTGGGTACAAGTCGATCCACGAGGCGTACGATGGGACGGACGCGGTGCGGGAAATGCGTGCACTGCGCGAGAAGGGCCATCGGATCGACGTGGTGTTGATGGATCTTTGGATGCCGCTGATGGACGGGTATGAATCGGCGAAGCGTATTCTGGAGATGCCGCTGGGACAGGCGCAGCCGATGCAGCCCAAGATCCTGGCGGTGTCTGCAGATGTCACGGATGGCGCGCTGGACCGCGCAGCCAAGGCCGGGATGACGGGTTTCATGACGAAGCCGTACAAGCTCATGGACTTGGAGCGACTGATCGTGCAGTACTGCGACAAAGAAGAGGCCGACGAGTCGAACAACACTCACGACGATGACGGAGCGAAAGGGGCCCGCCATGTCTGAGCGCTTTGTGTGTGGAATCGTCTGGCACAGCAGGCTTAGCGCGCCGGCATTTCTTTCTTTCTTGGATTCTTGTTTATATGAATACCTCGCGGACGGCATCGCGGACGGCGCGGCACTCGGCACGGAAAAGGCAGGCGTTGGGTGGGTGCTTTTGGGGGATTATGACGCGCAAGGGCGCGCAGCACGGATGGCTGGATGGCTGGATGGCTGGCCTGAGGCTCGGGAAGCCGGGCGGGAATGGCTGCTGGCTGCTGGCTGCTGCAGGTGGCAGGATCCGGGGAAGCAGACGCTGCGGCTCAAGCGACGGGCAAGCGACGGGCAAGCGCCACGTGGAATGGTGCGCTCGCGGCCGCCGGTCACTCGAACAAATAGTAGTAGTAATAATATAAACCAGCGCTGCAAGAAGCGCCCCTTCGAGCTGTGCCCTTTCCTCCCTCGCCTCGTGGCCCCGTCGCGGCAGTCGGCATGGGGCTGGTAACTGGTTGCCGCAGACCTATGGGGCGGCGGCCAGCACGGCGCCAAGGCGCCGATTGCCATTCGCGGCCCAGCGCATTCGAATGTTCGATGCCGAAGAACCGTAGGGCTAGCAAAGTTGAGGACACCTTTGACCAAGCGTGGGGCAAATCCACCCGTCTCTCCCTCCCGCAACCCCCCAGGCCGAGCGCAGTCATTCTTTGTCGCCAGCATTCCTCGCCGTCTGAACCCGCTGTTGCAGACGCGCAACCGTGCAACCACCCTCACACGCGCGCGACCGGGCTCGTTCGGCGCATACATCATCGTCTCCAGAAGCTTGGTCCATATACATAGCGAGCACGTCCACCACGACCGCCACGACCGCGCGCTTCTTGCACAACATCACACCCGCACTTCCGCCCAGCGCTCCCTCGAGCCGCACCCCCCGACGCCATGGAGAGTGCATACGTGCGCTCCACGCAGGATGTCCTCAGTCACTTCCAGGTCACCGAGGCCCACGGCCTGACCGACGACCGCGCGAGCCAACAGCGACAAAAGTACGGCAAGAACGGTATGCGCCTTCCCGCCTCCCGCCCCGCCGCCCGAGCTGACAGCATGCGACAGCTCTCCCTGAAGACCCCCCGACCCCGCTGTGGGAGCTGGTGCTCGAGCAGTTCAAGGACCAGCTGGTCCTCATCCTGCTCGGCTCCGCCGCCGTCTCCTTCGTCCTGGCTTTGTTCGAGGAGAGCGATGATTGGACTGCCTTTGTGGACCCCGTCGTTGTACGTTTAGCCCCTGCCGCACCCCGACCCTGCTGCGCCGCGCATGCTGACTTCCCATGCACAGATCCTGACCATCCTCATCCTCAATGCCGTCGTCGGCGTCTCCCAAGAAAGCAGCGCCGAGAAGGCCATCGCTGCCCTTCAGGAATACTCCGCAAACGAGGCCAAGGTTATTCGCAACGGATCCGTCAAGCGCATCAAGGCCGACGATCTCGTCCCTGGCGACATTGTCTCCGTCTCCGTCGGCGACCGCATCCCGGCCGACTGCCGCTTGCTCTCCATCCAGAGCAACAGCTTCAGCGTCGATCAGTCGATCCTCACCGGTGAGAGCGAGAGCGTGGGCAAACGCGCGGATGCTGTCAAGGACAAGGATGCCGTCAAGCAGGATCAGATCAACATGCTGTTCTCCGGCACGACCGTCGTCACCGGGCATGCCACGGCCATTGTCGTCCTCACTGGCGGCAGCACGGCTATCGGTGATATCCACGAGAGCATCACGGCGCAGATCTCTGCCCCCACGCCGCTCAAGGAGAAGCTGAACGACTTTGGCGATATGCTTGCCAAGGTCATCACGGGTATCTGCGTTTTGGTCTGGGTTATAAACATCCGGAACTTCAACGAGCCAGCTCATGGCAGCTGGGCCAAGGGCGCTATCTACTACCTCAAGGTGAGTCCTTTCGGCGTTGCTGTTGCTCAATCTCTGCTAATTCTGTTAGATCGCCGTTTCCCTTGGTGTTGCCGCTATTCCTGAAGGTCTCGCAGTGGTCATCACCACATGCTTAGCGCTGGGAACTCGCAAGATGGCGGCTAAGAATGCCGTTGTCCGTAGTTTGCCTTCTGTCGAGACTCTTGGTAGCTGCAGCGTGATTTGCTCGGACAAGACCGGTACTCTTACCACGAACCAGATGAGCGTCAACAAGATTGTCTTCGTCAACGAAGATGGCTCTGGCTTGGAGGAGGTTGACGTCGAGGGAACCAACTTTGCTCCGGAAGGTGCACTGACCTTTAGGGGCAAGCCTTTCGAGAACCCGGCTGGTGCTTCCGCCACTGTCGCTCAGCTGACTGAGGTCGCTGCTCTTTGCAACGAGGCCAAGCTCGCCTACGACCCCAAGAATGGCACGTACAACCTGGTCGGAGAACCCACTGAAGGCGCCCTCCGTGTCCTGGTTGAGAAGATTGGAACCCCGCAGGGCAGCATCAACGCCAGGAGAAGCAGCATTTCCCTCGCCGACCGTATCCACTGGGCCAGCAAGCACTATGAACAGAACAACCGCGTTCTCGCCACCTACGAATTCTCGCGCGATAGGAAGAGTATGTCGGTCTTGACCCAAAACGGTGGCAACCAGAAGCTCTTGGTCAAGGGTGCACCGGAATCGATCCTGGACCGCTGCACTCACGTGCTGGTTGGCCAGCAGGGGCAGAAGGTACCCCTCAACGGCAACCTCTCCAGCTTGATCTCCAGCGAAGTTGTTGACTACGGCAACCGTGGTCTGCGTGTCATTGCTCTCGCCTCTGTCGACGATGTTGGTGCGAATCCGCTCCTGAAGACGGCCACTACCACCAAGGAATACACCCAGCTCGAGCAGAACATGACTTTGATCGGTCTTGTTGGCATGCTTGATCCCCCTCGCCCCGAAGTTGCTCAGTCCATCGTCAAGTGCCGCCAGGCTGGTATTCGGGTTATTGTCATTACCGGTGACAACCAAAACACCGCCGAGTCTATCTGCCGTCAAATTGGCGTCTTCGGTTTCGATGAAGATCTTACCGGCAAGAGCTACACTGGAAGGCAATTCGACGCCCTGAGCGACGCGGAGAAGCTTCAAGCTGCTAAAAATGCGTCTCTGTTCTCTCGTACCGAACCTTCTCACAAGTCTAAGCTCGTCGACCTCCTGCAATCTACTGGCGAAGTTGTGGCTATGACTGGTGATGGTGTCAACGATGCTCCCGCCTTGAAGAAGGCAGACATTGGTGTTGCCATGGGCTCTGGTACCGACGTCGCCAAACTGGCTGCCGACATGGTTCTTGCCGACGATGACTTCGCCACCATCGAAAGCGCTGTGGAAGAGGGTCGTTCCATTTACAACAACACCCAACAGTTCATTCGTTATCTGATCTCATCAAACATCGGCGAAGTTGTTTCAATCTTCCTCACTGCCGCCGCGGGTATGCCTGAGGCGCTTATTCCGGTTCAGCTGCTCTGGGTCAACCTCGTTACCGACGGTCTTCCCGCTACGGCCCTTTCCTTCAACCCACCTGATCACGACGTCATGAGGCGCCGCCCTCGTAAGAGGGACGAGGCACTCGTCAGCGGCTGGCTCTTCTTCCGTTATATGGTCATCGGCACCTACGTTGGTATCGCAACCGTCTTCGGCTACGCTTGGTGGTTCATGTACAACCCTGCCGGTCCGCAGATTAGCTTCTACCAGTTGTCGCACTTCCACCGCTGCTCCACCCACTTCCCGGAGATCGGCTGCGAGATATTCACCAACGATATGAGCAAGGCGGCGTCGACCGTGTCCCTCAGCATTCTGGTTGTCATCGAGATGTTCAACGCCATGAACGCGCTGAGCAGCAGCGAATCGCTGCTCACGCTGCCGCTGTGGGAGAACATGGTTCTCGTGTACGCCATCATGCTCAGCATGATTCTGCACTTCGCGCTGCTGTACATTCCCTTCCTGCAGGGCCTGTTCTCCATCGTGCCTTTGAACTGGGGCGAGTGGAAGGCGGTCCTGGCGATCAGTGCGCCGATCATGTAAGCTTCCAACTTCTTTTTTCCCCCTTACTTGCCTCTGCCTTTGATAAAGTATGGTTCTTACTGACTTGGTTCCGTTGTAGTGGCATCGACGAGGTTCTTAAATTCTTTGAACGTCAGTTCTTCATAGCGAAGCTTCCGGCAAGCAAGCCGAAGAAGGAGTAATTGGCGATTGCTGTGACATTGGAGGGAACATCCTGGCCTTTGGGGATTCGACTTGCCGTTGCTGTTGTTGCTGTTGTTGCTGCTGCTGCTATTGTTGTCGATGTTTGCAGCTAGAGATACAAAAGATAAAGAAGGGAGTTTTGTTGCGTCTTAGAAAAAGGTGGAAAATGGGGGGGGGCTCGCACCTGCTTGTCTAGTATTGTATATGCATGGTACCGGTGTGGATTGACCCTTCCTGTTTTTTGTATCATCACCATTCATCTCAATACCTTCCCACCTTTTTCTATTTTAAACTTGAAGAGAAAAGAATAAGAATAATAAAAGAGAAAGACGGGCGGCTCTCGCGCGCGATTGATAAAATCCTGGTTCTATTTTCTTTTTTTTTTTGGAAGGTGGTGGTATTCCTCTCCGTCCTAATTTTGTAGAGGGAGGAATGTCTTCTTTATCACCCTCTATCACACCGCGAACCTTTTTTTCAGACTTTGATTGCAAAGAGAGATATTGTTCTAGTGGGCGTTTCGCATTTGTCCCCTTCTTTTCATATAAAAAAAAGTGAGCGGAACTGTTCTATGAAATAAGAGGGAGGCTACACATTGTTTTACGGGAGTATACTTGTTATAATAGTCTTAATGCTGGGGGATTGATTTCGGAGTGTAGTTCGAGCGTTGTTGTTGGTGATAAAAGGGTGGGATAGAGTTAAGGGACAAACCGCTTATAGCGGTTAGCGAGCCAACATAGGCTGGTGCATAGTTAAAGTAGAACGTGATGGAAAAATTCTACTATAGAGAATATTACTAAGCTCTTCGGCGAGTAAGAGACGTTTATTAGTTTTAAATATAACTAAGGTCGACTCTAAAAAACGCTGAGAAAGGGGACGTTTCTATCGAAGAACGATAAGCCGTATATAGTTTCCACGCAGAATAGGAGACTCAATCGGACTTAGCCCCACCTATATATATATTTAACTTTACGGATGTAAAGTCTCTTAGAGGGCCAATACGTTAAGGTTTTATCCGGTTCTTTGCTTAGAAAACCTCCACTATTTAATGTTTATTTTACGAGTTGCGGGACCCGGTATTCAACGTACAATGGAAAAATAATAGTTAAAAGAAGGACTTCTCGTATCAAAACAGCTTAAATAACGAGAAGGTAAGACTCGAGTGTATTATGCTATTTCGATGGGGATTGGTAGTTACAGCGGATATGATAAGTAGACCAATAATCGAGGTTAAAAAGAAGGAGAAGAAAAAGAAAGATAAAGGGACGGCAAGGAGAGAGTTGGAAATTGTGGATCAGCATACCCTGACCCTAAGAGAATGGCCAAGAGATCAATCGCACTTGAAAGCCAAGTGTCATAGCTTTGGGCAATGGAAATTGGTTGTTGGAAATCGCAAGCTAGGAGGGATGGAGATAAGCTCATCAGCCCAGCCCAGATATAGATATGCAGATACAGATATAAGCTCTTATCTATCTCCCGCCCGCCCTCCACGCCATACACAAAGTGGCGTGCTTGTGTTCGAACAGCATCCTTGCTCGAGCCTTACACAGCCTTGATTGCCAAGAAGGAACGCGAGACAAAAGCTGATGAGCAAAAAACCTTGCGTAACGATGGTTTCAGCCCCAGATACGCTTGCTTCTCCGCTCGCCCGTCGTGCACGCCGCCAGTTCCGCCAACCTCACCCTGTATATCCCTCATCCCTGGCCCAATCTTGCCTACTACCTCCGTTACCTCCGCCGCTACCGCCGCCGCCTCCTCCTCCTCCTCCTCCTCCCCCCCGCCCGCGGCTCTCTGGCGTACCCCACGGCGGATTTTAGCAAGGCAGATCGCTCCGTTGGGAACACCGAACTCAATCAGGCAAAACTTTCGGAGCCCAGGCATGTTGCCCCCGCCGGCCCGCAGAAGTCGTGTAACCAAGGATACTACTGCCGAATGACGTGAGATATATACACACGTACAAAACATGGAGTAGCGTGTTGCGCACGGCGATATGCGTATATCTCAGCAGATCAGGAGGAGGAGGAATAGCTGTTTGTGGATATTCCCCTTGGTATTCTGGGTTCACTTGCATGCAGCTCTTGTTTCCAGGGGTGAGCTGGGAATTCGTCATGGGGGTAAAAGTCTAGTGTTTTCTCTATATATTACATGATGCGTTGCAAATCTCTTACTCATTTCCTTTTCTCTCCCTCTCTCTGACCTACTCCCATAGCATCTTCAACGGCGCCACCCACTTATTCTTCGCCACCTTTGGTGGCGTCTCCTCGGCAAGGACATGGTCCAACCCCGTGTGCAAGTCCACATCCCCAGGCGCGTACGCCCATGGCTCCTTCATGTGGCAGAACCTGTGGCCAAAGTAAATGCACAGGAAGATGGGGAGTCCGATGTAGGCGGTCAGGAAAGATGAGGCACTCCAGTTCTCGGGCCAGAAGACGTCGAAGCCGTTGACCAGGCAAAGGAAGGTGAAGGCCGTCATGGACAAGTAAGTGCCGTACGGCTGGACCCACGAGCGGTATGGGAGCTGAGACTCGATGCCTTGGACTTTGCAAGCGTCGCGGAAGCGGAGGTAGACGATGCCGCAGCAGACCCAGGAAATGAAGCCCGAGGTGTTGGTAAGGTTAACCTGTGGTGATGCGGTTAGTCATATGGGCTGTGAGACCAGAGGGGGTATTCGACGTGTACATACAAACCAGTTGAAAACAACCGACGCGGAACTGCCAACGTTCAGATAGGCGAGGGCGCAGAAAAGACTGCTCGCTCCAACGGCGCGGTAGGGTACGCCGGACTTGGTGCAAGCGCCGAACCAGCGCGGGGCGGAGCCTTGGAGTGCCATGGCGTACAGAGAGCGCGAGGAGAGGTACAAGAACGAGTTTCCGGATGACCATGCAGAGATCAGAATGCCGGCGTTGACGACCGAGTCGAGGCCCTTGATGCCGTTCCGCTTCATGCCAATGACGAAGGGTGAAGAGCCGGCGCCCGAGCCACCGTTGGTCAACGTCTCGTCGTTGCTGGGGACGATGACACCAATGCACAAGACACAGCCAATGTAGAAGAAGATCAAACGGTAAATGTAGCGGCGTCCGGCAGTTGGCAGGTTGCGGCGCGGGTTTTGCATCTCGCCACCCGTCACGACGAGCAGCTCAGGGGCGAAGACAAAGGGAAAGGCGGAGAGCACCAAGGTCGAGATCAAGGCGATGAAGCGGCCAGTATTGCCTGACGCCAGGTACGTGTTGGCGGCACCCGGGTGTTCCCAATAGCGGAATCCGAGGCGGTCGTGCGACGGGCCGCCGCCAAAGAACAGGATGACGGAGACGAAGAGCAGACCCAGCATCATAATGACCTTGGTGCTGGCGAACCAGAACTCGGTCTCGCCGTAGAAGCGGACGGGGAGGGCGTTCAGGGCGACGATGACGACGAGCATGACGGTAATCCAGACACCAATGTTGACCGGGGTGTTCCAGTACTCGATGACGATGGAGGCGGCGGTGATCTCGTAGGGCACCAGGATGCCGAGCGAGTAGAAGTAGAGCCAGCCGAGAGCGAAGCCCATGGAGCGCGAGACATAGCGGTAGCCGAAGAGGTTCATCGAACTGCCCGGGGTGGGCAGCCAAGTGGCGATTTCGACAATGGCGGTGACGACGCAGAAGACGAGGAAAGACATGAGGCAGAAGCAGCCCAGGATGAAGGCGGGCCCGCCCCGGGCAAGCGTCTGGCCGGAGCCGACGAAGAGACCGGTGCCAATGGTGCCGCCCAGGGCGATCATCTGCGCATGCCGCGACTTGAGGCCCTGTGCCGGCAGTTAGCAGGCGCTCGGCAGCAGCGGGGGATGGGGCATGGGGCATGGGGCATGGGGCATGGACTTACTCTCTGGGTCGACGGGGCATGGCCCTCGAAGACTTCGCCGGCCAGGACGTCCGTGGCGAGACCGGCAGAGCCCCTCCGGCTGGCGCGGTGGACGCTGCCCTCATAGACGGGCAGGTCGCTGGCGGTGCCCTTCTCGTCAATGGCCTCGACGTCTTTTCCCATGGTGGCGGCTCGGACGGGTTCAAGGAGGGAGGAGAGAAGGGAGAGGAGAGACACTGGGCTCGGCGGCCTCGCTGGAGGCGCGCGGCCGGGGTTTATGTAGGTAGATTCGCGAGCTGGGCTTGGCCGGGGCGCACATGGCGGAGGAGCTTGCAGCTCGCAGCCGGCTTGCCTGATGCCTTGGCTCCCTAGGCCCGGTTCGCGATCGAGGCTCGTACTGAGCCGCAGGCAGGGCGGCAATTGGCTGGCGCGGCATGTCTGGGTCGGCGGGGGCGAGTCGGCAGGGCAGGGTGCCGGGGCAGAGGCGTTGCGGCGTGGTGCGAGCCCCGGGCTGGTTGGCGGAGCTGGTGGCTGATAAGAAACGAGGGAACGAGATGGGCTCCGACGTCAGGGACGAGATAAGGCGCAGACGCAGTTAGCGGTTAGCCCGCCCGCTGCCCACGCCCGCCGCCCACGCCCGCCGCCCACGCCCGCCGTCCCCCGTTGGATCCCACACCGTGGATGCCGATGCGGATGCAGCCTTGTTGGAGCCTGCCGCCTGCCGCCGCGTCCCTGCCTCTGCCTCTGCGTCCGCCTTGCGCCCTGCCTCCGCCCTGCCTCGCCCATGCCTCCACCATGCCTCCGCCCGCTGCGCGCCCAGCCCAGCCCAGACTCTTACGCCCGGCGTGGCTAATTGCGTAGCGCAGACTGGTGGCGCCCGCCGCACTTTCTGACGCACTGCCGTCTGGAAGCCTGCCTTTCTGGTCCGCCGTGCGCCAGCCCCGACGCTGCCGACCCCCGTCACCGCGTCCACTGCCGGGCGGTGCCTGTCTCTGCCCAAACATGGCTATGGGGAAGCTGTCCGGGGCTGTGTCGAGTCATGCTGTGCGTCCGCCGAAAGCCTGATCCACATGCCATGCCGGCCTTGGCGTGCGCCTGATTCGTGTCCGTTTTAGCACCACAACGCCTGCTGCCCTCAATAATCTATTTTCTTTAAGCCCCCCCGTCGTTCTTCTTCTGGTCCATAAACGACATCAGCAGCACTGCTGTCGCGTCCTCTGCCCTCTTCGCTTTGCCCTCGGAGTTTCGATTCGCCTTTGCCGTCTTCCTTTTCGCTTTGGACCCTGACCTGGACGTAGCCTTTTCGCTCTCCACCCTCCTGAACGCCGCCTTTTCTCTCTTCGTCGACCCAAATGCCGGCTTCCCGCTCTTTGTCAACCTGAGCGGCGGCCTCTCTCTCCCCGCCGTCTTGGACGTCGGCTTCTTTTCTTTCTCCATCAGACCAAGCATCGACCTGACTCCGTCTGTAATCGTCGACATCCACCCCCCTCTCCCCTCTCTCCCCGCCGTCCTTGTCGGCCGTCCATCATCACCGGACTTGGACTTGATGCTCCTCATTGTCGACGCTTCCACCTGGCCACCATTGTCACTGACCGAGGCGTTGAGGTCCGCTCCTTTCGCAGGCCATTGCTGATAGCGCTGCTGCATCTCCTCGGGCAGCATCGCTAGCAAATCCCGAACATCTCCATCAGATGCGCGCAGCGACCTAACCGTCGTCAACACCTCCATAATCCCCTCCGCGATGTCGACCATTGTCTTCCTCTTCATCATCGGGGCCACCGCACCGGGGAAGTACTCCTCTTGCAGAGCGGCGACAGAGCATCTATGGCGGTGCCATAGCCGGTAGTACGTGAGCCTGGTGTGCTGCCGCCCGTGTTCCTTCAGGAACATCTCGCGCAGCCACACGTCAACCCCCGGGTCCACCCTCCACATCTGCAGCACCGCCCATTTCTCTGCCGCCGGTCGATGTTTCTTGACGTCGCCGTTTACGGATTCAGCCGACTTGTCCTCTATGGCGCTGGCCGAGGAAGGCAAGATATCCATCGTCTTCGACAGGTGCTCGTCTTCCTCCAACATCCCTCGCAACTCGGCCATCTGCTCCTCGTCTCCCGGCGGCATGCCGAAGATCTTGATTGCGTTGGCGAGGTAAAGTGCAACGCTGCCCGGCCACTTTGGGTCTGTGTACTTGGTGTGAAGATCATGCATCGAGACGCCGTAGTGATGCCACAACCGATGATAAAACCGCACGCCATAGTATCTCTGCTTCAGCCTCCCGGAGTATTTGTCCAATCCAGACCTGGCCCATTTGTGTGCCTCTCTAGTCCGCTTGCGCCTTTGTTGTAGTTGCTTTATCGCTCGCTTTTCTACCACCTCCCGTGCCTGCTTGCTTCTCTCCTTTTTCGATATCTTCACCACAGCATCCCTCTCTTGCTTGAGGAGTATTGTTCTTCTGAAATCTCCAAAGTCGTTGCGATGCACTTCTACCAGGAGTTTTTTAACATCATTTTCACGGTAAGGCAACCTCTCCCTCGAGATTATGGAGAGGACTAGCTTCGCCATCTGTGGCGGTAGGATCCCGCCAGGTATGCTCGTTATCACCTCCGAGACCTCCATGAGGTGATGATGATACATCCGGTACATGCAAAGCTGTTGGAGGAGCGACCCCTCGTCGTCGCCAAGGCCAGTCGAGTCGCCGATCCCATCGTCACTACTGGACTCCCGGAACTCTGCCGCCCATCTCCAAGCCTCACGGAAAGCAGATCGATCCCGAAGAAGCCGGCTTCTCCGTGGCGCCTGTGCCGGCTTGCGGTTACTGAAGCGGACGGCCCGGCTTATTTCTGGGTACTGGGCAGACGCTACTCCGTCGGGCAGCCATTGCAGCAATTCCGAGGCCCGGGTTTCGTCGTACGGCACCGTTTCCCGATGGATCGCTTCCAGGAGCATGTTGACCATTGTCGGCGAAACAGCTTGGGCCATGGCTGAGACGTCGTAACCACCGTAGTGCCACAAGCAATAGGAGAGTAGCCGTCGGCGACGCGAGTCCCCGTCCGAGGAGTTGACGTCTTCTTTCCCAGATTTGGCCAGGAAGCCATCGACCCATGCTTTGGCTGCGGCCAGGACGGCTGGTCCGGGCCTCTCCGACTCTGTAAAGCTATGTTAGACACTGATTGCTCGCCGTCAAGCAGCCAAAGTTTTCTTCCTGGGACTTGACTTGCCGAAATAATCCTCGTCTTCTTCTGATAGCGCAAGCTGTGGTGCGGGAGCTTCCGAGGAGACCTGCTGCCTTTCCCATATCGTCCTGTGTTCCCTGTTCATAGTGTTCCACAGCGCAAAGCAAGCATACACACTTGATCCCATGGCTTCTTTCTCTGCTTGCCGAAGCCGTAGCGTTGGATCGAATGTTCTATCGATTGCCTTTGGGTGCAATCCATAGCCCAGATATTCAGAGGTCAGCCTTTGAAGAGCCAATGGGGAGCGGCGTACGTCTCTCCCAGTCTTGATCTTCTGAACACGGTAGTGCAAATCTTCCAAGTCGACGAAACCCTGGGGGTTGACGTCCAGGAACTCCCGCAAACGAGCGCATTTCTCCTCGGCGTCGACAGTCGCCTTGACCACGTCTCTGGACTCCAGCAGCACCCTCACCTCGTGCAAGAGCAGCGGTGGCAGATCCGACTGTAGTGCGAGGTGGATGAGATGAATGGTCGAGTCCGTGGCGATCATCAAGAGCGAAGTGTTGGCTTTGGGTCCATCCTCAGACCGGGCTCCTGGATTCCACCTGAGATCGAACCCGACAGACTTTCCCCTGAACCCCTTGAGAACTTCAGCATGTGTTACATTGCTCGTGTGATATAGTAACTTGGGAGGCAGTCGGAGGAGCACGTGCTCTTCATCATCCTTGGCCGGGTTTGCGCGGTAGAGTTTGTGCGAGAAATAGGCGTGCTTGCTTCTCTCCTCCGTCGCCTCTTGCGTAGCCAGAGTCGTATCCAGGTAGTAGCGCGGCTCCTGATCAACACCCGCTAGCTTCAGCAGGCTGCACTGCTCTTGCCTTCTTTCCTCCGCGAGCTTCTTTGCCATTTCCCAACCTTCGCGGGCTGATCGAAGATCGCTCCACAAATCCTGTATGTCATCTGAGGCGGCGTTTTCAAGCTCTTCCTCCGTTTTGTTTACCTGTCGCTCAAACAAAGCCATACCAGCTTCGAGAAACTTTTCAGGCCATGAACGCATGAAGATCCACATAATGGAAGGACTGAAGTATGAATTCATCGCTTTTCCTTCATCGAAAAACGATCTCTCCTCGTACGCCTCGACCAAGCGCTCTTTGGCGTAGTTCACGAGGTGGTCGAGGTCGGAGGTGTCGGATGTCTCTTTGAGCGCTTTGCAGACGTTGTCTACTGTTTGCGTGACGTCTTTGAGCTCCGTGTCGCGGACCGTGGACCATGTTTGATGGTAGCTCCTTGCCTTGTCGACGATGGCCTGCCGGAGATGCCATGGCTCATTGCCGCCAGCCGTGATGGTTCTACGGCGTATTTCGTCGTAATAGGATGCAATTTCCCTGCTGGGGTGTGAAAATTTGGTAATCTCTCGACTCGTACGTATAACGACGTCCAAGATGCGGAACTTCCGTAAGGTAATGAGATCGCCATCCTCGAGGGAACTCTTTATCTCATGTCTCACGCGAAGACTGACCATGTCTTGGTAGAGATATTGGTTGAGAGCGTTCATTGTTATGGTAAGAATCCGACAGGTCCGGTACAGAGACGCAACAGGGCCAAACTTCCGCTCTTGGTACAAGTCTTTGAAGTCGTGGTTTAAAGCTGCGGTTGCTGAGGCAAACTCTCCAAAACCATCGATGAGACGCTGCGCTGTGGGATTGATTTGCTTGTACACCTTGTCGTAGCGCCACTGCTCCCAATCGTGTATGGCCTCCTCGGTTCCATCTTTGACATCAAGGAATCTTCTCGATCTTTGTCTCCACGACATCAGGGAGGCCTCTCTTGGCTTACAGCAGAGATGGTCGATATCTGGGATTATTTGGCGGTACATATCATCGGTGGAGAATAGGAGCTGACGGAGTTTCGGGTCTCTGGTGGTGTCTAGTCCGGTTCGGAGGTCAGAACTGTCCTCTCGTACATTGTTTAGAAGCAACATTGAGCGCTTGTAGCGAGCCTTGAGCACCGCCGTTACAAGGTCCATAGCGAGCCAACTTTCCGAAAACGTCTGCTTGACGCTTCTCGTGAATGCCTTCAAGCTTTCAGCTGTCTCCCTGATTTGGGCACGTTCTAGAAGGGCATCCCTGGCTGTCTGGCTGTCTAGCTTGATTTTCTCGAGATCGTATTCCAGTTGCCGTCGCGCCACGTCCAATCGATCAACCATTTTCTCGCAGGCTTTCGACCAAGCGGCAAACATGCTCCTCAAGTCTGCCTTCAGCGTCGTTATGTGTCCAAGCACGGCTTGGAGTTTGGCGACACGGTCTTCCTCGACTGCGTGGATCTCTGAGCACAGGACGCGGATATTCTTGACCAGGCTGTCATATCTTTCGGTGAATGGCCTAATGTTTGAACTGCTCTGCGCATCTATGCGACGCTCTTGCTCGACACGGTCTTGCTCGAATGCGTGAATCTCTGAGCGCAGGACGCGGATAGCCTTGACCAGGCTGTCATATCTTTCGGTGAAGGGCCTAATGTTTGAACTGCTCTGCGCATCTATGCGACGCTCTTGCTCGACACGGTCTTGCTCGAATGCGTGAATCTCTGAGCGCAGGACGCGGATAGCCTTGACCAGGCTGTCATATCTTTCGGTGAAGGGCCTAATGTTTGAACTGCTCTGCGCATTTATGCGATGCTCTTGCTTTAGGTGCGTGTACGCCTCTCGCAGAACCTGCGACGCGGCTCCCGCCACCTCGATCTTCTCCGCCAAATCCTTGCGTGCCCGTAGCCATCTCCGCTCCCTATGAGCTTTCTCTAGCCTACTACGAGTTTGCTCCACCGCGGCGACCAGCGCCTCGGACCGCTCCGGCGGCTCCGGCGGCTCCGGCCGGGTGGCTTCCGTTTTTTGGCGGTGGACATTGCGCATGAGCTTCTCGACGTCGCCGAAATCATTGAAGAGCGAGGACGGGGTCGACCGAAAGTGGCGAGCGTGCGAGAGGCTGGTGACGGGCTGTCAGCGCGGGCGACTGGGGCGTTGGAGGAGCGGCAGCGACATACGAGAGGCGCGACGAGCTACGCGCGACGGTGGAAGCGGCAGAACACGGTGCTCGGCCAATGGCGCGCGAGAGAGTCATTGCATCCCATGGCCGCAGCGAGGCAGCACGCGAGAGAGGAGTGTCACAGTGTGTCGATGTTTTGTGCGGTGCGGCGACGGACGACGGACGACGGACAACCAGCTCGCTTTTTCGCGTGCCGAGCCGCCGGCCACCAACCCTCGCATCAACCTCGACCCGCTCCACCACCACTGACAGCACCAACCTCCGCAGCCATGGCCTCTCAACTCCTCCCTCTGGGTGGGTCGCCCGCCCGCCCGCCCGCCCGCCCGAGCCGCCTCCGCTAATCTGTCCGCCAGAGCTGATCGACAAGTGCGTCGGCTCCAAGATCTGGGTCGTCATGAAGGGCGACAAGGGTAGTCGATTCTCCTCCACTTCGTGCCACGGCCTGCCTGACTAAGCCTCCCCCAGAGTTCAGCGGCACCCTTCTCGGCTTCGACGACTACGTCAGTACGTATTCCCGCAGCCGTGCCCGCCCGCCGCCCCGTAGCTGACGTCGTGCCCAGACATGGTCCTCGAGGACGTCACCGAGTTGTATGCCACCCCCCGGTGCTGTCCCAAGCCGTCGCTCACGTGCTGACGCCGCCCGGCCATGACAGCGACTACCAGGGCAACCAGGCCAAGCTCTCCAAGATCCTGCTCAACGGCAACAACATCTGCATGGTGACACGCCCGCCCCGCCTCCGACCTGTGCCCGCCTTGCTGACCTCCCACAGCTGATCCCGGGAGGCGAAGGCCCTACCGGCGCCGCATGATTGACTGCCTGGCCATGACCCCACGCGACTCACCACCCGAGAAGGACAATGGGATCCATTGTCCTGTCGGCGAACAGCCGGCTGCGCCACCTGTCTTCGCTGCCACATCGCATGTGCCGGGCTTATGTTTGTCTCGGCACTTGAGCATCTCTAAGCCACCAAGTAGACAGAATGGAATGAGAATTCACGGCCACAGCATCGGTTTAACCTGGCGTGACGTTATCAGACTTGTCCCCTCGCACACGGGGGCGTTCGTTCAGATGATGATTCCATGCGCTCTTACATATGCATCCACACTATGCTCTCTATCTTATTACGTGTGTTCTGTACCTCCTCGCGCTGGTTGCTCCAAAGCCTTCTCGACTTCCAATGAGTTTCAAGAAGAAAAAAAGTCGTTAAGTCATCAACCCGGGCAAACCCCGGCTTATCACCTACTTCTTCCAACCCTGCGAAATCCTTGGACCTTTATATGCCCGGCAGCCTCGATCTGATCACGACACCCACCCCACAATCCGATCCTCGTCCCCAAACTCCTCCCTGCCAACCACCCTCTTCCTCACCCTCCTCACCACCTCCATCGCCTTCGCCTTCTGCTCCGCATCGATTCCCTGCAACCTCGACTCCAGCTCTTCCTTCAACACGCCATCCTCCTTCCTCCTCTCCTCCTCCAACTTCCCAACCACAGCCCCGGCCTCCCTCACCCACCCTTCCCACCCAGCAAGCCCATCCCCATCCCCACCCCCTCCCCCTCCCCTCGCCGCGACCACCTTCTCAAACACGGCCATCCGCGCCTCCTCGACACTGACCGCAAACTCGGCCTCGTTAAGCACAACCTCCGCCTCATAAAAGCACCGCACCAACGCCTCGGCGCGCGCCGCCAACTCCCCGACGGTCGCCTCGGCGCGATCCAGCAGCCCGCCGACACCGACGCCCGCCTCGTCAGCACCGCCGCCGACCATCCGCGCCGCCGCCGCCACTCCCTCGATCGCCTTGCCCGCCGCCGCCAGTCCCGCCGCCATCCACCCCTCGACGCGCTGCCACGTCTGCCTCGCCCTCACCTCCTCCTCGGCCGCCGCCCGCGCGGCCGCGGCGAGCCGCGCGGCGGTGAAGTGTTTGCGGAGGTGGGACAGCTTGTTGCGGGCGTCGTTGTCGTTGTCGTTGTCGTTGTCGTCGTTGCTGCCTCCCTCGCTCTGCTTCCCCTCACCGTTATTGTTACTGTTGTTGTTTCCTTCGCTATCACCGCTACTACCGCCCTCCTCCTCCTTCTTCTTCTTCTTTTCTTTATTGTTCTTCCGATTCTCCGGGTGCGGATTCTCGCAGTCGTCGAACGCGACGAGGAACTCGAGCGGCGCCGTTTCGGCCGCCGCGTAGCGCGCGTCCCGGTCGGCGACGGCGGTGGCGAGGAGGGCGTGGCGGGCGGAGATGTATGCGTGGAGAGTGAGCAGGGCACGGGCGGACGTGGCGAGGGTTGTCAGCGCGGCGAGGGTTTGGGCCACGGTGGGCGGTTGTGTCCTCCCTCCTCCTCCTCCACCGCCGGCGGCGGAGGACGTGGTGCCAGCAGCAGTGGCGGGCGGGGGTGTTGCCGCCAGCCCATCAACCGTCACGACCTCCCCCGTTCTCGCATTGATCTTGACAAGCCCCGCCGCACCCGCACCCGCACCCGCACCCGCACCAACTGCCTCTCGGCTCCCCGGCCCTCCACCAAGGCTACTACCACCACCCTCTAACGCCTCCACCGCCCCACCTCCCACGTCCTCCACGACCGCCAGCCCCTCCACGCCCCTCCCCACCTCCTCTCTCACCCTGCCATACACCCCCGCAAACACACTCCCCTCCCACTTCCTATACTCCCTTCCGCACCTCTCGATCAATCCCTTCGCTTCCGCCGCAACCGTCTCAGCGTCCTCCCGCTTGAGCGCGTCGTCGCGGTCCATGAGCTGCGGATACGTGATCTCGTGCGCTTCGAAGGCCATGTCGTTGAGGACTTGTTGCTGGCCGCGCTCGCGGGAGAGGGACGCGTGGAGGGTGCGGGCTTGTTGCCTGGGCGAGGTGGATGAGGGGGAGGAGAAGGAGGCGGCGAGAGCGGCGATGTGGGATTTTGTGGCGGGAAGGGAGGGGAGGGAGGTGAGGATGGTTTCGATGCGGGAGGTTGCAGTGGCGGTCATCGTCGTCGTCGTCGTCGTCGTCGTCGTCGTCGTGGCCGGGGAGGGCGCGAGCAGCGCTTTGAGGCGCGCCGCCGCGCCACCGCCGCCGGCGCCGGCCGTTGGCACGGTCTTCCTAGATGATGGCGGTGACGATGCGGGGGCTAGTGGAGCGGGCGTGAGGCTGGAGGGTGGTGGTGGTTTCGTGCCAAGCGGTGGAAGCTGCGGCGGCGGCGGGGTGTGAGAGGGCGTCGTTGGGTAGGGGAGCGGAGTGGCGGGCGTCGAGGACGTATCTTCGGTAGGTGGTGATGATGGAGCCTGTGGCGTGGAGCTGGAAGCGGCCCTGTCCCTCCCCTTCGCGTGCAGCGCAAGAGGCGCCGGGAAGAACGTCTCGGTGTGCTCCTGCCTGATCGGCGAAGACACCGACGCGCGCTGCGGGAAGCTTTCTCTGCGTGGGAGGCTGTCTCTGCGCGGGAAGCTGTCCCTACGGATGGCGGTCTCGACGGTGGGGGTGCCAGGAGTGTAGGGCTTGTACTGACGCTGCTGGTTTGTGGTGATGGTAGAGCCGGTCTGGTCGTTGGGTAAATTGGTGCGGTTGGGTACAGCCGGTTGGCTGGATCCCTCGCTGTCGACAGTGGGTTGGTCTTGTCGAAAAGGCTTATAGGCTTGTTGTTGACTTTCACCAGGCACTGGTGTCTTCCCTCCATCCGCTTTGTCCTGGCCATCTGTTGGTTTGGGCCGCAGCACCGGCCGACCGCCTGGGCTATATTGGATCTCCACTTCAGCCGCCGTGCTCGACGGTGGGATTTCCAAGGGCAATTTCGGCCTACGTTCTCCGTTATTCCCAGATTGCTGTTCGTCGTTGCCTGGAGGTTGGGTGTAGTAGGGAATGCCTCTTTGCTTCGACTCGGTAGCCACAAATTCCATGAATGCAGCTGCTCTCTGCTCGTCTGAAGAAGCGTACGCTTCAGCCTTCAACATCGAGATGTAGCGCTCAAGAGAGCTGGCATACCAGGGTCCAAGGTCCGGGATGAGGTCCTGAGGCCGTGGGATTCTATTATATCGTGTGCTAGGTTTTGGTAGAACAACGGTTGCGTCCTGATCCGCAGTACTCTCTGGCTTGGCATTCGATTCCATCACGAAGTCCGCGGGCAACTCGAAGATATTGTCCTCCTCTCCACCGCCGCTCTTTTCTCCCTCTGCAACCGATGGCCTCATCGCAAAGGGTGCCGGGTCACTTGGTAGCTCCACCGGCGACACGGGGTCCTGCTCACCCATATTCGGTTGTGCTCCTGCCTTGCTCTGACCCACAGTTGCTCCATCATCATCTTCTTCTTCATCTTCTTCTCCCGGGGCAGCATAGTACTCCCAGCCCCCGGGCCCTCCAAACCCGAGTGCCGACGCGGACGTCCCACCCGCTGGGTTTACAGCAGCACTGGTGTTTTGGATCCGCTGATCACCAATATCACCAGCAGCTCCAGCCTGAGGCGCGGCTTTTGGAGTCACCGGCCTCTCTTCAAACGCCGAAACTGTGGAAAAGGTATCCTGGCGCTCGTGCGTGGGTGCTGTCGAGATGCTTGAGACTGTATCGTGGCGGTCACGCATCCCTGGATGCGAAGCAATCGATCCCTGGCGGCCGTCTAGCGGCGAAACGGCAGGCGCGGGAGGTGAAACTGGTGGGTTGTACGGTTTGTTATTTCCCACGGAAGGCGGTCTCGGGAAATACGGTTGGGGCGTTGTTGAGCCCTCGTTGCGCTGAAAGTGATCTGAAGGTATAGGCCCGGCTTGCGCAGGCGGTGGCTGGGTCCAATTGTACGGGGGAGGGCTGACGGACGGTACACTCAGAGGGGTCTGCGGGGCTGGGGACTGGAACACTTGGGGCGGTTGGGAGTATGGCTGGTTGACGGGAGTCTGCGGGATAGTGTATGGCTGTTGACTATGCTGCATAGGAGAGACCGGGGTTGGGTGATACGCAGCCGGTGCCTGCCACGTCTGTTGCTGTGTATTCTGGTAGCTTCCTGGTACAGAGTGTTGCCACGCCTGTTGGAGAGGAGACTGCGCTGTTGGGGGATGGTGCTGCGGCGCGCTGGGGGGTGGGAATGCGTGCGTGGGTGTCCCAGCAGCGTCCTGCATGACATGGCCGTACTTGCGGTAGATGGGGTGGGCAGTTGGTGGAGCATTCTGAAAAGTGGGCGTGGCTTGGAATGTTTGGACTGGTGGTTGCGCCCATGCCGAGGAGTGATCTGGCGGAGGGCCTTGGGTTCCAGGACGAGGCGGAAGAGGCGGCGGAGGGACGTTGTAGTCTTGGGGCTTGGGGGGAAGTGGGGGCGGAGGCGGGAAGTAGCCTTGGGCGGGAACATGTGCGGATGGATAGGAACTTGTATTGGCGTTGCTTTGGGGGGTCGGCGCCCACGACTGTTGATTCAAGGGCCCGTATGGTGGTGGGATAGGTGGGCTGCTGTACATGGTCTGGGCGGGTGTCATGACGGGCTACGAATGTCAGTAAAACGAGCCTGTAGGCAACGGCATAGAGGTAGCAGTACTGGCGCAGGTGAAGCAAGCGACCCTCCCGGCGTCGATCCATATGCGCCTTGGCCGTACCCTGACGGAGGCGGCGGCGGCGGCGGCCCGGCCTGCTGCCACGAAGTCTGCTGTGAGACAGTCGAGTAGCCATACGGGTTGTGGGCTGTCGCATCTTGTTAGGAGGCACGCAACACGGACTGCATCTGGCGCTCGAGCAGCTTACGGCTTCCTTGGTGCTGCTTTGACGTGCCGTGTACGATGCCGGACTGCTGGAGGGTCTTCTGGATAAGCCCGTAGGCGTGTTGCACGCGTTCGCTCGGCATGTCTTGGCTGTTGTGCGGGGCATGGAGGAGTCGGCGAGGGCTGCAGCCTCGGGGCCGCGAGAGACGGGCAAAGCAACGGAGATGCAGCGAGGCGAGCGCGAGGGGGCGGCGCCGGCCTGCACAAGGACATGCGATGGGGGGAAAGCGGAGAGGCGGGCGGGTTGCTCAGGTGGATGGACCATGTGAGGATGTGAGGCTGAAGTGCAGCCAAGAGGCGCAAGCCGGTTAGCTCCGCGCGATCGGCACGCGCGCGCAGCCAGGTGCCAGGCAGCCAGCAATCCATCCAGCATGTGGCATCGAGCTGATGAGGCGGTTGGGAGCACGAGTCAAGGGCGGCAGAAGCCGAATCGAGGGCCCGACTCCAATGCAAGAATCGAGACAAGACGTCGATCAGGGTCCACTGTGCCGTGAGCTTGACTGTCACCCTGGCTGCACATCAATCAAACGTGTGCATTGGTCCATTCGTGCATGGCTAAAAAAAAGAAAGAAAAAACAGTGAGACGCCCAGGCCCTCCAGCCAGACGGTCAGTGGTATCTTGAATCAAAGAATGCAACCGAATCCCATGTCTCATGAACTGCTCCTCCCACTTTGCACCCACCTCAAGAATCTCCACACATCTTTCGCGATGGAAGGAGGGGTAAACAGTTTCTGTAAATCCACGTGCAGCCAGCCTTGCGCACCGCCCGCCGTAGCCATTTCCCACCTGACATCCTCGTCCTGCACTGTGACCCGCTCAACGGACACATACTTGCCTTGGATACACTTTCTTCTTGTCATGTTCGTGGGTCCCACGCGCTTGTTCCGACCTGAGACGAACAGTAACCTGTCGCCGAGAACCCTACCTTTCAGGTCGAGCGGAATCTGAACCACGACGAACCCGTTCGGAGGAGTCTTCGCAGTGATGACGAGAACGGGGAAAACGCGGTTCTCTACGAGCAGAGTCCTGCTGGTGTGGACCATCTCGTAGACTGCGGGACGCTGCTCGTTAGCCAACCGCGTAAGGACAGCAAGAAAACAAGCCACTCTGTAGCACGTGGAACTCACTGCGCATGCTGACTTCCCGGTACTCGCCGAGGCTGTCCCCGGTCGCAATCGCAGCAATATCGTCGTCCCAACTCAGTACCTCATTCGCGGCGACAACCGACTTGGCATAGGACACTTCATTCTTCGAATGCTGCTGCCTGAGCAAAGTATCGAACTCATCGATATGCGCCATCCCGTTCTCGCGCCTGTTCGGATGGACCATCTCGCGGGCAAACCACGACTCTTTTAACGACTTTTTCTTGACATCGTGCTTGATAGTGTGCAATCGACAATAGACATTGGGAAGTGGTCGCCTTTTGTCGTAGATTTTATGGTTCCGGAATGTTTGCGGGATGTTGTCGACGAACGTGATGGCCTCGCGCAGCGCCAGTTGCAAGAAGGAGCGCAGATCGACAACCGACCCGCCCTCAATGAAGTCGTGAGGCGGCAGATCCGTATGTATGAGACGGCGCAAGGAAACCAGGAAGCGGCCTTGGGGGGGAATTGGAGCGTTCTGATCGGGTCCAGGGTCGGCTGCACTGGGATCCGACATTGTTCGTAATATCGTGGGTAAAGATTGTGGGTTTGATGACGCACGAAGAATGTGACTTCAAGTGTAAGAACTGTGAGGTAGTCAATACGGTGGTGAGAGGGCAAAAGCTGCGCCGCTGTGACGATTTTTATTGACGATGTCGTTGAGAGCTGAGAAGCTGCAACAGGCGCGGGTGCGGTAGCTAGGCCTGGACAAGCCAGCGTCGATCCCATCAAACGGAGCAGCGACCGCTCGGTGAGGGGAGGAGCATGCACCGGCAGCATCCGCGGAGAGAAATGGCGTCATTGCGAGAGCTACCTCAGGTACTGCCCGTGTGGGTACTCCGAAGAGCAGCAGCAACCATGGAGAGAGAGAGTTGCGTGGTAGGCACGAGCTGGCGGCCAGGCTGTCACCTGTCACCTGTCATCCGGCAAGCTCGCCAGGCAGTCAGGCAGTCAGGCATCGAGGCATTCGAAGCAACCTACGCGCACAGCCGCCATGCAGAGCCCCACGCTTGAGGTGAGGCCACAAGGCCAGCCATCCCCGCTGCGCATCGCCAAAGTGCCCGGGCCCACGCCAGCTCCTTCCCGCTTCTCTGCCCAGTGCCCACGGCGGATAAGTAACGATCGTACGAGTTGCTATGCGCATTTGCGGGTCGCCTGGTGCGTCGGCGAGCAGCAGCGCAGCAAGGGAAGCGCCCCCGTCACCGAGTGCAGGAATAGGCAAGTGCAGCTGTGACTGTGTCAGCCGTGGCTCGATTCGCCCCCCGAGCGCATCGTGGGCAGCGACATGGCAGCAGTGGTGTTGTGGCGAGAGCTGAGCGGCGGGCGCGCGTGTGCGCAGACAGGGCAGGCAGGGCAGGCAGGGCAGGCAGGGCAGGCAGGGCAGGCAGGGCTGCACGATGATTGACTGAGAAATCTCGGACATCGAGAGCTCAACGGTGCCGTCTCGTGGTCTCGTGCTGCGGCCCTGCGTGTCGCTGCGGCCGCGGGGTGGCCAGCGCCCGCCCGCCTTCCTTAAGCCCGCTCGAAGGGCATCGAAGTGGGCAGGTGGCAGTGGGCTGGTGAGCGACAGCCAGCGGTAGCACGACAGCCGCTGGCAAGTGGCAAGCGAGCAGCAGCAGCAGCACGCCGCCTGGGATTCCGATCGGCGCCCAATGGTGCAGCGGCAGCCTCATCAACCTTTGTGCTTCCTTCCCAAGCGGATGTGTGCATGGACGATGCGCCTTCCGGGTTGCTCCAGCGCCGCAGCCTAGACACGGTCGCCCGACCGGCATCGGGAACAGCAGACGGTTGTAGGTGGCATCGACATCTCGAATCCGATGTCTGGCCCTCGGGGAACCACACACAATCCCAGCACGTGGAATGCAGCAAAGGCAAGAATGGCCTGATGTGCGGTGCTACGGATACACGGTATTCAATGCACTCGTCTGATTTACCACCGCTGTTGCTTTGCCTGCCCGCCAACGCGCCTGGGATCGCCCGTTGTTGCTCCCCGACCAGCTCGCACCTTACATGTGCAGCTGTTCTGGCGGAGGCGGACTCGATCTCCGATCACCTCCTCACTCTCATCATGGCACCAGACAAGCCCGCTTCCAGGACCCGGAAGACGCATGGCCCTCTCCCGATCGCCTGCCGGTTTTCCGTCATCGAAGATGCAGATGTGAGAAGACGCATCCAGGCCGCCAGCAGAATTCCACACCGCACTTCCCCTCATAGCGTCCTCCAATATCCCGAGCAGCGCCGTGAAGGATGAGCCCTACCTTTTGCGGCCCACCCCAGCCGGCCCCTTTCCCCTGCCATACTACCTACCATATCCACGCACGTTTACGCGTAAGTGTACACACACCGGAAGAAGCACAGAAGGCAAAGCAAAGCAAAAAAAAAAAAAAAAAGGTTTCCAGACCGGCGAGCCGAAGCGGGGAACGATGGGGTGACGAAGCCGCATCGGCGCTACTGCAATGCAATGCATGCGTGCTTATCCGCGCACGCATGTGCCATGTCCTTTTGGCTGGACTTCTCTTTCTCTCCCCCTGCATTGGCGCGCAGTTTGCCGCCTCATATTCCTGGCCAACGGCATTCCCTCCTGGCTCCCCGGGGGCGGGGCCGCCGAAGCAAGAGGTAATTCGCCCTGCCTATCATTTTCCCGCTTTGGGGGTTCTCTGCTATTAGCAAAAGTACTCGCAAAGAAAAATGTCAGAGATGACAACGGATGCAATGCTTGACCGACGAAAAGTTACAGATGCATCTTTTCTAAGTAGATCGACTGAGCTGCTCGATGAGCCTAAGCCTTAGCTATATACTCACGGCTCTTATACGCCTGGAAGCCGCGTGAGAGTATCCTACCACGTACAACGCGCTATGCCACAATAACCACCAACAAAAAGGCAGCCGTTGCCAGAGAAAGCCGGAAGGGAAACCCAAGACAAAAATCGAATCACACGCCAAACTGCCCCCGGTGGCTCTACGATACCTGGGTGAAAGCGCTGGCTTGAAATGTGCGAGCAAAGGGAGGGGGCAAGAAGCTGTGTGGTGTTCTTTCTTTTATGGACCTTTTTTCTCTTTTCTGCCCCAGGCCACAACCACCAACAAATAGCAGACGAGCAGCTAACAAAACGCAGCAGTACCTGGTTTCCCTGCCAAAAATGCCGCCGATTATATCGAGCAAATCGTGCGACGAAAAAGAACGCGGAGACGGTGAATTAGATAAAAGTAAGTAAAGAATACGGGGGTTGACAACGATGTCATGGACACCAAGCGGTCTTCTCGCCCATCACTCCCAAATTGTTGCTTTTCTAGCTTTCAAGGAGAAAGAAGAAGAAGAAGAAAATAAGAAAATAAGAACAAGAATAGGAAAAAAAATTAGGAAACAAGAAACTGAACGGTCCTCTCCACGCGCTCAGAGCTGGCCAAGCTCCTAACCCTCGCTCTTCCACAAACCCACTGCCGTTCTCTCTCCACACTCTTCCCTCTTTGTTCGTGCTTTTCAGTTTTCAGGGCACGCCCACCCGCGAAACCGTGACGCACCAGCCACAACCTCCAACCCTCCTACCAGCCAAATCCCCTTGCCTCCGCCATATACCATCTCCACCACGGAGAACTCTCCGTCCGTCCACACCAACAGCGGCGTCGCCACAGCCAAACTGGAATCCGGTTCGCCCGCTGGCTCGCTCGCTACCTGACACTCTAGCGTACCGGAGCCGGGAAACTGCCGCGCGGCGTCCAAGGAGGGCACAGAGAGCGGGAGAGCGGGAGAGCGGGACAGAGAGAGAAATGGGTAGTATCTAGCGTGAGCGCTCATTGTACCAATTAGGGGAGGGTCGGTTCGGAAGTCGCCAGGCAGGCAAGAGAGACGAAACGAAGCGGCGAGAAGCGAGCGATGGCGGCGTTGGTGGCGGCGGTGGCGGGTCCGAGCGGTAGTACGTGAGGATTTGACAAGGCGACGGCGCGGGCTATGGCGCAGCGTGGCGGACGTGGTGGACCCTTAGCGTCAACGGTCGGTCGGTGAGCGGATGGCGCACCTCGCTACCTGCGGCGGCGGCGGCGTCCGTTCGCAAGCCCACGCACCCCGGCACATGGCCATTTGCCGAGAAAGCAGACAAACCAAGACAAAAAGTTCCGTAGGTAGGCTGGTCGATACGGAGCGATCGATGTCCGCCCCCGTATCACGACGGAAGGGGAACTTACGTCATTCATGATGGTGTGTGATGTAGCTCAATCATGAACACGGTCCGAACGAATGAGACGGAGACCACCGTCAGGGTGGTGATGACTTTGCTTCTTCCTCGTCCACTCTTTCCAGATCGATCGGTTGTTTCTTTGCAGTGTTTGCTCTCGCCACTCGCCACAGAGCCGAAGAAGTCCAGCGCACACTACCCTGGTCGCATGGCCATCGTATCAGGATCGGTCTCGGTGACCGGTGAATCGGCCTGGTAAGGGGCCAGAAATACTGTGGTCGGACGCCAGGATGAGGTTTCAGTGGTGAACCGACATGCCAGGGAAAATCGGCAGGTGGTCAGTCGAATCGACGTTGCCATCTGACGGTGCCAAAGTCCGCTTCCCCGTGAAGGTGAAGAAAAAGAAAAACAAAAAGAAAAACAAAAACAGAAAAAAAAGTAAAACGAGTATGGAGGCCAAAGGGCGAGCCACGGCCTGCAGTGTCACACGCTTCAAAGCAAGGGAGCCAGAGCTGAACCTCGCAAAAAAAACTTGTGAAGCATGCAGGCAAGGACTCCAAGAGAAGGCTAAAGAGTGTAAGCTGACCCACCGCTTGCAAACCTTTGCTGTCAAAAAAGGGGGGTTCTTGTTCGGGTAGCACCAGTGCTAATCGTCTTGCAGCACGGTGCCTCATCCACTTTCCGGATGGCGTTTCTTTTGACCTCCCCCCTGACAGTTTACAGCAGCGCAACGGCTTATCATCTCCAGTCCGCTTTTGGAACCTGCACATAGCAGCCCCTCGTCACACTCAAGCTTGACGTTGCGACTTGGCATCGCCGGGACTGGTATTTCCTGGTCTTGTCCTTGGACCAGTCCCAGCATTCGCCAAGCCTGTGAAGCCCCCGTTGCGCGGGACTTCGTTGTGGTCATTCTGTTCATGGAATAGATGAATCTGATTACTTGACCCTATCATATCGCGAGGACGCGAAAAGGGACAGGAAAGAGAAAGACCTAAGCCAATCCAAAAGAACCACAAATGTACCTGGTTGATTCTGCAATTCGAAAGAAGCCAAATTGATGGCCTCTTTAAGTAACTAAAATAACGTTTTCTCCCGGGGATGACCTTCGCTGGCTGTCCGCAAGGAGCCTGGGGGGACGGAGGCCATCCCAATAATGCGCCGAACGATAAATGATGCTCCTAAAATTCAAGACCAGTGTCGGCCCCGCAAAGCGCCGTAAGAACGCTTCCGTAGCATGTTGATGAGACGAGGAGTGTCGTGATAGCGATATATCTCAATAATATGGCTGCCGAGGCCCGAATATAATTTGGTCCCTACTTCGGCACACAGCCGAAAGGGAGAGCATCGGCAACGTCGCAATCCAAAGATAATGAAACGCGAAGCAATCTGGTCCTCACTACGGCGGGCTTTCGTTTGCTCCAAAAGGGTTGTTGTCCCGTTCCCGCGCCATTTCTCCTGCTCGTAGTAGCACGGCAAGGGATGAAGTCTGGCGCAGGTCAGGTTGAGGTGCCTGTGTTAGGAATTTTGTTGGTGGTTGTGGTGGGAGACCCGGTCGCTGATCAAATGGTGAAGGTCCACCTGCCAGCGTCGAGGGGACTGGTTGCGGTAATAGTCGGTGAGCTTTCTGTGCATCCGCGAGGGGAAGAAGCGACCCTGTGTAGGGTGCACTGGGAGGGTTGCTCCCGTGACTGGGAGCGTAGCCACCGCTGTCGGAAGACTGGTTAGTAGTGTTTGTGTCTTCATGGACCAAAGATGGTATTGAAGATGGCTCGCGATGGAGCCGCCGAGAGGGGAGGTCGCGGTCACTGGGAACATGTGTCGAGTAGAGCGAGGTAGTGGAGGGTGCCGTCAATGGGGTGGTGTTGCCGTTGGAGACACCGAATCCAGGGTGTGCTGCATAAGGAGAGTCCTGGAGGCGTTCTCGTGACTCTATGGACTGGGCGGCCGATTGGCGAGAGTAGTCAGACTCTCGGAACGCAGTGGTCGAGGTTGGTGATGCTGATGGGGGAGAGTACTGCCCGGCAATCCTGGGAGAATTCACGCCGGAAAAGGAGTATGCTGCAGGGGACGTCGATTCTGAAGCTAGCATGTGTCCGCCAGTACGATAGGAACCTTGGGGCGGGCTGGAGCCAGATCGCTGGTGGACGAGAGTAGGTTGGTTAAAGTGAGCGTCTGACACCCGTCGATGGGATTTGTCGAGATTATCATGGCTGCCGCTTCGATGTTCGCTGTTTTCCCGCTCAACCTTTGCTCGCTTGCCTTCTCGCGGAGCGGTCAGTAGGAAAGCCACGGATGATTTACGGGGTGGTAAGAGCTGACCAGATTGCTGCTGGTTATGTTTGGCTCTAAACTCAGCAAGATACTCTTGGTACTGAGCATATTCAGGGGTTTTCTTGTACTCGGAAAGTTCTGCATAGTACTTTTCCTTGGCCGCGGCAGCTTGGCGTTCGCAGGCCTCCCGTGCTCCGGGAGAGAGAGTCTGCCATCGTTCACCCACAAGCTTGGCGATTTCGGTAAAGCTCAGCTCCTGTCCTTTCAGCGATTCTCTCGTCTCTGCGGGCAAGTCAGCGTAACCAGTACAAGGGGTCGCCCAAACTGCAAAGCGTACGATTCGAGAAGATCACATATGCGGATGCTGGCCGTTCTGGCGCGTTCTCGTCTGGCTGCGATGATGGTTAGCCGAAAGCCGCAGGAGATGGTAAGGATGATCACCTTTGGATGCCGGCGATACTTGCGCTTCGTGGTCCCGCCTGTGTTGACCGAAGGCGGCTCGGCACGCCTGTTATGGCTGAGCGACCTGGTCTCCGAGGCCGAGTCATCACTGCGGTAGGAGCTATCGATACTGGGAGCACCGGGCAAATGGGGGACCGGCCGCTCAAGCCTTTCGATGGGAATGCCTCTGGTCTCGGCAATTGCACGTTGCAGTTTCTAGGGTTGAGGTTAGCCGTGCGCAGGGCAGCGAGGGCATCGGGGAAGCATACCCGCCGGTGACCGAGCTTAACATTGAGCGAATCGCTGTGGGATGAGGGTGAGCATTCATGAGTACATGGGGGCTGGATTCTGCCCCGGGGAATCGGGCTTACAGGTCGGACTCCCTGATGTCCAGGACAGTCTCCCATGTGTCGAAGCCCTCGGTGACGAAGACGTCGAGGTACTGCAACAGGCCCAATTGCTCCAGCTTCTGGCGCAAGTCGGTCATGAAGAAATTAGTAGGAATGGGGGGCCCGGCGGCGCGGTGCGAGGAATTATGCGGAGCTCGAGGCCTTGTTCGAGCGGAATTGGCCGAGCGACGAGGGCGCTGGCGGCTTGCGGGCGGCGCAGCAGCGCGATGGCGCGTGACAGCCAGGGCGACGCGGTCTCGACTCTGGGTCGGTGGGAGGAGGTCGTGGTACAGATGGGAAATGGATACAAAAGCAGTAAGGATGGGTCGGCAAAAGCGTGGCTTGGTCCAGACCGGGACACTAAAACTTTAAAAAAGAGCAATTGTTGCAGAGCGCGGAGCGCAAGAAGCGAAGAGGCGAAGAAGGCGGGCCGGAGTCTCGGTCAGCAGCAGAGACGGGCCCGGCGGCGGCAGAGGAGGGTGGAGGGCGAGCGCGAGCTGGAGGACGACGGGCTCGGCGTGCGGACGCGGTGGCCTGGGGGCTTTGCTGGGCGGGCTCTCGCGGGCTGGTGTCAGGTAACGGGCGGCCGGGGCAACATGGACTCGCAGCGGGACTGGCCTGGGCGCGGGTGCGGGTTGGAGCTGGAGCTGGAGCGGCGGAGCATTGATGGGCTTCGGCAGAGGAGTCGAGGACGCGGTGAGGCAGTGGCTGGCAGCAGGCTGGACGCGTCGCGGGCAGGAGATGTAGGCAGGTCTTCAGCGCCGTGTGGTGGTCGAGCACAGAGCAGAGGCGACGCTGCTGCCGCGGCGGCGGGGCTTTGCACCGGCGCGTGAGGGCGCGGCCAGGCACCGCGTCTGGGTGCCCGTCAGTGCCCGTCAGAGGCCGGCCAGCGGCCTTCGGGGATGGGCAACGAGACGATCAATTACTCGGGGCTTTGCGTGGCCATCGAGCGCTGGGCGGCGGATCGCAGCCAGCGGCCGCAGAGGCCGCAGAGGCCCGCACTAGCGCGCCCGCCGCCAAGCGCAGCCCTCCCATACTCGCACCGCGCCATGACGGCACCCGCGCGCCCAAGGGGCGCGCTGCATCCCCGGATCTGGCCTCGACGGCGGCGAAGTGGCGAGATCAGCCAGATCTGCTGCCTGCACGCCGTGCTCCAATGGCCGATCGCCGTTGCAGCCGGGCGCGTGCGAACCTTCGATGAAGCTCCGGCGTGCATCGAAGATCGATGGACTGCCTGCCTGCTCGCCATCGCAATCTTCGATTCCCTTCGACACGCCCACGTTCCAGCCCCTTCCCTAACCCCGACGCCCGCACCCACTACTTAACTCCCACCCTGCCAGCGCCCGCGACACCTCTCCCCGGCCGGGGATCGCGATGGTGCACCCTCCGGAGGCACTCCCTACGCCTGCCGCCTGCCATCGCCGATGGCCCTCTCCAGCAGCGCCCGCAATCTCCCACCCGCCCGCCATCTCAGATCTGCTCGCGGTGCCTCCCAGGCGCTCGCCAGCTGCGCCGCTGTGATTGCTGCCTCATGCCATTCTGCGGAATCGCATCCGACTTGCCGCTGTCAGCTGGCGGCTGCCACCCGGTCTCACCACCACCGCGCTCCCAGCCGCCCAGCGCAGCCCATGCCATGCGCCTGTGGCGGGTCCGCTCCCTTGGGACGCTGACTCCTGGGCCTCTGAGACTACTGCGTACCGTAATCTCTGAACGATGGCCTTCGGCAAATCCCCTATGTCCTGCGTATGCAAGCGGCGTGCTGCCGAACCACGAGTCCACTTTCCGACATGCGGACGGGCACCGAACCACGGCGACCATTGGTTGCTAACCTGCGTTAGCACCAGCCGGGCATGATGTCATACCAATATCTCGTCCGCAGCATGCTGCCTTCTTCTGCTCCTCCAGAGCGCAGTAGCCGGCGAGCTTGCTCACAGCCCGCCAGCCACCGTCTCGCTACCCGTCATCTCCGTCGCAAACAACGCATGTGGCATATGCTTGTGCTGCGCGCCCAAGCTTTTCCTCGTTTCCCCCGGCCGCTTTTCGGTACCCTTGCGCAGACCACTCACGACCAGCGTTGGGCAACAGCCGGGAGGTACAAACTGCATCGGATTTGGGTTTCGAAGTCGCCTTTCGACCTCTATACATGACGCAGATATGGCCGCTTGTCTAGGCCCCGCTATGACGACTGTTCAGTGCCAGAGGCAGATGGTGGCGCCCGTCCCCTGGCAGGCATATGCATAGAAGTCAGAGCGAGCCACGCTGCCGGTTCACAGTAACCATATCGGTGCATCAGAGAGTTGGACATCTCGATGTTCTAGTATGTGCTTGTTGATCTCTGCGACTTTCGGGAAGGCTGCCCTAGCGGACCTCGCCGCCCATTGCATCACCGCCCCTTCGACACGACGCAGAGCTATTGGTGAGGTTCTGTCGGTCGATGCGGAGGCATTGCCGGTCCCACCAGTGATGTCATGCGGCTTCCTTCCCTGCTTGCGGGCCGGTCCTAAGCAGCTTGCGCTCCACTTATGGAGACGGGCCATGGAGAAATTGATGTCGACCACAGCTATTCTGCTATTAACCTGGGAATACGCAATTCTCAAACCTGGTAGAGATCAATACGGGGGGCCCCACAGGAACGTGGCCAGGCCCGTCGAAGACTGCCCGAAAGGCCGGGGTGAGCATCCATTGTGTACGACTTGAATCTTGCTTCGTCCCCCTTAAAACAGGACGTGCGTGTTCGTATGACTTCTGGGCACCTTTCTCCACACCCAGCAACTGCGGTATCTAGCTCCGTGCTAACGCAATAGCCCCTCAATGACGCTCAAACCCACTGTCGTCAAGGCGTTTGGTACTATGTTCGGCCTTTCCTTATCAAACATATCTGGCCCGACAAAAACATCTCGATCCCGACGACAAGATTCCGCATAGAACGAGGCTCACCCCCCTGTACGTACCGCAGCTTTGCGTTTCGGCAACAACCGGGAATAACTGTCCCCACATCCGCCACTTGATCACTTCCCCGCAGTCGACGTAAGGCATGCTGCGGAATTCAGATTGCTTTGAGCCTGAGAAGACCACCAAACCGTACCCAAAACAGTGCAGGCGATTTCGTTTACAGCGCCTGCTGCGATGCTGTGTAGTCGTTGCTCTCTCTTCATTCCAGCCGACAGTCACGATGGCCGGTCCATAAGAGCTTGCACTATGAGTCCAAGCTCTCGGAGTTGCTCCGAGGGCGGCGGAATGCCGCATTAGGCAACTCGCTTAACACGCTACTTGGAACGTTCGATCCAGCTTCAACAGCTCGTCTCCGTCGTGATGCTCGTCCGTTTGTCGGTAGTAATGACCGTAAAACACGGCCGGGCAGCTGAGGGTCGCGATCAACAGAGCGGACTTGGCCTTCGCCAACTTCTCGCTAGAACGTGCTGCGTGCGTGCCCTGCCCCGCCCTACGTTGGCCATCCAAGACTAAAACTGCCTCCATTCTTCTTGTCAAAATGTTGTAGCGGCGTCAAGTGCTGTTGCGTACGATAGGCGGTGAGGCGGAAGATATGGATCGGGCGAGCGGGGCGTTGTAGGACAGCGGCGGATATCCGTTAACGGGCGTGTGTATGGGATGGGGTCAGAGGACGGGTATTGTGGAGTGGTTTGTGGGGACCTGAGGCTCCGGGGCGGGGTATAGGCATTACGTTGGTGTGGTGTACTAAGTGTAGTGACGTCGAACGGCTGGGGTGGAGAAGGGGGTTGATGGAAGGCTTGGAGCTTTGCGGGGGAGTGCGTATCATGGGACAGATGTGTAGCGATGCGCTGCCTAGAAGGTGAGAGGGTTCGTAAGTAGCGATCTAATGGCGCAAGTGTGCAACTCAAGTTGCATGTACTGCATTACTTCAAACGGCTGTGGGAATCATGATACTTACCCCGCGGTTTCGTGGGATTGGAAGTGCAGGGGCTGTGTTTGCTCCTTTCTCTATTTTTGGCCTGACAAGGGTAGATGCGATATTGGGAGACTGTTACTGTGTCTACTGGGAAGTCCATGCGGGAGCGTCGTGGTAAAACCATGGGCTTTCTTGACGCTTCCGTGGCAACCGGGGCGCAGGCGCTCAAAATTCGCATGGTCATCAGGCGGGTTGCTCGGCTCTTCTGGCGCATTAGCGAGAAGGGCAGCCAAATACGAAACAGCCAGTAGCCTGTTCCACATTTTGACTCGTTGTTTGTTGACCTCAGGAGCGGAACAGTTTCCGATCCAAGCCCCTCAGCTGAGGGCCCACAAGTCTGGCGTCTGCGGTATGCTAGGCAGGATCAGCAGTGTCCAGGCTGTGTTTCCTCGAAGGTTCGCCTCTAACGTGACAAATATCGGCACGCTCAAGGTGTCACCATCATCGAAGCCTGTGGCGCTTCCCTTTTCGGCATATTCTCAGGGGCGACGATCGAGCTTTCGATGGGATCGAGTTTAATCTCTCCGCTCTCGCTCTGATGTTGAGCTCTGCTCATGAAAGGCTGTCATCTTCGCGATCACGTCGTGGCCAATTGATTTGCGGCATTCCGAGCATTCTGCAACGTTCAAGTTGAGGCTCTGCCGGGGAAGCAAGACAACACCGAGAGTCAGAATGGCAATGGCCATTGCAAGAAGAAAGTGGAATGGATGTTCCATGACCAAGCATCGCCATGGGTGGTTGCAGCAGACACCAGGGCACAGAACAAGGCCTGGAGCCTTGCGGAATGATCTGGGCACATGCGCAATCAAAATGAATTATTGCTCCTTCACAGATGCTTCACGATGTGCTACCTACGCAGTATAGGATACTACGCTAAACTGGATTCGGAGTGGTTCGATTGAACTACCAGCTTGGCGGTGGTGAGAATCGGAGAACACAGACCACGGAACTAGGCTGTAAGATGTGGCAGTCAGGTCTTTCGCAACCCACAGTCACCTAGACGACGAACTGGGAGAAATGGGACGCCAGAATGCTTGTGCAGGACGGGTTGAAGAGCCCTCAAATATGCATTGAATGCCGCGAAAGCAACGGAGTGCCGGCCAAGATCAAAGTCCTTTTTCCTTCTCTCAACCAATCCCATATTCACAAGTGTCTCCTCCAACATGCTGAGTGGCACGCCGAAATTCTTTCTTTCCTGTAAAACCAGATTACCCTGCTCTCCGCCCGGCAATTCCCCCCGGTGACCCTAAAACCTTCCCCTCAGACCATTCACAGCCATTTATGCGGCAGCCGCTCCATTCCTACGGGGGAATCCAGTCCCTCCGTGCACCGTTCTTCTCGAATATTCTCACGTGCGCTTTGGCATGACGAGGCTGAGTTGACCGACAGACTCGAGAGGCCCTGAGACTTCAAGAGTCGTAGTACAGTCCAGTTCTTGACCTTCCTGCGAGCTCAACTAGACATCCCGAGTGCCGCTCAGAGAGTAAGCCAGAGCCGGATCCGCTGCCTGTTCGACTCCGGTGTGGACAGCCATCGGCCAGGTACATTCTCGGGCAGCGGTTGCGCAAATGGCTTTGGTGGCGCCGATGGGCGCGGCTCGTATTCCAATGCTTGACTGGGGATCGAGAGTTTCGCCAAACACGCCGGCGGCGAGCTTGTTTCAACGTTTGGCGGCGGCGTCGGAGGTGCCCGGACGGCGGTCTCGGCAGAAAAAAAATTCGTAGGCGTTCATCCAGGGCGGCCTGTCCGGCAAGACCTTGTGCGCGGGAGTCGAGGGCGGAGACAGCAGGGTGTCGAGGGTGCGCCAGGTGGATTCGGGCCTAGTGCGGATGAAAGCGGAATGGCGCGCTGGCCGACGTCGTCCGTCTTTTATCACCACCACCTCCCGTGCGCAACTGCTGTCGCTTCCATCAGCTCTCGCTCTGGCGCCAATTCCGCAAGGCCGCCGACTCACCTGTCTGCTGGTTCCCGTGCGACTCTGGCCCCGCCCACGCTCAGCCCTCGGGCTCCTCCTCGGCCTCCAAGATGCACTCGACCATGGCGTCCAGGCCCTGCTCGAACTCGTGCTCGCTCACCCACTCCATGTGGCGCAGCAGCCGCAGTCCCTTCTCGACCCACGACTGGCAGTTGAACTCGCGGTCGGCGTTTTCAATCGGCACCTGCGCCAGCAGCTGCACGAGCTCCGTCTTGGTGATCTCCTTGCGCAGCGTGCCCACCAGCACCGCCCGCACGAGCGTCCGCCCTGGGTCGCGGCTGGCGTCGTAGCCGTCGTAGACCTGCAGCCCGAGCTCGCCCGGCGGGCCGGTGACGTGGATGACGAGCGCCGACGATCCGGAGGTGCCGCCGGACTGCGGCGGCGACTGGCCCCCGGCCTGGAAGAGCGGGCGGAAGGCGAGTGCAGTGTGGCGGTGGCGCTGGTAGTCGACGGGGTCGCCTTTGAAGATCAGGATGCTGACGCTCAGGCTCGCGGCGCCGTCCATGTTCTCGGCTTGCGGCGAATGGTAATGGGCGGATCTGGAATGGCGAAGGCGCGACGCTGTCTGCCTTTTTGTCTGCTTGCCCCCGAGAGAGCGGGCCGCCGCGTCGCCCGGCTTGTGCCAGCTTTATGCCATGCGCCAGCCCAAGTTTCCATCCGCCCAAGCCCAACCCTTCTGTCGCGCCCGACCGCCGGCGAGTCAGTGCCACCCCCGGCCCGCGGCTGTTCCCGCCATCACCAACCGCAGCGAGCGCTTCCCGTTCCGGCCGTTTATTTCCCGCCGGCCGCACGCATTGCGCGCTGCTCATACCACCACTGAGATCATCCGCCGCCGATCTCCCGGCCTCCTTGACATGCCGAGCTGACCCACGCCCTAGGTGCAGCCGCCCGGCTGCGTGTCCTTTCTTTGGCCGCACAGCTCGACCCCTTCCCCACCCAGTGACGGCTCGCCGGGCTCGTCAAGCCGACGCCGCGGCTGCGGAAACACGACCCAGCCAAGCACGGACGGCCCTTGCAAGGAATGGCACGTGGCCCTATCGAGAGAAATTGCGACAGCCCTCTCATCTCTATGCTCGGCAGCCAGAGACCCAACGCCGTTGAAAATCCTTTGCGTGTCCGCGTCCCGCCCATTTATTGCCTTTATTTCCCCGGGTCAGCTGGCGGCGGCAACGTTGCGTCATAGCTTCCATTTTCTTTGCTGGTCCATCTCTCATCCCCCTCCCTCGCCTCCCCTCCTGCCCCTCCGGCACGTATCCAAAAATATCTTTTGGCATCTCCTCAGCCGACTGACGTACTCATGTGCACCAAAACAGCAACCGCCGCCCGAGCGCGCTGGCCGCCGTCTGGTGGGAACGCAAAAGAAAGTTATCCGTGCCGCGGCCTCGTACCCGCCACGTCGGAACAAGGGTCTTTTTGTCCTCAGCACCGCCTGTGCGTGTGACAGTCTTCCATGTCACGCCTCGGCAGCTGCCATCTCGCTTCGGTAGAACTGCCGTCTTCGCAGGGGAGGTTTCTTTTTTAAAACACGCGTTTGGGTCACCATCCGTCCACTGTTCGGAGGATGGCCGAGAGCTTTATTGCTCACGACACAGCCGCATTCTGGACAGCCGGGCACCGCTCTTTGATCACGCAGATTCGCCATCACAATAACCTTGCTTTGCGTCGGACGCGTCACGCCCTATTAGCCCTATGGACGATCAGCCAGTGCTTAAGCAAAAAATAGTAATAGTCGTCCCTGCCGTAGTCCTTTTTCGGAAACCGTTTAGATTTGCCGAGCGGTTCGACCAAACATCCGGGGTTTCCGACAGCGAGGTCGTGTGGCCCCTTCGCCTCCCCTCCCCTCTCCCGGGGCGGCGGCATTGACAATGACGATAGATGGTAAACAAGGATTCACCAATTATTCTCCGTCCATTCGATACATTTCTGCATGCGGGAAGGATGCGCGCCGCCATGGCATTAGTGATTTGCTCCGCTGTGGGCTCAACGGTCTTTCGCGCCTTGTCTAGCCGCCGATCATTCAGTGATTTACAATCAACACGCGTTGAGAAAAAGCACCACGAGATCATGCAGTAAAATGAAAACGAAAAGATCTTTCTTGCAGCTGACGACAAAGAAAAAAAAGGACTACATACTTGCACCTTCGGTCATACACGAACGCAAATCAATGACCTCGGATCAGCATTCGAAAATAAACGCTCCTTCTCCCTCCACCAGTGATTGGTACAGCACGGACCAAGGGAAAAAGCGCAGACCCTTCGGCCGAAGATGCGCGATGCGCGCGCGCATCTCAACAATGCGCAGAAGAGAGAACCTTAGTTTCGAATTGCACATGGCGCCATTTACCCTCGACAACCAACCACAGCCCCCCAAAATGGTTTGCAAAATATGACGTTATCCCTTTTAACACTATTTTTAGTCTTCTTTAAGGACGGGAGGACGTCAGTGGGAAGCACATCAGTGACATCACAATATCGAAGGATAAGCATCTACGCAAATCTTCCAATAGTTAGTAGTACGCGTTCTCTTGAAAAAAAAAAAAAAGCCTAACAGCACGTCAGGCGAGCACCCTCCGTCATCAATCATCCTTTTCTCTCTTAGAAGTACAAACTCTCATACAACGACGGAAAATGACGACATGGAACGATTCTTGCAAAAACCACCGTCCTCCCACTCCCTCCTTGGCAGCGCTCATCACATCAATCATCACCACATGGAAAGAAAAAAAAAACGCAACGCCCTCGTGAACGCCTACCACCACCCGTATCTTTGATCTGATATTGATGCCACCCGTCGTTCATCATTTTTTTTTCTCCTTCTTCGCAAGCCCCTCGTCATCGTCGTCGTCGTCGTCGCCGCCCACTTACAAATCCTCATCCATACCACCCTCCGCCTCGATGAAGACCAACCTCGTACCCTCGCCCGCAGTTTGCCAAACCTACGCACCATTAAGTCAACACCAAACATCCTACATCTGACCGAAAACGATGCTGTTGGTAGCGGAGGAAGAGCAAAACTTACATCAAGCATGGCATACTCATCAATCGCCTCCTCGAACTGGTCCGCCGTGAAGCCCTTGGCCAATACCCTCTCCCTCACCCTCCTCAGATCCAGCTCACCCGCCGACCCGTCGTCCATGCCGCCGCCGCCGCCGCCCACGGCCGCCGCCCCGCTCTCCTTCATCGCGCGGATGAGGTGGTAGATGCGCGACTGGGGCGTCTGGTCGGCGCCGCGGCCGCGTTCGTCCTGGTACAGCGACGCCTTGCTGACCTCGGTCAGGCGCAGCGCCTCGTCGACGTCTTCCGGGATGACGTTCTCGGCGAAGCGGAGGCGGGCCAGGGCCTGCGCGAGGCGCAGGACGCCGAGGAGCGTGCGCGGGGACGTGTGCGTGAAGGCGCGGCGCTGCGACTCGTCGCGGGCGTGCTGCTGGCGCATGCGGACGTACGCGCCGACCAGGTAGTCCGAGACCTCTTGCGGCACCGTCGGGCGGTAGTTGCGCGCGCGCGCGACCCACTGGCGGACTTCGTGCGGCGTGAAGACGGGGCCTTTGCCGTTGCCGGCGGCTTCGGGGTGCTTGTTGTGGATGTGGACGTGGGTGACGTGGCGGGCGAGCTCCTCGTCGGCGTCGCGGGATGGGGTATCAAGAATAAGGAAGAGAACATCGAAACGAGAAAGCAATGCGGCGGGAAGGTTGATATTCTCAACCGGGGAAATACGAGGGTTGTAGCGGCCGTAGAGAGGGTTGGCGGCGGCAAGGATGGAGGTGCGGGCGTTGAGAGTGGTTGTGATGCCAGCTTTGCTGATGGAGATAGTCTGCTGCTCCATAACTTCGTGGATTGCGGTCCGGTCTGAGTCGTCCATCTTGTCGAACTCATCGATACAGCACATGCCGTTATCCGCAAGGACGAGAGCGCCTCCTTCAAGAACCATCTCATCCGTGACCGGGTCTCTCATGACTGCTGCAGTAAGACCGACACCACTGCTACCACGACCAGTGGTGTAGACACCACGAGGCGCGACTTTCGTGATATATTTGAGAAGCTGAGATTTGGCAACACCAGGATCACCCATCAGACAAATGTTGATATCGCCACGAATGCGCATGCCATCGCCCATCACCTTCGTCACACCACCAATTAGCTGCAGCAAAAGTGCCTTCTTCACGTCCAGATGTCCGTAGATTTCGGGAGCGATGGAGCGAGAGAGGTACTCGTAGAGCTGGCCAGACCTCTCCAGTTCATTCATGCGGCGGATGGTGGGCTGAGCCAGAACAATGTCGTCATACGCCTTTTTGTGCTGGTTGACGTGCTGCGCCTCGAGGTAGGTGTCGGTCAAGAGACCGGCCCGGATGGCCTTGAATCCAGTGTAAGGGGTGGGGAGGAAGATGCCAGCGACATCAATAACGTCACCCGGGTTGATCTGGCGGACGATTGCGCCGTGCACATGGACCGTCAGTTGCCTAGGAATGTGGCCGACAGGAACCTGGTCCGCCATTTCTTGAATCTTGATCTCCTGGAAGGGAAGAAACTTGGATGCGCGGGTGGAGAGGAACAGTTGACCTCTGGCGTTGTTGTTCTTGCATTCCTTCGAAGGACACTCGACGAGAGGCGTGAACTGTTTCGCAGTGACGGGTTGGAAAATCTCACAACCGCAGCGGTCGCAAGAATAGGCATTGACCTGGACAGAAGGCTTGACATCCGAGACCCTGGTTGAGATGCCACGCACAGTGATGAGGCGGCCGATGTGCTCGCCGCGCACTTGCCTCACTGCTAATGCCTTGGAGCCGCGCTCGCTGCTCGATCCCGAGGGAGTGAGGGGCTTGAAGTTCAGGGTATATCTTCTGGTCAGCTCGGCTGGGAAGACCGAGTCGGCAGCAGCGCCTTCGTCCTCTGCATCGGCAGATTCTTGTATTCTCTCGTTGCGCTTCACGCGCTGGGTCATGATGATGTCGAGAACGTCGTCCTTGAAGCTAGATCACATATCAACAGAGCACTCAGCAGCGTTTCGAGGCCATCATACTTCGGCTCAGTGGTTGGCTCGGGCATAGCCTTGTCGACGGCCTTCGAGAAAAGCTCAATGTAATGATGGGCGTTGGTCTCCACCGACTCGACCAGGCGCAAGTTGGGGCTGTCCTCGCCGAGACTCTTCTCGTACTGCACCACCAATGTCAGCTGCGAGTGGGCGCAGTTCGGCAAGATGGGCGCACCTGGTCCAGGTCGTCCAGCTCTATGAGGACGTGGTTCGTCTTGCGATCGGCGACGTCCTGCAGGAGCTGCATGTACTTGTGCTTGGGACTGCGGGTAGGGCGGTTTCTCTGGGGCCCATTGTCGTCCGACTCGTCCATGAAATCGTACTCATCTTCGTCGCCATCAAGCTGCAGGCCTTCTAGGGCATCGGTTGCCTCGGTGGACGACGACTTGTAGTTGCGCAGAAAGTCCTCGACGGCAGCTGCAGCTCATGTTAGCTACTGTTTGGGAGCAGACAAACAAGCTGCGGAGACGCACTCTGCTGCTCGCCATAGTGGACGGGGGACCGGTAAGTAAGGAGCGCCATTGCCTGCAGAGAGCGGAGGAGGCGGGCGAGGCAATGCGACAGGCGGAATGGGGGTGGAGGATGGGCGGAGAGCGGGTGCTGGGGATTGACGGGCTTTGCACACAGAAACGAGAAGCCGACGAGGACCCACGCCAGCCGCCGCGTCCGGACGCGTCGGGCGATGCTCGCATACGCGTTCTGCGCAGCCAACGCGCGCGGGCTGCCGTAGGGGCTGGCTACGGCGCACCCCAGAGGCACAGTGCGCGGACGGCGTCGACGAGTCAGCGGGAGCGGGCCGAGGTTCGTGGATGCAGCTGTGATGGACGCCGCCTCAAGCTTCACAGCAATGCCACTCTCCACGCCCACCCTCCCTTCCGTCCCCTCGCGCAACCATGGCCCCGGCGCTGAAGAAGCCAGCCGCCGTGCAGGCTGAGGTCGCCCTCCTGCACTCGCTGAAGAACTGTCTCGTCAACCTGCCCGCTCCGCTGGTCTCGGTGCTTGTGAATGCGAACACCGTGAGCCGCCGGCTGCCGCGCCCACCACCACCCCCGAGCTGACGTGCCCCGCCAGGTCGCGCAGAATGTCGTCGTCGAACTCAGCTGCCGCCAGGCGATCCCCGAGAACCCTGCGACGGCCAATGGCGCCAGATCAGCCCAGCGCTCCGTCTTCCTCGGATGGACGGGAATGCAGGCCCAGAGCAAACCCACTCCTGTTGTCGGCAGAGATGGTCTTGCAGGGAGCAGAGGGTCCTCTGTCGGCAGAGAGCAGGATGTCGCTGTTGTCGAGCTGGATGCCACCTTCGGCCGCCTGCTAGGACTTGGCAATGGCCAGAAGGTACGCTTCAGAGCTAGGCCGTCGCTGTACGGGGCGCACACTGACTGGCGGCAGTAGGTTGGCATCTTGTTACATCTGGACCCCCCACAAGCCCATACCATAAACATTGAGCCCTTGACGCCTGCCGACTGGGAAAGTATGTCGACCGAGTCTCCGCCGAACCGCCCTTACTGATCCCAAGCGCTACGCAGTGATCGAACTCCATGCCCAATTCTTGGAGCTTAATTTCTTGTCCCAGGTCCGCGCTTTGCCTAACCCCGCCTTCGCACCGTCTTCCGAAGCCGACAAGCAGCCCGCGCATCCTCTTACTCTCCATCTATCCCCGACCTCTACCGCCAACATAATAGTAACCTCGCTGAATCCCACTCCTCCGCCTGCGTCCCCGTTTGTAAAGATATCGCCCGATGCCGAAGTAATCGTCGCGCCCAAAACCCGTCAGAAGCTCGGCCGTGGAGACAGCAGAAGCGTTGCAAGCACCAGTCGCAAGAGCCAGGGTGGGCGGAGCTCAGCCAGTACCGTCAGGCGGAGGAGCAGAAGAGATGATGCTAGCAGCCGCGGTGCTGTTTTCCTGCGTGGCGTCGACCGTGCCCTGGGTGGTGATTGGTTCGACGACCTGGAGGAGAACATGCAAAATGCTGGGCTAAAGGTGTGGGTCGACCGTGATATTCTCCTTCTCAAAGCTCTGCGCGGCGTGACTTGGGTCTATGTTTCCATTGTCAAGCCGACCGGAATCCAAGAGCCTGCCGACCCCCAGAAAGAAGCCGAGACCGAAAAACCCGGGGCTAAGATTGTGGCGCGCTTGGATGCTTGGGACGATGCCCCGGATAGCCAGCATGCGGCCATTTCTACGACGCTGTGCAAGGCACTTGGAGCGGATGGGCTTCTCGGTGGCCTGGTTCGCATAGAAGCCGCGCCTCCGCAAGCTCACAAATCATCTCTCCTGAAGGCCACTCCGGTCAAGGCCCTGAAGATCTTCCCTTTTGCATCGGCTGCGATTCCGCCAAGTGCGGGACTGAAGTTTGGCGGTGAATCAAAGCAGGAAAAAGAGGAGGCCGCACGCAACATCAGAGAACTTTACGGTCAAGACCGCGCCAATGCTATTCTTGATGGCCCACTGACATGTGGCATGGTGTTACCTCCTGTCGAGGGGAGGGAATATCAGTGGGCGGGCGCAATTCTTCGATTTGACCCGCCCTCTAGCACTCTGCCCGAGTCCGCTAAGTCTCCAGCCTGGTTTCTGGGGGCGGAGAAGAAAGGAATCCCGCTTGAGGTTGAGACAGATATCAGCAAGCCACCAAACGCGCTGCAGAGCTGGTCACCGGGTGAAGCTCTTCCTTCAATTTCGCCAACTCTTGTCGGTATAGATCAGCTCATTCATCAACTCATGTCCCATCTCACCCATTCATCGTCGGTTCTCTTGACAGGCGGGCTTGGCGCCGGCAAGACTGGCCTTGCACAACTCCTGGCACATCGTTTGCGAAACGAATACCTTTTCCACGCTGCTTACTTCCCCTGCCGCTCGCTCGTTACAGATGAGACGCGCGTGTCAACCATCAAAGAGACGTTGGGCAGGCTGTTTGCTGCAGCTGCTTGGGGTGCTAGACTAGGAGGACAGTCCGTGGTCATTCTTGATGATCTCGACAAACTATGTCCGGTTGAAACGGAACTTCAGGTAGGAGGCGAAAATGGAAGGAGCAGGCACATCAGTGAGAGCATATGCTCCATCGTCAAGCAGTACTGTTCAATGGACTCAAGGGTAGTTCTCCTAGCCACAGGCCAAAGCAAAGAAGCAGTTCACAACGTGATTATCGGCGGCCACGTTGTACGAGAAATTGTTTCTCTCAAAGCACCGAACAAAGACGGCAGAAGGAGAGTGCTCGAGAAGCTAGTTCTCCCAGACATTGGGGCAAACAGTTCTCCGTCAAAGCTGAACGGGGCAGGCGGTCATCACCCATCAGCTTCGAATGGAAACAACTGGATGGACGGCTCCGTATCCGGAGGCAGCCGACCTAGCACATCCCACAAGGGAGCTGAAGACACATTCCTTGTCGACCCGAACATCGATTTCTTGGATCTCGCCGGTCAAACCGATGGCTATATGCCAGGCGATCTCGTCCTGCTCGTATCACGAGCAAGAAGCGAAGCACTGATCCGCTCTGTCAGTGATACTTCCCCTACATCATCCGATGCAGTCACTCTCACCCAGGACGACTTCTCCCGCGCCCTCGATGGATTCACGCCAGCATCGCTCCGCAACGTGACCCTCCAATCCAGCACCACGCGCTGGGACTCAATCGGCGGTCTACACGCAACCCGTCAAACCCTCCTCGAAACCCTACAATACCCCACCACTTACGCCCCTATTTTCGCACAATGCCCCCTACGCCTGCGCTCCGGTCTCCTCCTCTACGGCTACCCAGGCTGCGGAAAGACCCTCCTCGCCTCCGCCGTCGCCGGCGAGTGTGGGCTCAACTTCATCAGCGTCAAGGGCCCGGAGATCCTCAACAAGTACATCGGCGCGTCCGAGAAGAGTGTGCGCGACCTGTTCGAGCGCGCCGAGGCGGCCAAGCCTTGCGTCCTCTTCTTCGACGAGTTCGACTCCATCGCGCCGAAGCGCGGCCACGACAGCACCGGCGTGACGGACCGCGTCGTCAATCAGTTGCTCACGCAGATGGACGGCGCCGAAGGGCTGTCGGGCGTGTACATCCTGGCTGCCACGTCGCGCCCGGACCTGATCGACCCGGCGCTGCTGCGCCCGGGACGCCTGGACAAGAGCCTAATCTGCGACATGCCGAGCTTCGAGGAGCGCGTCGACGTCTTGAAGGCGGTGACCCGCAGCCTGCGCATCTCTCCCGCCGTGCTGGACGACAGCAGCGATGCGCAGACCATCCGCGAGATCGCCCGCCGCACCGAGGGCTACTCTGGCGCCGACCTGCAAGCCGTCGCGTACAACGCCCAGCTCGAAGCCATCCACGACGTCCTCGGCGACGACGACCTGCTCGTCGAGGATGATGACAACGCCGCCGCGACGGGCGGCAAGCAGCAGACGAACGGTGTCAACAACAAAGGGGGGAAGAAGAACCGCGGCGCCGACAGGCTAGACTTCATGCACTTCCGCTTCGGCGACCGTGAAGGAGAAGAGAAAGACAAGGATGCTGCGACAAGCGGGCTGCAAAAGGCCGTGGCCCTCGGCGAACGCGCCCGCCTCGCCGCACGCATACAGGAGATGCAGGCGCTGAGACGGAAACAAAAAGAGATCCAACAAGCTGCCGCCATGCCTTCTCCGGAACTGAACAACAGCAACAACAACGACAAGAGCAAGGACGGCGCCGGAGGCGAAGGCGGCGGCGACGTCAAAGAAAGCAAGGAGCCCGTCATCGAGTGGCGCCACTTCGAGTCCAGCCTCGCGACCACCCGCAGCTCCATCTCCGACCAGGAGCGCCGCCGCCTCGCTGGTATCTATCGCGAGTTTGTTGTTGGCAGGAATGGGGAGATGCCGTCCGGGCAGGGTGGTACGGAGATTGGGGGGAGGACTAGTCTGATGTAGGGGCTTGGATTCGGTCTTTTCTTTTTTTGTCTTCTTCTTTTCATCTTGTTTCCGTTGATCGGCTATCGTGGGTGGGGCGGAAAATGTGATGATATACGATGAGGCGAGGGAGCGTGCAAGGCGCTGGTTGTGCTTTGCGTCTGCTCAGAAAGTGTATGACGATTCGATGCTGCTGGGTGTGAATTGTAAGAGGGGGGGATTTGATAGTTTTTCAAGATGAACGAGGTTAATAACTCCTAAGAGTTGATCTGTGAAGATTGATTGGTATTGGTTGGTGGACCTTTAAGTGTATGGCTACGGATGCTATGACTCAAATCACACCATCGAGAAAAACTTGACAAAGCTCTAGAGACGCACAAGATCGTGGGAACTGATACAACAATGAGAACAACCCGATAGACGAGAGAATCGCGCGAAGCAGGAAACAGCAACACAAGCACGAAATCCCTCTCTTGACTTTGGACATGATGCTCTTGGTGAGGAGAAAGTCGGAAAAGACCAGAGACAAGAAATTTTTCAAAGACGAAGGTATCATAGAATACTGGGATATCGAGCCGAGCTTTTCCTCTTTCTTTCTTTCTTTCTCTTCTTACCCCCGTCTCCAAAAAGAAGAAATTGTGACCCTCGCTAGTTTCAAATAACACATACGCTCGCACGCACCAAGGTAACCCTCACACCCTCAACCATCTTTGTCACGGCTTCCGCTGTAATTTTTGCGTTCTTTTACTTGCCAGTGAGCTTGGACTTCGCAGCCTCGAGGCCCTCCTTAGCCTGGTCCTTCGCAGCCTCGAGGCCGCTCTTAGCCTGGGCCTCAAGAGACTTTTCCCTGCCACCCATGCTGTTGGAGGAGTTGTTAGAGAAGCGTTTCCAAAGGCTGCAAAGAGTATCGATACTCTTGCATGGGATGGTAAAACGTACTGCCAGTGGTTAAGGTAGCGGTAGCCCTGGAAGGACTGCGCGGAGAAGTTGATGGCGTGGCAGCCAAAGAGGAGCCAGTTCCTGGGCTGGACGGCAAGGGCGTAGCGCATGAAGGTGGCCGAGTAGCAGACGAGAGCACCGGTCATGCCACCGGAGATACTGTTCGGAAAACGGAAGATATACGTTAGCCCCATCATCCTGCGGCGTTTTCGGACTGACCCTGGTGTGCTTCTGATTTCCGGTTGAGCGCTCGTCATCTCTTGCCGCGGTGACCTGGGCCAGCTTGAACGGCCAGGAGCTCTGCTACAAGAAGCCGGCATGCTCCATGGCCGAAGCCTCGAGCCTGCCCCGGCTCTCCCGCAATTCCGCTCTGCGGGCACACAATGGGCTCCAGACGTGTGAAAGACAAATAGCCGCCACAGCAGTATTTCGTTCAAGGCGCAACAGCCAATACGGCGAGCCGCAATGACGGTGACATGTCCCGAACGTCTCGTGGGGGGAACGGCGAACCGTGCGCAGCCGTAGATCGGATGATTCCGCAATGTGGAACGAACATTTTGTTGCGTCGGATAGGTGCGGTTTGGAAGGAGCGCGGTCGGGACGGAAGCATTCTCACATTTCAGGGTCCTTCTGCGTGTCCATGACGGCGGCGAGCGGGATGCCAAAGTTGGAGGCCGGGCCCCAGAAATCTGCGGAGCGGAAGTTGCGTCAGCACGATGAATCACTGCCGGAAGCCACAATCTGGGGGTGTCGAGCGCAGAAGAGTCTGGTCCGGGTGCGATGAGGGAATTGAGCCTGCGATTGCGGGCTGCGTGAGGCGGTGCGGCGGTGCAGCGCCTATGCGGCCGGGGCCGGAAGCACCGCGCAATAGGTGGAGTAACAAGACGTACGGGTCGAGCAGAAATAATCCAGCGCCTTGTTGGAGCGGATTTTGGCGTTGATAGCCTTGATTGCGGCGGCCATGGCGGGCAGAGTAGGACTTGGGGAGCGGAGGAGCGGAAGCGGAAAGGGGTGTGACGAAGGGGAGGTGGTGAGGGTCACAAAAGTGGTGTTGGGAGCTTCAGCGGAATGACTTTACGAGTTCCGAAAGGCGGCGGGTGTTGAACGCCGCCGCACGGGAAGTGGGAACCCGCTCACGTGCCCCGCTCTTTGCGGCTTTAACGCCGCCATCATTGGCCAGCACGCCCGCTGTCAGCTGCGTATCGGGCTATTGCTGAGTCCATTCGCGTGATCCTCGCGCCGGTGTGAAGTGGGACGTTGCCCCAGCGCACTGGCGTACGCTTGATACACTCTGCCACGACCAAACAACCGTTCCACACCCGGACTTAAGCCAAGCACTCCGGGTACTGCAAAGCGCCGCGCCAGATTACCGACAAGATCATACCACTGAGTCCGATTGCTGCTTATGCTACATCGTTTTGCCTTTTCCGCGAGCTGAAAGTCTCCCTATAACGCCCTTGAGAATATACCTCAATCCCATTTGCCCCGAATGGCGTCCCACGCACCAAGGTGGTATTAGGCTTCTGAAAGTGCAGTTGCTGCCGTATGACCGATTTTGTCGGGCTTCTCCAGGCCGTGCAACGACTATTGTTTGGGCTCCGTAGCGGCAGTCCCAACCCACTTCTTCACAGTTCCTTCCAGGACCAGCATCCACTTATCTGCCTCCATATCCAGGAGGGAAACCACGACCTTGTCCGGGCGGGTTGAAGCCAGGCGGCGGCTGGAAGCCCGCTGTATATTTGTCAGTGAACATGTCATAATCCAACCGGCCATTTGCGACTTACGAGGAGCGCCACCAGGAGGGAAGCCTGCCGGAGGGAAGCCGGGAGCACCAGGGCCAGGAGGACCACCACGACCGGGGAAACCAGGGGGAGCACCCGTCGGAGGGAAGCCACCCTGAGGAGGGAAACCTCCGAAACCAGCGGGACCGGGACCGCCGACACCGGCAGCAGGACCAGTAAGACCAACGGGAAGACCTCTGCCAGCAGGCCTACTAATGCCCGGACCAGCAGGCAGCGTGGGAGCACCCGCACCACCTGGAGCGCTTGTTCCTAACCTGGTCGAGGGGTCTGCGGGGGGCGGGCCTTCGACGGACAGCGAGACGATGTGGCAGCCGCGGACGATGGTGAGGCCAAGGGTGCGTTTTTCTTCAGCCTCAACGAGTGGAGCAGAAGCGGCGCCGGGAGCCTGGCTCTTCGTGCTCTTGCGCTTCACGCGGCGGAACTCCTCGGTGTCGGCAAGAACTAGGTTCATGTGCTATATTCGTCAACGTCGTTCGGCTACAAAAGGATTCTACGGACCTTGTCGAAGGCAAGCATCTGACCAGCCATTTGGCGTCCGTCATTGAGGGTAGCGCGCATGCGGTAGTTGATCTACACCAGTCAGAGCTAATCGTACAGCGTGAGCGCGGAGGCGGGCTCACCAGGTTGACCTGGATGCGCGAACAGTCAGCTGGCGTCGTTAACGAACATCTCTGCAGTTTCTTGCGGACGTGGGAATGGACTCACCATCTTTCCTTGCTTGTTAGCCTGCGCCATGGTGAGTATGGCGCGTGCGAACACGACTTTTCTAGAGATAGAACGGGTGGGCGGGTGGTTGTGCGAAGTGGAGGGGCCGGCGGGCGTTGCTGTCGCGGGCAAGCTGTAGAAGTTCGCGAGGTTGCAGCGACGGGGCTTGGCGCTATGAGCTCACGCGCGGGTGCCTGAGGCAGAGATCCAGGACGGCACCACACGGAACGAATTGGAGACGAGCAGTCACACACCGCACCAAACTGTGTGTTGGACCATGTAAACTGCAATTGTTCCCGGTAAAGTCAGTCGGTGCCGGCCTCAGTCGGTGCAGCGGACTGCCCAGTCGGAGTCTTGGCGGCGAGGAAGCGGACGGGCCAAAGCTCGGCTAAGCGAACGCTAGCGGCACCCTCCCACTCTCCACCAAAATTGTCTTCGTCTTATTCCTCGACGCTGACGACCTCTCGCGACACCACCCACCAAACTAACAACCGCAGTCACAATGGTATGCCCGCCATCGCCCTGGTAGTCTGCGCGCCGTCGTGCTGACGATGCTTTCACGCAGGCCGAGAAGTCCGACAAGTCCGCCAACCCCATGAGGGAGTTGCGCGTCCAGAAGCTGGTCCTCAACATCTCCGTTGGCGAGTCTGGTGATAGGCTCACTCGTGCCGCCAAGGTGCTTGAGCAGCTGTCCGGTCAAACCCCCGTCTACAGTATGCATCGCCCGGGATTGAATCGCCACTGCCACACACGCCCTGACTGATTTTGCGTCCGACAGGCAAGGCCCGCTACACCGTCCGTACCTTCGGTATCCGCCGTAACGAAAAGATCGCCGTCCACGTCACCGTCCGTGGCCCCAAGGCCGAGGAGATTCTGGAGCGTGGCCTCAAGGTCAAGGAGTACGAGCTGAGGAAGCGCAACTTCTCCGAGACCGGCAACTTCGGCTTCGGTATCAGCGAGCACATCGATCTTGGTATCAAGTACGACCCTGCCATTGGTATCTACGGCATGGACTTCTACTGCTGCATGTGCGTACATCCCGATTGAGGACGTTCTGGTGGCTGGTTGGCAACAGAACAGCAGGCTGATGGATCTAATAGGACCCGCCCCGGTGAGCGTGTTTCCAAGCGCAGACGTGCCAAGAACGTCATTGGCACCTCCCACAAGATCAACCAGAACGAGACCATCAAGTGGTACAAGAACAGGTTCGAGGGTATCGTCAGGTAAACGGTTTCAGCGGCGCGGAAGCATTCGGGGGGTTTCTCGACAAAATCCTTTGGCCTACGGAGACAAAAGGAGTCTGGGGCCTGGGATCTGAGGGTTGGTCGGCGCACCAAAAACGATTCACCATGGTGTAATTACCAGCAAAAATTACGACTGCGGCCTATCAATGGAGCTTTTCAGCAACATCACAGTGTCAATGGAGGCTTCACCAGGGTGTCGTCCGTATAACCATTGGTGATTTGCTTGGACTTCCAATCTGGCTTTGTCAGAGCGCATGCGTGACTTTGCAAGTACTTACAGTGCCAACTCAATTTCTCCGGCTAGGTAAGTGGTATTTTGGACATCCCTCCAGTGCCGTCATGATTCCTACTATAATAAACATAGAGGCTCAATATGGAACTGTGAAAGAACCAAATCAGAGAACGTAACATTAGAACGCTTCGATATGCCAAATTGAATCCATGAGTTCGTAACTTGCGGCGATTGTCCAGGTGAGCTGATTGGATGCGTAGTGGAAAGGACTCCTGGGGAAATGAGTTGATCCGATGTTCTCTTTGGAGAGACGATTCGCCGAGACTGTGATGTACTCCCCTTTCCTGAGTATTTCTGTCCAATCTATCCATTACCCAGACCACTTCGATGGATTTTCTCGGGTTCTCATGGTCATGGAAACCCATGTTCAAGTTTCTGAGTGAGCAACACATGACTGCCATATCGAGAACGAGCTGTAAATGGCAAATCTTCTCATGAAGATGATTCCATACGCCGATCCGTTCTAGGCGGTGTTCGTTGTACTTCCTTCTAGTGTTAATCCCAAGGCCAGTACAGGTGATAAAAGACGAAGGGTAACACGCGACCAAGATATAAAGCGAATCCCTGCAATCATACTTTCTAAGCAAAGGACCTCAAAGTTTATATCTATGGCCATAAGGGACTCATCGCAACGGGTGCTCCGCGAGCGTTTAGAACTGCCTTGGCTCACGATGTTCCTCATCGTCGTGGCAACTGTGTTCCATGGTGTTTGGATAGGCATCACCGCCGCAACGGTGCTTTTCCGCTCACATAACTTTTCTGCCAACGCATTGCTGCCAACGCATTGCTGCAGGACGGCGACATGTCCGTTCAAGGGCTGCGTGGGTCAGCTGAATATCTCATCGATAGAGAAAGGAAGAAGAATACGTCCCCTGCATTAAGAACGCGTCCCCTGCATTAAGTTTACGGATCCCGTTTGGCTCTCTTGCATTGCATACTACCGGCAGAATAAAAGTGCCTTAATTCCACCAAAAACATAGATCTTCTTAAGGATGAAAAGGATGCATTGCTAAATGAGACAATGGACGGGATTTCGGATTGTCAAAAGGCAAGAAGACGAGTGTACGACGGACGGCCCTGGAAAACGAACCCCCACTTCGGCCCGGGAGAAGCAAACCCTGAGAGCGGCCTTCCCATTTCCATGCCTACCTGCCGGGCTAGAAGGTAGCATTCACAACACGCCCACCATAGACGTCCATCCAATCCTAATCTTCCATGCCTGAGCAAAAAGAATAGCAAGAGGACAAAAGAAGAAGTAAGTCCTACCCGGCGTTGTTCTGTGAGAGGAAAAAGAGAAGCAGAAGGAAAATAAAAAGTAAAACGTAGGTCCTACCCAGGATCGAACTGGGGTTGCAGGAAATTTCTGAGTTATCAGAATCCTGAGTGCTAGCCACTACACTATAGAACCGAAAGACTCACGTAAGTTCACGTTGGTGTTTCACTTCTGAAAATTTGGTGTCGTTAATACCAATTATCAACACTCAAACAGCTAAGTGACACAGAACCGCCTGCTTACCGCCCATAGAACCAATCTCTACGGAAGTACGATCGTTCGGTTTCTAGTACCTGAAAATGATGCTGGCTTGGTTTGCTTGTAACCCTCCATCTTATTACGGTCTTGAGCTTAAATCGTCAGATATGCACCTGCTTGTCACGCTATCTTATTAGATCACGTAGTAGCTCCCAACTTTAGGCGAATCTACAATGTTCATGAAACCTGTATCATTACTGAAACCGAACAATAGAAAAAGCGAAAGCTTACTTGCTGACGTGCATGATAAATGTTACGTTGTTCGCTTGAAAGCCGCATCTGGTGCCAGCGGTGTTATTCAAGAGATGCAAATCGGCTCATCAAGCAGGGTCGGTCATTGTATGAGATCAAATTCTAGGCTGAATTCATGTATCACGTTCCGCGTGCCGGAACGCACATCGCACGTGCTGTGTCGCATTGTTGCAACAAATAAGCGCTTGAAATCTCCTTCCGTCATCTCTATATTAATAGATGGCTGATTCGCCAACTTTGGGCGCTTGCAAGAGCGAAAATAAAATCCAATTCATTGATCATGTACTGTGTGTGTGTGACAAGGCGACTGAAATGCAGACCTATGCAGGAGCAATTTTATCTTAACTTTCTTCGAAGTTGCAAAGAGAACCATAACGCTGGTCTATTTTGATGAAACCGACCACGTCCAGGGGAAAAGGATGGCCGATGGTCTAATATGCCGCCGGAAAAGCGAACAAATCAGAAGGAAAAACCCAGCCCGATGACCTTCTGTCTCGAGTTTGTAACGCCCCAACAAACGCCGTCGGTGGACCAATTTGTGACGGAAAGGAAATAGGAAAGAACTCCGAAAGGGAAATCATCAGATGCGAGCGCTAGAACTCCTGCCTCTAAATGTGGGCTATCAGTAATGCAGATTCTGTAAGCGCCAGTGCACCCAGTCACGCTCGCTCGTCGAGCGTCGAGCGTGCAGCAGTGAGAAAACTAGATCAAAACATTACGAACTCGAAAACAACTACACTCCATACGCGCGTGTTCTGCAGGGTATCGGGTATCTCAATGGCTAGCGGGCTTGTACGGCCGCTTGTGTGGCAAAATCCTGGTGGACTCCGAGCTGGTTCACCAGAAAACATAGTCAACGTTGTGACTACGGTAGCATTTTCAGTCAGGTCGTGTTGCAAAGTTCGGAAGTTTCGCCGGAACAAACCCTTCGTTATCTTCCTTGGTCGGCCTTGTAGGGAACGAGCCTCCGAAGCCATGGGGATGTGATGTGGGCGACGTCGAAAGCGATGTTGGATGACTATCAAAGCTTGGGAACGGAATGGTGCCGCCAAGACGTGGACTCCTGGGCGGTGAACTGGGGGCACTCCTTATCTCCGACATGGCTGCCTTTCGCTTTGGGGATCCGACTGGGGACTTCGTCTCGGACGGCATAGTCTACGCCTACACTTTAGTAAATGATTGGGCACCTGCATAAGGTTCAAGACAGACCATATCTTCTTCAATTTTAAGGCCTCTCCTCAGAGCAAGCGCCCGAGCAGCATCTCGCCTCCTCTCAATGCTTTCCTCCTCCTCTTCCTGTATCCTCACTTCCTCAAACTTGAGCTCGGATAAAGTTGGAACCTCCTGGATGCCGGCTTCGGAGCGTTTGTCAACAGAAGGAGAGGTCGCGGCTGAGCGTCTTCTTGAGTCCCGGGTGCCCTTCGTTGACACAGTCCTCGTGGACGTCCGGGAGCCGCGAGGGCGTCTTGAATTGGGCGTCTTGCCACTGCTTGTATCATCCAAAAAAGTAGCAGTGTTGCGGCGCTCGAGCGCCATGGCAAACTCATCATCTAACGGCACGGCATCGTCCAGCTCATCCTCGCTAGGCAAGATATCTCCTCGGGAACTTAACGAGTCGGATGTCACGCCTGACTCGTTTGTCCCACTTCTGTTTCTCCGGTGGGCCAAAAACGCAGGGAACTCCTCCGCTTCTTCGATCAATGGATCATGCTCCTCCAGCGATCGCCGAGACGCGCCGGGATGGTCTTGAAGATCTGCAGCAGAAGGTTTATAGCGCAGACCCTTACCGCCAAGTCTGAACGGAAGCCTTCCCAAGAAGCCAAAATACGAACTGGTGGGTATTATGGTAGGATCTGGGCTTCCGTCGTGCGGCGGGGCAACACTCTTTCGGCGGGCGGCGGGATGTCGCGCATCGCCGCGGCGTGCGCCATAGCTCATAGCACGCTGGCGACCCGGCTGGGTCGAGGAGCCCTGGCCAGCCAAGAGACGGTCGAATTCGCTGTTGCCCCATGCAAACGGGCCGTCGTTCTCCTCCTCTTCCCAGTCATCGTAGAAGTCAAAGTAGTGTTCTGCGCGGGCGCGGCCCCGTCCCCTTCGCCGGCGGAGCAGGCGATCCTCGCGAGAGCCAAAGCAGGGAGCGGCGCATGCCTCGAAGCACTGGCTTACCGACGCGACGCAAGGGTTGATGTAGTTGTGCGAAAAGGCGTAGATGCCTTCCTGGGCAGCCTCGTTTGCGGACTCGATGTTGTGAGAAAGCTCGTCCAGCGTGCGCCGAAGGCGCGGGTCGTTGCGATTCCGATACATGGTGAGGGAGCTGGTGAGGAGAGGCCGGCGGTAGGACGAGGGTGTTGGGCCGAGACAAGTGGGTCAGCGAGGCCGCATGGGCGAGGCAGCAACGGCGGCCTCAGGTCGCGCGATGGCTGCGCGATGGCTGCGCGATGGGGGCAGCAGGCGGCAGCGAGCAGGCGCAGAGCAGCACCGCGTCAAAAGGCGGTCGACATGCGCACGGCTGCGCGGCAGCAGGTACGAGAGGCGGGCGGGCGGGTTAGGGTTGGGCACGACGTCAACGTCAGACAGACGAGCTTGGGCCGGGGCGGAGACGGGAGGAAGCAGCGGGGTGGAACAATGTTTGGCCAGCGCGGCACCAGCGCCCGGGCGGCACCAGCACCGGGCAGCACCGGCGCACGCAGCGTCGCGGGGCGCAGGGCGGCTGCGGCCAGCCTGACCGCATTATTATCCTCTGCCACATGCGGCCACACCGCAGGACAACAAAGCACTGCCGCTGTCCTAGGGCTGGCCCCGGGGACGCCACCAATGGCCGCGTCTCAGCAGACCAGACGCGCCATTGACGGTAGGCCGCCGTCGGCTTGCCGTACGGTGGGCGGGCGGCCACGATGTGCTGCCCGTTTAGGGCCGGGGGCCGCCCATGCACTATTCAGCCCGGCTCTAGCTGCACTAGAATCGAGATAAAGCGAGGCCTGGACCGCGATCTGTCTGTCGTCCCCATCACCACCTGCTGCGGCACTGGGTTTTTCGGCGCCACCAGCCAGGCCAGCTGCCGCGTCGCTCGGTAGTGTTGTTTCGCCCAGCCTTTCATAACTCCAGCGCTCCCCCGCCTGCTCACGCCATGCAGCGCCCGCCCGCCCAGCCGCCATCATGAGGTACATTCGGTTTTTGAAAGTGCCCAAGACCGACGGCAACACCATCAGCGCGCTGGTCACCGTCACCTCGGATCTCGGCGAGGACTTCCTGGCCTCGGACATCCTGCTCGCGGCGACCATTCGCTCGCCCGAGTACAATGGCGACATCTTCCTGCGCAAGAGCCTCAAGTGGACCGCCGGCATGCGCGCCCTCGCCGTGAGCTTCGACGTCCAGCATTGCGACCTGGACTGGCCCGTTGTCATGCACATTGGCCCCAAGAGCAACCAGATCTCCGATCGCTTCGAGAGGCAGGACAACCACCCCGAGCTGCCCTCGCTTATTTCCGCGTGGAGCTCCATCCTCGACGCCCCGGCCGGCATCAGGGAAGCGGAGAAAAAGGTGGAACGCCGCTTCACGCCGCTGAGCAACCGCACGCTGAGCATCTGGGAGGAGACCGGCGACAGCATTGCGCGCCACGTCTGGTTTGTCCCCCTGCGTCGGGCTTGCATTGATGCCTCTGTTCCCATGCTGACGTGTTCAGGGACGCGGGTGTGGGCATGGCCGCTTTTTTTGACAAAACGATCGCCATGCAGTACGACAGTCTGCCGCTTCTAGACTCAACCCTCAGCTCTGCCACCTACAAGAAGCTGCACGTGATCGAACTGGGCACTGGATGCGGCATTGTTGGCATCAGCCTGGCGCAGATTGTTCCGGACTGTGAGGTCACGCTCACCGACCTGCCAGAAGCACGGGAGATTGCCGAGAAAAACATCGACGTGATGAACCCGGCCATGTCGTCCAGTGCCACTTTCGTGCCACTGGATTGGGACGAACCCCTGCCGCAAGTTGTGCGCGAGCGACAGTACGACATGGTCATCGTTTCAGACTGCACATACAATCCGGACAGCAGCCCAGCCCTGGTAGACACGCTCAAGGCTCTCGCAGCGAGGTCCCCAAAGGCCATCGTAGTGTTGGCAATGAAGGTTCGCCACGAGAGCGAGGCGATTTTCTTTGAGCTCATGAAGAAGGGCGGCTTTGTCGAGGCCGTCAAAACCCGCCAGCCTTTGCCTCAGGACCACTCGGATTACAGCAATTCTGGTCACGTCGACATCTACATCTTCCACTCTGCGTTTCGGCCCCGCTCTCCAAGGGACTCTCCCAGGGACACGTACGGTGCCGTCCGCCGCGCCTCAGGTTCTCCGTAGAAAGCGTCAAGCACCCATGCCATGCTCATGGAGACGATGCCTAAACACCTGGCGCGGCATCGGCCGTACACCACAAAGGCACCCATCTGGATGTTGCAAGCTCACCTCCCGGTGTGCTCTTGCCCGCGCATGAAACCTTTTGACTCCCAACGGAGCATCCGGCTTCGCTTTTAGGCCAAGATCCAGGATGCCACAGCATCAAGTTAGGCAAGCTTGGGTGACATAATAGTCATCGCCAGCCGCCTCTGACAGGGCCGCGACCGGGACGGCGGCAGTCGGCCGTCCGGGCGTGGCGCCCAACCAATGTGTCTGACTCAAGACACGGGCTGCACAGCCTCTGACGAGGCAGTGGAAGGAAGCGTGTTTGTAATTGCAGGGTCTATGTGCTCACAAGGATCTGACTATGCAGAGGCGGAGGGCGGATAAGGGGGCATTCGTTCTCAATGGCACTTCTGTGGCTTCGCATCCGTGGACTTGGGTTTGAGCGTGAACGGAAACGCGTGTTCGCTGTGAGCTTGAGTGCACGAGATGCCGGTTGCATTCGCTCCAGGGGTGGCGAAAATGTACAGTGTACGGTTTCCGATCGATGCCTTGGGCGGCGACAGCCCTACGGCGTGGTCGATGCCCGCACCCGTGCCAAAGCGGCAATACCGGGCAGCGCGCCGGCGCGGCATCATTGGCAGGCGGGTGGGCGTGTGCTTACACCGTAATGATGGAGCATGCAAAGCTGGGAACTGGGATGCGGTATTTTCGTTAGCGCGGCAGGTTCTGGGCTGGGGAAGCGCTCGCCTGTCGTCACCAGCCGGCTCAGGCACGCGGGCGCAAGCTCCAGGCGCACCCGACTCAAAATTCACCACGCCCCTCGATCGCGACCCTCTTCCTCCCGTCGCTCCCCTCACCATCTTCACTCACACATCCATCCCCCCGGCATTCGCGTCGCTGCTCTCGCCGGCTTCAATTGCATCCGCGATTTGCCTGCCTTCCAGCCTCGTCGGAGTGACTCACTGCGGTACGTAACCGCAACTCGCGCTGCCTGCGCCCGGTGTCCTTTTTGCAGGCTCCGACCCGCCACTTCGCTCGACCGCTCACCGCGGCGCTGCGCTGCGCTAATGCTGACGCCTCATCCACAGACGTCCTGGAATCCCATTAGCATCGACTGCCTTTGGTCGCATCAAAGGCACCGCCACCAAGACGGCCCCAACGGCCTCCGCAGCAGTAGCTCTTCAAGTTGCCGTGCGCCCCAAGAACATCGACACCCTCAACAACTTGCCTCCACCTCCTGCTGAAGTTGCCTGCTGAACTTGAGTGTTTGATTTTTCCCCCAAATCAAACCTCACCCCCGGACCCTCCGCACACCCAGCTGCCGCATAGGACGCTCTCTGTGGTTCTTCCTCTCCACGAGGAAGAGTCGAGGAGGCCTCGCCTGTCTACACTCAGCCTCGGATTCGAGCCGTTCCGACCCCCTTAACAGGACTTTCCTCACGTTCGCACAATCAAACACTTTCTCCAGGAACGAACAGCCCTGGTTATGGCACCTTCTGCTATCACCACTACCGAGCAGTACGCACCGTTGTCGATCAAGACATTCACACCGGTGCAATACAGCCCTGTTGCTGCCGAGAACAATCATGGCGCCGAATATGCCAAGCAACTAATTGGTGAAGCGTTCAAGAAACGTGTCGACACTATCGATCACGATTCCTGTGAGGCGGGCGAAGAAGATGCTTTCTTCGTGGCTGATATGGGCGAGGTCTACCGCCAGCACCTCCGTTGGAAGATGAACCTCAAGAGGGTCAAGCCGCATTATGGTAAGCGCTCCTCGCGAGCCGCGCTGGTACCGACTTTGCTGACTTCTTGAAGCTGTCAAGTGCAACCCTGACCCTCAAGTTCTTCGCCTGTTGGCAGAGTTGGGCACTGGTTTCGACTGTGCCTCCAAGTCTGAGATTGAGCAGGTCCTGAAGATGGGCATCGACCCATCGCGTATCATCTACGCGCAGCCCTGCAAGACCAACTCGTACGTGCGTTATGCTGCCCAGCAGAACGTCAAGCAGATGACGTTCGACAACGCCGACGAGTTGTACAAGACGAAGAAGCTCTTCCCTGATGCTGAGCTGTACCTACGCATTCTCACCGATGACTCGGCCAGTCTGTGCCGCCTCAGCCTGAAGTTCGGCGCACCCATGGACACTACCAAAGATCTGCTTGAGCTTGCCAAGAAACTGGATCTCAATGTGGTTGGCGTTGCCTTCCACGTAGGCTCCGGCGCGTCCGACCCTCAGGCCTTTATCAAGGCTGTTGAGGACGCTCGCACTGTCTTCGATTCAGCCGAAGAGCTTGGCTTCAACATGCACACCCTGGATGTCGGTGGCGGTTTCTCTGGCGAGACCTTCGAGGAGATGGCCGCAGTCCTATCCGATGCGCTTGACACTCACTTTCCGCCGCACATCCGCGTCATCGGAGAGCCCGGCCGTTACTACGTCTCCTCGGCTTTCAACATTGCGTGCAACGTCATTGCGCGCCGCACCGTGCGTGACGAGCAGTTGGACACTACGTCCTACATGCTATACCTGAATGACGGCGTTTACGGCAACTTTTCTAGCATCATCTTCGACCATCAGCACCCGGTGCCGCGTATCCTCAGGCTGGGTGACCGCTTCTTGCACGACCAAGAGGCCTGCGAATTTGACATGGACGGCCGCCGCCCGACTGATTACTCCATCTGGGGCCCGACTTGCGATGGCATCGATTGTATTGCGGAGAAGGCGTCGTTTGCCGAGGAGATCGACGTCGGCGACTGGCTCTATTTTGAGGAGATGGGCGCTTACACGAAGTGCTCCGCCACTCGCTTCAACGGCTTCAGCGACAAACACGAGACGGTCTACGTCTCTAGCGAACCTGGTGCCAGTGCCCTTTTGGGCATGTAATCGTGGACTTTTCCTGTTTGGAAAAAGAAAAAGCATTGGAACCTTGGAATGGTGGAAATATAGACGGAGGAATGCTTGTATCGTCTCGGTTTTTGTTCTTTGCCCGTTCAAGAATCGCTGGCATTATCGCCCTTTACCTGTCCCTACTACGAGAACATAATTCTTGGGCTTGTTTATTCGTCGGATTTGAAAAAAAATGTATAGAGTTGGATGTATTCTTTCAAAAAAAAAAATTCACCGAGTCCTGAAATAGTCGTCATGCCACGGTCAATGGGTGGTTGCTTACATCGCTCTTTTCGATCCTCAATTTTTGAAGCTCAGGTAGCGTTGATTGTTGCCTTCATCCCGGTTGCTGTTTTCACAGTATTGACATTGCTGCACTACACAACGAACCAACTTCAGAGTCGTTCTCTTCATACACTCATCGCTCCTATGCAAACGCAATGCTATGCTGTGAAAGTCTCACGCGCTTGTGCATATCATCTAGGCATGCCTTCCACTCTCAGGTCTACTATCCAGCCCGGTAGCCTTCGACTACGCAGGCACTACCTTCATTCGTCTCAACCCCGAGGGTCCCAAGGCGCAATAATCATTAACTTCCATAAACCTTCCTTTTGTGAAACCGCATGGGACCCTCCCCTCTCTGCTGTCAGCCTGTGTGCGGATATTGTCTTCCTCAACTCATCATGACAACAGCAACATGCAAGAACCCATCCGCATACGCCGCCGCCTTCAGAAGCTCCTCGACCGGCGCGCTCAGCGGCACCACCGCGCCGTGCAGGACCGGCTGCGCCAGCAGCGGACTGCGCCGGCTGGGGAAAAGGCTGGGAATGATGCCGTTCAACGCCGTGCCCATCGTCTGCGGCTGCCCTCGCGGCGAAGCGCCGCTACCACCAGAACCGCCGCCGCCGCCGCCGCCGCCGCCGCTGCTCAGCGTGGGCGATACGAGCGCTTGGACGACGCGGAGGGAGGCTATGGGGGAAGGCGCGCCCGCGGCGGGCGACTCCGCGGTTGTCGCCGTTGCTGCAGCAGCGGCGTCGCCGCCTCCCTCGGTAGCCAGCGTTGGCGTCGCTACCGCTACGTCTTCGCTAGCTCCCCCTCCGTTCCCCCCACCGCCGCCGCCGCTAGCGGCCGTCGGCGCGCCAGGCAAGTACAGCTTCATCGGCACGTTCCGCAGCGGGCCCGCGCCGGGCGGGCTCACGAGCAGCTTGCTGTGGACGGCGTCCCACGCGGCGAGGTCGTTGCGGCCGACGGCGTCCCACAGGCGGTCCGACGCTTCCTTTGAGAGGGACATGGCGGCTTTGGCGGAGCCGTTGCGCAAGAAGTCGGCCTCCTTGACGGCGTTGACGAAGGCGTCGTGGTGGGCTTTGTAGGCTGGGTCGAGGGGGACGAGGGTGGGTGGGGCGGGCGTGGCGAAGTGGACGATTAGGCGCCAGGGGAGGGGGGTGCTGTCGGGGGTTGTTGTTGCTGCTGCTGCGGAGGTTGGGGAAGGTGGGGACGGCGGTGGGGATGGGGAGTGATGGAGGGAGTCAGGGGTGTAGGGCTCGAGGCCGGAGTAAAGGTCGTAGAGGAGGCCGAGTGGGTGGTGCCATTTCAGCGGTACGTCGGAGCAGGAGAGCCAGCCTTTGCTGGGGTGCACGTCCGGGTTGATGAGGGAGGGCGCGAAGAAGGCGTGCAGGCGGGGCAGGAGGAAAGGGATGTAAGAGAGTCGCGGGACTTGGATCTGGTAGGGGACCAGTCAGGTCGAGCTTCTGCAGCCAAGCGTTGAGGACGTGGAGGCGGCATACCAAATATGGGTCTGAGTCGTCGTAGGTGCGGCACTCGGTGCTGGCAAGCCGTATCTCAAGCGGAATTGAGCCGGTCCAGATCTGCTTCTGCAAAGTGCTGAGGTCGCGCTGACTGGCCATCGCGGCGGCTGGCGCCGGAGGCTGAGGGGCGGGCAGGACGTTGGGGGAGTTTCTTGTTCTGAATGACGGTGGTGGGGTGGTGATGCGGCGGAATGCGGGAGGTCGTCGATCACTCTGCAGCCCGCATCGGCTGGCTGGGCGTTCTCACACGCACTATGGCTCGGTACATGGCTGGAGGGCGGAAAAATAATGCTGCAGGCGGCAGCACTTTGGAGGGCAAGCAGGCGGGACTCGGGCCGGCAAATGCAGTGGGGCCTGTCGACGACAAAATAATACTTCCGTTGCGCAAGAATGTATGTACCTGCAGGGAAGTGCATCAAGGCAGACTAAGAGGTAGTCTGGGCCTCGTCCGGCCCGTTCGCCTCATTGCCCGCACGACCACTCGCGTCGCCCCGATTTGCCCGTACAGCCGCTTTTTCTCTTCTGGCCGGGATGCTACCTACCCCAGACGCGCCAACTACTCCTCCCCGCTGACCTGCCACTACGCTTCCCCGCGGGGAAACCCAAAGCACCCTGCCCTTCCCTAGAGCGGGAACGCCCAATTGCAGAGAGATCTGCATAGACTGAAGGGACCCCCGAGATCAGATCATGCTTGCGCCAGTTGCTCCGCCGTACCCGTAAATCCACGTCTCGCCAGTGACTCCCTACGTCGTCCCTTCTCACCTCCGCAGCCTTCCGCTCCTCAGTCAGCTCAGTCGCCTCCGCCGCCGCAAAATCCAACTGGCCGTCTCTGCCATCATGGCCGCCGTCAGCCCCTTCACCCATCCTGGCCCTACAAACGCCTTCAACATGGCCGTGTCTGACCCACAGCCCGCCCCAACGACCCGCAAGCGCTCCCGTAGCATGATATTCGAGGAAGAGCAGAATTCTGAAGTCCAATGCGGCAGCAGAACGGACGGCGAGAGCGGCAACACCCCGCAGGACAGTCCTGGCACAGAAGGCCTGAAGCGCACACGGACGACAAGTGAGCTGGACGCGTTGGGTGTGATACCGGCCAGCGAGGCATGGCAGCTGCAGAGCGTAGCAACCGATCTGCTCACTAGCGCCGACGCCACAGCACCCAATGCCCTACGACACTACGTAGCCGGCCGCTCGCTGATCGTGCTCTGCGTGCTCGAGCACGTAGACATCCACTACCGACTACTCTGGTACGGTTGAGCCTGCACCACCTTCCGCATAAAACTAAACGGCCACCCCTCGTCCATCTCCAACACCAACATCACCACCCTTTCCCTTCTCCCCCCATCACAAGCCACATCACTCACTCACACACCCCACAGCGCCGCTCTCCCCGCCCTACACGCCCGCTTCCCAACCGTACAACCCCTCCTACTGACCCGCTCGCCTTCATACGCCCTCCCGCACCTCTCTCCCACCCCGCCGCCTTTCCCCACCCTCCCAGCGCAAGGCCACCCCCACAACCACTACCTCAAACTGGGCCTGCTGCACCCGCTCGGCGGCGGACAGGCCGCCATGGACGCCTTGGTCGTGCTCGACCCGCGCGGCCGCCGGCGGCTGGTGCTGCCGTTCGGGTGGGGCGCGGGCCGGCACGTCGGCGAGGCAGTGGGCGGGTGCGAGGTGCAGGAGAGGCTGATGGCGGTGTTGAGCGAGGCGTTGCGGGAGTTGGAGGGCGAGGAGGCGAGTTGATTATGGAGGGGAGCCGAGGAGATCAGCGACGATGAGATTTTGGGGGAGAGAAATATTGGAGTCTTGTTGGACTGCAGTGGAGCACAAGCGCGCTGCTTAAGAAAGCCCGCATGCCTCTGAGCATTTCTTGGTTCGTCCTTGTTGCCCGTATTTTTTATTTATTTTTTTTGTGAGCTGGACGGTTCACATTCACAAAATTTTCGGCTTGAGAGCGGATATACCACGACACGTTGGATCTGGGAGTTTGGGATTTCTTTCCATACGACACCAGGACCATGCTAATTTTATATATATGAAAAGAGATCGGGCCTTGTAACAGACAGGTTCCATTGGGCCTTGCTCGAACAAATCATCGTGTACTTCATGAGCCAAGTCCGGCGTTCTAATGGTTTAGAAACCTAATTAAAGATCATCTGCTTCTTTGTAAAATCCCTATAGATCTCCTCCAACGCCTCCCTCTTCCGTTTCCTCGTCTGCTCTTCATGCTCCGCCTCCTGCCTTTCTTCATCATCCGCCATGACATCCTCCTCAGTCCGCGGTGCCCAAGCCCTGATCGTCCCATCAGCATGCGCAGAATAGACCTCGACGTCATGCGCGCGCCACGCCAGCGCCGTCGTCCGGTTCTTCAGCTGCTTCTGATTCCCCGCCGCACCAACCGTGCCCGTCGCACAGTGCGGCGCCTTCAGCCGCCTGAGGAGGCGGCCGTCGAACAGCTCGTAGACCAAAATCTCGCGCTCGCTCGGGTAGAACAAGCACTCCTTGCCCGGCGCCGTCAGCGCGGGCGGTGACACCAACGGCAGCAACGCCGACAGATGCGCGTTCTTGACCGCCGGGCCAAAGCTGGCCAGCGTGTTGGCGCCCGTCGCCGTGTCCCACACGCGCACGCGCTCGTCGTGGCCCGCCGTCACGACGTGCCGGCCGTCCTCGGTCCAGACGACGCCGTTGACGGCGCCGCCGTGCGCGCGCCCTTGCTGCCGGTTGTTGCGCGCAGAGCTGCCGCCCAGCCCGTCCAGGCCGGCCACGCCGATCGAGTCTTCTTTGTCGAGCAGGCCGAGGCAGCCCGCGCTGCGCCGGATGTCCCAGAAGCGCACCGTGCCGTCGGCACCGCCGCTGGCCACGATGTGCTCTGTCGTGGGGCTCCAGGCGGTGGACAGGACGGCCCCGGCGTGGCCGGCAAGCGAGTGCGTTGCGGCTCCCGAACGGAGATCGACGAGGCGGACGGTAGGTTGCTGGGTGGCGCAGGCGACGAGGAGATGAGAGGCTATGGAGGACATGGAGTGCGAGTAGACGACATGGTTGAGGTCGAAGGATGCGGACAACTGGAGGGTCTCGGAAGAGTATATCTTGAGCGTGTGGTCGTAGGAAGAGCAGAGGAAAGCGAGGGAGTCGAACGGGTAGAAAGAGACATGTGTTACGCCAAAGCGGTGGGCTTTGGAGGTTCTATATTCGGGGTCAGTGCGAGACAACCTTCGGGACCGGTGGCGCAGTGGACGCACTTTGGCAACGTTCCAAGCGGGTACACGGTGTCGACTGAGCCCTCTTCGCGGGATTCGAGATCCCACATGCAGATGGAGGAGTCGGCACCGCCAGACAAAAGATATCGGCCCTCGAACTTGTCAATGGTCATGGCATTAACGCCAGCGGCATGTGCCTTGACCTCTTCTGGGAGCGCATCACCGTCGGCCTGAGCTGAGCCGTCAAAGCGGACAGGAGTGGACTGCAAAGCATGCAGCAGGCGTGTAGTCTCATGGCGCTGGAAAGCGGGGGGCGATATAACGCCCAGGGCGCGGTTCAGGAGGAGAGCATTCATGCATTGGCTGTGGATGCGATGATGGTTGGTACGGGCAGGCAGCAGACATCGCCGAGGATGCGAATGACGACACCGTCGCGGCAACGACTTCCTGACTCGCGCGCCAGAAAATGTTACAAACCCTCGGCCACTCAATGCATCTGATCCTGGGCAATCGCTTAAAACTTCTGTAACATCTTTTCGCCTTGCATTTGTTCGCTGCGGGCCACCCGCTTCCAAGCCCATCATGTTTAGAGGCAGGGTCAAGCCTCAGAGACGTCGGTCAAGCCCGCCGCCCGAAAAGCGCAGAAGGAGGCCCATTTCGGTCTACGACTGTGTTGCTGGTAAGCAGCCCTACACGCTGCAGAGCCTGCCGTCGCTCGACTCATGCTTTCTAGGACGCGTCAACGCCAACGGTTTCATCCCGGAACAAGCAGCCGTCTCCGCCGGGCGTATAACCTCATCCACCTCACGTGTCCCTATCCCTCCGGATGAGTCCCTCTTCAAACAGAGAGGCGCGCCCCGTCGCTACGAAGAAGACGACATCTATTTTGCTGACAGGCACCTGGCACCTCATCAGCGTCTACCGGAATCTGATCTACTTAAAGCAATCCATGCCCATTCCTCAGAGGCTTACGACCAAGCCTACGGCCGACAAGCCAGGAGACTCTACAGGTCGTTGGATGAGACCGCGCTTCTGGCGTTTGGAGTCCTCCTGGAGGAGGCAGCCGCTGACCTTCTCGACGAGACTTGTAATTTGAAGCTCGAGCAGCCCCCAGAGGATGTTGATGTAAAGGTTGAAGACGGAGGCTCCCACCCAGGTTCCAAGGGCAAGCGCAAAAGAGATCCAGGCCCCGACAATGAGACTGAAGACTCGGACAATGGAGCTTACCACGACGTCATGAGACACTGGCTGCAGTATGACCAGCAAACTGGCTCCGCTTATCCCAAGCATGTAGAAAATGAACCAAACGATCAACCACTTTCCTCTGCGGCGTCACACTACCGAAAAATGAGTGTCTGATCACGCCTCCCCAGCTCCACATGGCCGCTTGTTCAGAAAACAGCAGCCGCACCAGGGCACAAGCACAAGACGTTGGCGCTGCCGGTGTGTCAGGAATCCTCACCCGCTTTTCCGACTACCGAGTCACTGAAAGTACGGACTTCGTAGAGAGCGTCCAGGTTCGCCCACGGGCTGCACTCAGGACATTGACCATTGCAGTGATGACTGATAAATCGGCAGGTACCTGCATTTTCAGGCGATCACTCGAGGGACCAGATTTCTGGAATGCGGATAAATCGAGCGGATCTGCTCAATGAAGCCGCAGTCTGGAACTGACAGCCGCGTGCGAGGGACCTGAAGGACCCTTCCAGCCGGGCTGTAAGGATAACGGGGCCGATCGACAGGGCCAATAGGACTACTTGTTGCAGGTCTTCAAGTGACCTCTGGCGCGGGTGCGGAGAGACAGCAGGCCCAAAGCAGCGACGCTTCCATGTGGCATATCAGGCTATTTGCGTGTCATTTAGCCGCACACCCGCAATCCTTCCCCGGATCCATCCCCGTACCCCAGCTTTTACCCCACCATTCAGCTGCCACACTCTGGTCGCACCACCGTCTTTCGACCACATACTCTGTGCTCGCCGCGCATTTCCCACTCCGTAGCCAATGGGTATTTCGAGGCGGTTCTTAGTCCCTGACTTGTTCCTCCGTTTCACGTCCAGAACAACAGGCGCGTGAGAGCAGTCCCTGGGGCCAAGTATGACTGCTGCGAATGACAAGAGGCGCTCAAGGAAGTCAGGCAAGCCTGCATGTACTCCATGTCAGCATCGCTCTGTTAGCGCGGTTGCGATCTCCCCTCCCCCCTCAATTTAGGCAACTTTGTGTCGGTCACAGGAAGCGGTGAAAGCCACCGCGCGGCCATACGCATGCACCCAACATCCATTTTCAGTCCGACACTCCGTGCCGTGCCCTGGTAGCTCACGAGGTACGTGCGGTGTCGTTTCGTCAGGTGAATACTGCAACGGTGGATGGGGAGAGTTGGACTGTCCATGGACATCGATGCACAACGTGTATCTAAATGAAAGAACTCATGCAAGAGCCCTATACCTCGATGCTGTTGCAATATCAAGCGAACCGAGCTCGCCACATGGCTTGCTCAGCTCGGTCAGGCCTTAACCGAAGCCCCGGTCCGGGAGGCGTTCTGGGCGTTTCTTACCACTCCGCCCTCTTGGCCTCTCGTGAGAGATGGCTTGCCGCGCCGGCTAAATGCGATTAACGTCCATGCCCCTTCTTCGCCGCGCGAGGAAGTGCCGGATACTAAGGTTTGTATATATGGTTACGGACTTTCCTTCATGGGTGGGTGCGTTTTAGTGAGCACGTCCGGCCTCTCCATCCTTTGTTCCCCTCTCTCACGAGCGATACGCTCCACGGAGGCTCTCGTCCTTCCAGACACCTCGGAAATAGCAGCGCTGCTGCTCAATTCTCAATAAGGCCCCACGTTACGATTTCACGGTTACCCAGACATGGAGGCGGCAACAAAGGGCCACTTTCGCCTTGCGGGAAGGGAGTTTCCCGCTGTTACGTGGTGGAAGGAACCTAACATGCGGAAGACCTACATCTGCCTGATGTTCGTCATCCTTACTAGCGTGAGCATTGCTAACGAGCGAGAGCGTGAGCCGTCATAGAGATGAGCTAATATTTTCCTAGGCAACAAATGGTTTCGACGGTAGTATGGTCAACGGGCTCCTGGCTTTGAACCAGTTTAAAGATTGTAAGTTCTTGCTCGCGAGGATGGCATTCAACCGCATTCTTGCATATAGATGTGCTCTGCAGAATTTTGTCAGTCTGGCTAAGGCCTTGGCCTGATAAACCTGGCTTCACAGGGAAGACCTTGCGGCTAATACCTTGTTTCTAGATTTCAACAACCCCGAAGGTAAAATCGTCGGCCTCTTCAGTTCCATAATGTTTCTGGGTGGCTTGATCGCACTGCCTGTTGTCCCATACGCCGCCGACATACTTGGCCGTCGGATGGCTGTTTTCATTGGCTGCATTATCATGATCTTCGGGGTTGCTCTTCAGTCCGCCAGTGTCAACTTCCGCATGTTTGTCGCCGCCCGCTTCTTCATCGGATTCGGTGTTGCCATTGCCCATGGCGCTTCGCCGTTGCTGATCACTGAGCTGGTGCACCCCCAACACCGTGCTGCGTACACAACCATCTACAACACGACCTGGTATCTTGGGAGCATCATAGCTGCTTGGCTTACCTTCGGCACGAACCACATCCCAAACCACTGGTCGTGGCGCATCCCGTCCATGGTGCAAGCTGGGCCATCTATTCTTCAGCTCATCTTCGTCTGGATAGTTCCGGAGTCTCCAAGATGGCATATCAACAAGGGTCATGACGACAAGGCTCTGGCTACGCTTGCAAGGGTCCACGCTGAGGGCAACGGTAAGTTCCTCTTATTCTGGATTGACACATTACATGTAGATACTGAGTTTTCCCCGCCCCACAGAACATGACGAGGTCGTCCAGCTCGAATTTGAGGAGATCAAGCACACTCTATCGATCGAAAAGGAATTCGAGGGTAACGGTTGGTTTGAACTCGTCAGGACGAAGGGCAATCGTCGTCGTGTGCTCATTCTCGCCACGCTCGGTCTGTTCTCGCAATGGTCCGGCAATGGCCTGGTGTCGTACTACATGACCAAGGTGCTCGCCGGAATCGGCATCGAGGACAGCAACATGCAGCTCGTCATCAACGGCGTCCTGCAGATTGTCAACGCCATTGTCGCCATTTCGTTCTGTTTCTTCGTCGACAAAGTCGGCCGCCGCCGGCTCTTCCTCTGCTCCACCTTCGGCATGATGATCTGCTTCATCATCTGGTGCATCTGCTCCGCCCGCTTCGAAATCGGGGGAAGCACCAACCACATGATGGGAAACGCTGTCGTTGCGATGATTTTCCTGTACTATGTCTGCTACAACATGGCTTGGTCTGGCCTGCTGGTCGGCTACGCCGTCGAGATCCTGCCGTACAATATCCGCGCCAAGGGCATGTGCATCGTGTGGTTCACCGTCGACGCCGCACTCTTCATCAACACCTATGTCAACCCAGTCGCCCTTGATCATATCGGCTGGAAGTACTACATCGTCTACGTGAGTTTTAACCCATTTCCTCTAATGCCCCACTACGCTCCACCAAATAGCTACGGACTCAAGAGGTTGATTAACTGACTATTGTCGCATCGCATAGTGCATCTGGCTCGGCATCGAGTGCGCCGTCGTCTACTTCTTCTACATTGAGACGCGCAATACTCCTCTCGAGGAAATCGCCAAGCACTTCGACGGCGACGCCGCCATGGTCGGCGGTGCCGCGGCTACGGAGAAGGGCAGAGTGCTGGCGAGTGAGATGGCGTTGGATACCGAGGAGAAGGCGCCGGTCGTCGAGCATAAGGAAGTTTAGTGCGGAGAAGCGGTTGTATATCGTAACGGGATCCTCTTTTTCTTTGTGGGGAACGGGATGAGATGAAGGTCTTTTTACGTTTGGTGACTTGGTGGAGATGGACTATACCACTTGAACGAGGAATTCGATTTCGACCACACAGACAGACGGGGAAGTGAAAAACGCAACGCGTGTGAACAAAACCTTTTTTCCCTGCCCTGCACCATCCACCCGGCCTCGTTACCGCCACCGCCGACGGGGGGTCGAGCAGCCTAGAACACCGTTATCATCCCACGACAGGCCTCTCAAACACACTTTGCCTCCTTTCCCGCCGCATAATCGATCCCTCCTTTCCCGCCGCATTCATCTCGGCGTAGTAGGTGGGACCTCTGGCGGTGCGGTGAGTATCAAACAACGTCGACCGACTGATAAGGCAGACCCCGGGCCGGGGCGGGGGGACCCTCAAACCAGCACTGTGGAGACGACGGTTTCCCATCTCGTTCTTATCACACTCCTGTTAATTCGTTCCCATCTGGTTGGCGGGTGGGGTTTTTTCTTTTTTTTTTTTACGCTGTGGAGATACATGGGGAGTTTCAGATGTGAAGCAGCCCGCACCGCACCTTTCTGACAGTGCAGCTCGAGCTTAGGCCAAGGCTGATTTTCCTCCCCCGGCCGGCTCCAGCCACACCCACACCCAATATAGAGCGAATGGTATTTCCCAGCGATCCCGCTGCCGCTAAAAGCGGCGTGAGGAAAGGCGAATCGAGCTGTGAACCCCGGCCGATGCGAGTCATTTGCGTCTAACATCGATTTGGAAGGTCGTTGTAGCGACGGTCGCGGCTGGTTGATGCAGGCTGTGGCACAGGCGTTAAGCTTTGCCGTGCTCAGCCTCCAATGGAGCAAGTCTGTGTTGGGCATGCTGGACTACTGGCACGGTTGGCTTTGGATCCCTGTGGCTCAACGTAAGCTGGCGGTACCGGTGCCGGCTAGGTCGAAGTGGAAGAGAGGGACACTCGATGAGATTTTTGTCATGTGCCATGGTCGGTGAAATTCCATTGTGGGAACTTTGTTTGTGTATAGTTAGTCACTTGGTCACGACTGGCTGGGCAAAGCTTGGTCTGCACTTCACTCTGAACTGCAGGGTCAAGCGAGCAAGATAGACTGGATTCTTTAGGCCATGTAAGGCTACTCCATTCGCAACCAATCCAGAGCAAATAGCCTCCCAACCCGTATCCGGTCCAATAACGCCAGCCGGTGGCCTGTACATCCAGGTATGCTGCCTCTTAGCTGCTACACGGCAGAAAGCCCAACAAATCGTTGCGAACATGTATCATTACTGGTCCATGTCTTATTCCATGCCTTCAGGAATTGCTCGTGGGTCTTTTCTGATGGTGAGGTCAGTGAAGTTCTCCTGGTTCTCGATGACCAGCCCTTTCTCGTTGGCCAGATGTAATAAGCAAATGAAGCAATAGCTCGTAGAAATATCCGCCAGCTGCTTCTTGGGGTAGACTGTCTGCAGGTTATTGACAACGTCGGTGAACTTGAGCGACCCATCCTCAGCCATTTGCGCGGGCGGGGCGGGGGTTTTGCGTTGCAGGATGGACTGTGAGAACATGTTAACTACATAGCACTTCCTATTCGGGTGGGGTCTTGAGGTAGGGCTTACATCATCTAGGTTCTCCTCAGGATCCCCGATGCCGATGCCGCGCCACAACTCCTCCTTTAACCGTCGTACATCCACCTTCTTCGCCACACGCGCGTACTGGACGTACTCAGGCCGTAACCTTCGGCTCTGGGTAACGAGTTGTGTACCAAACGCGCCTTCCTGGTTGCCGTTGAGCACGCTGGCATCGCCGGGCTGCGCGCCTTGTGTGAACTCTGGTGGTGGTGAAAACATCTCGCGTGCATCGGCAAATATGTCGCTATCGTCAATTCCACCTACGGCTCCGAGCCCATCGTCTTGGAAGAAATCGGCATCATAGTCGGCTTGTGCGGGCACCTCTTCGTTCTCTGGGGACTTGCCACGGTGCTCCTCGTTACGTGCCCAGAAAACTTCGTCCATTTCACCCTCAGGCTCCTGCTGCTTTTGGTTTTCACCCCGGCCGTTGCTGAGGCCCGATTTAATGCGCATCCCTGCACCCAGGCGTGCCTTGGGCTTCAAGAAAAGGCGAAGTAGTTGGCGGGAGCTGAAATGCTTGTCGTCAGGCAGCAAATTTCGGCTCTTGGATTTCCACTGAGCCTTGGGTAACAGAATGGAGGATGATGTGGCTGCCGGCGTGAACAGCGCATCGGCTGTCGACTGCACCATGGGGGCAGAAAAATCGATCTGGAAGGGTTCTTTTTCTTTTCTCTTGGTCGGTGCAGGTTCGTTCGCCTTGTTGCTGTCCTTTATTCTCCTGATACGCCAATGTTCCGGGCCGGCCCAGTTCTTCGATAATGCTTTGTCGAAGTAGTTCAAGATGTTCTCCTGGTCTTGCTCGCGACCTGCTGTTAATGTGACGCCGTAATCCCCGTCAAAGCCTCCGTCTTCATCCATTCCCTCTTCGCCACCACGGCCCTCGCCATCCGGTCCCATGGTGTGCACGCGCATTTGAGTTTCCAAAGCTGCTTCCCTTGCCCAGACCTCACCGCCTTCACCAAACCCGGTTTCGGCAGGCAGGTCGAATGCGCCCAGGTCGTCGTCATCGTCGAACCCACCCGCAAGAAATCCACCGGCACCATCGTCTTTTTCATCGTCATCCTGAGCATCATTCCTCCAGTCATCAGGCGCTTTCAAAAATGGCAAATTCGTAGCATTTGGATCGCTTAGATCGAAATCCTTCAGCGAGGGGCAGATGTCTTGGCCGTCGAGGACTGACAGATCCGGAAAGAACTTGGCCGCTAGCCCCGCAATGTCGATATCCGCATGGTTCGATTCCGGCTCCGGCTTAGTCTCTTCGCCGCCATCAACGTCCATCGCATCTCCGTCTTGTTCCTGTTCTTGTGCTTGGTCGTCCTCCTCGGCTCCCGGCTGTGCAGGCTCGATGTCGTCGCTGCTGTCGAAGACAATTCGACCAGTGGCATCAATGGCCAGGTGGTTTAGCAACAGACCCTTTGCACCGCCCTCGTCGAAATCTGCGGAGGCTTTTTTGAACAACGGGTCCACCGACAGCTCCATGTCCATCTTTTTCAACTGCAGTTGTGCGAACGAGGATGCCAAGGTCGACTCAGCGGACCGCTGGGCGCGCTTGCGGGCCTTCTTCCTCTGGCCATCCTCGCCCTCTTCTTCGTCGTCGTCGGCATCTCCATCTGCGTCGTCTCCCTTGCGCCTCTTGTTATCGTTGCTGGTAGCCAGACCGCTAAGCAGCTTTCCGGTCTCGGTAGCGACGCTGTCGATTCTGCTCGTGTAGATCTTGACGCAGCCGTCGAGAGTGCAACTGGCACGCTGGAAATTGACGCTGTCGCCCTCTTTCAAGAGCGACATGTCATGGAAGTAGTCGATGAGGGCAAAATTCCAGGAGTTGTTTGCATTGATTTTCTGCCATTACAGTCAGACCTCCGGCGCGGCCTGAGGCGGAGAAGCACTCACGTTATCGGTGGCCATCTTCATCCACTCCTCGAAATTGGCCAGGATCGGCACGCGCTTCATGGGGGTGACGGCGTCACCGCCGACGAGGAAGCTGTCGTCATTCTCGCCGGCAGTGTACTGGCTCTGGCCGGTGAGGGTCTGGCGGCGGCGCACGGGGGTGGCGGCGGCGCGGATCTGGTTCATCTGGGTCTCATGAAGGGCCTGGCGCGACTGGAGGCGCTTGGCCTTCTCCTGCTTGTCGTCATTGAGCGGGACCCTGCAAGGCAGATTAGCAGAGCGCCTTGCGGAGGAGCAGCAGCGGGGCCGGACTTGATGGGCGTGTGCTTGTGGGGCGTCGCGGCGGACGAGTAGCGGTCGCGGGCGCGCGGCATGGCGGGCAGCTGGGGCCGGAGGGGGGCCGGAGGGGGGCGCGGATCAGGAGCGCGGAGGGGCGGCGACCATGGAATCTGGCGATGCTGGCGGTGCTGGCGGTGCTGGCGGTGCGGGCGTGGGCGTCGCGCGGTGGTTTGTTTATCGACAACGAATGTCGGCAGCGCGAGGCCCGAGCGCCACAGTGCCGCCCTAACGCCGTGACGCGCCCCGGCTAACGCGCAGCACCGCCGCAGCTGCCCTGTGCGTGCGCGGCCGGTACCAGTCAGTGCTGTGGCGGGCGCGGGCGCGTCATTGGTGGCACGCGCAGCGCCGCTCCAGATTCCATGGCCCTCTGCGCTGCGCTTTAAGACCAACTCACTCTCCTGCACCCGCCGCCTCTCTGCTGGAGTCCAGATGCCCGCCGCTTCCCCCGCCGCTCCCCTCCACGCGCCCGCCTGTCGCCATGGCAGATAACCGCTCCTCCGCGCTGCGCCGCTCCGCCCTGCCGCAGCCCGCACCTCTCCGGCACAGGCCCGCCTTCTCTGCCCGCCCATTCTTTATCACCGTCCTATTGGTCTGCGCTATCGCTGCCGCCAGCTTGGTCCTGCATGCCCCCGAACCCGCTGCCGTGCACGATGCCCCGGGCCTGCTGCGTCGCGGCGTTTCCACCGAGGACCAAGAGGTGAGCAGACTCCCGCTCCTCACCCGACTCCAGCGCTGACTGTGTACCCAGTGTCGCCTAGTGTACCATGCGCCCGACAAGTGCGCCTTCGTACGCGCCAATTGCTCGGACGAGGAGGCTGGAATTTTCTCGTACCTGCAGCTGTACTACTGCCGCCTGTCCCACGCAAAGCCCGTCGGCTTCGCCATCCTGGTCGCATGGCTCGCCCTGCTCTTCTCCACCATCGGCATCGCCGCCAGTGACTTTTTCTGCGTCAACCTCAGCACCATATCGAGCCTCCTCGGCATGAGCGAGAGCATGGCCGGCGTCACCTTCCTGGCCTTTGGTAACGGTAGTCCCGACGTCTTCTCCACTTTTGCCGCCATGAAAACAAACAGTGGAAGCCTAGCTGTAGGCGAGTTGATGGGTGCCGCTGGCTTCATCACAGCTGTCGTCGCTGGCTCAATGGCTATCGTCCGGCCCTTCAAGGTCGACCGCCGGAGCTTCGTCCGCGATGTCTTCTTCTTCATCGTGGCCGCCGCCTTCAGCATGGTATTCCTAATCGACGGGAAGCTCTCCTTGTGGGAATGCGCTACCATGGTGGGCTTCTACATCGCCTATGTCATATTTGTAATATGGTGGCATTGGTGGCATGGCCGACGCCAGCGAAGGAGATTCGTCGAAGCCACGGCAAGAGGCCAATACGTCACCCCCGGCGGGGAGGAGGCCGAGGTCTTCGAGCCGTATCGCGACGATGAAGATGCCAGCTTGGACGACCGGCCTCAACGCCACTCCCGCAACACATCCTTTGACGACTTGCGCATGCTGGAACAGGGCAACGAATACGACGATGAACCGGGCTTCGAGAATGCCGACGAGGAAGTGCGTGAGAGATGGCTTGGAGAGCTCAATCGAAACATGCGCTTGAGTCGACCACGACTCGGAGAGCGTCGTCTCACCAGACCCCCGCCTATTCGTCCCAGCTTGGTCGGCGCGCTAGAGTTTCGCGCGGTGCTTACCTCCCTGAAAAGGTCCAGGAACATCCAGTCCATGCCCATCAACTTGCGACGCTATTCAGACGACCCGACATTCACGACCGCACAACAACAGGACTACCTGTCTTCTGTTTCCGACCCTGCTGCGAGACCGCCGTACGAAGTGGAGCCTGAGGGACATGAGGGCACGTCTCCAATAGTCATCCGACCGAACCAGGACGTGCGTGCTGCAGTCGGACCTCGCATTCGAGCCGTATCAGTAAACGATGCCGATACGTTAAAGCTAGACCAAGGCGCTTGGAAGCGACATCTCCAGCAGCAGCAAGACCTCTTGGGCCCATTGGAAGAGGACAACAATAGTCTCAAGGTCCCGCCCAACAATTCCAGGAGGACGTCTGACGCTTCGAGTCGAGTCACTCGCTCCCCCGCAATTGAGTTTTCTCCTTCCTCTTTCCAAGACGCCCCGCCGGTCCCCCATCATCGCAGATCCCTCTCTCCAGACCACCTTGCTCCTCCAGATCAAGTTTTGGCGCCTATTCCGCAATCCGGTCCTCGGGTATCAGGTACATCATCGACGGCTGTGAGCCCAAAGCATCTCCCCAAGTTGAATATCCCGAAAACTGGTCCAGCAAACTCAGATATCTCACCATTCCCTGCATATCGAGACTATTCTTGGTCAATTCAAAGCGGCTCTCGGCCTGGTAGTATACGCCTGGTATCTCCAAGCGCATCACCAGTGTCCTTGTTTCCCAACGAGCACTTTCCTGAGATCGAGGAAGAAGAGGAGAAGCCCCCAGCATGGTGGCCAAGCAAATTCTTGCCTACCCCACAGAGAATCACGTCGAAGCTATTCCCTACGTTGTGCAAGTTCAGCGAGAAAAACATCTGGGGGAAGTTACTTGGAATCGTCGCGGCACCAAGTGTTTTCCTACTCACAATTACCCTTCCTGTGGTTGAGGCTGACACGGAGAATGAGGACACTATGGCTGAGTTGAATCTCCCAAGCCCAGTGGTCAGGACGCCTCACAGTGGCCGTCCCTCCGCTCCGAGCACGATCACGGTCATTGGCCCCGATGATGATCCTCCTGCTCAGGACGGCCATACCCGTACAGACTCGTCGGACACTCACGGACTCTCTGGCCATGGCAACACGGCTGCAGTTGCTGCAGCCCATGAGACTCAACATAGAGTTGCTTACCACGATCGCTCCCCGATGGTGATCATATCGCCTTCTGTGGGACCTATGCATCACTCTCCAGAACAGCTTCCGCAGCGCCCGGGGACAGCCAGCTCTGCTTCCGGACCCAAGCAATGGGATCGCTGGCTTGTCATACTGCAGGCATTCACGGCACCATTATTTGTCGTTGTGGTCATGTGGGCAAATGTTGACCTAGGCGACCCCCGAGCCCTCATCCGGCCCGTTCTCATCAGCCTTGCCTGCAGTCTCGGTGCTCTCTTCCTCCTTCTGTCCACCACTACTCCCGATCGGGCCCCGAAATGGCGCGTGATGCTCTCTTTCGCCGGCTTCGTTGTCGCCATCGCTTGGATCAGCACAATCGCCAACGAGGTCGTCGGCGTCCTCAAAGCCCTCGGCGCCATTCTCAACATCAGCGACGCCATCCTCGGCCTTACTATCTTCGCCGTCGGAAACTCGCTCGGAGACCTCGTCGCCGATATCACGGTCGCCCGCCTAGGCTTCCCCGTCATGGCTCTCTCGGCATGCTTCGGCGGGCCTATGTTGAATATCCTGCTCGGTATCGGCTTGGGCGGCTGCTACATGACAATCAAGCACGCCGAGAGCAAGCACGATAAGCATCCAGATCGCCCCATCCACTTCAAACCATACCACCTAGACATTAGTAGTTCGCTCATCGTGAGCGGTGCGACGCTGCTGGTCACGCTTCTCGGCTTGTTGGTTATGGTGCCGTTGAGAAAATGGCGCATGGATCGCGTCGTGGGGTGCACTTTGGTGACTGTTTGGGTGGTGAGCACGATCGGGAACGTGGCAGCAGAGCTCCTTGGGTGGGGAGACGATGATATTAACTGAAGTTGAATGTCTTGTTGGATGACGATGACGCTAGTCGCAGCTGTCGGCCACAAGGGTTCATCTATTGCTATAAATACGTTGGTGCGCGTGTCGAGCTTAGCCTGGGGCTAGACGACGGACATGACGGAGCGATGGGCAAGGAGGAGTGTCATTACTTTTTAATTCTTCTCTGTATCAGTCGCCATTCATGGTCGGTACTGTTTGCCTGCATTTTACATACCGCTTGGTGGTCTTTCGTTTGCCCCTTTGCCAAGCTTGACATTGCTGTTCTATTTCTAAAGTCTGATATCCCCCTTTTGTATCTACCTTTCGTTCTATCTTTTACCTTTGACAAAGCAACCAAAGCAAGCGGCGGTTCATCATCTGCTTCTTCCTCTTCTTCCTACCAATGTTCAACGGCCAAATACCCAGAAGTTTCATGCACGTGGAACGCGTTGAAAGACGAAAGCATATACTTCTCGCACTACTCCCTCACTGCTCCCGATCTCTAAACGTTTCCACCCCCTTTTTTTTTTTTGCTTCTTACTGCTTTTTACATCATTGGTTTGCTGAGGTGTTTGGAGCTTTAAAGGTGTTGGGATACGGGAAATACCGTCGTGTGATCTAAGGCAACAAATTGTATATAGGAGTTGGCAGACACTTTGTATGCTGGGGACAATACATACTTCCCGAAAAGAAGGGAGGAGAGACAGGAACCACCCTGTGGCCTTGATAGTGAGAATGCAAAAGCAGTATGTATCAGACACTGAAGCGCGTAGGTTACCTACTACATAGCCATACCCACGATATTACCACAGCACAATCTCTCCTGTCCGACACGAGCGCATGCCATCAGTCGTTCCTCTCGCCAGCATGGTTCAGCAGCACTCGTCCCAAACACCAACCCGAGCTTTGTCACAGACACAAACAACAGTAGAAAAACCCAGTCGTCTATGCATATCCTGTATTCCTGAAATCCCTCATAATGCCATTTTTGTTTTTTTCAGAAAGTTCCACAACGTCCGCTCAGTCTAAGTGGTGGCGCGTACATGACATGATCCGCATCAGCTTTACTGCGATCGTCCAACACCCCGCTTTTTGTTCATTCTCTACTACGATATCGCATCGTCGCCATCTACGAAACGACCTCCTCACTCTCCTCGATGATCTCCTCGACAACCTCCTCGATGACCTCTCCGCCCTCGGCCTCGGCGGCGCCGTCGCGGTCGGCGATGCTCGGGATCTCGATGCCCTCGTCCTCGAGCTGCTCCTCGACGCGCTCGCGCCACGCCAGCCACTCCTCGAGCTGGCGGCGGCGCTTCTCGACCACGGCGCGGTTGGCCGTGTTCTTCTTCTCGAAGTCCTGCTCCTCGAAGATGCGGCTGTACTCGCGCAGGTTCTTGCGGATCTTCTTCTGCTCCTCCTTGCTGAGCAGCGTCGCCGGCCGCGGCCTCCACACGAACTGCTTGAACCGCTCGACTTGGTCTTCGCGCAGCAGCTGGCCCTTGAAGTCCCAGATCTTGTAGCCGTTTTCCATCTGGTGGCGAGACTGTTAGTATAATCACTGGGCGCCTTTCTCTTCCAGGTCGGAGTTGCTCGGTCACTTACAGGATGCATGAACGCAGACGACACGGTTGCGACGAAGCGACCAGAGGGGTCCCATTCGACACTGGTGATTCCGTAGTGCTCGCCGGAAGCCATGAGCTGCAGGTTAGCGTTGAGGTCCTTGGTGGCCTCATCTGTAGTAACGCCTTCGTAATCCAGGTCCCAGAAGTCAAGATCGAAGGTGGCCTGGGATCCAAGAGTGGCGACGAGACAGAAGCGGCCCTTTGGTGACCAGTAAATGCCGTTGCTAGACTTCTTGTCAAGGGTGCGGACGTGCTTGAAGTTACCGACAGTGTTGCCCTTCGTCTTCTCGGGGGCGAAGAAAGCAACGGCCGTCTTCGGTGCCGAGGGGCCAGTGGGGAGCTCTCCAGTGGTGATAAGACAGAAGCGGTTGCCCTTGGGTTCCCAGGCGAAGTTGATGACAGTCTCCTTTACGGAATCAATGACTTCAACAGGAACGCCCTTCTCCTTGATGCGGAAAATCTCGAGGTTCGTGGTCATGGACTTTCTCGACTTGGTCTTCTGGATATCAACCTTGACGCAAACGTAGGCAGCATCCGACTGCCAGTGGAGCTTCGCGTCCGAGACGTTGAACAGGTTCCGCGTCCGCACAATTTCCTTGGAGGGGATGCTCATGAGACCGACCTTGGCAGGAGCGCTGCCGAGCTCGGGGGTCCAGTAGCAGAGAAGTTGCTCGTATCCCCTGACGCCTTCACGCTGAGGAGTGGCCGGGGCCCATTCGAAGTCCATGACGCCATCAATCTTAATCGAGGTCTTGTCGAGCATGTTCATCCTGGGGAGTTCGTAGATGGCAATGGACTGGCCCTGAGTCATACGCGCAACGTACTTGTCATCAGCAGACCACTTGAACGTGGGCCATTGGAGCTTCTTCTTGACAGGCTGGCCGTCCTCGTCGACCGAGGGAGGGAGGTCGATGGTAACGAAGGAGCGGATCGGCTTGCTAGTGGCGATATCCCAGATGATGTAGTTCTTTCCATCCTCGTCGACGGACAGGTTAGGGATGGGACGAGACTCGTCGACCTGCAGTGGCTGAGGCGACCAGGTGACGAGGTACCTCTCACCGGGAGAGAAGTTGACCAGCTTCACGCCCGGGTGGGCGAAACGCTTCTGTCTGCTCCACGACTTACCACCCCACAGCTGGACACCCTGGTCGTGGACGGACATGAGGAAGGTGCCGAGCGGCGACCACTCGACGAAGAGCTCGGTCCAGTGCTCGCGGTCCACGACGGGGTCCGGAGCGTCCTCCTTCTCGTGCCAGAAAACGCCAACCTTCTTGTCGCGGTACATGGCAATCTGGTCGCGCGGGTCGGACAGCCATGAGCGCAGGTGCTCCTTCTCTTGGAAAGGCTCGATGTGTGGCTCCTTGTACTCCTCTTCGATGCGGCCCTCGCGGCCGAAGCGCTCGATGTCGGTCAATTTGTTGACCTGCAGGGTGTGCTTCTTGTCGAGGGGTTGGCCGTGCAGGGCCTTGACGGCGGCGATGGCCTCGCTGGGGGCGCCGAACTCGACGAAGGCGTATCTGGGCAGAGTTAGTAGTGCGGGCGGGGTGGCGGGGCGCGCGGCAGGGAAGCGAACCCCTCGGACATGCCCTCATCGTTTGTGGGCATGAAGACGCTCTCCTCCGAGGCGCGTCCGACCGTCTTCAGCTTGCGCAGCAGGAACTTGATGAGCTTTTCGCGGCTGGCCTCGGGCACGACGGGCAGGCCGTCAATGACGACAAACGCGTCCAAGCCCTCCTCCAGGCGCACCTCATACTGGGCCGTCAGGTCGGAGAAGTCGATCTCATTCTCGTCGAAGTCGTCGTCGACGGGCAGATTGTCGTAGCTGGGCGCCATGGCTGTGGATGCGGTTGCTGGGCTTCTTGTGGGGTCGCGAAACTGAAGCTCGCGTCGCTAGATTTCACCAAAGTGTGTCGTTGCGGGCCCGGCGTTCTGCCGAGCGCCCTTGCCGCATCCGGCAGGCACGCGGATTGAAGACATGACTTCGGCACCTCTGCAGACATTCCGCCCGGTCGTATGCAACATCTCCATGGCGAACCAGGCAGGCTTGGATTTACTGCAAGCTGGTGAGGACTGAATGCACTTGCTGAGTTGTGGTGGTACTGCATTAGACTGATTCATGCTAGTTCAGCCGACCAGCAGTCTGCGGCAACTCATGCAGGCGGGTATATCATGAGCAGAGGTCGCGTCTGCGGCGGCATTGTGACAACCTAGTCTCTCGCAATGCACGGGTATTATTTCATATTTGGCACGGGACAGCAACGAGCGGCCTCCGGGGTTGTTGGACCAGCATATCTGACACTATGTAGCAGTCATGCAGCACCCCACAAGACCCCTTCCCTCTTTCTGTCCTGTTCCAAGCCTCTAGAAATAATTCAGTATAGGTGCGCTATAGCGGGTCAAAGGCGCCCAACGCTGGACGAGGAGAACATCGAAACGACCTCATATCCAACCTCTCTTTCCGGCAGGGGATGGTGAACAGCTACACCACCGATGCAGTGCCTGCTGGTTCTCCCGTGCCATGGTTTACCGTCGATATGCCGAAGTTGGGCTGCGAACCGTTAGCGGATCGGTTGACAGCGGCGTTGGACCATCCCTTGCCTTCCGCATTGGGCAGGAAAGAGTGGAGCCGACGAAGCTATTTGTTTGGAAAATCCCCCACCCAACCTTATTCATACGACCGCATCGCGCCTTTTCTCGCTGCTCAATATCACTTCTGTTCAAATCAAACCAAGAACCCCGAGCTCCTAAAACTGAGTCTTCTTGACTTTTGTCGTCTGTTGCTCCGCCAGTTGGATATGTGGGCCGGGACGCACCAGGGTTTTCGCCGACGATCTGCATACTTACCAAATGTCATACGAGCGCGTTGCATGCAATTGGCTACCATGTGTCTTTTTGGAACACTCAAGTTCGCCATTGGGCGGTTGGCTGAAGAATCGCACATTTGTTGACATTCTCGCGCGCTAACGTCATGGTGCGCAGCAACGTTACGACGCAGCCTGAGGTCCATTGGCTCTGCGGCGGGAGGGCCGACTATCCGCATTCACTTTGTCCCGGGCGCTAATATTAGAAAAGACGTGTATGTTTATTTTGGTAGCAAAGGCGGGTACTCGGGCTAGGGCCTCGTCAGCGTCTCCAACTATAACGTCATCTATGTCGCGTCAAACCACGGCGCGGGAGCATCCAGACGGCTGGCGAGAACGGTCGTTGAGGAGACGGTCTGGACGGTGCGGGTCCGCGCGGCATCTGCGATTGCGAGCTGGACGCGGCAGTGCATTCGTACGCGGGCCGTGGCTCTCCAGTTGTGGTGGCGTGGGCGTCTGGTGAAACAAGCTGTTTAATCCACCATGCGACGGCGCGTGGCGAAACTGTTGACCGTCAATTCTCGATGCTCGT